CAGTATTATAGACTATTATCTCTAGTTATGCTAGTACTATACGAAGAGCTACCGTGGTGCTAGAAGTTATATAAGATTATTAAGAGGGTAGGGGAGATGTCGGAGGCGGCGGGCATGTATTAGGAACGAAATCGTCTTCTTTATTATTATTAGGTAAGTCGTTATTCATATTAGTAACGTGTAAATAGGCTAGAATCTATTGCTCGTTTAGCTAACGAGCCGCTACCTCTAGTAATCGTACGATAAATAGTGGCGGGCTAGGAAACGATAACGGTTGGAAGAAGACGGCTTAAGCTCTATCGCTCCCGCCGATAGGGAAAAGTTTAAATATAATGTCCTATGCTTAACGTATACTATCTATATTAGGGAGCGGTACTAAGGGGGGTGCTATAGCTTATAAAGTTCGTAAGTAGTAGAATAGATTAGAATCGGCGATCCTAGAGGTGTCTTAGAGTACACGATTCTATAAGGATTACTAAGGTCCTTAGACGTATGCGTAGGTCGGCGTGTAGTATACCTAGGTACCGATCGCGCACGGTTGGGAAAATCAAAGTAAAAATCGCGAAAAATACGTAGTTTTTATGTATACTCTTCGCTACCCCCTCCGTGAAAATAATAATTATAAGTTAGCTAGATATAACTTTCGACCATGCGATTTCTTAATATATAAAAATTATTCGGATGTAGGCGTGGGAAGGGCTGCCTTTCGACTCTACCTTACGGTGTCTTTTAACTACCTAGTTTTCCTACTAAGAGTCGTGCATGGTTACCGCCTAGGCCCGTATAATGTTCTTTCGTATATCGAAAGAACGGCTCCTAATTGTTAGCGTTCATTCGCTTATAAAAAAGGATCACTTGTACGTAGTTATATACTATGGTGCGGCTTCGGCCCTTTAGCGCCTAGGACATAGCCCGGCCATCAGCGTCGGTGCGTTTTAGGTACCGCTGCTCGAGGCATGCGCGCGTCGCGCTATAGTAGCGCACGGCGTTTAAGCGTGCTAATGCCGGTAGGGTAGGCCCTATGGTACTTCCGCACGGCCCGTGGTGTATACTTTACGCACAAGCCTATATCCTTAGATAGAAAAATGTAACATGTCTACATTCATAGCGATTCTCGGCCAGAACGTGACTAGGTAACTATAGAATAATTTAGAATAACTACGCATTCTAGTCGGAGGTTAGTATTATAACCGACCGACGCTTTCACCTATAAAAGAATAATAAATCTTAGTCCCTAATGAGCCTTTAAGGCGAAAGACATCTATTAGTTTATACCTAGCTATCTAGGACTTCTATTACTTATTACTTTTCCTTAACGATTTCTCCCTGCTTTAAATAACCCTAGAAGTAGAAGTACTAATTACCGCGATAGTTATATCTAATTCCTTCCGCTAGTTCTTATTTAGTATAGTATAGAGCTTTATAATATAAGTCTCTAGCCTTTCGTTCTAATACTATAAATTCTATATAGCGTGCCTTATAGCTATAAACTTCTCTATAGAAATCTATAGGGCGGCGGGACCTAGAATAGAGAGAGATAGACTAGCGCGGGCACGCTAAGAATTATATAAATTAGCGAAAAGATTTAACGATCGGTATAGAACTATATACCTTTAGTATAGAAACTTCTAGATTAGAGCTATCTTCTCTAAATTTATAGCTCTTTAGTATATATAAGAAAGGAACCTTAGCCTTTTTACTAGAACCTTTTCTAGAAATTTTAATATTACTAGTATATAGAAAGAAGTCTAAAGTAGTAGAGATTTTAGTACTATTATAGAGATTAATATATATTAGTAAGAATCTATAATGATTTAAGAAAATAATATTATCTAGTAATTATAGTAATAATAGCTATAGTAGATTCTAATAAATCCTTATAGATCTTATTAGAATCGTACTTCTAGGTATAACTCTTACCTTAGATATATAGCTCGTAGAAAGCCTTCTCTAAGGCGTTATAATCGGTAGTACTACGCTCCTTATTAGTAGGGGTTACTAGAGGCCTAGTAGTAATCTATACTAATATAAGTAAATCTACGTAAAGTTCTTTAAACTTACTTAAATATCTATAAGTAATAATACTTCTTAGTTATATAAGTACTATATATTATAGATTTAGTACTACTATAAGTAATATATAATAGAAAGCGATAACTATAATAATATATAGCTAGATTATTAGAGCCTGGCCTAGGTTAGGGTAGATTAATAGCTTTTAATATATCGGTAATATATACGAGATAGAGATTATTTAAAGGCGTCTATTTCTATACTAATTACTTTAGAGCGTTAAGATTTCGGGAAGCTATATTATAATTATTACTAATTTATATAGATTATTATAAATTATACTATTACTAGCTAAGGATGGTATAAAAATTAGTAAATTACGTAAATTATACTAAATTATAGTAAATCTATATAAATCTATATCTATAAGAATTAGGTAATATATCTAATAATCTAAAAAACTCTATAAAGAGTTAAGAAGTTTTTTAAAGAAAGGAATATTTCTAAGAAAAGATTTTAATATAGGTAGTACCTAGACTTACCTAATTATATTACGTGATACGCTAGGCCTAATTAGGTAATCTTATCTATATAAGAAGTTAGGATAGATAAAATCTAGTTTATTAGGAAAATACTTATATAAATCTTAGATTAGTAAATATTAGTAAATATCTAAGACGAAGTATAGAGAATAACTAAGGTCTTATAAGACTTAGAATAGGGATATAGAGATAGATAATAATCTAGGTTACTAAGGGTAGCTTCCTAGAGAGAAGGGATAATTATTAGAACTTAGTCTTAGGTAGAACCTAATCTATATATACCTTAGCTAATAGAGTTAGGAGATAACGTAAAGGGCGGTAAATAGTTATATACTAGATAGATTAGCGTCCCTTTATATATATACTCTTAGATTTCTACTAAAAGAGTTCGGTAGTAATTCGTTCTATAATAGAATACACCCTATTATTCTATCTAACTACACTACTATCTAATAACCCTATTCTTATATATAGAGTGGTTTACGAAGATAAGAACTTTCTATTATTTACTATTTTATATTTAAATAGATAGCGTGAATACTTACTTTAGAGTCTAAGTAGAAGTAATTAAACTATAATAAACCTTCTCTAATAAGGATGCGGCTTATCTCTAAAGTAGTCTATTATATAGAGTATTCTAGCTTTTCTAAAGGTAAAGGTACTTAGAGAGCTTAGAAGAGTATAAGTAGATTTATAATAAGTATTAATAGAGTATAAATAGTAACTAGCTAGTAGGCGAGTAAAGTAGTAATTATATTAGTATAAGTTTAAATTAATTACTATAGAACTATCTCTAGAGATCGGGTCTAAAGAGTCTATATAGTTCTACTAAGGTCCTCTAATTAGAATACTTATTCTAAGTATTTAGTATATTACTTAGAATACTAATATTCTATTTCTAATTATCTAGTAGACTACTTAGAATATCTATTCTAAGTATCTATAATTAGTTCTCTCTATAGATGCCTACTTTATCCTTAGATTATTATCTAAGGCTATCTATTATATTATAGATACCTCTTCTATATATTATACTATCTCTTATACCACTCGTACTAGAGTCTATATATCCCGCTATGGCCCTAGCTAGTAATTTATTATAGTATATAACTATTTACTACTATTTATACTATCTTCTAACTATATTAGCTAAGATATATATAGATTAGATTATATCTAAGACTAAGTTCTAATATAGAGTATTATAGAGTACTTACTATTATCTATAGTAATAATAACTTTAGACTCTTCTACTATAGGTTTAAAGAGTAGAGTAATAAGTACCTTATATAGTTATAGATAAGTAGATATAAAAGTATAGTTAAGGCTTTAGTAATTACTATTAGACTATAGTATTATTAACTACTCTTACTATAATACTAGGTACTATATAAGGTAATAGACTTAGATATATTTATAGAAGAATATAGAGAGATAGAAGTATATATAGAGTAGAAGTAAAAAAAAAATTTTAGTACCTTTTTAATTATAGATTTAATTATTACTTATTAATAGAATAATAGTCGTTATATTCTATTAAAACTCGAGTATATATTAAGGACTAGGTTTGGATATATATAGATATAAATTTTTTTTCTTTTTTTTTTAGATTTATTACCTAAGGAGGTAAATCCCTAGTACTTTTATATTATTATCTATACTTAAGATAATAGTAAGAAGTAGAAGAATTTAATATATAGTAGTTTATTTAGAGACTAAATAGAAGAGCTAATATCTACTATATCTAATAGTACTTTAGAGTTATTAATAGCGTCTACCATTAAGAGATATTTCTAAGGTTAATTTTTATATTTACTTCTTCTCGATTTATTAAGATAATATATTATAGTATTTAGCTACTATACTCTTAGAAGGGTAAAGATTAATAGTCTAGTAGAGAAGCTAATAATATAGATATAAGAGGGGGGGTATAGTTTTTATTATAGTATATAGAGAACTAACTAAAATAAGGTAAGAGAACGTCTATATACGCCTAATTACTAACCGCTCTTGTTATCCTTAAGAGGCGGTTGGGAACAACAATTATCCGCCGATTCGAGTAGGAGCCACTCATATGGTCTCCTGCCTCGACAGCGTGTCGATACTAAATTCATCACGCAAAGAGCAGCACCACGACGAAAACGGGAAATACTTGTTTAGTGTGCATGTTTAAACTACTTCCATGTGTCTATTTGCCGTTTCCATATTTTTACTGTCTGCAACCAAACATCCCAAGCTATTGTTTGCGGTGAAAGTAATCTCCAAGGGTGTTCGTTGCTTTAAAGCCGTGGGCCGCATTCAAACATTCCTTGTCGTTATTCCGCAACTAATATCACATCTTGCAGCCTAGCTTGAAACAGAATAGAGCACCATGACTACAACGAAAGCCGGGAAACGACGAGTCTTGGGGAAGATGAAATGCAGTCAGCCTGCACCTCGGGCTTCTGTTGATTGTGACAAGCAATCTTTCACTTGAACAGTGTTGAAACAAAGCAAACAGGTAGTGAAATTAATGGTGGGAGCAATAGAGGAGAACACCGGATGTAACTAAGGGATATCAAGTGGAAGGTAATCCTACCATGTATGTATATAAAGGGACTATCCCCATGTAGAGATTCAAAAACTAACTTGTTCTCCTATCACTGACACACACAAAAACAAGACCAGCCTCAATCTGACGAAGCCACGTTATTCGGCATGGCAACCCCGCCTACTTCCCTCCGCGTCGGAGTCAACTTTCCTTCTTCCGAGCAGAGTCATCTTACGATAGGTGACTATGCTACAGTCGATCCTAGCGACATTATCGTGAAGGAGTGGTACCTTGTACGAACCGATATTGTCGATATCTTAAAACAACTACCGTGGGCAGTTCTGTCAGTGGTGCGCGGTCACCATTACTCTCTTGAACCTCAGTTTAGTGCAACCACGATTTTAGGAAAAAACGCCGTTGTCCTTGTCGGAGCGCCTGTGGAATCGCACGCTTCTTGGCAACCCATGGCGGAACACATCTACTCCCTCTGCGCACACGCTGGCCTCGGGCATGTTCGTATTATGTTCGAGCCTGTGCCATACCCTTTGACGGCCTTGAACCAGGACCTCTTCGAACCTCCAGCTAGCCAGCTTCCAGAGGAGGGGCAAGTCCAGCAAACTGTTCCTATGGGTTCAAGTTTTGGGCCGGTTGGAGAGAGAGAGAGCACTGCATCCGTGGGCGGTACGATCAAGCTCCAGGACAAGGGCAAGGAGCCGGAGCCGTTTCTCCTAAGCGTGTTTCACCCCTTCGATAGTCTTGTCTCTGAACAGGAGAGACTTCATGGATATCGGCGAAACACTGCTCAGCCTATCCAGGTGAGGATACCGTCTCCGCAGGATACAGATATCGCAAACGTTTGGAATACTAACCGGATCAACACACTGGAGGGGAGGCTCAAGGTAATGGACGGTAAGTTCAAATTGTTAGGAGACGAAAAGTTCCAAACCCAAGCGGTACAGCTCGAAGAACTCATCAAAGGACATCAAGAGGACCTTCGAAAGCTCCATGATGCCACAAATCGACTACCAGGCATCTTGTACTACGGATCGGGTTTCGGACGAGCCACCGACTGGTCGTTGTCCTTGTTCGAAGATCGCATCCTACAAAACAAGCCGCCTTCAATGAAGAAAATCACGGATTCTATCAGGAACCATCACGTAGACTCAATCGACTTCAAACGTTTGGGTGAAGAGTTCATGGACGCTGCAACAGTTAGTGCTTTCGCCAGGCCAGAAATCGATGGACTGGCAGTTATGGAAGGGCGCACCTCGGGTCTGACATTAGGCAAAGTCAACGCCCTCGAATCGGATATCATCATTATGAAATCTTTAAAGGTAAAGAAAGGACTCAGTTTCGAAGTACGCGCTATTCTAAGCGGAAAAGGCAAACCGGCCGTCCAGCCGGGCGACTCTGGTGCTTGGTTCGTCAATATGAAGGGCGAGTGGATTGGAAGTGTCGTTGGAACGCATTCCGGGCTGCGATCCTCAATCGGGTTGGTTCTGGAAGCGGAGAAGATTGTGGAGGATATTGAAGCTTTCACTGGCTCAAAAGTTGTTTCTCCAGTGCGATCAGAAGTACCAGGCGCGGTTTAAGCATTTAAACCGGTTGAGTTCTTAGATAGGTACCATTCACTCAGTTGTTAATGTGCAACCTCTGCACTCGGGTAGGGTTGATCTCGCCCAAGTATTCACATCTTTGTTATTATCGTTGCACCGTTTCGCTCTTGTGTGAATGCGCTGCACTCGACTCCAGACTCTCGGTTCTGACCTCATCCACTTGTATTTCGTCCGACCGGTCGAACATACAGTATAAGATGCGAGTATGAACATCAATCGTCATAATGCCGACTCCTACATAAAGTTATCGCTTCTCGTAATCTTCTAACAGAGATGATATCTATCGAATGACTGCTTTGAAGTCCGGGCACGCTCGCTCAGATTACCATTCTGGTTATGCCTTGTTGATTCGCAAGCAGCATCGTGAAAATTCTGCACGATGGTTCTACAGGCAGATCATTCAGCAAGCCGTTCGCTGGCGACCATGGCAACGACTCTGGCAACATCACGGCCTCAGCGAGGCCGGAAGCAACTGCATAAGCGATCAAATGGTGAGAATTGGTGTAATGACGGAAGCTTATCGTGAGCGAGGGTCGGGACGCATCCTGCTATGGCGGTGATCAAGATTTAAGGGAATTCAGTGTATCCCATACGTTCCATCAGACACACACTCGCAATATTATCGGATATCTGCAGCTATAGATTTCGCATGCTCCAGATTACAGAACAAAATGTTATGTCCATAATCTAGACGACGTGGTCAGGACGTTAAGGCTTACTTATGCGCTTTTGCGACATTCGAAAGACTCTCGCTCGCTGCTGACAGCGTTGCTTCGTTGCATTCAATGATCTGTTTACAGCCTTGACTTTTTGGGGCAATTTTAAGAGTGAAAAAGTGACGTACTCTAAGATCTCTTGAGAAATCCGATGTGGCTTCAGATACTCGTCACGCCAGCATGCTCTTCGTTGTTTCCCAGCATGTTCATCCAAGTGATCCAGCCGAAGTCTTGAACATCCTCGTGCAGCCTGAGTTTCTATCCCCATCAAGATAGATCTTCTCACCATTTTCGCAGCCTCACGCTCGGCTGTGAAAAGGGTTCATCCATGGCCACTGCCAAATCAATATGGATGCCCCTTTTGGGGTAGTCTATTGTATGACTTTACCGGAGGACAATATCTGACAAAGGGTGATTAGGGTTGACCACAATATCGATCAGATCCTTCCGATACTGCTCAATATCTTTTCTCAAGGTCCAACCAGCAATTTCCTCGATAGCGATGGATTTTCGAGCTTGGAAGTCTGACTCTGATTCCAACTCTTCCTCAGGAACCCATATTTTACCAAATGACCTCTCTTTGTAAATTCCAGCAGCAATTAGAGTCGCGAGATGGCGTTCTGGCTCCAACCTATCTAATGATCCTATCTGATAATCCTTCAAGCATCGCACAAGGGCGATACAGAGTTCAGCTAGTTTTGGTCGATGAACTTTCAGGTCGAGATTCACCCAGAATTCGGACAATTCCGTATCCTTAGTTTGAAGGTGTACAAGCGATTGTGGAAGAATTTGTAATAGTGTTGGCGACCTGGTTTTGTCGTCTGAACTCACAAAAAGATGCCCTGCAGTGCCAAAAACACCGAGACATCGGAGAGAGAGGCTCGGTTCCACGCAGCAAAACCCTGCTTCCAGAAGAATGTGGCAGGCGAGGCCAATGGTCGAGTCGTTGACAGCGAAAGCAAAGACCTACACTTGACTTAGTAACCTCTTAACGATGAGGATCGATACACGCATACGCTTGTTACAGACGGATACCCAAAAGATTCAAGCACCTGATCGCCCCACTCGATAAGCTCAATATTATGGTCAAGAAGTCGGCGAACAGCTCGCGGTATTTCACGTGCTGTTGTCATCGTTGATACTTACGCATGGCCAAGCAGAGTAGATGAGGAATAGTTGGGTCCGGGGGATGTGTATATAAATACATCTAATGACTCATCCAGTCGGGGCGACATGGCAGCCTAGCACCCATTCCTGAATGGGGTTGTTCTATCTAGGCATGCGGCACAGCTTAGAATACATATATAAATCCTACATGCACTATCATAAGAGAGGTGATGTTATTCTACGAACTTGTCATTGTGTAAAGGATCTGCTATAAGTTACTCGTTCAATTTCCACCATTAGAGGCATTTATATACTCCAGCACCACGAAGCTTACACGCGATGTGTGTCGGTGTCGAAGTCTCAGTGCCCTACAGGATGTCTCGTTGTAAGAAGATCCCCGACACCATATTTCCGAGCAAGAGCTAGTCCACTTGCCCAAAACAGCCAGTGACAGGCCCAGAGACTTGTCCGGATCGCGGCACTCTCATGAAACCTATCAATACTAGTACGACTACAAGAATCGGAGACTGTCTATGCTGCATAGAGGACGATTGGTATGTTAATTCTGGAAATCCTAACGATATATTGACCTTCTCCAGAAGATAGTAAACAATGTTACTACAGACAAAGCGAAGACGGTTGTTGTTGCGATAGAGGCGTAGGCGGAAGGCAGGAGCGAGTGGTGGTGCCGTTTTCGAATTGCTAAAAAGGTTAGCAGGTGTCATAGCTAGTAAGAGTGTCTCTAACCCTCAATGCACATCGATGCTTCTTGCGCACTTTTAGTTTTGCCTCGCCAACAATCTTGAATGATCTCCCCCATGGACCCTAGGCTTCTTGTATCAGGAAACTTGGACTTGGTAGACAATTTCATTATTTCATCTTCTTCGGCCTCGCCATAGGGCGCTTTGCTCGTTAAGATCTCGTAGAAAGTTGAACCGAGAGCAAATATGTCCGCGTTAATGGACTTTAAATTTCCGTTACTGCGATGGCTTGCTGTTACCATGATCAACAAGTCAGAATCATCAAGTGAAGAGCCACCAAAGTCTGCAACCTTTGTACGTAGTGTATCATCCAAGAAAATGTTATTGCAATTCAAATCCCCGTGGACGACTCCGTTGGCATGAACAAACGAGAGCGTATCTGAGAGCTCTTGACACCACCGAAGTCGCTGTTCAAGACTAATTGTACTCTTATGCTCTTGGAGGTATGAGAGAAGGCCCTGATTTGTAGCGAACTCAAGTCGTAACCCGTCCTTGAATTGTCCAAAGTAGCGAAGGAGACCATCATGTCCCCCTTGTTGTGTAAAGCGCTCATATATTTTTCTTTCAATCTCAATGGCTGCTTCATCCATTGCCGAATGAGGAACTTTTATGACAGTGTTAGACGCAGAGTCGAGGAACACCAAGCCAAATGTTCCCCATGCAATGATGTTCTTCACACTGAACCCAGATGGAATGTTCATTTCCTGTACGTCGGAACTCATGTTTGCCAGGAAGGAGAGCTATCTGTGAATTGGAGTTGACCCCGATCAGCTCGATGTCGGCCTGGTGCGTAAATAGAATTAGTCCATCGAACAACACGGAAGAAGGCGGCGCGCACCTACAGGAGATTGGGGCTGGTTTGCGGAAGGTGCTACACCAAAGGGTCTTAAGCAGCAGGCAGCCCGTAATTCGGGAGAGGTGTTCCGCTGCAGCAGTTTGACATCATATGGATGTCTTGAGGGATGAATTGTGATTGATCGAATGCGGTCGTGGCTGTTCGGACGTAGCTGGGACCTATGGCCTCGCGCTGTCACAACTTGACAATCGTAGTACGAAGGTGCTGTTCGTGTAATGGTATATTGTCTATTGGTAGAATGTAGAAGAAGCCTACCATAAGCTCCACTGAGATACTAATTACCCACGCCTACCATAGAGATATCCTTCTCTCTCTATACAAGTAAGTCTACTAAGTATAGCTCTAACCCATCTAGGCCTACGGCGGCTTGGATGGCAAAGGGACCGTGCCTGATTGTACAGCACAATCTATTGATAAACAATGGGAATATTGCAAGTCTGCTTGACTGGGAATACGCAGGTTGGTATTCTAAGTATGAGAATTATATAAAGTTCTTCGAGAGACCATCCAAAGACATAGACTAGAAGAACCGAGTAAGTCAAATCTTTCCTTAGTCTTATAGTGTGGAACTAGCTTGCCATTAAGCCATTGTTCGGTGGTAACGACCGTAATCCTATTATTAATGTATATACTATATACTCTTACCATAGTTTATCTAAAGTATTACTTTTTCATCATTGGTTTTTAAAGCGAATCTCTAATATAGTTACAACTATATCTAAAATAAATGTTCTTATAGATATGTAATGCTTTAAGACATAAGATAAAAGTATATTTATATAAATCTTAATGTAAACATATATACAGATAAACATATTAGTAGACTATGTTATTAGACTAGTTCATATGAAGTAAGTTACTAAGATACGGTAAAATAGTACAAGAACAAGGAAGATATAGGGTATAGCGCAAGAAATTTCAAAGATTAGCTACATGTAGGTGGTCATAGATCAAAAGGCTTCTGCCTCTCCGTCGCCTTCAAGCATTCTCCTCGCATTAAATAGGCGTCTCCTCCAGAGCTTTCGGTCGTAGGTGCCTGGCTCTGTGGATTGTAGCTCCCTGTATACCATTTCAAGACTGTCGGCAAGAGAGCGGAGGAGGGCCGTATCTTGATTTTCAAGCGACGATTGCCCTTGTTCAGATTGCACTGAGGTCAAAATAGCCACGAGCATGTCGGGTATGCTCTTAGACTCTGTTATGCTGCTCTGCTTATCAAGGATATGCACAACAGAGTCGACGCGGTGATTCTGGAAGCCTGGGCTCCCGAGTGAGGATATACGTTGAGGCAAAGGCGGCGTAGGAGGAACAAACTGTTGGTATGAGTTTTGACGAATTAGTTGATTGGTGGCCTCGTCCAGGGCTTCGTGGTCATCGTGATAATCAGATCCCGCATTTCGAGAGCTTCGGCCTTCTGTAGCAGTTGCGAATGTCTGTACAGTAGAAACGGAATCATTACTACGAGTACGACGATGAGTCAAGGTTAATTCTTGTGAGCTCCTCGATCTTGATGCAGTGGCTGCTGAAGCACTGCGAGGTGGCGACGAAGGTCGTGTTGTTTCGACCGAGTCCTCGGAACCGACACTGCCTCTCCGGTTTCGATCAGCCGTGTATGTACCCATAGCACTGTGAAGGAAAAAATTCTCATAGTCGAAGGCATCCGCGCGATCCTCATGTCGTTCAGCGACAGGCTGTTCCCATTCAGCGTCTTCGTAGACAGACTCTGTATCCCCTGTCGAAGAGGCCTCACCGATTGCTTCGCGCTCAAGCTCATCATTATCGTTGTCATCTGGTGATCGACTCCGTTCCTCATCCTCATAGTGGTCTGTGTGGATGGTGGTGCTATCCTGATAGCTCGGGTCGTTGTCTTGGGGGGTGGACTCTGTGCCCCAGTCGCGGAGATCGGTCAGGAATGCATTTTTATCTTCATACTCATTAAGGACATTCAAGTCGTCCATCTTCTGGTCACTGCTTCCTCTCACATGTTTTGACGAGCTTTCTGTGTGATGAGAAGGTAGGTCATGACTCTGCGCTGTTACCGGTGATGGCTCTCCTCTCCATCCAATGCCTCCATCTGTGGCAATCGGGCTGCCCTCTTTGTACGCGTCTGTACCAGAATACCAAGACTCAGCAGCAGTGAATGGACTGGGCGTTCGCAAGGTCTGTAGACTCTTTCGTTTCATACCCTCTTCCTTTGCACGCTCCTTCAACGACGAAATACGTCCCTTCAATTCTTGCATTTGTGTTTTCAGGTCGCTTGTCGTAGATGCAGAACGTTCGATTTCGGTATTTGGGAACGCTTCGTCCTCAGGTAGGGTGTCTAGATTAGCATTCGGTGACGCTCTCGGATCCGGCGACAGTCTTCTCGCAGTCTGCGCATCCGCGGCACCTTGCCATGCATGCAGTCGTTCTTGACGCATTTGTTCCTGGCTCCGACTTGAGCGAATTGAAGGAGTACGAGCGAATGAGACGGTGCCCTCTGACGGCGACCATTGTCCTCTAATCGGCCCAAGAGCACTAGAAGCGCGCTTCTGAGAATAATGGATCTTCTTGACTGCGCCAGCTGGTAAAGAGGATGGCGTAAAAGTCTCACTTGATCCCCTCGTATGGCCGGGCGTGATGTTTGTGAGAGGAGAATTATCATGAGGTCGGGGAGGTATGGACCCAATGCCGCCATACAGTCTTCGATCGCGCTCACGCGCAGCATGAATTTGCGCGGAGAGCTCGGTCTGCATCTTCAAACTACTGAGAGCCTGTGAAGGGACTAAGAGCGAGGATCGGGCACCGCGCAGGTTCCCTTCCATGACCTACTCCACATTAGAAAAGTGACGGCAAAAGTTTAGGAATATGAACCGACATTCAATCGCTTTTTTGCGTTAGCAAGAATCATCTCTGCGCGCTTGCTCAGGGCAGTATGCGAACTGAGATCATACTCGCTCCCGTCCTGCTCTTCATTTCCTGGCTCGTCATCTATACCTTTAGGCCTTGGAAGCGCTGCCAACTCATCCTCTGCTTCATCATCACCGCCAATATTATCTGCATCTCTTCTGCGCGTCTCGCTCGGTACAAGATCATTGTTCAAGTCCAGGAGCTCAAACGTTTCGGACATGGTGTCCAAAGCGGTGGCTTGGGCCTTGTTCGCGTCTGGCTCTTCCGCGCGCAGTTGGCCTACCGGCGAATTACTCCTCGAGGTGTCGTGAGGGTAGTGGTAAGCATTGAGGGTGCTCTGCGAGGGAGTCGAGCGCAAAAAATTTGCTGCTACCATAAGATCGACCGAACGGCTATGCTTCTGAGGCGCGGGACTGGTTTCATTGTTTGACGGTGCGCTGTACGACGAGAATGTAGTCGAAGTCGGTGTCATAGTGCGCGGAGACGAAAGGCCACGGTGGCCCGGTGGCGCATCCAAAAGCTTGATGGAGTTCAATTGTTGCACGAAGATGGATGGTGAGGACGGACGGTCGGGTTGTGTCAGAGGATAGTCTTCAGTGTGGCCCTGCTGACCATCTGGAAGAATCATGTCGGGATTCGTCAAGGTTGGGGAGGGCGGGAGGATGTCGTGTCGGAAATTTCGTGTAGCCATGGCAGCCATTGTCTCCCAAGTGGAATATGGGGACGCCCTGCAGGAAGCGGCCCACCTGCAAGTGATGGGTTCAAGGCCTGTCTGTTCAGGGATCCGGGTTTGGATGTTGGCCTATGGCTGTATGCTGTATGCGCAGGCGTGAGTAGACCTAAGCACGAATTGCCGGCGCCTCCAAGAGCGACGATGGGTCGGGGCTTGGATGTGATGTCGAGGTGGAGCCGATCTTGCGAATTGAAAACATGAAGTCCTGAATCTTGAAGCTATTGCGCTGGGGAAATAACGGTTTGATAACAGAACAGACAACAAGAAGCAAAGAAAGTCTTGGTGGGGCGGCAAGGGGCATCACCTAGCCCAGCATAGCTAGCTGAGCTGCTAATTACTACTTTAGGTACCTGGATAGGTACTGGTAACTATACCCTCTCATCACGTCCACGGGTCTCAGACTGAACCGAGGCTATCTATCAGCGCGGCCAATGAGACCGGCAACTACAACACAATAATTATAATGACACATCAAGAAGAGGGATAATGACGCTGGCAGTCAAGTCTAATTGCATGCGCACTGGATGCTGACGTTCAGAATAGGGCAATTCTGCAGGAGCCAGTGAAGGTAATTAGTATGCTACCCAGTACGCATCTCCAGAAAACTATAAATCCATCCTTACCTAGGATCAGGTGTGTTCTTCTTTCGAAATTCGGCGCGCCAGGCACAGGTCCGTGTCTAGCGAACATGTCACTTTTTAGCGCCTGTAGATCTATGGGATACCTTTGACCTCGTCAGTAATTTGTTATGATGGCCTCCGGAGAAGATGCAGACCCAGACACGTACATCAGCGTATCATGCTCCAGGCTGACTCACACGAAGACACGTCTAGGACACACAGAACATATTAGCCCATATGATGCAACGAGGAAGAAAATGCTACCAATTGAGCTGTGTAGAATGATCGGGCTAGGTAAGGACGCCTAGAACGGTTGTCCCTAAGCCTCCACTGACAACAGTCTCGATCCCGTCCAACCTCCCTATGACAATATCATCGTCAAAACGTTAATGTCAGACGTCTCATTCGCTAAAGTACTCAAGAATGCGCTAACAACAAGCTTATTATTATGACGGCTCGCACGCACCGACATAGCAGCCCAACCCAGGGCCATCCTTCATGATCGTCTGAACCCTCGCAGCTCTCGTTCTTCGTAATCAAGATGAATGCCTGCAAAGTTATAACGTCAACCTAGATGGACTCCCTTACTCTTTGTATATCCTACAACTTATGCATCCGCCATCACGAATAATCCAAGTCCCCTTGGCTCACTCACGTAAGGCCGTCCCATGAGACCGCCCCAACTACTGTTACCATTATCACCACTCACTTCCATTGAGCCTTGATCAACTTGATACGACTTCTACTTAATTGAGTTCCTTTCGAGGTTCAATGACTCCTTAGACAGAAACAGCATTTTGAGTTATAATACACCCATGGATATGCATATCTGACAGGAGCGAAATGCTTTACTCCGATATTACTCATAAAGCTTTCAAAACTCAGGTATACGATGTACTAGATATTCTAGTACCGAATAAATGCCTTGTGATTGACGTGTTATATCGCAGACGTTTCTCTGGCGTCTAACAAGACGCTTCGATTAAGACTAGTATTTTCTATTTCCGTAGTCTATCTTGTCTTGTAGAAAGATACTCTTAATATACCGTATTCATAACATTAAATGCACTATCACCATGTCATAGTCCAGCTTGTTTACAAACCATGGATCTACTCCGACGCCAACTGACACTGTATTTCCTATGCGATGGGCCCAAGATGTATCCCACCCAAACCCCCCGAAACCCAAGACTACACTTGCTCAGCTGTAGACTTCATGCCGCATCGACACCTCTCACTGTATAGGCATACCATCAGTAAAGCCTGGACTGCGACTGAATTGTTTTCCCGCACGTGCCCCGCCACTCATTCCATATCCTGAGAAGCTAGTGAAAGAGTCCATGTTTCCGGCAGGTCTACGAGCAGACCTCTCCGACACGTCTGGATAGCTGTTTGGGTTAGGTGCATGGCCTCGATTGACTGGGAGCTGTACCCTGTGCGAAGGCGTACCCAAATGCACGGTATCTGAGGTAGTCAGTTAATATGCTTATTTTCGACACAGGTAACTGACGTCCAGAAAGCACTCTTCCCATGCTTGACATGTTGTAAGCATTCGGAGTGCCATATCCGTACGAAGGATTCCTGTCGTCTTCTCCACTTTGCCGTCGCAAGTGTGATTGGCCTTTGCCGGTCATGTCCCTCTGAAAGTGAGCTGGGGCGGGATTTATCATGCCGCTGCCATGACCTCCATCACCATAATGTTGGGTCTGACGACCTGATCGCAAAATCTCGTCAGCATTGTGAGAGGCAGCTTTTGCAACGTGAGGCTGCATGGTCTTCGATTTCAGATTCATGTAGCACTTGTTTGTCTGGTTGTACTGCTTCGTTTTCGCGGCGAGCTGGTCGTGAACTTCAGCATACTTGGCCTTCAAGTATGTAATTTGGTCACCTGCAGCCTTCACTTTGCCTTTCAATCTGGCAACTTCGGCGTTGGCATCATGTATGACATTCTCGAGGTGAGATTCGGCATTCAGACATTGCTCATTCAAGTTCCTGACCTGGTGTTCTTGATAGAAGCTTCTTTGGTCAGCTATATGCGAAGCAGGGGCATTTATCCTCACATCTCTTGAGTGGTCTGATAACAGTAGAACTGCAGGCCTCTTCCAGCGCACTCCATAATGATAAATGGACTCAGACCGCTCAGGATACTTGTCTTGTAGTCCTGTGTAGGGTTGAGCTTGCTCACGACTGCATCATCTGGGTTCAGTAGATGAGCATGGCAAGCGGGACAATCCCTAGTAGCGTTGAATGGCTGTGTGAGACCCAAGTCGTTCGCACAAGCAATGCAGAAGATATGACTACCCAAGATATTTCAGTCTCCAAGAGCATGCAAAGCATGAGATACTCACCTGCAGGTGGTGACGATTGCTTGTTCATTCAATTCGGCTCGACAGGTTTGCACATTGCAACGTAAAGAGAATTCCATCTTCAGTATCGTGGTTATGGGCTTCTTAGCCGACTTACGGGTCGACGTAGGTGATCAGATTCTACTAGAACTACCTACCTGATGCTGTATTCTGGGAAAATTTGCGGCGGATAAGTGAAGTATGGAAGGCGCGCAAGGTGCAACATCCATCAGTCATTACGGAGCCTGCATGGAAGCAGCGGCCTTAGCCACACACATCTTCAACCTGTATAAGGTAGGTAGGACGAGAGGAAGGTAGAGAAGTGAGGTAGGTAACGTTCATGAGCACGTAGATAGCAAGGGCTTCGGGGATCGAAAGCATTCGCCGCAGCAGAGATAATAGTTTACTTGTGTTCTACTTCTCAAATTTTTTTCTGGGGGTTTGTTGGGGGCGCGGGGAGCCCATCCGTATATACGCAGCATGTGTGCAGGTACTACAATGATCACCTAAACCACCAGTTCGCCTGTTTGATGTTAGCTACGTCCTGGTCGTGTAGTTCAGAATATATCCCATACCGAACCCACGATGCCTTGTCCAAGACCTTTAACACTGTGCCACCAACCCTTGGGTATATACAAAGCATCTCCCGGTCCGATCGTCGTCTCGAGAGTATTGGCGAGACCGATCGTTTGCATGCGCTGCTCGTCCTCGGCTGTTGCTCCTGGAGGAGGTTTTCCTGACTGACGATTCCAATATATCCTTGCTTCATCAGATGGTATGTCTCCGAGACACTCAAGATCCTCTGAAAGCTTCCGAGTACCGTCATCTCGCCAAACCAGTTTATCTAGGATGTCTCTTTCTTTGCCAACCATCATCTCTTCACCTCGAATACGCGCATCCATCTTATATGCCTTTTGAAAGACTCGTGATTTGGCTTGCTTGTATATTGCATCTCCGACATCTGGTTCTGCAAGTCGTATCACCTTACGCCCCGCTAGTTGTACGAGTACGTTGTGATTCGGATCGCGATGGAATGGAGTATATGTAGGTGCACGGCCGATCCAAATACTGCTGCTATATGCATCGCCTTTTGCGCCCCAATTTGTCATCTTGGGCTTGACTAGATCTGCCTGCATTTCTGGCGGAAGCTCGTCAATTGGGCATTGCGCAAGGTATACATTTGTGTCTTGCGGTGCGTCCGCCGAAAGCTTCATGAACATACTCAATGGCATCATAGTCCGGTTAAAACACTCGCCTCGACTCACCTCCACAGGAACGAGATGGTCTCCGTATTGTTCGAGGTATTCTACTTTCAGCGCGGGATGAGATTGTGACTTCAGCCCAGGTAGAAACCACTTTGAAATTGCCGGCATCTGAGCATCGCGGTACTGTCGGCACACCAAAGGACGACTTGGCTCATTGTAGTAGCGATCTTTGAAAGTCCCTGGATGTACTTGCTCGTGGCTGCGAAGAAGTGGCACGCCACCGGCCGTCAGTTCAAAGGGAGTTCTCACCCATGCGAAAATATTTGGGTTGAACACGGTTCTAAGGGATCGATTCTTGATCAATCTCCACCAGGAATAGGACGCCTTTCGTATGATGAGCTCTCGTTTCATGTGCGGTTGTCGAATATGCCAGCGGCAAGGTATGTACAAGTGGGAGAAGTTACAGCCGTGAATGGAAATTCAAGCGCTGGCATCAGCCACAGATCCCGCCACGAGTATTCCAAGCCACCTCGTCGACGGTACTAGTCAGCGCCCTATTTGCCGGACTAAGGCCGCGCAGCTCGAAAACCCACCTTGATTGGGAGCTGTCGCATGCTTGCATCTGGTATTACAACTTGCGAGACGTCACCCTATCTGAACTTTTCGAACGTCAATCTATCTAAACTCTTCGGATGTCGCCCTACCTGAACGTTTAAGCTTATATGTAAAGACTTTATAGTGCTCACCACAGCAGATATGAGTGTAAGTTGCGACTGTAAATCATTCAGTACCTCGGCGTCTCGCGATATCAAGTCACAATGCTAATAATGATGCAGTTCGTACCTCTAAATCCGCGGCCTATGCTGCAAAATCTGTGCGTATTCCAAATATTTCATACTCCTGGCAAGCTCCAGCCAACATTTTCAACCTGTTCGTCGGCCTTTGAACACTAACAATAGTTGCAGTGTCAATAACGACGTGATCGTGCGATTGAAGTGGGGTCAAACCGAGTACAAAGGCAAATTGATCAGTGTTGACTCGTATATGAACATTCAACTAGCTGGTACTGAGGAATTTATTGATGGCTCAAAGACCGGCGATCTAGGTCAAGTTCTAATAAGGTACGTCAGGCCCAGCTACTCTGACCATTGATCGCAGGGCTTCATGTTGATTATATCGGCAGATGCAATAACGTATTATGGATATCGGCGGCTGATAAGCATGACGCGTCTATGAGCGGATGAAGGCACTGCTAGGCAGGACACAGGTGCGACGTTCGGAAGGGAAAAGGCAGAAGATGACCTTCGATCATGGGTGGATTTCAAAGGCCTGGAAGCTCTGCAAACGCGGCGGGCGCATTTGTGACGACGAGTGCATAAGGCAAGAGAAGTCATCAAAAGATGGGCAAGGCCGTGAACCAACGACACACGTAGTTCTACGACGGTATCCAAGCCTTATTCCATCTCCTCCACCAATGAAACCCCCCCAGTTAGCTCGCCAGTCTCGAACTGTATACCACGAAGACCTGCCGATAGACCGTTGTCCATTTCAATTTCATGATGCACAGCCTCGCGCCCAACGGCCATTTTCACCGTCAATGTCTCCAATCCGTCAATAACAGCCTCTGCATGACCTCGCACAGTTTCATCGCGGTCCTCGCTGGCCAGCCACCTCATAATCTGCTGCATATCCGACCATTTCCTGCTTCCTTTATGGAGCAAGTGATCCACAACCGTAGTATCGTTCCCCTGAAGCAATGAATCGATGCCTCGTAATATGGACATGACCACCATGACAGCAGCACGACGCAATATGATACGATCTGGCTGCAACTCAAATACAGATATTGATAGCGCTATATCAATGGCATGCACCATTCCATCTCTCAACTCGATTATATGCACGTGTGATTCGAAAAGAGTACACAGTATCGAAAGAGCAGAGGTCCGCACGCGAACATCTTCCTCGAGACCTGTATCTTCCCACCCTTGTACTATACTCTCCAGATACTCGCGTTCTTTCGCCTGCTGAGTTGTTTCGGGCTCATGATTCGGATCAATGAGCTTCATGTCAATCTCCGGAAACCCCCCTCCCCATGCCTTAAAACCGTCTTCGTGCTCTCGCTTGATTCTTGTAGCCTTCTTGACTGCGGCTGCTTCGCGTGCCGCTCTTGTTAATGGCCGATGGCCTCGTCGACTTGCTAATTTCAAGCATACCTCGGCGATTGCAGCAGCAGCCGTGGACCTGCTGTCATGCGAGGTCTGACCTTTGACGAGTGCATATTTTCCGAGACTGTCGATTGCCTCGCCGATGCGTAGTCGCCCGTCTATGCCGCCGTTGTTCTTTTCTTCGACGTCTAGGAATGCATCGAGAGTGATACGGCACACGAAATGAGGACGACTATGTTCTTTGCAGAGTTTGGTGAGAGCCCGGATGGCGGGGAGATAAACGTAGGAGTCTGATTCCATGCGGATCACTTGGACGAGGAGATGAGCTGTTTGAGGTACGTCCAGTTTTACTGAGCAATGGTCGTCAATGAGACCATCAATTTGCGCTATGGCAGAAGCGCGAATTGGGGCTTCTTGCGCAGCGAGATCTCCTATAATAGCATCCCAGGCTGGCCTTGACACGCGGTCAGCTTTTTCCCAATTCACCTTTTCCTCAGATGTCCCAATCCATAGATTGATGATATCCAAGGCTGCTGTTGCGGGGTCTACGAGGTTCGTGGAAAATCTTTCGTTTCTGGAGCAAATATATCGCAGTGATGCAGCTATGCCTCGGAGAACCTTGTCCGTCACGTCGTTGCGCGGCATCGAGGATGTAAGGAACAAGCTCAAGATGCTGATGCCAGTTATCGCTAGATCTTCAAAATCAGACTCCATAGAGGACAATGAGTTTTGACCTTGCTCCCTCTTTGTCTCAACGATACGCCCAAGACTCTTGATCGTCGGATCTTTCAGCGAGAAGATGTTGCTTTGTCGCTGCTGGTCAAGGGTTACGAACTCTTGCATGATCTGGTCAAATAAAGCCATTAGTCGACCAGGATCTTTGATCAACCTTTTCTGCAGCTTTTCGAGTATAGCCTGAGACAACTTAGCGTTGATCAGCATACCGAAAGCATCGCTGTGAGAATCTTGACCTAGTGTCTTATTGGCCGACTTCAATGTTGCAGGCGTTAGCCAACGTCTCAGTATCTCGCAGAAAGCTGATGTGATAACATCATAGTTAATTTGGCTGGTTGGCAGCAACTTGACGAACGTCTGAGTACGTTTATCGATGCTTTCGAGGTTCGCCAGCGCACTCTCCATGTATTGGCCAACGAGGGGGCGAAGACGAATATCAACTCCGCCATCTGCACCAGTCGAAAAGGTCCACTGAGATGACCCATCCCAAAGGAGATTCCTAGCTATCTCGTCGATCTGATGCACTTCTGATTCTAGCTCGAAGTATCTTTTCAGGATGGACTCAAGAACGACGGACCATCTCTCAGGAACAATAACTTTCTCTTTTGGAGCCTTCACGCAGTGAAGTAAACCCCATAGACCAAGCTTTACAGGTCTGACAAGCCTAGGTGTTACACCTGTGTTCGGGTGCGAGGATATGATCGTGGCCATTCTTTCCAAAGCTTGTAAGACTTTACCTGAGGGCACAACCACAGTGAATGCGTCCTCACTATTCTTTAGAGAGCTGTAGTCTTGTTTTGGGTTTATTGCTGCGATCAAAGGAATGGCAAAAGTATTCCAGCCTGGCTTGCCAGGGGCTCCGGTAGATCGTTTGCTCAAGAATCCACTCGAGATTATGTGACCGGCCGCTCGAGCCATGTCTGACCCCTCGTTTCCATCCAACATGTTCCACAATTGGGGTGCTATTTTTTCGATCCATTCTTCCATCCTCATAGACGCTGGTGGTGCAGCAATTAGCTTGGTGGCCTGTTGCATAATCGATAGTGTAATAGGCAGTCGACTCGAGAGGGCCTGTCGTTGATCTCCACCATTCGGCTGATGTGACATTGATATGTACTCTACTATATGCCTAATACCTCGAGAACGCAGGGGTAAAAGTGAGAGTGACTCCGTGATATGTGGTCGCATCCATATCGGTAGATCTTGGGATACATAAGATGTAAGAAGCGGTAGAAGGCGCGATGTTGGAGTCCTAAGGGATTAGCTATATGTTTCCCAGGAGGTGTTCACATGGATCAAGACATCGGAGATGAAATCGATGGGTTACTTACTTGACCAAGAGAGTAGCAAATCGCCGTTGCCATAGTGCCTGATCTTCAGTATCTGCTATTCTTGGTGCGAAAGCCAATTCAGCAAGGGCAGACACAAGATCAGGAAGGAATCTTTGGGATATGATTGGCGATATGCCTCCGTTGGGGTCGGTACCCAGACGGTCAACAGTCTCACATATTGTCTTTAAGCACCATACTTTGTCATGCTTCTCATTCGTTTGAACAGCAGACAAGGTCGATTTGGGCCGGTGCGGGAACACAACGTTTGGCGATAGACATGGAAGCACCCATTGTGTCGCAATCAAATCTATCAGTGCATACAAAATGCTCATGAGGGTGCTATCATATTCGGATTCCGGGCTGAAGCCTTCTCTGACGGCAGCAAGATGTATAGCTTCTAGGTGGCGAAGAGATTCCAGGAGATATGGTTTACTACGGCCTTCTAACTCGTGCACGCAAGGATTGGGGGTATGCGAGTTTAGGAGTGTCAAAATACTTGGATCTGATAATAGTGCATTATCTGCTTCATGTCAGATTCTACGCCCTGGCATGATGATTGGGTACGAGCCTAGACCAGTCAAAGGACGCACAAAGTCCGCAGCAGACACGATTTCCGCAGCCAAAGATATCATGTCGCCTTAGACTCATACACACCGACACAAGAGCTGCTCAGACAGGAAATTGACGGTAGAGCATGATGCAAAACTGCGCGCAGGCAGAAGATGGTATGCCAAGAGTTCACACGTGTCTCGTGTCACTAGCGCGATCACGTCGCGTCTCCATCCGGATAACAAAGCTCTTGTGAGGCCGGATTCCTCCATTTTCACGACCGCCCATGACACCCAAGACGACTCACGATTACCAGCAATGCCCTCTCAGATCTTCAAATCGAGATCGCAATCTCCCTACACCAACCGATCTGACCATTTCGATGCCCTTTGCCGACGTCAACGGACCTGGACCGCATCAAGAACACAGACTACTCTCAACTTCTGCCTCTTCATTCTCAATCAAACCAACGCGTTTCCCTCTCCGCATGTGCCCGTTGATCGTCTCTCCACTCAACTGAGTGGGGATGCCAATCGGCCTTTTTCTGTTACCTGCATCATGGCCTACGATGCCTCATCCCGAGCCTCATAGCATGGTCTCACTGGGTGCATGGCAGACGTGTGGTTCATGGTGCTACAGCAGATAAAACTGTTGTAAACGAGGTTCCAGTGAGAGGATGGTCTTCGGAACTTAACCCTAATCTACTCTCGGTTTGTTGCTTGCGCAACTCAGTCACACGGTCAAATGTTGCCGGCCTCTCGATTACGTCTTATTGATCCGAGCTGTGTCTTCGCACGGCCTGGCGATAAAAAACCAAATTGAGGCTGAGGCCCGGTGGAATGCAGGACTCATGTGTCTAATTGGGTAAGATCCTCAGATGAGGGCGCACGTCGAGTTCTGCAACTGGGCAACAGATACTGGTCAGCATGGACAGCTCAGATCGCGATAGTTCACGATGTTCCAAAGAAGAGACTGGAAGATACGATGGCGGGCAGTTTCTTACTGTCACTTTGGCAGTCCAAACTACAGCAGACCTAAAGACAGACAACATTACATTTTACCCACGAGCATATCAGATGTCGGACGCAGACATTGCAATCGACACTTCACACAGCGCCCTCAATGGTGTCTACTTTGACTCACGTCGCCTACCTGATAGTATACCACTTGAGTTTCGGGATTGAGCACAACTTTCGCTGTCGAAAGACGGCGCGCAAACACACAGACAATGCAGCATGTGCCTCGGAGCCTTTAGGCTAGCTATACAAAAGACTCACTCGTCAGAACTTTGCGCTATACTGTAAACAGCGAGGTCTATCAGCATACATGCAGAGGCATAGCACACATCGTCATTTTTTGCTGCAAGGTTGCACCGCTCCGAATCTCGACACCATGAGAAGTGAAACTTTTTTTTGGTTTGCGTGACTGATCAAAGTTGGTTGAGTGTCGCATTCACTCTGGATGCTCCAAGCAGGCACATAACCCATCTGATCTGAACATGTGCACGTCTCCTGTCACTGTGAATGGAAGACTTGCGGTACATCTATTGTGTGTAAGTAGAGACCCTTGTGATCTCGAAAGCAGCCAGTCTCCACTCCCTGCCATCGAGATACCTATGTCATCGAGCCTCTACTACGGCACAAGCCATCAGTAGTGTGGTGCACTCTCATGAGTACAACTTGTCTCCGACCAGCCGTGTTAATCATCTACTTGTACGTTCTGCGTACACCTGTGATGAGCGCCGACTGACCCGTCTGTACCCGACTTATATCTGTCGATCAGACATTCCTCCCTCTTGTAGGGGATGAGGGCGATTTTTGTTGATGTACTTTGTGCGCCTACCATGCCCTCCAACGTACACTGGCTGAAAAGCCGTGTGCCCTGGAGCGGAAACAAAGACGGTCTCTATGAGGAACGCCAAAACATACAGAAAGAAGCCCTCGAGGCACTCGGAAGAGGTCTCAGGTCTGGAATTGGAAAGTCTAGTGTTCAGCATGCGGTCTTTCGAAGTTTACCGAGAAGGGTTTCGGTGGACCTATTGCGAGGGACAGTTGTTTCTATTAGGAAGAAATTGCTAAGTCGGCGTTGTGTGAGTTGTTCATGGCGTTCTTCGGACTTTTGTCACTCGTCATCTCAACTCTTTTTGCTGCGTGGTCTACTCATGGGCTCTTAAAATCACACATCTAGTGGATGCAACAGGTTCTATCCAGACTATCTGCAAGCTTCTTTTCAGTTGGACGCATGGCTCTGCACTGAGGGCGAATCGAGTGCAGGAGTAACAGAACCTCAAGACGGGACCTCTCTAGAGTGAGGATCAAAGTCGCGTGCTTGTCTGTCTTGAGATCCTGCCTGCCCTAGATCCGTTTTTGTTGCGTAACTTGGCATCTTGTAAGCCTGAAAGAGAAAGTTTCCAGTGTGTCAAGGATAATACGACTGTCTTGCCTCTCTGTGCGAGAATGGGAGCCCCTGAGAAAGCGACCGCATCAAGACGCGGATGGCGAAGCAAATTGATGGGGGATGCTCGGTGTCTGCGGTCCACAATCCCGCCGTCTCTGAGGAGACGGCCAACCATTTTTTTGATAAGTCGTCCCCCTCTGCTCGGCGGCATCATTCAAGGACTGACTATATACAGAAAACCAGCTTCTCTCCTCAGAGAAATCGCCCGTCATGAAAAAGCAGCCCAGGCGAACGGACACAACCACGAGAGTGTTCCATGAGGATGCTCACCCTACGCCATCTTTCCGGGTACAAACGGATGACCTGCGCTTAATCCACCACAAACAGCCCATGCCTGCCCGTTGACATAGCTGCTTTCGTCGCTTCCCAAGAAGAGTGCCACACGCGCAACCTCGTCCGCCGCCGCACCCCTCTTCAGCGGGTTCAATTGTCCAATCTTCTTCTGCGTTCCCTTCGCCCTTGCAGCATCGTACATGGGCTTCGTCATACCCGTCTCGATAACACCTGGGCAGATGGCGTTACACCGAATTCCAGTACCAGCCAGTTGATAAGAGACTGTCTGAGCGATGGAAACCACAGCGGCTTTAGATGCGGAGTAATCAGTTGACCCAGCGTTCGAGCGGATGCCAGCAACGGACGCTGTCCCAATAATAGAACCGCAAGGGTAGGGCTTGTCCTTTGATGTCTTGAGCATAGCTTTCGCGCCATACTTTGCAGCAAGAAATACACTTCAACTTATCAGCACGCGGTTCCCACAACATGTCAGATCAAAATACCTCAACGTGTTAACCCTCATCATCTCCATCCAGTCGTCAGCGTCTATATCAGTGAACACACTCCCGCTCGCCCGACCCGCATTGGCAAAAAAAACGTCCAGTCGTCCATATTTATCTAGTGCTTCTTGTACCACATTCTTCACTGCCTCTTCCTCAGCGGCATCAAATTGCCGGATATGAACGTCCATCTCCGGGTACAAGCTTTCCAGCTCTCGTTTGTGTACAGGGAGGTGTTCATCATCGTAATCGCATAAATATACGGCCCGTGCCCCGTTATGCGCGAATTGGTGGGCTGTCGCGCGGCCGATTCCCATGGCGGAATTTGTGCCTAGCGTATGTGTTGGAACAATATGAGGAGAGTGCAGTATTCTATGGTTTACCTACCGGTTATTATAACAACTTTGCCTTTTGTGCGTCTGTAACTTTGCTTAGTGTATGGCTCACGTAGACGGGAAGGAATAGATTCGTACTGTCCAGCTGAGTCACCTGCAATCCGACGTATCTTCGGGATGTCTTCGAACATACCCGGGTCTTCGGCGGGCACTGCGAGTTGCTCACTCAGCATTGTGAGGCGTTGGCGTGCTTTCTCAGAGGTCATTGTGTAGAGTGCAGTATGATAGATCCAGGAATGAGCGGAGAGGAGGCTACGTCTGGAAATGCTTGAGGTCGTTTTGCGGGGAGCTCGGGTTATGGATATGGGCCTCGGCTGACGGCCGGGACGTGTACCTGAGGCAGATCCGTTCATCGCCGCACATTAACATTGCTGTCCTGGTATGCAACCTTTCTAGAGTCGCCAATAGTGCTAATATACCTGTCTCGCTGGGCTTCAACCATTCTTGTCAGCTTATCCGATATATAATTGTTTACGTACAGCCAACCCATACATCTAGCACACCACACTTGAAGATGGTACAAGTGTAGTGCGTTGTTTTCTATCAGAGTTGAGAACCAACAGTAAAAGTCTATAAGGATAGCCCGCCTCTTTTACATCAAGCAGCCGTTGCGCTTGCTCGAATGCAACGCCGAAGTACCCAAGCGTATCCTCTTGTCTCCGAGCCTGATATAGGACTCGACCAACCATTCATACCACACCTTCCTATCGTCCGTCTGCCTCCACATGCTGATATCAAGTTGGGAGTCCTCGGGTATGTAAAGCGGCTCCTACGGGAATCAGCGGACTGAGTGGCAACATATGTAAGGAGGGAGCCAAAACGTACCTTGAGTGGCCAGAATATCGGGAACCAACTAATCATATCTTCACTCTTGCTCGCCATGGTCACAGGGTTGGTGCTAAGCTCTACCTTTCCGTTTGTCCCTTCGTAAAGAACGGTCTCGAAATAACCACCGATACCATGACAAACGCCTCTGTACTTACAGTCAAATGTGGCACGTACAGAGCGAACGTTGTGTTCATTAGCTCCATCCCCACCTGTTTGCCCCCCTATCCCACCAGAAGCTCCACCGCCCCGTCGTGTATTCGATTGATCAAGTACCGCCTTTGGTATGGGATGCATAAACTCCCACGCAAGTTTGACTTTTGGGACAGCGTTCCAGATCTCAATCTTCGGAGGGCCCTTGTGATCACTTTTCTCCGACGTCGCTTTCGCAGGTGGCTCTTCGATATCCACCGACAAGTAATCAATTGCATGCAACATTACAACATACGACGTTTCGTATGCGCTTAAGTCCGAACGTGAAAGAATGTCTGCGTACAAATTCGGTGCTGAGATTGGCGTAAAGTGTGCTGTATACGACTGCGGTATCGATATGCCATGTGTGGAAGCCATGACATGCTGAACCCCATCGAGGCACTCTGGCGAAAGTTCGTTGTCTGCGAACGATCCAAGAAGCTCGGACACGATGATGTCGACATGACCATAGGTACCATCCTCACGCTTGGGTCCTTTCCAGGCCCTCATGTCGGACTTTACCAGAGTAACTTTACCTTCCCAATCTGACGTATTGTGGCGTTGCAGTACTACGAATGCATTCGGATTCTTTTCAACTGCATGTAGTTCTATCTCAACTCCAGTGCTCTGGCTGGCTTGTATGGCACGGGTCACGAGAGGGCCACGGCCGGCACCGACGACGGCTACAACCACCGCACCGCTGGGCGACGACGTTGGTTTCTCCTGGATCTTCCAGTCGCTCAAGGCTTGTTCTATGGCGCGTTGATACCATGCGTATTTGATTGGGTCTTTCTCGAAAACCTCGTATGTAATACTCTCGAGATTGTCAGTCAAGGGTTGAAGAGGAGATTGCAAGTAGTCTTGATAGCCGGCACCAAATCTTTCAATCATTGACTTGACTGGCTGGTTTCTTTGCAGGTATCTCATGTAGCTGAGGTGAGGGGTTGGGTCGTCCTTTGAATGACGACTTGCTGAAATTTGCACCTGAGACGACTCGGCGGGTGTTGGCGATGGCGACATGCTAGAATTGGCATCTGACAATTGATCTGGTTGAAGTAAAGCAGTAGCTAATGGGAGTTCGACATTGGAGTCGTCAAGGCCCGGTATCGTCCCTACATCCGAAAGAAGTATCCACGGGGCATTGCGGAGACGCATACACCGCGCAATGAAACCTTGATGGGATTTCGAGAGCACATATGACCCACGGACATTCTTCAAGAACGAACCTCCTGGTAGTAGCAAAAGTTTCAATGGCTCCGAATACCACCTAGACTGAACAGCCAACGGTGGTAAGCGACGTGGGAGTGATAGAGCTACATTTCGGGCCCATCAGCAGTGTTCTGATAGGCACAGAAAGTTGGGAACAATGTTGGGACGCAATTTATGACCGAAGTACCTTGGTTGCTTACCTACGGAAAGTCTGGAGCTATATTTACAGACGCTACGAATGGCATTCCATGCGTCCCAGGTTCCGAACAAGTCGCACTCTTGAGGCTCGAACGCTTCGATATTTCCGAAGTATTCGGGTCTGGCGAAAGCATTCAGATCTCCAATCTCTTGCTCTGGTTCGGTGTCTGGGTCCCAGCTCATGGACAAGAGTATGTGAATGTGCACATAGGGCCCAAGTGAAGATGCTTCCAAGATTGCCCGAGCATACTGTGCAATGTCTGCACCCTCGTACAGCTTCGGACCTTCTATATAGACATTGACAATACCGCAGAATGCCGCATATGCAATTTCTTGATTCAGTACTTGTCTGGATAGATGGGCGACCAAGGGGTCAGGTGATGCAAGGTCCACCCATGAGCTGGTGAAGGCCAGAAGCTGTGAAACTGTCTCGGTGGGTGTCAAGGGAGTATCAATGGGTCGAAAAGGCGCAATGAGCGGTAATGGTAGAGAGTTCGCATCAACACCATCCTCTATTTTAGACATGTAGTCGGAGAGCAAAGTCAGAACACTTGAATGAAACTCAGAGGTCGAGATTGGGGTTGATAACATATCATACTGCATCACACATCAGCCAGCACTTCTAGAGCCGGTATGTTTGCTGTCTCACATTGCAATCATGAGCTTGTTGTAAAGTTTGTTCCGTAACATGACATGACCGTCGAGTTTCATGCTGCCCTACATAGAAAACGGGCATAGGATCCCCAGAGCTCCCCTCATAGTCCATGATGTTATTTTATCAAATGAAGTACCGTCTAGATATTAGTGATTGTCCATGTTTTCTATCGGAATTGAATATGAAATGATCCGTGAGAAGATTACTGTTAGTGGGGAGAGAAAAAGAAGCATAGTGCCCTCGCCCCACTTCCGGAGAGAGATCCCACACGCTAAAAGTGTGGCTTGCAAGCGGAATGTGGCGCAAGGAAAAACATCCTGACGGACCCTTGAGCAAACTTTCCGGTAACCGCTACATGAGTGAATCTACGCGACTTTCAACAAGCAGTCTTCTCGAGAGCGATGGCTGACCGCAGACCAGAATCGGATGAATCGCAAAGAAACAAGCGTGTCAAGACCGCCACGGACCCAGCCCAGAACCCATACCTTGCTCACTACTACGACGACTCAAACTCGAACGGATACTCAAACGGCGGCGTTAGCTTGGGTGGTTTTGGGAAGGGTAAAGGAAGCTCTATTCTCTCTACTTTCACTCAGCATGAGACAACCTCTAAACAGGCTCGCCAAGCCGAAGATGGACCAATAAATGCCTTTACTGGAGAGCAATTATCAAAGGAATATATGAACATTCTGCATACGAGAAGGAATCTCCCGGTCCACCAGCAACGAGATGAGTTTCTAGCCCTCTATCAGAAATCACAGATTTTAGTCTTCGTTGGTGAGACAGGTTCTGGAAAGACGACGCAGATTCCACAGTTTGTCCTCTTTGATGACCTACCACAATCGAATGCGAAGATGGTCGCATGTACGCAGCCTCGTCGTGTTGCTGCCATGTCCGTCGCACAACGTGTGGCTCAAGAAATGGATGTTCCTCTCGGCGAGGAAGTCGGTTACAGTATTCGTTTCGAAGACAAAACCTCAGCCAAAACAATACTCAAGTACATGACAGACGGAATGTTGTTGCGCGAAGCCATGAACGATCATAATCTTACGCGATACAGTACCATCATCTTGGATGAGGCTCACGAACGTACTCTAGCAACAGATATCTTGATGGGTCTCTTGAAAGAAGTAGTACTCCGAAGACCAGATTTGAAACTCATCATCATGTCCGCAACTCTCGATGCCACGAAATTCCAAAAGTACTTCCATGGCGCGCCACTTCTCGCTGTTCCAGGTCGCACGCATCCTGTTGAGATATTCTACACCCCAGAGCCGGAGCGAGATTATGTAGAAGCTGCTATTCGGACTGTCTTGCAGATTCACGCTACTGAGCCGGACGGGGATATCCTGCTTTTTCTGACTGGAGAAGAGGAAATTGAGGATACATGCAGGAAGATTAGTCTAGAAGCAGACGAACTTGTACGTGAGGTAGACGCTGGTACCATGAAGGTTTATCCCCTTTATGGTACTTTGCCACCTCAGCAACAACAAAGAATATTCGACCCGGCTCCTGGACCGCGCAAACCTGGGGGCAAGAACGGGCGAAAGGTCATTGTGTCGACCAACATCGCTGAGACATCCCTTACTATTGACGGTATCGTCTACGTCGTTGATCCCGGATTCAGTAAGCAGAAAGTCTACAACCCCAGGGCCCGTGTCGAGTCGCTCTTGGTCTCCCCAATTTCTAAAGCTTCTGCTCAGCAGAGAGCAGGTCGTGCGGGTCGTACGCGACCGGGTAAATGCTTCAGACTATACACTGAGGATGCATTTAAGAAAGAGCTCATTGAACAGACCTACCCTGAGGTCTTAAGGTCCAATCTGTCCGCCACGGTGTTGGAATTAAAAAAGCTCGGTGTCGAGGACCTCGTACATTTCGATCTAATGGATCCGCCGGCTCCTGAAACACTCATGCGCGCCCTGGAGGAACTCAACTATCTCGCTTGTCTTGACGATGAGGGCGAACTTACCCATTTAGGGCGTCTTGCTTCTGAATTTCCCCTTGACCCGGCTCTCGCCGTCATGCTCATCAGCTCCCCCGAATTCTACTGCTCAAACGAGATCCTCTCCCTGACATCTCTCCTCTCTGTCCCACAGGTCTTTGTGCGCCCAGCCAGCGCTCGCCAAGCAGCCGACGCCATGAAGGACATGTTCGCGCATCCAGATGGCGACCACCTCACCATGCTTAACGTATACCACGCGTTCAAGGGTGACGAGGCGCAACACAACCCCAAACAATGGTGTCATGACCACTATCTATCCTTCCGTGCGTTGCAGCAGGCTGACAACGTGCGTTTGCAGCTCAAGCGTATAATGGAACGCGAGGAGCTTGAGCTTGTGTCCACACCGTTTGAGGACAAAAGTTACTACGAGAACATCCGCAAGGCGCTGGTATCTGGTTTTTTCATGCAAGTCGCAAAGAAGGACGGCACGGGCAAAACGTACATGACTATCAAGGATAATCAAGCCGTCATTTTACATCCCAGCACCGTGTTGAGCCAGGATGCGGAGTGGGTAATATACAATGAGTTTGTCCTTACAACAAAGCAGTTTATCAGGACAGTCACTGCTGTCAAGGGCGAGTGGCTTCTCGTAAGTTTCGAGTTCTGTTCCGTGGGGAATTACGCGCTGACAGATCTAGGATATTGCACCCAACTATTACGATATTGAGCAGTTCAAGAAAGGTGAAGCGAGGACCGCCTTACAGCGTATCCAGGACAAGATGAAGAGGAGAGACGCCATGCACAAGTCCAAGGGCGGCAGAGCTTGAGGCGCACTACTGTAGGTAAATACTGTATAGATACTTGATTGGGCGTCACCTCTGGTCTCCGACTAGATTTGCAGACTTATATAGAAAGCAAGGCACGACTCATGGGTCCACTGTCGTAACGCAGGATCATCTTTTTGTCGAGTTCGAATACCATGTGATGAAATCTGACCTGAGTAGTATATAATCATAGTAATTCGCCGAATACATGTGAGGTTCCCTTTCCATCACTCGTCGGTGATGCGACCCTTAAGACTTTAGAACAGCTAGGCATCTAGTACGTTGGCTCAGGCGTTGTAGTAAAGCTCACTATCTCGTCCAACGTGGTCTTCGGGTCCTGGTGGACATCTGCAGCAAGGAAGCCTCGCGCGATCTGTTCCTGGGACAGATCAGCTTGTCAGCATGAGACAGGCTCTTTCAATGATCACTTACAGCATCTTCGAGCTCTTTAATTTCTGTCTTAGGCATTTTCGAGCATTCGGCCACTAGATCAGCTCCTTTTGCAGCTAAAACGATCAAAGTCTCTGCTCTTCGCACAATTACTGGCGGTATCCCATACAGGGCGGCACATATCGTACCAAAACTACTAATACTTTTACCTTCGCGGAAATTGTATAGGTACGTGATCTGATTTCCAACCTCCAGAGCCTCTTTGTCGACACGGATTTGGAGATGGCCGAATGCTACCGACGGCTGAGGTCCAATAAACCCATTTTCGAAAAGCTCGTGGAAGTGAGTTGCTACAATGACCTTCGGACACTCATCACCAAGGCTAATGAGATGATCCAAGACGCCGCACATTAAACCAGCGCCATCGCTTGAATTGGTGCCTTTACCGAATTCATCTATCACAAGTAGGCTGCGGTTTGTAGCCATGTTTAAGGATTGCGAAACTTGTTGAAGATCAATCGCGAATGCGCTTTGCATTTTTGACACTGATTCTCGTGTACTGATTCGTGTAAGAATTTTGTCTGTCAGGCCGATCTGTGCACTCTCTGCGGGCACGAAGCTACCAATATGGGCCATGAAAACAATCAATGCTGTTTGTTTCAAGTAGACACTTTTACCAGAGTAGTTCGGGCCTGTCATTATGAGTATTCTTGGGGCATGAGACGCTTCGAGTCCCGTATTTCTTATAGTCGAATTCGCAGTTTCAGTTTCTCGCAAAGCTGCCAGTGAATCATCATGCGCATGATGTTGATGTGGTATGCTTCCTCTACCTCCAAGTATATATGCGCTGTTTGTCACATATGAAGGTACCGTAAGCTCCTGGAGTAGATGTCTGCCCTTCTGAATATGAATGACATTGTCCTCTTTTACTTTTGGCCGTACGAGCTTGTATTGAATCGCGCCCTGAGCGAGTGCGGACAAGCAATCGATTTCACCGCATAAATCGGATGCTGTACTGAGGATAGCCTCGTACTCCAACACATACTGAGCAAGTTCATGTATGATCTCAATTTCTCGATCACAAATCAACCCATGTATATCGCCAAAATGATTGTCCATCTCTTCCATATTGGTGTTTTTGTAGTAGACTGTAGCCTCGGTGACAAATATTCTTTCCCATACATCATCGGCAGCTCCTTCGTATGCGCCTGCACCTGTCTCTGCATCCAATGGTACCGCTATCAGAAATCCGATCTGAGGGAAGAACACCACGTTGAGCTGGACCTCCAGATCCGGTGGCATCTTCTGAGCCAAATATCGTGCCACTTCACCGAGTATCGACTCAATACCATAGTAAGTTCTCTTCAAATTGTCCAGCTCCTCATCAACACCAGCATGGACTACCGTCCTGTGTTCTTCAGCAGACGTTTCGAAGTCGACAATTTCCGTAATCCTCCGACCGACTTGAGCGAAGTGATGCGGTTCAAACTTCTCGAGAACTTTGTGTCTGATCACAAGGCAGTCCGATCCATTAATCTCAAGTAAAACGTCCTTGATCTTGAGAGCGTGAAAGACAAACTGGCGAATACTTATCCATACATTCCGACCGATGCCGCTACTTTTATTCGATGTACCACTTACACCTTTCCGCAGACTAATGATTACCATACGCATATTCTTGATAGCTTTGAGATGTGAAACTAGGTTATCAAGGACAGTGGCGTTCTCTGGTCGAGTGAGCACACCTATAGTCCTCAATCGCTCATTGATGACCTCCAAGTTCAAACTCGGTCTAAGGAACTGCTGACGCAACAATGTCTTTCCCTGGGGTGTCCTCGCTAGATGGTGAAACAACCCGTATATGGAAAGACCTTCTTTGGATCCTGAATTCTTCGGTCCTTGGTTGTGGGAATGAGGATGAAATTCAGCTTGCAGGACTTGGAGCGACCGCAGTGTGTTCGAGTTCACAAACCTGGTAGTGCTGTGAGCTGATAGGGTCAACAGTGGAGGATAGGGGAGCTTACATTGATTCCTTCAAGCTGACTGTTTCCACCCTAGCTATCCGAAACATACCATATGCAGCGGTATCCCCAGGTAGATAACTTGCAGCTCTCCTCCGCTGAAGGTAGGCTATAAGTGCGCCAGCGCAGCCGACCTTCTCATATCAGCATAGCACGATAGTGGAGCGACAAATTGTGATACCGTGAGTCGACTGTCAATGTCCATCCACGTGGATAGTCTGAGGACCTGGCCTTGTCTCCCAGAGGACCCGACATGACGACAGTCATTAGTATCAACACCAATATCCACAGGTGTCGTAAAATCCATTCGCGGCCCATCACCATGTTGGAGGCTGAGTGCTACAAGCTTGCTCTTTGCGGCTTCATATTTGAACTCGCTTGAAGGCCTCAATTCAAAGAGATATGGTAATCGGCGGATCGAGCCTACAAAGGATTAGAGTCTGCGTCGTGTTTCTCGGCGCATGGTGTATAGTACCATCGAGTTCGGATGCCTCTGCTTCGGGCTCAGGGTTCAACAGATCTATGACCGAGTCGTCGATTGAGGTCGGTATCAACACAACCGTCGGTTGGACGAAGAGCTTCACTGGGCGTGCATCAGCCTTAAGCGAATCCAATCAATGATATCGAAAGCTTGAGCACCTACAAGTATCGACCGCTTCGAGACCCCCAAGCAAAATATCCTCCGTGACATACAAAGTTTCGTCGCGAGCGATGTAGTATGCACACCCCACGGTGCCACGCTCGCGCATGTCCACCGACATCACCACCTCGTGCAGGGTATCTTCATCTCCACCAAACTCCTTATCGCCACACCCATCTTGCACGTAGGCTTCACTATGAATAGTCGCCAAGGTACGACTCGGTCGTGGTGCTGGAGACTGAATAGTGACGCGACGACAGACGCGTTCTGGGGTCGTGCTCGATGTTGGCAAGCACGTTGACATCGCGATCGAGCTCTGTCGAGCTCGGCTAGAAGACGATGGCAGTGAGTTCTGACGCCGCCTGCCAGATGTTGATCTGGGCTTCCGAGGCCAGCTTTTCTGCGAAGGCACCTTGCTAGACATGCTGAGCAAGATCCTCTTTTAACACGTACAATGCAGGTATGTACTCGAGTATTGTTTATTGGCGATCTTCCGAGGTTCAGAAATTACAAAGTGTAGTCGACCGTTTTAAGAAAGCACTCCGCTGTGCGGAGCGATAGGTACCGTGCAGATAATCTGCCAGAGAGCCAACTACCTACGTAGGTCAAAAACGTGATGATCGGTCTATGATGCAGACCTTTAGAATATAAGAAGTGTGGACGGAGAAGTATCTTCTAATACATATTCTGGTGTATTAAAGTATAGCGCAGTGTGCTTAGGACGGAAGTCCTTTCAATGCGTCATCAGGAATACCAAAGTGGAGTTTGGCATAGTATATATACAAGACTATATCAGATAAACATACCTGAGCATCATAAATTTTTATACAGTGCAGCCTAGATCACTTGTGACGAGTGATTAAGCACAACTAGTCCCTCACCCCCTTCTTTGATCGCGACTGTTGCTGTGTCTCCAGTCTTGACCTGACCGCGAATTATCTTATCCGCCAATCCATTACCAATCTCGCGTGCTATCAGGCGGTTGAGAGGTCGAGCACCGAATTTGGGATCATATCCACGTTCACAGAGCCAATCCTTAGCCTCATTCGGCACGTGTAGCGTGATACGCCTATCATCAAGTCTTGCCTGGAGCTCTTTTAGTCGGATCTCGGCGATGTCGCGTAGTGCGGAGCGTGACAGTCTTCTAAATACTATAAACTCATCAATGCGATTAAGGAATTCTGGTGGGTAATTTGACGCAACCACATCCATGACCGCGGCTTTGACTTCTGGTGAAATCTCTCCATCTTCTTTGAGCTTGCGGCTATGAATTGCGTCATCCCCAAGAATAATCTTAGCGCCCAAATTTGATGTGAGCACGATCATTGTATTGCGAAAATCGATTTTATGCCCCTGCGCATCTGTGAGAAAACCTTCATCCAACACTTGGAGCAACAAGGCTGAGATGTCGCGGTGGGCCTTCTCAAATTCATCAAACAGAAGGACGGCGTATGGCTTACGTCGAACTGCTTCTGTCAGTTGACCAGCGTCTTCGTATCCAACATAGCCAGCAGGAGAGCCAATCAGTCTGCTGACAGTATGTTTCTCCTGAAATTCGCTCATGTCAAAACGGATGACTGCTGACTCAGTGCTGAACAAGAAATTTGCCATCTTTTTGCACAGTTCAGTCTTGCCCACACCAGTAGGTCCGAGGAACATGAAGCTAGCCAAGGGTCGATTTTCTCCATTCAAGCCAGCACGTTGCATCCGGACTGCATTCGCAACAGCGGCCAAGGCTTCATCCTGACCACGTACCGATTGTCGTAAGGTATCCTCCATATTGATGAGCTTTTCGACTTCGCCACTCATCAACTTGGTTACCGGGATCCCCGTCATCCGTGAAACTACGGTAGCAATATCGTCCGATGATACTGAATCATGTATAAGAGAATCGGGGCCCTTTCTTGCGGACTCCGCGCCCTCTTTGGGCAGCTTGTCCTCCAACGCAGGGATTCGAGAGTACCTCAGTTCTCCTGCCTTCGCAAAATTCCCCTCACGTTGCGCCTCCTCAAGCTCTTGCCTGGCTTGTTCGAGTTCGGCTTGTGTCTGTTTGAGGTCGGCAATCTCTTTCCGCTCTTGTTCCCACTTCTCTGAAAGCTTTGCTACTTCGTCTTGTTTAGACTTCAGCTTCTCCTCAAGTTTTTCACGCCGCTCTTTACTGGCGATATCAGTTTCTTTCCTGAGCGATTCCAATTCGATCTGGATAGTCATGATCTGTCTATCGAGTTCCTGTATGGTGTCTGGTTTGCTTTCTTGCTGAAGACGTAATGCAGACGCAGCTTCATCAACTAAATCGATCGCTTTGTCTGGTAAGAACCGGTCGGTGATGTAGCGATTACTATAAGTTGCGGCGGCAACAAGGGCCCCGTCCGTAATTCTCACACCATGATGTACTTCGTATCGTTCTTTGATGCCTCGAAGTATGGAGACAGTATCTTGCACGGTGGGTTCCCCAACTTGAATAGGTTGAAATCTGCGTGCAAGCGCAACATCCTTCTCAATCAGACGGTACTCGTTGAGCGTCGTTGCTCCACAGCATTGGAGCTCGCCGCGAGATAGCATAGGTTTGAGGAGATTGCTTGCGTCAATACTGCCTTCGGTCTTTCCAAGGCCTAGAAGAGTATGTAGCTCGTCAACAAAGAGGATAACGTCTCCTTTGGCCTCCTCGACCTCCTTCAGCACTTTCTTCAAACGTTCCTCGAAGTCACCGCGGAACTTCGCTCCTGCTATTAGCTGTCCGAGGTCTAGTGATATGACACGTTTGTTCTTCATGCTTTCAGGAACGTCTCCTTTCACTATCCTTTGCGCCAAACCCTCTAGAATAGCAGTCTTTCCAGTGCCAGCGGCACCAATGAGGACCGGATTATTCTTCGTTCTGCGGCTCAAGACTTGCAGCGTGCGGTGAATCTCTCCATCTCTTCCAATTACGGGATCGAGGCGGCCATTTTTCGCGCGCGCTGTGAGGTCGACACCGTACGTCTCCAGCGCCGATTTCTCATCTTCACCATCCAGATTCATGCGGTGCGTGCCGCCTGGAGGATGAGGGTGACCGTTCGCATAGCCTCGCCATGGTGTTCGTGGCGTGTTCAGCGGGTGTGTTGAATGTGTTAAAGGTTCTCGCAGGGAAAGTATAGGTTGAGGTGTTCGAGTGAGACTCCGGATGGAACTGGAGAGACGCAATGCGCCTCGCGCCCGGAATAACTGCATTTGGTGTGGCATCCAACTAAAGAAGACTTTTGCAGTGAGCTGATAGAGACGGAGACCTACTATGTATACGTAGAATCAGCGCGACGCGCACCGCATAGAGCCGTCCTGCCATGACGTTCGAGTTGCTTCTCGAAAAGTCCTCGGTCGAGCTTAGGGCGACAGCTGTGACGCTAGCGCGACAGGGACATAATTTTGTACTATGCGTGTCCGAAGCACAGAATTGTGCCATGAAGATAAAATCGACTGGAGAATGGAGGGCACGCATTCATCACATCTTTAGGTACTGACTCGGTTTGAGTCTACATCTTGGACCTGGAATGTATGATACAAATGTCGTCCCAAACATGACACTGTTTGTTCCTAAAGATTTGCGCCGTAAATTTGGCTTGGGTGGAAATGATGGCTGGCTGGTCCAAAGCGGCATAGCGGCGGATGCAAAGCCTTGACTCCACCTCAAATTTCACCAAGAGACGATTTTTCCGTTCCTCTACAACATCCCTCTCGACTTCGACCACAAGTTCTTTCAACCCCACCACATATCCCACTCTCAACTACCAGAGTCTACTGCCCCCTTCCACATTATACATATCTCACTCTTCCAAGAATGGGTTTCACCGACTTCGTCTCCGATGCTGGCTTGACTCGTTCGTACCCCGCGCTGGATCTGCCTTCAGACGACAGTCTCTGACCTCGACCACAGTGCTCAACACCTGGCTGGCAAGCCGTAGTTACATCATCGGGTACGTAGGATGAATGTCCCTATACTTTTTATCATTTCCTTTTGCTTCTATGATGAAAAGAAATTGGTCCGTGTTTAAGAGCGGCTTAAGACCCCGCGAATGACTACATCCAATGCGCTCGTCGCACCTCTGATCTCCTTACCTTCGAAATCGATACAAATGATCACTTCAATTGAGATCTATAGCTAAATGACCATAGACATGCACCTACTCAAGCCGATGTGAAGGTCTTCGAGGCCTTCAAGGAAAAGCCCGCAGTTGAGAAGTACCCTCACGCCGCCCGCTGGTATAAGCACATCGCCACGTACGAGTCTGAGTTTACTTCGCTGCCAGGCGACCCATCCAAGGCTGCAACTGCGTACGGCCCCGAGGTTTCCACCCTGCCCATCCAGCCCAAGGCTCCCGCTGATGATGCGGCTGCTGCTGAGGATGATGATGAGGTTGATCTCTTTGGCAGCGAGTCTGAAGAAGATGAGGAGAAGCAAGCAGAGACTGCTCGCAGATTAGAGGAGTACAAGAAGAAGAAGGAAGGCAAGACCAAGCCTGCTGCCAAGTCGATCGTTACAATGGAAGTCAAGCCATGGGGTACGTCATAAATATATGTTGGCCGCGGTGAACGAATATTAACTAGCAGATTAGATGATGAGACCGATCTGAAAGCCATGGAGGCGGCAGTGCGAGCCATCGAACAGGATGGACTCGTCTGGGGTGGGAGCAAACTTCAACCCGTCGGCTTCGGTATTTTCAAGCTCCAAATCAACTTGGTCGTGGAGGACGAGAAGGTTTCTCTTGAAGACCTCCAGGAGAGTATCTCCGAGCTCGAGGACTACGTCCAGTCCACCGATGTTGTAAGTTTCACCACACAAGTTGCTTATCGTGGTCTCGTATTGATCGGCTGTTATAGATTGCCATGCAGAAATTGTAGAGCGTATATAGGATGTGCGCTGGCAATACCGCTCACCGCATGGTGTCATATGATTTACGATGAGGATGCATGGAACCGGAGGCCATATATGACTATGGGCATGAAAACGGATGGAAACGTTGATAGACTACGAACGCATTATATGGCTGGATGAAGCCGTTGAGGAACATGAATGATACCAAGTGAACTGTCATTTCCCATATCCGTGCCAGAAAGTGCCAGTCATGAATTCGATCTTTTTAAAGTCAAATCGCATTTGGCGAAACGACTGATGTGAACATCAAGGTCATCGACACATGCACAGCGATGCCCTGATTGGCCACAGCTTTGCGGGGGGTCCACTTTCGATTCCCAGCTTGTCAACATCCACACGCCGCAGAGTTTCATCCACAAAGGCTCACAACAGCGCCTACGGACCATTGACATAACTTCTGCTGCGTCCTGTCAAGATGAGTTTCGTATCCACGATACTAAACGCCGTTGGCCTCATCTTCCTCACACACGCGTAAGCTTCTCAGAGTAATATCGTCGTAACCAGCTTCTCACCAAGCACCAGTGTCTACTCTGCCCACGAGCACACTGCGCTCAGCAGCACATCGCAAAGCAGCGCCTCCGGAACGCCCGCAAATCCTGCCTCGTCTCTCCCTCTAGATATCGTCATCGAGCTGCTGGTAGCCGTCGTGGTGCTCTCGATCGGAATTGTGCTGTCGAGCACGCCGCTCAAGCCGATACAATGGAATAAATGGGCAGGAGCGATTGAGAAGAATGGGAGGAAAGAGAATCCTTATAGGATACTGGAGGAGCGGGTAGGGTTCTGGGACGTTAGGGTTAGTAGGATTCTGCAACGATGATGCTCTGGGGCGGCGAGGACGTTTTACTGATTATGGTGTTTAGAGCTAAGAGAAAAGAGTTTGCGGACTGGGTGAGACAGGGTGGGCAGTGAGTCTCATGGATGGATGGGATATGTTGCTAAATGTAAGCATATTACAGTCTAATGAGTAATGAGCACTCAAGCTAACACGAAGACCATGCAGAGCGCGCCCCAGATAGACAAGATGAATCGAATTAATGGACTGATTTTCAGTCATGACGCCTAACGAACTGCGTTATATGCCGAGCTTACAAAATAGACAAACCCAGATGAACTCCCAACGCCCAATCCCTTTTCTCGTTCGCATTCATTTTCTTGTGTACGTCCATTTTCTCGTTGGCATCACTTTTCTCATACGTTCGCCGGACGCTCTGTCAATCTGTTCCTATTCTCGCCGCGACCATTCTTCCACATGTTCAGATTCGTGCACGAAAGCCCTCACAACGCAACCCGACATGCCCCAGTCCTACACTCCCTCCCGCTTTCAACACCCTCCGGCACACTCACCTCATCATCCCTCCCTCCAATCTTCCTCCCACTAACCCACCAGGCCGCAGCACTCACAATCTCCACCAGAACCCTTACATCTTCCTCCTCACGCGGGGCATACACCATCATAAACTCCCGTGGCACAAATCTCCTCATCCACCCTCCCTGGGCAAGTGGATGCCTTTCGCCCCAGCCGGCCTCAAGCACAATCTTCGCGTCTGCGGGGTGCAAGCTCAGATGCATGCTTCCATCCGAAGGGTGCAGATGGCACACTTCCCCACGACACGTCCGCACAATAGGCGCCAGACTGAACAGTCCTGTCCCGTGTTTCTCGAAGCAACTCGTGCCCTGGACGAGATGATTCGCGGGGTCCTTTGCCAGGCTCTTCAGTACATCACTGAATAGTGCGTACATGCCCGGCGTGATGCGCTGTGTTGTTTGTCGATGGGGTGCAATGCCTGCGACACGCGGTCTCGGCGCACCACGCTTTGGTAGTGCGGACAGTACGCCGGGCGTAAAGTGCGGGTGGACGAATGCTGGAGCGTACGGATCGCGCAGTGCAAAGAGGCTGAGGAAGCGGATTTTCAGATAGCCGTAGGGCGTGCTGGGGGTGCCGCCGGGGCCGAGCGAGGTAAAGGCCGTGTAGTCGTTCACGATGATGTACATTGGCGGGATGAGTGTCAGCAAGAGGAGAGACTTGAGGAGGGTGAGGAGTGGCGTGGAAGAGGCCTCAATGGAGAAGGAGTTTGGATCATGAGTATCGAAATCCATTTTCTCTCTGTGTGTGTGTATGTTCGTCTCGTATCGACAAATCGTGCGTGAGGTGGCCTGTCTGCGGTGTTTGTGTGTGTGTGTGTGGATTGATGTCAATTGCTGGGGTCTGGGATTGACTGGACGTGAGATCAGGCGAGGTCTTTTGGAACCGGAAGGAGAATATCGAGGAACTCGTTTTTTTTAAGGTTTTTTAAGCCTGGCTCGGGTACCTGAGAGTGGATGCAGGCGGAACGAAGCTGTTTGAGATTGAGGTTTTGGAGAGGGCGAACAGAATTGGAAGCTTTGACAGTAACAACAATCACAATGCTGATGATGATGATGATGATGATGATGCTGCTGCTACAGCCCTTGTAACGCCAACACACGTCAACTGCAACCGACAACAACAACGACAGCAACAACAACGACGACGCGTATCTGAACGTCCTTCTCTTCTTGAATGATACCCAACCTCGCTCAATCGATTGACAACATTGCAACCAAACCAGCCAGAGTCCCATATCACTCACCTCTTTAAATACCCGCCCAAGCAACTTGCCCCTCCCCTTAAAAAACTTCCCCACGTGTCGACCCTGCTGCGTGGGTGTGCGTGACCACCAACCCCCTCCCTCTCCCAATAGATCTTCACCCTCTCAGCTCGCGAGACAACTCCGGCGCCCATTCCCGCAATTGCCAAAGGACAATAAAGTTCGAAAATCGCAGTCCCTTCAGCCAATCAGCAGCCTTCACATTTCACACACAAGAACGCGCGTTGCTAGCGCGCAGGTACGTACAGCCAGCCAGCTCAGAGGAATACCTGCACGCTTGGCTGCACCTGCAGCAGCAAAAGGAAGCCTATTGCCGAGACATTGCTGCTGTGCTGGAGCGCGACGAGAGGGGACACATCATGGGGTGCGGCTCGGCAAGGAAGCAGTGATTGGAGAAGTTGGGCCCGGAGAGCTGGGAGATTCCGGTGCTGCTCGTAACGTGTGAGGTGGGAAGAGTGGGATGTGCGGATTGAGAGTGAGAGGTGCATGGTATGGGTGTGTGGCTGGCTGGGGAGAGCACGCGACATCGGAGTCAGCGCGGTTGGGCGTTCGCCTTGGGATGTACACGAGATAGCAGATAGACAGCTGGATTATAGAGTTTTGTACGAATGTTCGACTCCGACATACGGCAACGCAGAAGCACGAATTGACCGACCCGTGTCTTGGGCGTGTCCTCGATATCTCAACAAGTAGTACATGCAATACCAACAGTAACAACTCTAGGGTATCATTTGCCGCACGTCCCTCTTTCGCGTGTGGTATATATCCTTTTCCCCGCTTCTTAAGCTACTTTACACGGCGTAAAACCATAGCCGCACCAGTGAAGTCAAAGCAAAAACGCCGTCATGGGATATCTCAGCCTCGTGCGATGCATTCGAGGACAACGACATTGTAAAAGATTGTGCTGCAGATAATAGTGTTTCATGGCTGCGGGGGCCTGTAGGGTATAAACCGGCCTCCCTGTGTCTGACCACTGGTCGGTCCTACTGGTCCCTGGGGCTGAGGATGGCTCTGAGACTGGGTGACTTCACCCTCTTGTACTGGCTGAAGCGATCCACCACCGAAATGTGCCGCATGTGCGCCCTTGATTCTCAGATCGTCTTGTGGAACTTCAACGTTCATAGATGATATCGATACTGGAGAGCTTGGGAAGTTGCCTGTGCCGACTGCTGGCGAAATCGAAGAACCGCTGGGTGTTTCGGAATTGCGAGAAGCATTTCCAGGTGCAAGGTTGTTCTTCGACTGTCGAGCAAACGAGTTTGGCGGTTGTGCTGGCGATCCTTCAAGCTCAGAGTGTGTCTGCGATGGACTATTCTCGGGCAGCTCCGTAAAGTTTGAAATGGGCCTGCTGTCAATCTCTACAGGATTACCCTGAGAACCGGTCGGAAGTACATTGGCATACTTCGCATCTGCAGTGATCTCTGTGGGTGATGTCGTCTCGGTGGAAGTTTTGCCAGGTTTTGAAAGCGTTGCGGCAAATGGGTTGCTGGTATTACCGGTGTCGCTACGCCCAGCCTGTTGTTGTCGTCGACGACGCCACAGAAAGAACAGAATGCCGGCAATTGCGATGAGACCCAATGGAATACCGACTGCCAAACCAACTATCATGCCGGTATTAGAGGATCCACCAGAGTCGTCATTATTGGTTGGTGTGTCGGTTGAAGCCGGAGTGAGAACAGTGGTTCGCACGATTGTTACGGGACCATTACTACCCGTCTCAATTGAAGTGAATTCAGAGACTACAGGTGTACCAGCTGCAGTTACATCTGATGTAGGTGCAGGCGAAGAGGGAGGATTCGAAGTAGGTCTTGTAGAACCTCCATTCGACGAACGGACCGAGGACTGAGCCGAGGAGGGACTACCGTCAGTAAAGGAAGATGGACCAGCAAGAGAAGTAGCCTTGGCGACGCCATTCGTGCTCAAGACCGTTGCGAATACGTTTCCAGCCGAGAGGTTATCCACAAACTCGAAACCCTGGTCTGTACAGCAGTTTCCGGCTTGTCTGTTCTTGTCACAACAATAGCGACCATCATTGCAAGCCAGAATGGCCTCGTTTCCAATAGCTGTGTTGTCTGGTGAAGGTCAATTAGCAGCTGGTCGAGTGACACGAGAGGCAAGGCAGGTAGAATCACCGTATGTGCAGTAGTTGTTCGCACAGCCAGCACCAAAATCACCATTGGTACAGGAATAGCGACCTAGGATTTTCGCAGCAGGATTGTAGCAGAGGCCATTATCGAGACACTGCCATTGAAGCGGACAGCATACCACATTATCGCCAGTACCACATGCGAAAGAGTCTCCTGCTTTGTCGCCGTTGGGGTAGTAACAGGTTTGCGCGTCAACAGCAATTATCAGAACAAAGGCTACGACATAGCGAGCGATGGGCGATTTGAAGGACAGTTGAGAGCGCATCGCGAGGGTATGCCAGGCCAGAGTGCGCCTGAATTGCAGACGCGACGCTGGAGGCGACGTATAAAGAATGAAAGGATGGAGGAAGAATGAAGGTGGGTATAATAAGGTGGACCGCACACCCACAGTAATTAGAAGATGATAAAGATAGACGACGAGTGGCGGTCCCCAGATAGCAAGACTGGGATGTCTGTGTGGGTACAACGATGTGAAGTGTGGCGTGTGGTTTCACAGCCAGGTTGGATGGTGACAATGGTGGTGATGGTGACGGCGGCGGTGCAGATGAGGGAATTCAATTGGAAACTTCCTCAAGCAAGGGGGAGTCCAGAGTTACATCCTTGGAGGTTGGACGGGGGGCAGTGACGCTACAAAAAGGCACAAGCAGAAGCACAAGCACAAGCAGTCAACCATCAATTGCCGTGGCACAAACAATCATCTGCTTGATGCTATTAGTCCATGCCATCATACCTCATCACACTACCATAGCCTAGGTATCGTCAACAAACTTATCTCATTATGGTTACGCTGCCAATTGAGGCGTGACTCTCAGGCTCTGTGGGAGAAAAGCAGGTGTGGTCGGCCGAGGCTATCACGACGGTGTGCCCTACACCTACAGTACACGAACTGTTCTGCCGTCCCGCGAGGAGCCGCGATACCGCAATACCGCAATAATTACTGCAATACTGCAATACGCCCATACGTAATTATGGACTCGTCGGAAAGGAAGAGGGATAAGCTTTTTGGCGTTTGAAACGGTGGAGACGCCAGCTGGCAAACAAACCGGTCTGATTCGCAGAGCTTGAAAAGGGGAGGAGAAGTGGCAGCCAAGTAACGCCCCAGCCCAGTGCTACTGTGCCAGCCTGTGGTCCTGTCCCTGCACACTAATTTGCGCCTTTTTCTGGCCCGTCCTGGCTAAGCGGGCCCCCGCATTCTCAGTTAGCAATCATCATGATATAATTACTATGTATAGCATTCATTCCACCTCCTATCCTGCACCATTCATTACTTATCTTCTTGACTTTGACCACCGCAACACCTCCATTACAATCATTGTCTTTTTGGTCGCCATACCGCCAATGGAAATATCAAAACACAGCCCACGTTGATACTTTCATGCTTTCTCTCCGAATCTCTTTCTCCTTGTCGTCATGTTCAAACTGCCTCCTCCTTGGTCAACTCCTTTATCGCTTCAAGAAGCTTGCGATCCTTTTGCAGTCCAGCAATCTCCTTCGCCTGGTCCTCATAACTTTCTTTGACTCCTTTGAATTCCATTTTCACATCCGACAAATGCGTCGTCAATTCCGCGTTCACTCTTCTCAGCTCTGCCACTAGAGCGTTCTCCACTCCTTTCCTGTGTTGGCTGACTGTCATCACGAGTTTCTCTCTCTGCATTTCCACCTTCTTCTTCTCGGTGCGGAGCTGGTCGATGGTGCACTGCATCATTCGCAACATTTCGGTCTGTGTTGAGGCCTTTGTTTTCCAAACAGTGATCGTCCTTTCTAATTCCAACTCTCGCTTTTCCGACCGCTCCAGATACGCTGTAGATACCGTCATCAGGCCCAGTGCCGGTTCGTCGGTGCTTGGACAGTGACTTGGTTTTGGCCTCTTCGCAGGAGGAGCATGGTGAGCCTCGAAGCGTCTCGCTGGAATTTGCAAGTCTAGCTGTCGATCCATTTCCAATCTCCTAGACCCCATGAGCATTGGAGCTGCTGATGCACATTCAGGTTTTATTAGGACAGGCAGACGAAAGATATTTATATGGGTATGTCGATCCAGAGAACTCACTTGGCTTCCTATTCTCGACTTGGTCCATAATCGGACTCCCCTTTCCTTGTACCAGCTGGTTGGTGTTGGCAGCTACATTTAAGATCTGGCCCGGAAGTGGACGGCAGAAGCTCAACAGGTCCACTGATGGCTCATCGTCGTCATCTTCCAACTTGATATCGTCTCTCTTGCGCTTGTCCACCGACGGGGTTTCATTCAACTTGGACATGCTGCTCACAGCCGTCTCTAGAATCGCAAACGCAACGAGTTGGAGACGAAATAAGGGTGGGAACTCAGTTCGAATAGGTAGAGAGTCTGCTTGTGGATTCACCAGCCAGCTCAAGCTCATATGGTAAATACTTTTGTTGCTTTGAAGCATCAGGGTCAAGTCCGAGCTTCAGCTAGCGCGATAAGAAAGTGATTCGCGTCGCGTCCTCATCTTCAGATGTCAAGCGTAAGAACCTGACTCTCCTTGCTTGTGCAAATCTCCTCTAATCGATATTTTTCAATGACTCCAAATACAATGACAGTAGTGTGATGTCCGCGATCATGTGTACACCACAACAGCGCTTCTCCCAAGCTTTTCCTATACCAAGTCAAAGCTAAACATACAACATTCCATATGTAAACGTAGCTCTCAATAGTATGTGTTTTTTCAACCTTGATTGTATCTTAGTCACTACAGATTATGGTAACGAAGGTCCAACTCTTTATGAAGTATCAGAAGAATTATTACCATACTATTCAATAGAAGTGATGGATGCCTAATGGTGTTGAGCGAGGTACATCTTCTAGGGCGTTCCACGAACTTCGCCGCGACAAGCGCGACACACGTCCTGCAGGAAGGCATCAGTACCTCATCAACAACTCTCAAGACAAAAAATCGCAATTAAGCATGCTGTAACATAATTATGACCTCAACACAGCAAGAAAGTAGCAGTTCCCATGCAATTGTTACTATGACACATGCACCTCCTCCTCCACCACCTCCTCTTCCCCCTACGAAAGCTGTGAAATCATCAGATACAATAATTTCACTGCCCAAGCCTCGTCCTATGCCTCCTCAGGCTTACAATGGACCTCTCGTCGACAACGTCCGCTACATGGCCGCGAATACAAGCGCATTAGATAGACCATTCCAGCCCTGCTATATGTTCTTCTATGGCTCACTTATGGATCCTGAAGTCATCCAAGCAGTCCTCAGCCTAGCAGACCTTCCGACAACGAGATCCGCCACTATCTCCGGCTTTCAGATCAAAATGTGGGGTATATATCCAGCTTTAGTACCCAGCACATCTGGAGCAGTCACTGGCGTTGTATGGAAGGTCGATTCAGAAAAACATTTTGAGCGTCTAGCTGCGTATGAGACCTCTGCATACGACTGGCTGGAGTGTGAGGCAATGTTGGGAGATGGTACTGTGCTGCCTAGATGTCGCACATTCTGTTGGGCTGGACGACCAGATAGCAATGAACTCGAAGAAGGTCATTTCGATCTGCAAAGATATCAAAGGTACTTCAAGCCATCTGTCACTAGGCGTCGATCGCCTGCACCTTGAGGATTCCCCGGTCTCATAAGCTACACCAACAATGAATCACAGGAGAGAAGATAACCATCAGTTATTTGGAGGCCATGATATTCCTCTTGTGCTCGTAGCGCACTCTTGTAAGATCTAGCTAAACCACCTCGAAGATAGCCCTAACTTTCGTGGGAAAAGAAGCATTGGGAAATAACAGCGTGACAGACGTTGGAAAAGACAGGTTTGGAGGGAACTGATTACAACTGTTCTCAATTCTCCGGTGGCTTCCCAACATTTCATCAATATAGGCGTAGTAGTCCTAGCCATTACACCATCATGATGCTAACAATTGAACCTCATCATCACAAGAACCTTCATCATCAGATTAACGCCTCACAGCTTTCCAACATATACTTCCAATTAAGACGACGAACTAATCAGATGTTCTTCATGCCTTCAAGATGGGCTGCAAGTTCGTCAAGCTCAGCTAGGATTGTATCAGCTCCGGTTATACCTTTCACTCCAGGTTCATAGGGTATTATTGCTTACCCTTTAACCATCTATTCCTGAGCTCCAGGTCATCGTTACGAGATTTTAGCTGCGCAATCTCTGCATGAAAGCTGCTAATCCGCTCTCGCATCTCGTCCAAATCTCTTCCGGGCAGACTCAAGTGGACTGCCAACTCTGCGCACTTTCTTTTCTTTACGTACTCCAGCTTATTTTCGAGCCTTGCGATCTCGTTATTGTGCCGCTTTACCAAATCGCTCACATGCGCAGGCATAGCTTCCTCTTCGAACTCCTGGAACGTTTGCTTTTGTTTCTGCGGGGTACCATGTCTCTTGGTCTCGGATTCCACGAATGGATCGCGTGAATGGCGCACTTCGCGGTCGTGGATAACAACACTGTTCCTCAGCCAGTCGTTCTCCTCGCGCTGAGCTTGAATCTGTCTGTGCAGCGATTGGATCGTCCTTCTATGCTCTGTGTCCCTCTTCGCAAGAGCGATCACTGCTTCTACGTTGTCCTCGAAACGCTTGATACATCTGGGGACATCGACTTCCGGTGTAGATGGGTTGCTTACTCCACGTGGCGGAGGGGTCGTGTTTCTGATCGCAGCAGTGCAAATGGCTTTCGTGCTTGACCTGCCCCTGAAGTCAGTGCTGGAGTCACCGATCGAGATTTCCCCTTGCTCAAACTCTACGTCCCCGTCATCAGAGCAATCTGGCCACGCCGATGATCGCCAAGAACCGCTCCCGTTAGACAATGCAGATGTGTGAGAGTTGCGAATCCTGGTTACATCTTCTTCGGCTACTGTATGGGCTGCGAATTCAGATGCGAAGTTGCTTGGCGAATCCTTGATACTGGTCGAGTGCTCGTCTGAGTCCAAGTCGGAATTGTCCTTCACACTGGAGGAGAAGGATGGAAGCTCCGGCTCGTCTGGTGGTTCGACAACAAGCTTCGAATCCGACTGGTCTTGGCGAGAGAATGTAATGTTGACATGTCTTCCCAAGGGGTCGACGTAATAGGCCATTGTTACGTTGCAACACTAGAACCTGGCAGGGGTGCAAAATCAGCCTCTAAAGTGCATGGAGTGTAAGATGTTCAATTAGCAAGAATGACTCGGGGAGACTGGTTGACTTACTCAAGATGATCTCTATCAACTAGGGTAAGTAAACAGGATAAGTGAATCGCCAGAAGTTTGAACAAGGAGGCCTTACTGGTGCTGGAAGACGATCGATGATAATGTTGCTCTGATTGTTGTTGAGCTCACCGCGATGAGCTAGCTCCAGGTTTGAGAAAGTCCGAGCTTGTTTGAGCAGGACGAAACTGTGAGATAGCACGCCGCGTCATGCTCTGGTTTGTATCAAACTGGGTACATTGAAGTGATTCCAACAATCGGGCAACAAAACAAGTGCACCAAGTTTCTACAACGCCAGATCCTTCTTTGGCAAACGATAAACTACCTGATGTGTCAAAGATTACTTTGCCGCAGTATTGTCATGAAGTAATTCGTTCTCAAGCCATCCCGGCACGGACCCTGCAGATATACAGATACGCGTCTTCACTGCCACAACACTCCATGTGCTTCTCACCATCACGTCCCGGAGAAGATAGTCTTTGCGTCGCGCTAAGGCGTCCGGGTCGTAGCGTAAAGAAGTCGAAGATATGCAGCAGCTCTGTCGTCATCAGAAGCTATAGCGATACATACCTTGAGACTGATAAGAACCTAGGTTTGATACGAAGTGTGAGAATATCCTGTGCAGAAGTATCCAAGGCGGCCCTTTGTTGGGTATCGTATTCTAGGGAGACATGCATGCGATTGACTGTGTAGATCAAGATTACATATCGTATGTGGTATGACTCGAAATAAATTTTTTACAATACATGTGAGGTACGTAGACTGTTTGCCCAAGTCTGCTGCCCCGGAAACAACCACGAGATCTGACCAAGCAAGTGCTTCTAGCTCCTTTCTGCGTTCATCATTGTCATTAACTAGGGTTCAGGGGGAAGGGCTCACGGTAGTTACGCTGCGCCGGTCCAGACTCATCCCTGAGGTACCGATCCCAGGACTTAAAGAGGCAGATGAACTTCCAAAGGTCTTGTGGTCGAATGCGCTGCTTTACTCCCACTTTTGATGGCACGATATTATTCGCGACTCTATTGATCATGTCCACCTCCAACTGGTCCAGCTTCGTGCTGGTTGCGAGGTTCAGACTCCGGCCGTCACGACTAAGACGAATGAACAGGTAGCTGTAGTGAATCTCATTGATCATGTCACTGTGCAGCTTCCGGGCGTACTCCCGCCGTATATCCTCGCATAGTCGTTCGTGGGGTCTCGTGCGCTGCAGCTCGCTGCTGCGACGAATGCGCGCCCGGTATGCCTTCGTACAGGCACACGGCTCTTCCAACTGGCCCAAGCGGAACTTGCCAAACGTCTTCCAGAATCTCCAGCTGCAGGCTTGGAACTCGACAGCGAAAGTGTTCAAGCGCAGAAAGAGGTATGTGATCTCCTCTCGAGCTTGGTTGTTGACTCGCGCGAACGTTGGGAGGCTGAAGGCGTAGAATAATGTCACATGAGACTGCTTGCGCGCTTTGTCGTCTTGGTCCATGGTGTAGATGTTGCGATTCGCGTTTCGGCTGTTCTTGCATAGGCGGGGACATTGGATAATGCCATCCAGATGCTTGTATATCATCTCCCGAAGCTCAAGAGGGAGACTGAATATTCGGAAATATTTGGGTTGCTCACAGGTAGCTCCGGCAGTGGCTGTCCTAGCCGCTCGGCGCTGCCTGTGAGATGGGTGGATATACAGCTGTTGCTCGGGTAGTTTGCGCTTGCTCCTGCGGCATTTGACAGCCTCAGGGCCTTCGACGGCGCTTTCGAATGGCTCAGGGCGTGTGAACGGCATGTGTGGAATGAGACAAAGATCAGAAATCGTGTATAATCTGGTGACATTCGCCCCTATAAGTACCACAAAGATGGAGATCGTCCAAGCACGCTGGACGCGTGAAGTAGAGTGTTTGGGTCCATCGCTTGACCAGGGTATAGCACTATGCATGCCAACAATCTCACGACTTTTCACCTTTGTTTGTTGAAAGGAAAAGCACACATGCCGCGACGATGGACACTGCAACTACAGTGAAGACCTGTAGTAGTAGTCAATACCAAGTCAGATTACAGGTAGAGTCGGCATTACAATCTCAGTTTTCCAGCCTGACTGGACTAGAGCCATGCGCTTGCTGTATCTCGTGACAGTCTTGACATAATTGGCAACACCAGACACCAGACATGCCAGCGCTAGTAGCCAGAAAACAATACCTAGAGGGAGGGCTATTCTTTTCTCTTAAAAACATGTGTTAGTATCGCCTTTAATACTCCTGTTTGAGTGCCGGCAGACGTACCAAGCTTAGACGGCTGCTGCTTCAAGTGAAATGACACCAGGATGGCGACCGATACAATTGCGAGGTAGACAGCGAGACGAAGCCAAGATAAAAATGCTTTTTACAAACGCTCATTAGTGAACTGCAGAGGTTTACTTCGATAGCGCTAGACGTACTTCTCTCATTTGCACAATGATCCCTGGCATCGGATGCATTGTTGTCGAAGAGCAGTGGGCCTAACAAAGGCCGCTTAGCGAAGACTTCCCCTCGATAGCTGTTATTCCTGATATATTTATGTCAGTAATGAGATCTATATGCACATTGTGATGAATGCTGACTGTTTGACCAGAACCGGCCGTCTTGTTAACAAACCGAACACGGGTTTGTAGGTCTCAATATCCGGGCCTGAGAAGACCTGAGTGCTTGACATGCTGATTGAACAAGTGAACAACCAAGGTCAATCACGAGCGTTGGACGGATGTTGGAGGTTAACGTTGACGTCGACTTTGTTTCCCCACATCTAGATGAATACCTAGCCAAATGCGGCAAAGTGGGCCGCATGGGTCTTGGCAGTTCGTCACTCCGAAAGAGCTCATAGCATAATTTCCATGACGTGACACCACTATCCATATACACTCCACCTTTGCATCGTTTCATGTTAAGAGATCGACGCACGGCCTTAGAGATGACTGTTGACAAATTGAACATTTTTGGCGGCAAGGAGCCATGGAACCCCTCTGACTGGACGGCAAGCGACGACCGTGTGCGCGGAGGCTCTTCCCAATCCTATTTTCACGCCAATGCATACGAACCTATAGCACGCTTCTACGGCGAGCTGGACTACAAGACTCTTGGTGGTGCTGGATTTGCTTCCCAACGTACTACTGGTGAGAATCGTTCGTGGGATCTGAGCTGCTACACCGGCATCGAATTGGACATTGAGAAAGCCGACACGAAGCGCTACACTTTCAATCTCAAGGACGAATTACTGGCAAGGGATCCAGAAAATGGACGAGAGCAGGCGAGTGTGTCGTATGAATACGACTTTGAAATTTCAGATGCTCAGGCGCAGGCGGAGAGCACTGTCATCTACATTCCGTTTGACAACCTGAATGCTACGTATCGTGGCAGGGAGAAGGAAGATGCACCGCCACTGAACACGACGAGTGTAAAGCGATTCAGTATCATGATGAGAAGCTTTTTCGCAACTCAAGAGGGGCCATTCTCTCTGTCTATCAGATCCATCTCTGCTGTGGCTAGGCGGAAAGATGGGGAGGATGCGCGGTCAATGGTCAGTGAGAAGGACACCGGCGTGTTGGTTCCACGGTCAGCAAAGTGGATGGTACGTTCTCAACTATCCTAACCCTGATGTTGCGATCGCTAACGAAGACGGAGCTGTAGCTTGCACCAGCAGACCATGGCAATTGGAGACAATTTGGTCAGTCTACGCTGGGGGTCATTGCCGGCATCACAGTCTTTGGATTTCTCGCGGTTGGTCTGCTGCACTTGACTGTGTGTAAGCGAGGCTGAAGGCTGTGCGTGACAAGCAGCGTGCCGTACAGCATGCTTTCAATGAAAATTTGTACAAAGTTGATATGCAACCTAAGAACGAAAAACTAAAATGGCAAAAGGGCAGATCATTTCTACATAATACTGAATTCTTTTCTTGACTCGAGATGTCCGTGCGCTTATCAGGTTCACAGGATTGGTTCCAATGCGGTCGGAGCCGCGATCCGCTTCAGGAACTCAAATCCACTATCCATTCTATTCGCTCAACTGGGTCATCAACATATGAGAGGGGCAATGTATGTCGCGCCAGAGCTGCAAGTCGAAAGCAACTGCGTACGCTCATCCTCAATCACCACAGCTTACCAGTTTTGGTCAAGAGAACGCACAAAGCTCGACCGAAAGCACTGATTGGATAAAACTCCTTTGTGGCCTCTAAGCTTGGACCTGAGTGAAGCCGAAAATGGCCAACGAGATCCACTCAACAAGAACAGATAGGTACCTGGAATGGAGAATACACGTGGCCGCCTGACAAACCTGCTGCTACATTGGAACCTGGATGACTCCCGAACGAGGAATATTAGCCCCGTCTATGGCAGTGGCAGTCCAATTTCAAATCGAAAGCCTATATTGATGCAGTCGATATACGTATCGCAATCGCGGTAGCTCCAATTAGCTTATCTGGATCAATACCCGGGAAATACACAAACATGGCGCCAAAGTAGAACCCATCAGCCATGTCCTGATCACCGGCAGGTCGGGACATCGGTCTTCGATAGAGGATTTTAGTGTCCGAAGCAGGCTTCCTATTGGCCAATGGTATTCACAAGCACTCCGTTCCCGCTCCGGCTCCATCGGGGTTTTTCGCAATCGCGATGTATTGTAGAGAGATCCATGACTTCGGTGGCGCGGTATCCTTTCCCTAAACACATTGCTCAGGTCCCTCTCGCTCTCTTTTATGTGGGCTGTGGGGCCGTCGATGCTACGCGAACTGGTAGGTGAGATTTGCTCTACGTGAAACGCAAATGCGCTGCGAGAGATTTTGCGGCTGTTTCTCCCAGCCTGGGCATGACGCTGCGACAAATTCCGACTCTGCTCAGCTTTCTCCGCATGCATGCATCATCTTCATTATCTTCCTTTGCCTATACTACTGCTGCTTTGCCTTTCCACTGGAATGTTTGCGGCGCTTTCCTTTAGCGATTTGCGAGATGCGACTTGCTCACAATTCTCCTTCACCAACCATATAGCGATCAGCAACCCTTTCGCGCGACTACTATAGTGCTCATTTAGCTTCTTGGTTGGCGCGATTCGCGACGGCTCGTAGAAAGTGGAGCTTACACACTAAATACTTACGCTTTATGTTCCCCCAATGCATTAGCATCATCCATCATTCTTAGTATTCTCAGTATCGTCAACTCAGCAACATTTTGAGGTAGAGAGTAGACGCCTGGTGTTTGCGGCTGCTAACAGATGCTTGGAAACAACAGCAACGTTGGAGATATAACATTATTCTGGAAATCGCCTGCACTATACACCCACCTTTTCAATTACGTAGTTCACATATAAGTAACGGGCACATCTACGATATCACTTGGCGCGACGCCAGTGGCGCCCCAATACAAGATGGACTCTTCACAGCAAATATCCGAGAAAGATCTCGAAAGAGGGAATTCAGGGAGTAAGATCTCACACTGGCGATTAGTCTGGGAGCAAGGCCTTGTCACCGACGAGGTGCGGAATGCATCATATAAGGGCAGCGGAACCGAAGACGATCCGTATCTAGTAGAATGGCTGGAGCACGATCCAAGAAACCCATTGTTATGGCCGTCATGGAAGAAATGGGTTATGGCGCTGACGATGGCGTTTGCGACACTGGCAGTGTCGTTCTGTTCAAGTGCTTATGCGGGAGGTATGTGCCATCTCATCGGACTCGATATTGAGAGAAGAGAAAGGCTGATTATTACAGGTGAGACGGAGATGGTTGTGGAGTTTGGGGCAAGCGAGGAGCTCGTGACTGCAGGACTGTCAGTTTTTGTCCTTGGGTTCGCCCTAGGTACGTCGTTGTATAACATCCAAATGAATTCTGCAGTAGTTGACGTTCACAGGACCTATGTTTTGGGGACCTCTTTCTGAGCTATACGGCCGCCAGTATCTTTACATTTTTACCTTTGGTGCATTCGCGGCGTTCAATGCGGGCTTCGCCGGCGCGCAAAACATCTGGACTGTTATCATCTGCCGCTTCTTCGCGGGATCCTTTGGGTCGTCGCCATTGACGAATGCCGGAGGTGTTATCGCAGATATGTTTCCGGCGAAAGAACGTGGCCTCGCCATGAGCGTGTTTTCCGTCGCTCCATTCATGGGCCCAGTCCTCGGGCCCATCATTGGAGGCTTTCTGGGCATGACGGAAGGCTGGCGGTGGATTGGCGGCTTAATGGCAATCTTCTCCGGCTTCATCTGGGTCGTCGGCAGTATCATCTCGCCTGAGACCTACTCCCCAGTTCTCCTCCGTCGCCGCGCCCAAAATCTGTCCAAGATCACAGGTAAGGTCTACGAATCGCGAGCCGATCATGACCGAGGCAAGGTCACCTTTGTCAAAGTCATGTCTACCTCCCTCAAGCGCCCCTGGATCCTACTCTTCAAGGAGCCCATCGTGCTCCTGCTCTCCGTCTACATGGCCATCATCTACGGCACGCTGTACATGCTCTTCGGCGCCTTCCCACAAGTATATCAGCTGGGCCGTGGCTGGTCGCAGGGTATCAGCGGTCTTGCATTCGTAGGTGTCGCCGTCGGCATGCTGATCGCCATGGTATACAACTTCTACGACAACGAGCGATACATCCAGGTAGTCGAAGCCGAGGGCGGCTTCGCACCGCCGGAAGCTCGTCTCCCACCAGTCATCATCGGCAGCTTTGCGTTGCCGATCGGCTTGTTCTGGTTCGCGTGGACAAATAGCCCTAATATACACTGGCTAGTGAGTATTGCGGCAGGTGTTCCGTTCGGATTCGGCATGGTGCTTGTGTTTATGTCTATCATGAACTATCTGATTGATGCATACACAATCTTTGCCGCGAGTGTGCTGGCGGCGAATTCGATCCTGCGGTCCTTATTCGGTGCGGCATTCCCGCTATTCACGACGCAGATGTTTAGACGTCTGGGAATACATTGGGCCAGCACAATACCCGCGTTTCTAGCATTGGCCTGCATGCCGTTCCCGTTCCTATTTTACAAGTACGGTGCAGCGATTCGCATGCGGTGCAAATATGCGGCAGAAGCAGATGCGTTCATGGAGAAGATTCGTGGTGATACGAATGACGGGAGAGGTGACGAGACAAATGACGAGACGAAATTTGAATCAAACGACGATTCAAATCCGGAACTGGATGCAGAAGATGCGGGTCGCCACTCATCGGTGGCGCTGGAGAAGGAAGAAGAGGCCGAGCAGGAGGCGATGGATTTTTCATACGGGGCTCGGACGGACGAGCTGGTATTGGCGCCCACCAGGACCGATTGCACGCGAGCGGATAGCAGGTCTGAAAGAAGGTCTCGAGAAGTTTACGATGAAAGCCCGTACGATATCGATCGGGTAAATACGAAGGAGAGCTTCAAAGATAAGAATAGCAGCTTAAGTCTGAGCACGACTAAGTCAAGAGACTCATCGAAAAGTCCGGCGAAAGAGAGGTGAGATAGAGGTATCATTGGTTTTGAAAGCATAGCGTCATCTCAATTGTAACGTAAATTGGCACGATTGTGTGCGGTGTGTACCCATCATATCTCGAGAAGTGCCCAGGTGCTGTCGTCAACAGTTGTATAGATCATGCCTGCAGCCAACAAGTCCTCGCCACCCTTGTACACATCTGCAGGATCCATTCTTGTCTCACTCGCAATGACCTGCACATGTAGGCCCTCGTTACTCTGCTGGCTAGTGGACAAGCACATAAAAACCTTCTTCGCGTTGGCGCTTAGTCCAGCCATAGATTGTCCACCACTTGCCATGTTCATATTAGTACCAGCCTGCGCGTCATATGTCCCATTTGTGCCTGTACTCTTCTGTCCTCCATTGAGGGGACCTCTTGTGTAGTGCAGGTGCACGGCTGTCGCCTCAAGCAGATGATAGGAGACTTCGTTATAGTCTGTTACTGGCCGTATGATGGTCGCACCGACATGGCGCTTGTTGTTAAAGGACTTCAGTTTTCCGTATACGCGCGCATACTTGTTCTCGGCTAGCTTTTTTTTTCCTGAGTTATCTGCCTCGCCGAAGGGGGTGGTGGCGTCTGCATCGACCCATTGCTTGACCTCAATCGTTCCCGTACCGTCGTCGAGCTTGTATGTAACATTGGTGGCTTGCGTCGAAATGTTGCGAATCTGGCCTACGAAGGTGAGCTATCCGGCGAGGCGATGAAATTAGTCTAGACCTCTTGAAAGTAGAATTCTCCGACGAGGCGAATTCAGGAGCGAGGATGGCCAAGTAAAGGTCCCGACGTGCTATGGGCGCATTATATCAATGACATACCTGTGATATTTCTGTGTCATCTATCTTAAAGTCTCCTTCTTGTGCTGATGGGGGCGCTTCATTTATCTGCTTGATTGTGACTGGCCGGAGTGTGTCTTTGCTACGGTCCTGTTCGCGATGCTGTCAACTCTCTCGTTTCTGGAACCACAGTGATATGATTCACATACACCTCTTCCAGCACTTGGGCTCTGACTTGAATCTCCAGGGATGAAGCCACCACCGCCTGCTCCTCCTTGCGCTCCATAAGATGTCGTCGAGTAGCCACCTTCGTAACCGCCACCGTAATCTGCAAGAGTTAGCTATATGATCAGAACCTCCTAGCGCATTGACTCACTCATGTTCTCGTTTTGCTGCTGAACAGATTAGAAGAGTGAAATGGACAGAATTGTAAGTTGCAAGTTGTAATGCTACATCAGAGCGCGGGGCTAATTGAAACGCGCCAAGGCAAAAGACGCGTTTCTTGCCTCAGAGCTGTCAGGTCAGCACGTGATGACGTACCGCAACTACTATCTCATTACCTAAATCGATAAGGCTAGCCTTGCTGACGATCAGTTTTCAACCACCAACAACCACCACTACGACACTCTATAAGCCTATTTCTTCCACACACACACAACCAAGCAAGTCTCCCATAGTGGGCGCAGTCCCCAAATATGCCTACTGATGACAATGATGAGCTCGAAGGCCTTGAAAGAGAAGCCAAGGAATTCGATAAGGTACGTCAGCCCCTCTCCATTGAGCTGCCAGAGCATATCACACGAGTTGAGAAACCATGCTGACCATTTCAGGATGCAGAAATCGATCGTAAGCATTATTCTCTATACTACACTATCTAGTCTTCCCGCTACCGCGAACCAGTCTACGTCTGTAGGACGGCAGCGTGCTCTTAGATCATTTCCCCTTCCATATGCTACCCTCCCCTTTCCCCGTACCTGAAATATCCCGCGCCATGTCTCCAAATACTATGACAGCTAACACCCGCGAGCCTCGAGGGGCTCAACCATCCAACAGGTATTCTCAACGCATTCAAGCTCGATGCATACGCTGTTCTAGGTCTGCAACCGGGAATGCCGGAGTCCGACATCAAGAAGGTCTATCGCTCCAAGTCCCTTTTGATCCATCCAGACAAGACGAAGAACCCCCGAGCTCCCGATGCGTTCGACCGATTGAAAAAGGCCTCGACGGAACTTTCCGACGAGAAGCATCGGACGCAACTTGACGAGGCCATCGCCGACGCACGTATGCTCCTAATGCGCGAGAAGAAGTGGGACAAAGACAACGAGGAGCTAAAGAGTGAAGAGTTTGCGCGTGAATGGCGCGACAAGACCCGTGAGGTGCTGATCGACGCAGAACTGCGCAGGCGCAAGCAGCTTAAGGCGCAAATGCAAGAGGAAGGTCGTGCGCAAAAGAAAGAAGACGAGGAGTTGGCAGAGCGCAAAAGAAAGCGAGACCATGACCAAGCTTGGGAGGCCAGTCGTGAGAAGAGAATTGACAGTTGGCGGGATTTCAACAAGAAGGGCAAGCAAAACACTCCTGCGAAGGGCACTCCTGCAGCTGGCGGGGATGGTGGGGCTAAGAAGAAGAAGAAACTGAAAACACTTGGATGAGGTGGGATGATGGGATTTTCTTCGGTACTCAATGGAGCTTATTTACTGCGACACCGAGGGCATCTTGGTTGAGTATTTGCAATCCCGACCACCCCTGTGCATCGCATCACACCACATTACCCCGAGTGCGTACAGCTTGGTCAAGGCCAGCAAGACGACCTCCTGTACATTTAGCCTGGTGGATGCAGGCTATGAAGCTTCACACGCTTAATCCTTCTGTGCCATACTACACACAATATTACGACACCTCTGAGCGCTAGGACTGTCTGGACCACAGTCTTGACTGTACCACGATATTCCATGCCACGAACTCGATATCGTTGGATCCATCGCTGAAATCTGTTCCCGTCCGGTGACCGCCGGCCACTGACCGACCCACGATTACGTGCTGCATCAACGGCAGGAATTTAGGCACTTTCAGCAACAGCGGTGCATCCCATCGCTCCCCGTTTCCGAACCATCGACAAAGATCAGAGACCCAGGTTCAGATAAGCCTCAACGGGTCCAGACTCGGCACTGCCCTCTAGGGTACCAATTGACCGCGAGGCGGGGAGCCAGAGACATTCCCTATACACAGCACAGGACACAGTGATCGTCACTGGATAATGGATAATGGATCATGGTAAACACTGCGAAAGTGACAGTAATATTCAGTAGGCACAGATAGGAAGTTATTTCACTACAAATACTCAACAACTGAGGGGCACCACACTATCTCAACCTCTGCATCTGTCATACGACCGCCCACCGATCCTCACACGAAGTACCCAAGCAGTCAATACATACTCACTAGCGCCATTTGTTTACAAATCCCATCCTTCCCAGCGTCCTCACTTCAGCCTTCCCAGCTCCACAGTTCATCAGCCGCCAAAACCGCTCCCTTGAACAACCCAATTCTCCACCCATCCTCTACCAAGAGGTATGTTTCCTAGATATTTTACGTAAGGCGAGCTATAGCCTATAGTACTGGTGTCAGCAGTATCATAGACGTACCGCTGTGACGACTTTCTACCCTGCTGTCTCCTTACACTGGCGCTTCGACGCATCCACATTAAGCCTCGAACGAGCCTCAATGGTATCGCGATTGCGATAGGCGACCGTTCAAGGAGGCCCACAGTACCACAATGCAGTAAGCAGAGCTGGGCAGGGCTGGACAGGGCTGGCTAATCATCTCTGCTACCTCATGACCTCTTCCATCAAAGTACCCTCCCTCCCTCCATCCTCATCCTCTTGGTAGTATTGCCCTACCCGGCACGTTGGACCAATGGGAACAGTTCCGCCTCCCCAGTCCCCAACAGCAAACGCAATAAGTTGACACTTTGACAGCAAGCTAGGGCTTTGGTAAGGCAGGGCAAAGGGCAGAGAGGTAGGTGCAAAGACACTAGACAGGGTTCTCGGGTAGACTAGGCTTTAGTAGACCTCAGGAAGTCGTCACAGTAATAAGTGAAAGTAAATAAGCAAATCTGGATGGATGGATGGATGCTTCAAGGCATGTATGCCTTTCGAAGTGAGGCTGTCATTATGCGTCGTGGGTGCAGCCCGCGGCAAGAGGGTGGCCAGCAGCAGTCAATGTTGGGGACATGATTGCAGCCTGCATTATACGTACGTATGTGGTATACGTACATAGACTACTATTTACGTACGTTACTTGCTACCACGTGACATGTCTGGAAAGAGCCAGCTGTCAGTCAGTCAGTCAATTATTAGTGAGTCAGCCAGCAAGCCGCGGGCATATCTCCGTGCTTGCGTGCGGCTTGGCGGTTCATGCACGATGAAAGGAAGATCGTACGTGTGGCGTGTGTTGGTGATGGTGGTGCAGGGGCTAGGGGGAGGGGGGGGGGGGGGGGGAAAGGGAACATTAACCCTCGATCTGCGTTGCTGCGATCTGCGCCCTTGCATGCATGCAAATGGATGTATTTTAATTTTTTTTCCCATTTGACAGGGCGCCCGGTCGCCTAGGCGCATCTTGACTTGACGCCGCGGAGGCATAGGCAAAAAAGTAGCGTGGGCAGCAGGATGTGGCGGTTCGAGAATGGGATCGTAGAATTGGTGTTTGGGTGTGTGTGTCTGTGAACGGGCAACTCGCATGTTTACGGCCCTTTTGTTTTCCCTAGAACTGGGAACTTATGCATGTTTCAAAGTGAGATTCCCTCTTTATTTTGATTCCTTAATTCCTTACGGGATGGCGTTCGGTGGTTCCTAACTTTTTTTATGGATTATCATTATGACCATCATCCTTTTGCCTGGTTCTGTTTGTTTGTATATTCGTGATCATGGAGCAGTGTATATCGCTGTATGCAGCAGTAGGGCAGATACAGCGTCGGGCATAGGGTCCCCCCAATATACTGGCTTGGTATTTGATGTCGTTCCGGCCGTAGAGATGGCTTACAGATGAAGGGATAGAGGGAGGGGGTTCGTTCTGAAGTGTACATAGTACGTGCCTCCTAACTCGTCTATAGCCATAGCTAGTAGTTGTTCTAAATCCCAATCGTCAGATCCGTGCATACCCGTACCCGTCTTTAGCAATACTCAACCGCTCAACTCGAACCATTGCTATGGGCCAGGTTGTGACGTCTAGCCTTGCGCGCCTGAAGCTATCGACACTGCTGTTTGTTCAAACAAGGACACAAATGCGCTCAGCCACTTCATGTAGGAATAGATTTTGTGATGGACAATAGTCATCAGTGATATAAATTATTCGTATCATACAAACAAGCTTCGGCCCACGAAGTCGTGTATCATAAATTAGTACAATTGATTTTAGGGAACCAGACATATCCAAATGTACGCAGAACCAAATGTATCAAGCGCCGGGCTTCCAAGTCATATAATCGTAGTGCCAAAGACTACTACTTGCTACACCTCGCCTTTTACATGAAAATGAACATGGGAATCATGATGTAGCAAAAACAATCAAAACAGTAAACCACTTGGGTGTAACGATAGACGTGAGCCTTGGGCCATTGCTGGATGGAAACCATTACCTCGTAAGATGAACGACAGTCGGAAGAGACATTTGAGGTACGTCCTCATAATTGGAGAGCCAAAAGTGCATGCGAAATTATGCACGAAATTACTGCGAATTCTCCTGAGCGATCTCTATTCCAAAATCTCTCCGATATCAAGTCCACGCCTTTTTTCGCTCAGAGGAGACTCTTGGAGATGGTGGTGACCATAGCCATGTACAGGCATCTGTCCAGCACCCGTCATGTCCGAAACACCGGGGGAGAGCATTGGTGGCGTGAGATTACCACGAAGGGGAGGTAATTGAATATTGTCAACAGTAGATACGTGGCGGTGGCCATGCATAGATGACTCCATTGAAGGTGCCATGCGATTATCAGCTAGAGATGCCGATCTCGAGAAATTCGAGTATGAAGCACGCGAGGAAGCCGATGCTGGAGGCTGCATCGAGGACATGTAACTTGATGCATCTGATCCAGAGCGTGACGCTGATGTGGGAGGCTGCATTGAAGACATGTAACTTGAGGCATCTGATCCAGAGCGTGGGGTGGGATTGAAGCCGAAGTGAGGACTCCGCATCGATGAGGTACTCGCTTGAGACATAGATCCGTTGTGGAAGCTGAACATAGGCGAGGACGAGTCTGATGAAGCCGAAGGTGAGGGTGGGTTCTGCCCCCAAAAGTTGTATCGCATAGCCATTTGGTGCCCAGCTGAGGCAGGAGACTTTTCCTTTGCAGGAGGTGCCATTTGACCACTGAATCCCTGTTGGAACATATGCTGGTTCTGCAATGGCCGAGTCGGCTGGAAACTCATGGCCACAAAGTAGCAGGAAGTCTTTGCCAACTTGACGCTCACTCGAAATGGTGTTGAGTATTGAGAAAGAGTCCAGTTATATGTTCTCTCTGTGAACCCTTGCGTGACCCTATCGAGATCGACATCCATGATGGATTGAAGTGCGCCTTCCACGCCTCTGGGATCCATGGGTGCTAGATATGTGGGATCTCGGCTCTCGCGTTCGACCAACAACTCTTGTGACAAGCCCTGAAGGTCGTAATATAGAATGAATTCAGAAATCTTGCGTCCACGGACAGTACCACCGCCCAATTTGCCCTCGTAAAGACTCTCAAACATCGCGTTAGGCTTCATGATGACAAGATCCATGTTGAGATAGACGATGGCTTTTGCGGGTTGATCAAAAGAGCTCCCAAATGGATATGAGTTAGTCGGGCTGACATGAGTTGAGACTCCTGATGTCCCAGTGCCAGGCGAGCTCACGGGACTTTGGTATGTGCCAAAGCTGTCACCTGGCAGAAGGCGAGGGGCCAGCACGCCACCAAAAGAGTTAGAGCGTTGCTGGACGTCCTGATGATAATGCTGAGTCGAAGTATCTAACCTCGGAGGTAGAGGTCTTGAACTAGATGACGATGTCGAATGGCGCATCTTGTCCTTGTCGTCACGAAGTCGTGGCCTTCCTCGCTTCTTGTGAGGCACATCATGACAGTCCTGTTCCATGTGAGTCTCTGTTTTGACTGCAGCTATTCTTTAGAACGGCAAACTTACGATCTTGTTTGTTGTTATGCATCGGTTGCAAGGACGTTTGTCATCGCAACTCAGGTGAGCCTTCTTACAATGATTACATGCAGATTTCACGTGTGCTTTTGTTACACGTGCAGGCTTGTGAGTTCTGACTGGCAGCTGTGGGATTGGTGTATGTTGAGGTGCTAGCTGGAGAGGCGCTCCAAAGTACTGCGGCATGCTTTGCATTTGAGGGGGTTGGTGATAGCCATATTGATGATAGGTTTGTGGAGAGAAGTTCATTCCATTGTATGATTGAGGACCACCGAGGCGTGGTAGCGTCTGTTGATGACCATAGTGAATCTGCATCCTGGCAGCTGGAGAGGACCGTTCTGGTGTTCGTAGAATGGAAGTCCTGTGATGAGATGCAGGTGGCGTTTGTGGTAGAGGTGGAAGTGGAGGGAGCTGCGGCCTGTGATATGAAGACAGGTGCGACCTCGTTGCTTCTTCAGTGGTTCGTGAAAGCCGACGTGCAGAACCTGCGTGTATTTCTAGGCGTATATGTTCTGCATGTCCTGTATCCTCCTCCCTGTTTTCCGGTACGCTTACAGCGGGCTGATCTCCTTTGGTTACCCCCTGTACTGTGAGTACACCAGGCTGACGCGGGGGTGTAATGTCAGACATGGGCGGAGATGGGTATGCTACTAAGTCTTCGGACTTTTTCAGGGAGGGTGTGTATGTGGGATACGCGTGATGTGAGGCCTGGCAGTCCCACACCCCAGTAGACGTAACCAAAGGAGTAAGTTGCGGAGAAAAGAGCCGTACATTCATTCTGTAGCTTCTCAACAACACAGTGTGCTAGCAGCACAAGGCGGTTGGAGCGCAGGGAACTCCGGTTCGAAGAGTGAACTGCGGTGCCCTTGGAGCTAGTTCCCTTTTCTGGTCCGTGGATACGTGCAGGGCTGTGGCTGGCACCGGAAGTCTACGAGGGGAAGATCGGAAAGTACTTGGCTGTATCAGGTCAGCGAATCCGTACAGTTAATCGTGGACAAGATTATGAGAAGGGGAAAATTACTCGCGACAATTACGGACTTTGGTGGTTTATGCCAGTATTGGGAGGAAATTTTGCTTCAGATGAGGTATCGGACAATATCTTTTCGTCAATGCCTTTGTATCGAACGCTGAGCAAACAGTGCTGCAGTGTTTCAGAGGATGTCCACGTTTACAGAGCGGGTAGCAGCAGCAGACTACATATACACGAGTGTCTGCAAGCACAGACAAGGCGATGTGACTTCCAGTGGGGTGCGGCTGTATGAAGAGGGTGATGGATGACTTTACGGAGGGGATCCTGTTTGCTCGACTGGCTTAACTCCGTGGATGTAAATCGGTATTTGGGGAGAAGCGAATGAATCTACATAACACTGTGCTAGATCGGGAAAGCACGCGACGTAGTAAGAGTGATGGGAAAGGTCGTTGGGTGAGTAACAGTTTGGTGCAGCAACAATGTGTAAAGAATGGACCACGCCGGAGATCATGAAAGTAGTCCAGTACGTAGAGTTGAGAATGGTATCTAGTGTACGTTGACAACGAGTAGACTAACAAAGCAGTAAGAAGGGTTCTGCATTGCACCATCATCCCCTGCACACCTGCTGGTCTTTGCTCCCCCCCACGGTGGATCTGCGGCCTGCACCACGTACCCAGATAGTCTTCAGATGATGACATGACGGCCAGTCTGTGCCTTTGAGTCTGCGTCTGCCTGGTCCTGGTAGCATATCACGCATTACAAATGGACAGAGCATATCGATTTGATGATATGAGAGCTTCGATGGATAGAGTCAAACTTGACCTGGCTATGACAAGTAACAAGTACTCATCATACATGACAGCAAAGCAAAGAAGACAACAGCAGAATCGGACGAAGATGGGAAGGGGGAGGGGGGGGGGGATGATCGGTGGAGCAGACAGCGGGAGTGGAGCTGCCCGATCTGCCTACGTTGATTACTATGAAGAGGCTAGTGTGAGTGTGAGATGTGGTCATGGACATTCCGAGAGTGCCCATTGCTCGCCAGAAAAGCATCAATTAGTTAGCAGCGTAGCGTGCATCAAACACCCTTGGCCAGTGTTTGACATGGATATTGAGATGGACATTGTGGTCAGCGTTATTAGCACCAGCATTGACGTTGACGTCGATATCGGCATGGAGATTGACATTGAAATTGACAACTGACACTGACATTGACACTGACACTTGACAAGCACAAGCTTATGATTGCTAGGGCCGATCCAGCTGCAACGTGCCAGGAGTTCACTCATTGTCACTCTAGAGGACCGGGAGTCTAGAGTCTAGTCCATACTATTACTACTACTGTAACAGCAGCCTGTCAATGAAGTCAATTCGATAGGCCCTAACCTACTGAGGAACGACAGCGGCGCCCTCTCACGCTTGTGAATAGCGTCCCAAGTCTTCCGGATTGGTGTTAGTGTGTTGACACTGGCTCTAACGTTAATGGATTCATTAGTCTGTCCGAATGGCCGACGCCGACATTTGCAAACATCCATGCAATCGTGCTGAACTGTACTGCACGTACCCCGCGTGACATGTCCTTCCATGCCTTTTCCCAGTCTTTATCTAATTATCAATGCCGCCGTTGTGGCCATGAGGAGTCTTCACCCGGGCGCTCACTCTGCGTACTACGACTACTATGTCGTCGAGACTGTGAGATCCCGCTGTCAGAGCGGATGCGGTGCACAGTGGCAGCACAGAAGGGTCTGCGGGAGCCTTTTGCTTTTCCATGCCCCCAGTGCTGGCGCTTCGGACGAAGCCAACCACCATCGTTGCCACTATTACTCTCTGATTATACAATGCAGGTCTTACGCTTCTTCATCAGCACAGATTCATCGCTCAAGTCTGGTGTGGCGTTCGATGGCATCCCTCGCGGGGACCGCGACCAGCCTAGACTAATTAACCTCATGGTAGACCAGCCTGAACATTTGTTTTGGTCTTCGAGGTGCCTCACCCAGGAACGCTTTACGCGCCCAGTTCAGGGTTGTCATCGTGGCGTCGACTTCTCCAGACCCTCCGCTACCGATGTCTTTGACGACCTCTCATCAGAGCTTCCGGTTGAGACTCCGCTATCACGAGGGACGGCGGCAGTCTCGTTCAAGCTGTCAAGCCACAGCAACCTTCACAGCCATCTCTGTGGGGCTGGAGTCGTGAATTTCTCATGGCGCAGTTTCGCTTGGAATTAGATCCTCTAATCTTGATGGAGTTAGTCGACTCTTCCGTGGCGCATATCACCCATCCATCGTCCCAGTTCAATTGACGCTTGGTGTTTGTTATACAGTAGGAATGTAAGCGTTCCGTTGGTAAGCCACAAGAATTCAGCTTGGATAGTTGGATGGTACCGTCCTCTATCGTGCATCTTTGACTTTATTCTTTGGCAGAGGCTTCCGCAAAGAGCGTGAAAAGCATGAAATAACCGTGCGATGTGCCGGTGTTTGCATGAACACCAGAGATACAACCAGGCTTGAGAAAGGTATGCTGGCTGAGTACTCCTGCTTCGTACTTAGGTCAAGGAGTGTATCGTAAATATGGTCAGTCACAGAGTGTACAGCTGAGTTAGGCCATGTAGACGGTCAGCTTCGCATTGTCCAGATTCATGAAAACAGGAAATCGCGATTGCATAGCATCTCGTTTGCTGGTGCTGCTCTCGACCCCAGCGGCCGTCCTACGAGAAACTATTACGAGATTTCAAGTCTAATGTAGTCCATGATCTGAGGCATGCCGGCTTGGCTTTGGCTCGTTTCTACTCTCAGCTGAATCAAGTTAAAGCTGTTTTTGGTTCGCGGGCGGCTGATAGACGGCGAGTGTAACTAACTGCCTCGTACTTGAGCCGGGGAAAGGGACAGGCGGTAACTCTAGAGCATTTTGAGATCGTTCAGGTGGTGATCTGGGGTCGCCGAGCCGTTGAAAAGTCCGAGAGACGGGCGCGGGAGCGATGAGATCCAGGGATCCGCATCTCAGACTAACTTTAGATGGTCATATAGCCGTGTATAGCTATAGCATTGGCACCCATGGCAAAACTGGGACGAAAGAGATTTCGCAGCCATCAAGCGTGTGTTGGTGTAAGCGAGTGTGTGATTCGCAATGAGTCTCTCCTGTGATTCGCAAAGAGGCTCCTGGTACAACGGCGCTGCCACAGGCTACTGACCCGTAAAGAAGGGCGTTCAAGCGATGCGTATCTTCCGAAGTCAAACGCCGTGTTGCGTACGTATAATTAGGTATTATCGGTATGATGACCTCGATACTGTAAGTCTTTACCTGGAACCTGGTAGCATACATGGGTGATGGAAATGTCCGACGCGCGTGCGGACGGCAACAAGCTCCGACCCGGGAGATAGGAGCAAGGTAAGGTTATCGTATCGGGCTTTATTACTGGTATGTCTTCCCAGCTTGTACAGCCTAACAAAGGTCCATTGCAAAGTGGCTGAACGGCTGAAAGGACAAGGGCAGAGGAACGAAGAGAGCAGTCCTGTGTCGAACGTCGCGTTGGATCGATCGATGGTGCGCGCTCAGCTGGCGCTGATGCGGATACTGATTCTGGTACTGGTACTGGTCCTGGTACCGTTGATCCAAGATGCCCAGACGATAGAAGGACAAGGCGTCATAGACGTGAGGTACTATTACTCTGGATGGGACTTGGCGAGGTATCGAGTACCTATCCCTATGTCTAGACCCACGACTCTTTGCTTGCTGGAAACTTGAGGTGAGGGCATGGATAGTGCATTTTTACGGAGTTGGTCCGTGATGATAGGACTTCTTAGGACTCCTAGAGAGAGAGAGAGGGGGGGGGGGGCGGTTACATGCAACGCAGTATTAGGTACGTACCTAGTTAGCCACGCCAGGCGCTCAGCTGCGACCACCAAAAGGTTCACATCTCCCTCCATCCATTCCAAATTTTGGCTGCACACCACACACACCACCATAAAGTGAGGCTATCGAGATCGCGATTTAAACCTTCAGACTTTTATCATTGCCATGATTAGTCGTTTTGCAAATCACATCTATGTTTGCTGTGCAGGACCGCACGCGCAGCAGGTCTTGCTTACATTCGAGACACCTCCAGGGACATCGGTAGGCAGGTTCACATAATGTTTTGTGTATGCAATGGTGCAAAACGCATGGATGAATTCTGAATTTTTGTTTATGTCGTCCTGGAGCACATGACACATGTACATATTCGGTTCATTCCGGATGTGCGCAAGGACTCAGCCTGCAGGGGAGTATAATCGACTCTTTCTGCGCCATGCATGACAGAGGAGACAAGGGAGGTTCCGCTGTCAAACTCGCATGCCGTATCGTGACGACAGGAGTGCATGTCCTGGGTCATTAGACTCGCATTGGTATATCCTACCCCTACCCTCGCAATGTTGCACGCAGCCTGGAGTCTTGCACCTAAGTATATACTGATTAGTGGCTACTTCGGCATGAACGTCTTCAGGACTCGGGGGCTCTGGAAACCGAACCCTCTCTTTATCAGGTAATCAGGTCATGTTGCGCCACAGGCGCCTATGTCTTTGTACTCGTCGCTTAGCTTGACTGCTCATTCCCTTCATATGTAGGGTCAGCTTGCTTTATTCGGCGACTTAGATACGCAAAACCACCAATGTTGATCTAAGCGCTGATTGCGACCCAAAGTCAAATGTGTGAATGGTAATGCCTACAATACCTCGGTAAAGGAAGCCTTGAGGAATAGAGTTCTGTTATGTGTAATGCTGTAGCCGCGACATGTATGTATTACAGCAATAATGCACTGCCCAGGATAGGAAAACCTTGCTTGAGCTAAAAGTTACAAGGGATTGCAAGTAGACAGACATCCATATGTAAGAACCTATCATTAGCGTGCTATACCATTCATCAAAAAAATTGTTTGTAGCTACAATCATAGCACGATGTAACCATCGGTATATTACGTAGCGCTTGGTAACTTGAAAGGTGCAGAATTCTCGTATTCTTCTCGAGAAATGGTCGGTCAAAGAATAGATAGTGTATTGACTAGTCGCTGGAGGTTCCGATGATATTGATGCGCGCTAAAAGCTGAGAAGGTATCTACTATATGGTCCATAACATGAATACCTATTGCGATGTCTTCGGGAAGTGAAGTACAATCTTCTTATAGCTTTACTTATACAACGCCTTCGAGTTCCATGCTCCCTCGGAAGATTTTCCAGCAGGCGCAGGGAACAACAGGGAACAGGGAACAGGGAACTTGAAGCTGTTCCCTCGTTCCAGGGTCGCGGTTCTGGGTCTGGGGCCGTTGTGGGCAAACATCGGGTGCTTTTCGCCATACTTCCATCCGGAGACGGTCTAATCTATCCGATGGCGTTTCCAGAAGGACGCGCAATAAATTATCCTCGCTATGCTTCCCAAGTCGTCGGTATCGGACTCCATAGCCTCAGGCCTGTTTTCGGAAGAGCGACAGCTGTGGGCACTTATGTCTTCTCGGCAAATGGCTGTGAGAACAAGATCGCTTGCTGGCCTGCTCTGTGCTTATAGTAGGTTGAATGATGGATAACCTATCTATATATCGTCGGAAATCCCGCCATTGTAAGGGAACTGGTCACAGTCATCACACTGCCACGGACAGTCTTCCGCCATCTGACTTTCTTGCACTCTACATCCTTACTACCTAGATAGGTATTAGCTTACTTGTCTAGACCCGATCCGGCCACGCTATTCCCATCTGGGTTGCGATGCAACCATAAGGGGATGGCGAAGAACTCAGGCTCATGCCTCCGGTGGAGAAGGCGCATTCCCACGCTCTATAGCAAGCGCCTTCCTTGTTCGGGTCAAAGTGTATTTCATTTCTGATATTGATTCATCTCCTGGAATATTAATCAGAATAATATCAATAGCTGGATAATTCTAGCCTTCGTGATATCTGTGCATACCGCACGTATCGTCAAGCCACCGCTATGTTTTCCTCTTTTTGGCCGGTCTGCCAAATTTCTCCTGCTTCTTCGCCTTGAGCTTTCGATCTTTACGAACGTCGTCAACTCCACGCAGTTCGTTCTTCGCGCCACCATCCTTGAACTTGCCGATCCGTTTCTCCTTGGCTTCATTGACACGTTTCTTTTGCGTATGATAGTCGTCTCTGTATTTGTCTGCCTCCTTTGGTGCCTTCTCAGTTTGGTGTTTGTACCGCCGTCCAATGCTGTGCATCTTCGCTCGTGACGTTTCCGTTTCCCCGGTTCGAGGCAACCGATCGAGCTTATTTGACTTCTTCCATGCATCAAATCGTCCGCTCCTAAAGCTTGCTGCTATCTTCTGCCCGCTTTCCCCGACTATCATTTTGGCGCCCTTGGACCCGTCCTCGTCGTTCGCCCGGGCCACATACTTTTTACTTTTCTTGTCCCACCTCATACCCCGCGCTTTCGTTGCCTCTGCAAATCCTCGTGATTCGTCGTTGTTGAGATCCATTGTCGCTCCGCGTGAGGCTTCTACAAAATTGCTATTACGTCCCGATGTGTCATATGATCCGGACTGTACGCCATAGGCTTTATCTTCGACGAGGTTGAGGGACTTCGGAGCGTACGACATGAAATGATCCGGATCTTCCCATGCGTTATTTGCGACTGAGCTCGAAGGCTGGGTCTGTGTTACGGTAATCTGCAACTCGTCTTCTGAGTCAGGGTCCAGCTGCTCAATGGCCTCAGGGTTCACGTCGTTGTTGCCATCTGTCGTGTCTTTAGCCGTATCGAATTTTGTTATGTCTGGAATGGCGTTGGCTCCATCAATGTCTTTGGCTCGCTGTCGCCATGGGTCTATTCTTTCCCGACGCTTTCGCATGATTTCAGCAGCCTCTGCCCCGCTACCTCGTTTCCCGATTTCAAATATCGTCTCACTGGGTCGAAAGCCGCTCACTCTTGCAAGCATCTTTTCGCGCTCCAGTTCGGCATCATTAGTTTCGTCTGTAAACAGCCAGTTGAGCTCTGCGGAGCTACGAGATGAAAGGATTTCACGGGAGCGTTTGGCACTCTCGCTAGATGCCGAATTACGTGTGCGCATGTACAGCTTTTCTCCCTTCACCGCCACAGAACGAAGATTGGCAAGATCGTCGTCCTCATCGATTAGCTTATTGACATATTCGCACGCTTTCCCCAGCTTATCGCGAACAAGACCACCCACCACTACATCTTGGGCGAAATTGGGCGGCTCTCCAGACCTTCCCAACACAAGCCTTTTGCTCAGAAACAATTGAAGATCCAGTAGGTACGGCATGTCCGAGTCCCGTACCAGACTATAGCTCCAGCCCTTGTTACCGGCTCGGGCTGTTCTCCCGACCCGATGAACGAAGACCTTGGGCTGTGGCGGGAAATCGTAGTTGATGACATTAGCGAGAATGGGCATATCTATACCTCTAGCAGCAACATCGGTGACAACGAGAATATTTGATAGACCTGCACGAAACTCCTCGACTTGCAACTTGCGCGCCGTTTGGTCCAAGGAACCGTAGACGTAGGAAATTGCATACCCTGCTGATCGTAGCAGCGCTGAAACATATTCAACGTGATGCTTTGTTGCCGTGAATATGATTGTCGAGAATTCGGTTGGCAACTCGTTTGGTGCCGGCCCATCAGGGCCTCGTTTACGCTTCTTCCCAGAACTTTGGTCTCTCGTCCTCTGTGCGTTCTCTGTTGCACCAAGTGGCATCTTTATGACGTCTTGTAACACATTCAGAAGGGCACCATCTTTGTCTGCACTCTTCAGTGTGAAGAAAGCGCTCTGTAGATCGGGGGATAGCTTGGTTTCTGCGTCTAAGCGAATAAGCTTGGGGTCTTGGAGGCCAGCGCGCGCGAATTCGACGAGGGACTTCGGGAGCGTTGCGGAGAACAGTAGACTTTGTCTTGACTGTGGAAGTGCGTGGAGAATTTCTGCAAGTTGAGCCGCGAAACCCATCTCGAAGAGCCGATCGGCCTCATCGAATACGATGTATTGTACCGCCGATAAGTCCAGACCCATTTCAACTTTGAGGTGGAGAAATCGACCAGGAGTTGCGATTATAATATCAGGATTTGAGGTCATGGATCCAAACTGTTCTTCCAGGCTGTCACCTCCAACGAGCAGGACAGTGCGCAAATCCGTCCCACGACCAAGTTCTTTGATGACCTTCAGAGTCTGCAGAGCTAATTCTCTTGATGGCGACATAACTATGCCTCTAGCTCCAACTTTCACGCTATGCGCCTTGAGCTTCTCCACCATAGGTATAACAAAAGCTGCTGTCTTCCCAGAACCCGTTCTGGCCATTCCCACCACGTCTTGCCCATCCATAATGACAGGGATTGCCTTACGCTGAATAGGCGTAGGGACTGAGAAGCCTTTGCGTGTGATTGCTTTGAGCAAGTGGGAATTCAGACCCATGGCTTGGAATCCGCCGCTCTTCTTTACACTTCTGCCTTTCAGATTGGTCGTTTTCCTGTTGGATGCAGCCTGGCGAGCTGCAATGTAGGCTTCATCATCGCTGCTATCTTCTCCAATGTCATTGAGTCCAAGCTCTTGCTCGCCAGCCTGCGGTTTCTGCGCCTTAGCGGATGCGGGAGGCGGCAGTATGCTATCGGAGTCGTTGGCGTCATCTTCAGACTGATCGTAAAGATCCTTCGATATGTCGAACTCGTTCTCGGAGAGCGCGGGAGAAGCCGCGCGTGGTCCCATGGTGTTGAAGTCTGCTTGCGAGGCAGATGTGGGTGAGAAGTGCTGCCCGCGCGGTCGTTTGAAGTTCTCGAAAAATTAAAGTGGGGGTGAAATCTTGGCGCTGAACTTTTTCTCGCTATGAAGCGGCTCGCCGCAAGACTCCCGAAACCACAGTTCCTAATAGCTCGCTGTGAAGATTGCGTCTCCGATGATATGGCACCAGCAGATGTCACTGGCCGTGTACGACCAACAAAGCCAAAGAAACAGGCACGCGCTCTCAAGAGAAAACGCGACGATGTCTCAGCTGAGCACCTAGAGCAAGCGGTCGCAGATTTGGCAAGTCAGGAATATTAATCAACCGATACGCGTGTAACTAATATATATCACAGGACGTCAAAAATGGCACATTCAAAGACTTTGCAGACCTCCCACTGTCCGAGCCCACCAAGTCTGGACTCAAGGCAGCCCATTTTTCTGCTATGACAGACATACAGGCCAAGGCCATACCCCTCGCACTCAAAGGCGCAGATATCCTCGGAGCCGCAAAGACTGGTAGTGGGAAGACACTTTCGTTTCTGGTTCCCGTCCTCGAGAACCTCTACCGTGCGCAATTGGTTGGCCAAGATGCAGGCTTGGGCGCAATGATTATATCACCAACTCGAGAGCTCGCTATCCAGATTTTCGAAGTCTTGCGGAAGATTGGCGGTAAAGGGCATCTGTTCGCGGCTGGTCTGGTCATTGGTGGAAAGAGCTTGAAAGACGAGGCGAACGCGCTCGAAAGAATGAACATCCTAGTGTGTACGCCTGGCAGAATATTGCAGCATCTCTCGCAGACTGCGACTTTCAGCGTAGACAACCTCAAGATGCTTGTTCTTGATGAGGCTGATCGTATATTGGACATTGGGTTTCAAAGTGCACTCGACGCGATCATAGAATATCTGCCCCCAGACCGGCAAACACTCCTTTTCAGTGCTACACAAACCAAAAAAGTCTCCGAATTGGCGCGACTGAGTTTGAAAGAGCCAGAGTATATCGCCGTTCACGAAGCAGCTTCCTCGGCTACACCCAAAACGCTTCAGCAAAATTATGTTCTGACGCCATTGCCCGAGAAACTGGATACATTGTGGAGCTTTATTCAGAGTAGTAAGAAGAGTAAAATACTTGTTTTCCTGTCGTCTGGGAAGCAGGTGAGATTTGTATACGAGACTTTCAGAAAGATGCAGCCGGGTATATCTCTTCTACATCTTCACGGACGGCAGAAACAAACTGCAAGGCTTGATATAACGTCAAAGTTCTCTTCGTCGCAGCAATCTTGTCTTTTTGCCACAGACGTGGTAGCTCGTGGATTAGATTTTCCTGCTGTTGACTGGGTGGTGCAGCTAGATTGCCCCGAAGATGCAGACACGTATATTCACCGCGTTGGGCGCACGGCACGATACGAGCGTGAGGGTCGAGCAGTCTTGTTTCTCGATCCAAGTGAGGAGGAAGGTATGCTCAAGAGACTTGCACATAAGAAGGTCCCCATCGAAAGAATCAATGTGCGCGTCAAGAAACAGCAGAGCATCAAAGAACAAATGCAAAATCTTTGTTTCAAGGATCCGCAACTGAAATACCTAGGACAGAAGGCTTTCATTTCATACGTCAAATCTGTCCATCTACAGAAAGACAAAGACATATTCGATGTGAATGCACTGAAGCTGGAAGAATTTGCTGCCAGTATGGGTTTGCCTGGTGCACCGAGGATCAAGTTCAGGAAGGGAGACAATTCCAAAGAGCTGAAGAATGCTCCAAGACAATCCCTTGTCATCTCAGACGAAGACGACAGCGATAGCGAGGCCGCAGTAGACGGAGAGGCACCGAGCAAAGCGAAGAGCAAGAAAGACGATGCAGTCCGGACTCGATATGATCGAATGTTTGGACGAACCAACCAGGACGTTCTAGCACCTCACTACGCGAAGTTGATTCACGAAGAAGACGACATGGCCTCAGGTTCAAAGGGACAAACGAATGTTCATGGACTCGAACAACCAGATAGTGACGATGATTTCCTCAATGTCAAGCGACGCCACGGTGTTGATGACGATCTGAGCCTATACCACAATATCGAGAACGCGGATGCCATTGATGGAAACTATAACAAGAAAATCATCAATATACCCGGAACGCTTGAGCCTCTGGTAATAGATAGTAAACGACGAGAAAAGCTGCTGCAATCTAAAAAGAAAGTCACGAAGCTGAAAGAGAAGGGCACTAAGCTCATATTCGATGACGATGGCAATGCTCATCCGATATACGAGCTCGAGGATGAGGTTGCTTTCAAGTCTAAGGGTGCTCCCGAGGATCAACGCAGGCAATTCGTGGAACAGGAAGCCGAGAAGGTCAAACAAGCCGACATCAGTGACAAGGCTCTGGCGAAGGAGAAGAAAAGGGTCAAGAAAGAGAAGCGCAAAGCTCGTGAGAGGGCTGAGGATGAGGATGGCGAGGATGTGCAGCTCGAAAACGGTGGAGACGCATTCGCCGATTTTGTTGCAGACGCTGCGAGCTCAGGGGGTGAGGGTGACGAGTCGCAAGAAGTCGAGCGGCCGAAAGGGAGGCCAAAGAAATGGTTTGAAGACGATTCAGACGAGGACGAGGCGGCACAGAAGAAACGAAAGAAGAACAAGAGAAGTGCTAGAGACGCGGGAGATCTGGAGACTTTTGAGGATCTTGAAGCGATGGCAGCAGGACTTCTGGCTTCTGGCTAGTGTGAATTTCCAACATCTAAGCTTATGTAAATATATGGTAGATTCCTTGTTCAGATGCGAACCGAAGATTCGTGCAGATAGTATTGTGGAAGTGCGACTGCTGCAATGCTATTGGGTTATGGAGCCACCCTTGCTACTCGCCCGTGAAGCTAGAATATGATTTGTTAGTCATACAAGAATCCTTCCACGGTAGAGATAGCGTAACCGACAGTAGCCCTTTGGCGGTGAACCGCACACGGCGCGCCCTTGTTTCGACCGTGATCAATCATCGGAGGTGTCCGAGGCTTATATTTCACATTCTGTTACACCCAACCCAATATACCGTCTATTTCACATTCTGTTACACCCAATATACCGTCTCTCATAGCTTTCTCGCAGTGTAATTTGTAGCAGCTCACATCATGGCCAACCCGCAACGGATTATCATCGACACTGATCCGGTACGTCGAACTCGTAAAGAGTTTATACCAATCGGATATGGCTAACAAGCACGTAGGGTGTAGACGATGTATCTGCCCTGTTGCTCGCGCTGTCTGCGAAGCCCGAGGAACTTGAAGTCGCATTGATCTCCGTGACTTATGGCAACGTTGATGTGCAGAGGTAAAGGAATCTCGGAATCACGTTTCGTTACAGCCATTGACATGGAGTGTTCAGTTGTCTTCGCAACGTCGTGGCTGTATTTCATTTCATCGAAAAGGAGCAAGAGTGGCGTCGTAGTCAGGGACTTCCTGAAGGCTTCGAGACGTTAAAGGCCAGCAAGCCTATCGTTGCCATTGGGGCCTCTGGACCGCTGGGTGATCAAGTGATGATGGCTGATTATTTTCGTGAGACTGCTATATAACATCATGTCTGTGACTCGGATGCTAACATCGGTAGACGGCATTGATGGGCTCGGAGGCATCTCTCACACGGTACGAGTATCCCATAAAATCAAAACCAACAAGAAATGCTTCTAACCTCGCCGCCAGCATCCCCATCTCACGCCTCCTGAAGCATGGAAGAACCTCTTCACAGCAACCAGCTCCTCCACAACCACCACACCCACTCCCACCCCCGCCGAGATCAAAGCAGACGCACAAACCCTCTTCACCCCCTCCAACACCCCAGCCCACCTCGAAATGCTCAATCTCCTACGCGCCAACCCGCCAGACACAATCTCCATCATCGCCGTCGGGCCCCTGACAAACTGCGCCCTGGCCGCCGCATCCGACCCGGAAACCTTCCTCCGCGCGAAAGAAGTCATCGTCATGGGCGGCACCATTGCCGAGACCGGAAACGTAAACCTCCCCTCCCCCCTCCCATCCTTCCCCTTTGTCTTCGTTCCTCCCTCGCCCATTTCAACGCAACCAGCCCTGCCAACACACTCACACAACCAACAGGTAACCCCCTGCGCCGAATTCAACACCTTCGCCGACGCCATCGCCGCCGCCCGCGTCTTCGCCCTCACATCCCCCAGCCCATCCACCACAATGCCACCCTCACCACCACCCACCAACCCACCCCACCCCCACCATCTCACCCCCTACCCTCACCCTCTCTCCCGACCCCTAAACCTAACCCTCTTCCCCCTCGACCTAACCTCCAAACACATGCTCCACCGCACAACCTTCAACCGCACGCTCGCCCCTCTCCTCGCCTCCACCCCACCCTCCCCCCTCGCAACATGGAGCATAGCGTTCATGAGCAGCACATTCGACAAGGTTGCCGCCCTGCACCATTCCACGCCGGGGCTGACGATGCACGACCCGCTGTGTGTGTACTACGTGCTGCAGCGCGCGGCGGGGGATGATGATGATGATGAGAGCGGGCGGGGCTGGACGAGTGTGGTGGAGGATATCCGGGTTGAGACGGCGGGGCAGTGGACGCGGGGGATGATGGTTGTTGATCGGCGGGATCGGAATAGGAGGGTGGAGCACGACGACGACGAGATTAGGGAGGTGCCTGGGGATAGTGGGAATTGGCTGAGTGTGCGGGCTGGGAACAGGGTTAGGAGGGTGACTGGGAGTTTGGGCGGGGAGAGGTTTGAGAGGGACTTTTTGGCGAGAGTCTTTGGAGGCTTTGTTGGCTGATGGAAAAAAAAGTTGGGTTGATGAGAGGGAAATGGGGGTTTGCCTAGACGTCGACGATACATACGCCCACGTAGGCTATAGATTAACATAGAACTATAGAGGCCGGAACTCAGCAAGGATTATGGAACATATCTTCTTCTTGGACGGAGGTTCAAACACCATGCAAAAAGCCCAGTGTACACTTGTTAAACTCCTCATGCGGAGTTGTATTACTGTATGTACTGCGCTACTAGGTAGGTCTCGTTCTACCTGCGCTGAGCCGTATCGGCCTAAACCTAACCCAAAATATGCTATATGGCTTGACAGTAGTAAGAAAGGGGCTCTGTGGCCCGTGTGTGTACACAAAGGACAGACCGAACAAACGCCATATGCATGCCAGTCTTGTCGAACGTCACTGAAGACGTCGCAACGACAGCGACATCATCCCTAACTCGTATATAGAGATGCGAACCCCGACTTGTATAGAGAACAAGAACACCCGCTCAAAAAGCCGAATCGAAGAATGGGAAGGCTACAGAGATCTATGTGGCACGGATATGGAGTGTAATCGTACTCTCCGTGCGTGCAACAGGCCGTCCAATGGATATTTCGAGTGTTACAGACATCCCAAAGAAAACATTGAAAAAAAAAACCAAACTTTTGCGATTCATCACCACTGCATCCGTGTCCACCAGGCGTTTCAATCGGCTTAAAAGCCGCATACACCATGGACCTGGTCTAGTGGAATCAATAGACATAATTGAAGCCGGGAAAGTGCCAACGACCGAATGCTCAGTCGAGCATGGCTGTCGTAGTGGTTTTGTTACATGACCGTCATCGTCGTCATTGCCATCTGAGCAGCAAGTTCGCTTTCGTTGGATTGAAAATGAGAGTCACCGCTCTTGGCTCTACGTTCTGTTGGCGAAGTTGAGAATGTCCTTGTAGAGCTGTCCATCATATGTTCCAGATGGGGTGGTTCCTTTCTCTTTGGGCTGTGATTTGGGCTCGTGTACAGACCTTCTGCCTCGCGGAGCTCTTCCTTGACCCTCCTCATCAGTCCGTTCACATAGGGGACGATATGCTTCAAGGTAGCAGTGTCGAAAGGAACTTTCTTGGCTGGCGGAAGAGGCTGAGATGTAGTGGATGTGGAATCAGATGTACTTTTTCGTTTCAGTGCTTCTATGACAGAGAGAGCGACTGCTTCGGAGTCTTTCCTTGGTCGGGTCGTTCGCACGGCTGGTGGTGTCATAGCCGGGGACGATGTGTGGCTCTGTGACAGTTTTGAGGTCGGCGGTGTCTGATTCGGGTTGAATAGATCGTTGTTTGCTCTCAATATAGACCTTCGCCGCGATTTTCCTTGCGATAGACTGAGGCCTGGGCTGTTCAGATGCGTGTCATCTTTACTTGCGCTGACCTTTTGGGGTGTTCGCACTGCATACTTCATTCCGTTCATATCGTCAAATTCATCAAGATCAAGTCCTGGCGATGATGTCGGTGACTGATCACCCCCAAACGGATCATCATCAGCTTCTTGGTCAGCCAGCTCGATCATGGCATCGACTTCATGCCATGTGTTTTTGTTCCGGTCGTCGAGCAGACCGGCGTGTACAGCTCGCATTCGTAGCTCCTTCAATTCTTCAATCAACAAGCCCCATTCTCTGAGCAATCCAATATTGGCAAGGACGTTGCTCTGCTGCTCTCTGATCGTTTTCGGAACAAACATAGAAAAGCCACTATCGGCCCTGGCCATGTCATCTTCGCCTACGGTACGAGGCTCATTCGAGCCGTCAAAGTCGAAGTCATCATTCCAGTCTTCCGTTACACCTTTACTCCCCACGCCCCAAGTTCCGAACTTGTTTGTTACGACCGTATCACGTTTTCCTACAAGGTCCGGGACGACAGGGACACTTTGACTGCGGGCATGCAGACCACTGGGGGCGCGACGACCAATGGCCCGACTTCCCCGACCGTCGGCGTCTTTCTTGCCATGCACTGTGCTGGGACGTGGAGGTGTACGGCTACCAGGGCTCTTTTCAGAGGGGCGTTGCTCGGACCAGTCGAATATCGAGCTTCTTGCGTCTCGATCTATGTGTTCTATGTGGTTTTGTCGTAGCGCCGGAAAATTACTGCTCTCAGAGGATGTACATGGTGTGCTAGGCTGCTTTGATGGTGCGAATGGCGTCTTGAGAAAGGTTCTCCTATGTTTGGGGGCATCTATTTCCTCGTCGGAAAATGACCATCTATCATCGTCACTCTCTTCTTCTGCAACGGCATCCCATTCCAAGGTGCCAAGACTTAATGGTTTTGGATGGTCGGTGGCCGAAGCTGAAATGTTTGAGTTGAAAAGAGAATTGCCTGAGCTTTGTGACTTTGGCGGGGATGCATCGAATCGTTCTGTTGCCGTTGTAGTTCTGCCTGGCGAAGAGGTGCATTCATCTTCCTCCATGATCCCTGCATGTGGAAACGTCTCGACCGGTACGGGTTGGCCATTGTCTTTCATCACAATCTCTCGCATGCTTTGCATGTTTGCTTTGTGATTTGTTGGTGAGAAGTCCGGAAAGATTGTCTCGATGCGTGGGCCCCGAGCACCCGAAGTGCTTCGGGTGCCTCGTGTGCGCAACGAATCGAAGACGGTATCGCTTTGGAAATCAAAGTCTTCGTCCCCAGAACCTATATCTCTGGTATCGTGGTCCGACCCGACCAGGGTGGATGCTTGTTCCGACGCCGCCGTAGACAGGCGAGGATGTCGCGGTGCCGAATCAGACTTCCGTGTACCCTCGGTTGAGATCCCTCCGCGTGCAAGACTATTCGGGGACGACTCATGAGTCCGGTCCACGACTGGCGATCCTGCGTGGGAGCTACCAATAATTCTATGAGATATTGTTGGGTCAGAAATATCGCGCCGAATGTATTCCTGGTCTGAAAGGTGTTCGCCGCCAGGGGCTGCAGCTTGGGATCGTAGGAGGGGCGCGGATGTGGTTCGCTTGCTCGTGCTCCGCAACAAAATGTTGTTGGCTTGCTTTTCGGTGCGAAGCTTCCTCGAGTGTGGACCTGCAGGCAGATAGTCCGAAATCGAGAAGGAACGACGGAACTTTGTGCCATTTGAACTCTCCTCTTGCCTCTTGATGGGGATGCTGACAGAAAGACCTCGATCCCGGGGTTGGTCTTGTATGTGCGTGAACGAGGGCGTGCCAGGGCGGCTCAAGTCAATGCTATCGCCATCCTGACTCGAGAGGTCATCAATCTCTACGGAACAGGCTACAACGGACTTTGCAAGCAACAGGGTCGGTTCTGAGCGTGCATCAGGAACGATTCGTTTGATCGGCTTCATGTAGTCACCATTCTTCTTCTTTTTCGAAGAGGCGGTGCGGCCTTTCTTCAGCGTGGGGCTAAAGAATCGGGTGTACTGCACTTCGGAGCTCGATGGAGTCCCTGGAGACCTTATATCCATATCCTCATCGAGTGTACTGCCGACCAAGGAAGTCTGGCATTGTAGCGTCGCAGACCTCTGGTGGCTTGTGGCAGGTCTCCGTAGGGTCGGCATGCGGGAGGATGTGGGTCGAGCTGTGTTGTTGAATGTTCGTATGGAGGTCGATCGTTTGACGAGCTTATTCGGTGCAAGTGGCTCAGGGGAGGGTTGTCCGACCATCGGCACGGTGGAGCCCGCATTCGAGAAAGCCATCGAGGCGTTCGAGTAAGAGACGGAGGGGGAGACAGGTCTGGAGTCGCATTCGTGGCTCGAGGCTTGTAATGAATAATTGGACAGACGTTTTATCCAAGAGGGGCGGGTCCGGAGTGTTAGTTCGGCATGCACATCGGAAAAATGGTCATCCTCCACAGGCATCTGCATTTGAGTCCTCCCAGTGCTCAGCCGAATCTCGGGTTTCGTATTGCTTGTGGTCATCCTTCTCGCCATACGAACTGGGCGTCTTTCGTGACTCCCCGTCTCGAGCGTGGAGGACTGAAGGGATGTGAAGGGTGGACTGCGTGTGTTCGAACAGTGAGGAGGCGTCATCAACATATTGCTCTGTTCGTTTGTTGGGCGCTCGTTTGGCAAGGCAGCGGAAGCCGGGGTGGAAAGCGGGCGACCGATAGACAGTCCCACGGCGGAAGCACCAATGGCGGTGGCAGTGGCACAAAGCTGTATTCAACAACAACAAATCAGCACGCGTGACGAAGCAAAAGAAGACATGACAGGATATGACAGAAGCACACAACGAGGGTGTGAGGGTTCGGTAACGGGTGTCGACGGTTTATGAGCAAGGTGCGACGAGCTCGAGCCACATAGCAAACACGTAAAGGCAAAGCACACAAGAAGGTAAATGAGCAACGTACCGTTGGAACTGTTTTCATACTTTCTGGCCACTTGAATGGTGCGAGTAGGATGACAGGACGAGCGAGAGAAGAGTCGAATCGACGCGATGACTGGTGGGCATTATGGCATTGTTGTCGAGGAGAGAGCTGGAAACCGGGGGAGCGCGGAGAGTCGTATAGGGCTCGCGACAAGTAGCAGCTGAGCCAGCGGGGAAGTCCACGACGAAGGAGAAGAAGAATGAAGAGGAGAAAGAAGAAGTGGAATGTCCAGACGAGAAGGGTGAGAAGGTGAGAAAGGACAGGAATGGAGGGGGAGAGTGGAGGAAGTGAGTAAGTGAGTAAGTGAGAGAGAGTGAGAGAAGAGACAAAGTAGGTGGAGCGCGCGGTTGGGCGTGTCTGTGTGTGTGAGGGTGAAGGGTTCCAGGGCAAAAAGGGCACGGCACACGTTTGGCGAGCGAGCCACTACACCAAAACACTTGTGAGGAACCACACAGACACACACATATATCTACAACACTGCTAGGATCGCCTGGGAACACCTTCACCACACAGACATCCGATCTTGCCCTAGACCACACCTCTCAATCGTCTCAATGCCACATCGTTGTCGTTGTCGTTGTCTTTGTCTTAGCACGAAGCGAACTGCAAATTGTTTTTCAAAGCACGTCGACACATACAGTAGTACTAGCCCCCTGGACGCCCATCCACTCCAACTTGTATCATTACTTGGCCCTAATATAGACCTGGAATGAGTAAATGGGGGAGAGAGACAGAGAGACAGAGAGAGGGAGGTGGTGGTGCTGCTAAGCCACAGCCATCTCGGAGGCATGCAGACTACGGAGCGAATGGATAATTATTGTTTATGTTGCACATCCACATTCTCCACGATAGTTAGATGATGGCATGATGCTCCGCCGGGCCATATTGCAGCGCGCGACCAGGCGTGTTGCTCTGTTGACGTTTCAGGTATATGTAACTTATGGGTTGCTGTGCATGCAACGAGCAAAAGCCTACACAGACACACAAATATACACAACTACACAACTACACAAATACATAAATACACACACACACACAAGTCTGTCTGGTAGGAGGAGGAGTGACTGGGAAGATGCCTGAACAGACGGATCGCGTGAAGTTGCGCGGGCCATTGCTTGTCGTACCACCTGGTGCTCAGAATAGGCTTTCCACTAGAACACTGACAAAAGACCTACAGTACGACCACTTTCCCCGGTCGAGTGAGGCCGAACTGCCTTGACCATGCCATTATCCATGCTGTGAGTGAAGCACCCGCCCCCGAGCGGCTTGTACACACTCTGTAGTAAATCATGAAGCCCCATGGATGAGACACCACATCCATGATAATTACCACCTAACACCATACACACTCACTCTAAGCCCTCCTGGCCACCTACAGAAAGACCAGAATAGGAAGTGACGCAAGAGTGGGGACTGTTGCGTATAGTAAGACAGCCAGCACGATGAGGGGCATGAATTATGCATATTGCATCTCCCAATATCGGAGAAAAGATGGATAAGCAGCGGCAGCAATGGAATGGATCACGATTGTTGCTCATGCTCAATGCCCCATCAACAAGCAAACATTCCCGAGGACACCGGGTGTTTCGCATCCCCGCAAGAGCAAGCCAATGATAGGCCCCTGGCTTGAGCAGCATATGCGGCAGTGACAGAATCATGTATAATAACATATTCTGTCCCGTGTTTCTTGTGCCGACGTCTTCGCAATGAATCCATCGGGACCTCTAGCAGCTGTCGGGCTGAGACGGCAGGGCAGGCCAATAAATCCAGATTTGATGCTTGTAGCGAATGGCGTTATGGAGTGTTCCGAGATGATGATTGATCGATCTACTGCCTAGTAGGCTGGTACCACTGCAAGTTCTGCCACTACAGGGTAAGCGAATGCCGTGACAAGACGCCTGCCCTGCAGTTCTTTGCAGTATTAGTAGATTGCACTTGCGGCTGACAGCTGTACATGGGTTGGATGGTTGGATGGATGGAGGAATGGTTGGTTGGTAGGTCGGTCGATTAATAAGGGACCGGGGAGGTCACCAAGTTTGGGTAGGGCGGCCAGGGCCTGGTTCTTCGGTTCGTCATTTCATCTCATCCAGTCGACTGTATGTACTGTAATACCTTGACCCTCGCGGCTATCAAGCATCTGCAGAGAGATGGAAGCGCGCGCGCAAACGCTTCATTGCGGATTGACAGCTGTTTTGGAAACAGGGACAGGGACAGCGACAGCGACATATCAACCACCCGAAGCCCATCTTCTCTCATCAATGATCAATCACCATCCCTCCTCTCAAGCCACACAAGACGCCAGTCAGTGGGTCCTGGAATGTTAGCCGTCGTTGCGACTTGGAAAGCTGGAGCTTGAACACCTTCATGGACCCATCCCAAATCCCTGTGAGACCTTTTTGTTTTTTCTGCTTCCAGCCAGGTTTTTTGTCGCCCTGTGAAGTGTGTGAACCACCATTCCATGACTTCCTTCATCTGCATGCGGTCCCATCTGCGCTGCTGCTGCTGCTGCTTGTCTCTCTCGCCTTCGTCACGCCGCTCACCAGCGTCTCGTTCCAATTTACCAGACATACCGTAGTCGTATTTAGTACCCTTCTGCCCGGTGGTCAGGGCCATATGATGCACGGTGCAAGCCAAGGGTAATAATAGCAATGGATGCCTTTACCTTTCCGTTGACCCCACAGTTGATGTGGGAATGCGTGTGCAGAGTGTGATGCATCTGTGATTGCCCGCGACTAGAGAATTGCCCGATACCAGCCGTCTCTGCTCCGTCGTGTTATCTTGTTAGGGAGTAGACGAGCTGTGTGTGTGTGATATGTAGTTGTTTGCTTGTTCATTTGCTTGCTTGCTTGCTTGCCAGCGTGTCGGTTGGCCCCTTTCTTGTGCCATGTCCGTCTCGTATCCTCGATCGCGTCTCAACATCAGGATCATCCTTGGGATATATGGATGCGGGCAACTTGTTTCTCCGATTGGTGCAGATGACGAGATTCTAGAAGCGCAACCACCAGACCGGGGCTCTGACCGCTACTGTGCTGTTGCGCTTGGGCAAGTTTTGCTCTACTGTGGTATGGTTGTTGTGGTTGGTGGTTCACCAGTTAGTTAGGTGGCTTGCGCTTCCTTTTGCCCCTCCCTCTCCCCTCACAATATGAATCGGTAGGCAAAACTCAACCACAACGCTAATTAATCACTCTGCCAAAAACGTCACGAATCATCTTGTTAGCCTTACCATTCTCCAAATCCGTGCCGCAGCCTTCTCGCCAACCCTGCGACTTTGTGCCGATTGCCAGTTTGAGTTGTGTTAGTTGCTTAGTTGCTTGGTTGCTTGCTCATTTCAATCAAGCATCACTCACCATGGAGGCCGAAATCCGCGCCCACATTCCAAACATCGACCCTATCTTGACCGACTACTCCATTGGATATCTTACTCATGCCTCAAACTCTTTCTCTGCCGATGCCGACCCAAATGCCCCGACACCCCTGTCCGAGGCTGCTGCCTCCATCACCGCACTATTAGTCTCTGCATCCGGGGACTTGTCTGACAAGAATCAGTCAATCATCCAGAATCTTGTCGACAAGTTTGTCTCCCGACTGAGCACTGCAAATGGCGCCAATAATGGAAACCGCCAAATGGCTCCAACGACGAGAAGGCTGGATCAAGCTATCAATGTAGGTGCCCAGCGGGGCATGTCCTCCACCCTAGGTTTGGCTGGAGGCAATGTAGACTTGGAATCTGCCAATGCCCGCAAGGTCGAATCTCGCGTCGATCGCAAGAAGCTAGAGAAGGCTGAGCGCAAGATTGCTGCAAAGCAGGCTCGAAAAGTCATGAAGAATGTTGAATATGAAGCGTCAAGATTGCTTGACATCCCTGATGAGACCCAGTCCTATGAGGACTTTTACATGGCCGTCAATCCTTTGCAGCTAGGCAACGAGAACGCCTCCAAGAGCAAGGACATTAAGGTCGAAGCCATCGACGTGGCCATAGGTGGTTTGCGAATCTTGACTGACACGAACCTTACCTTGGCGTACGGCCGCAGATACGGTCTGGTCGGTCAGAACGGTATTGGTAAAAGTACTCTGTTGAGGGCTTTGAGTCGACGAGAAGTGGCTATTCCAACTCATATTTCAATTCTACACGTAGAGCAGGAGGTACGTTATTGCACGTGAACAATCTGGTAAACATGCTAATATGCCGAAGATTACTGGAGATGATACCCCGGCTCTTCAAGCAGTGCTGGACGCCGATGTCTGGCGAAAGCATTTGCTAAAGGAGCAGGAGAAGATCACCAAGGAACTGAACGCTATCGAATCAGAGCGTTCGTCGTTGGCAGATACATCCACGGATGCAGCTCGACTAGACAAGCAACGCGAAGGACTTGACCAGACCCTCTCTGACATTCATGGCAAATTGTCCGAAATGGAGTCTGATAAGGCAGAGTCTAGAGCGGCAAGTATTCTCGCTGGTCTTGGTTTCTCGCCAGAGAGACAGCAATTTGCTACCAAGACTTTCTCAGGAGGATGGCGGATGAGATTGGCCCTGGCCCGAGCCCTCTTCTGTGAACCTGATCTTCTACTTCTTGATGGTAAGCAATGCGCTTCGCACACTGCCTAGGCTGAGACTGACATCCATTTAGAACCTTCCAACATGTTGGACGTGCCTTCTATCACTTTCCTGGCCAATTACCTACAGACATACCCGAGTACTGTCCTGGTAGTGTCTCACGACCGGGCTTTCCTCAACGAGGTAGCTATGGATATCATCCATCAACACTCGGAGCGTCTTGACTACTATAAAGGCGCAAACTTTGGTGAGTTGCACATCGAAGCTGCCTCTTATACCGCTAATGCCGTGCAGATTCCTTCTATGCTACGAAGGAGGAGAGAAGGAAGACAGCAAAGCGAGAGTACGAGAACCAGATGGTCCAGCGAAAACATCTGCAAGACTTCATCGACAAGTTCCGTTACAATGCAGCCAAGTCGTCAGAGGCGCAGTCACGTATCAAGAAGCTGGAGAAAATGCCGGTTCTCGAAGCCCCTGAGAGTGAATATACTGTTCACTTCAAGTTCCCCGAGGTTGAGAAGATGTCGCCTCCCATCATACAGATGACCGACGTCACTTTTGGCTACGAGCCTGGCAAGACTTTGCTCAAGAATGTCGACTTGGACGTCCAACTTGATTCTCGAATCGGCATTGTCGGGCCCAATGGTGCCGGTAAGACAACGGCGTTGAAGCTGCTTACTGGAGCGTTGCAACCAACATCTGGACTTATATCTCAAAATCCCCGACTCCGCCTGGGATTCTTTGCGCAACATCATGTCGACGCTCTAGATATGAATGACAGTGCTGTTGGGTTCATGGCGAAGACCTACTCTGGAAGGACCGAAGAAGAGTACCGTCGCCATCTCGGTGCCTTTGGCATCACAGGTATGACTGGCTTGCAGAAGATGGGATTGTTGTCGGGAGGTCAAAAGTCACGTGTCGCATTCGCTTGTTTATCCTTGCAGAATCCGCATGTTCTGGTACTTGACGAGCCGTCCAATCACTTGGACATTGAGGCTATGGACGCCCTATCGACTGCGCTGCAGCAATTCCAGGGTGGTGTGCTCATGGTCAGTCACGATGTCACAATGCTACAGAATGTTTGCACGAGTCTGTGGGTGTGTGACAATGGCACAATCGAGCATTTTGATGGAACAGTCAGTGATTACAAGAAAAGGATTACAGCACAGGCAAACGAGGCTGGTGTTGTGGCAGCTCACTAGAGGTCTGGTTGAAATGAATGGCTGGCGATGTTAAGTCTACACCCACGCCCGCCCTATGTATTAGATGTATAGAGCTCCGGTAAACAAACCGTCCAGGTAGTCCACCTATTACAATGACCGTCGAGCAGCCAAAACACGCAACCTACGACATTTGTATTGTGGTAATAGTCCCTGATCGATCGTGTGTGTGCTGTAGTAAAAGTGCGTGGGGCGATTTCGCGCGTGCTAAGCCAGGTCTGTGGTGGCTAGCTGCGCCTACCAGGACTGGACCTGGACGAGCAGCCAGTATTAGTCCATCCAGTACAGGGCCCAATATTTGGTTGTTCCCCAGAATCGCTTCAACCTCAACTCCAACACGTCCTCGATCGATTTACTGGCACGTCTTACCACGACTAACTTATTAGCGATTCGAGCAAACAACTCTTCCTCATCTTAGCCCATGCTCCAGGCGCTACATTGATAAGCTCTCTGTTCGGCCCGGCTGAGCCCTAATTCGACTCCCGTCCTATCCCAGCGTTGATCTCGTCAAAGCCGTCACCTTGTCGCGATCACGAGAAGCCAACGGTTCGTCCGATACTGTCACTCCTTTAGTTTCTCAATTAGACGAACGCCTGTATCGTGGCAGAGGCCAGACCGACTCCAGTCCGCTCTTTCGGACCGTCTCCGACACGCGAAGCAACACGGCAGACTCGCCTGATCCTCCGCCCTTCTCGTCCCTTTACTTTCCATTCACACCTTCCAACGGGGAACACTACAAAGACACATCGCCAGACGTTACCTGCGAGACTCTTCCAGCTTTCGCCGCGGTTGCGCCTACGCATACGCACGAACCATCGTCTTCCGCAGCGACATCTGTACTTGCGGAAACAAAGGCAGCCCTACCGCGAGATACAAAAGAGAAAGAAGGCTCTAGCAATAAAGAGCTCGACGACGGTGAACCCCCTCCTCCATATAGCGAAGGGTCGAGTCCGCTTGACTCATTCACCTACGTAATGGCGACCGCTGGAGGCCCTCAGAGCCTTATAACGCAAGTGTCGCAAGGCGGTGGACCACCGATCAATACACTAGGAGGTATCGCATTCTTCGTTCTCGAACAGTAGATGCTAGTAAATGCTAATATGCCACCGTGCTTAGGAGCATCCGACGAGAACATTACCCTAGATCTCCGGTAAGTTCGCGAGCGCGCATGGTAACTCAGACATCTGACATGTGCGACAGCGGCACCAAGTTTACTCTCTCAAGAGATGAGCTGCTCACCTTGCCAGAGTTCGTTCTGCTCTCGCTGTTTCCAAATGGCCTCCTTCCAGATGGCCAGATGAACTCTTATAACCACGAAGGCGACGTCTATCCAGTCGATGTCAGTACCGCTGAGTCAAGTCCCATTTTACAAGTGTCATTTCGCTGTACCAAACGTTCTGTTCAATGGATTATATGCCAACTTCGTAACCCTTTATTATATCTATCTGACATGAGTTATCTTTCCCAGTATGACCCGAATTCTCTCCAGTACATGCTCGAATTTTTCCGGCACGTTGCACAAACAATTCCCGCCTCTCCTCCATCCCCATCGGCCGTTACCGGACCAGATCATCCCACCGAGGCGGTGCCCATCGAGCCTATGCATGGATCCGCGCGTGACATGCTACAGGATCGTGCTGGCATAATCGTTCTTAGGGAGGACTTGGACTTTTATGCGATTCCGCCGCGACCCGACATCGATCCGACTGAGATGATTGCGGTAAAGCGAGCTGCTGGTCGAGCTTTGCAACAGCAAGATGGTATCTTCTCAGGGCTGCGCAAAAGTGAAGAGCCGGGGACCACCGAGCAACATCTGATTGAGATGCTGACAGCAGGGTAAGTGCCTTGCAGTGGTAGCAAAGTCTCGAGATTGATATATGTTTCCAGTGGCTTTAATCACGATGATAGCTGGGGCCATCGTGCGGGAGAACCAAATAAAGCGGTCATCTGCAGTATCGCATTGGCTAGGCTTCGCACTGATATCAAAGGCAACGAGCTCCAGAATAGTAACGTCGTCGGTATGGCTCAAAAGCTTCTCCTCTTCTGGCGCAAGCCAGCTCGTAGGTGCTGGTGGGAAGGTGTCGAGCTCGAAAATGTCGACGGCGTTCAAGGTAAGCTAAAGTTATGGATCCGACGCGTATGGACTTTAGAAATGGTACGTTGGCGACCCTTCAACAAGTTATTAATACCTCTCTAATGTTGCTTAGAGCGTCATTGGACTTCGTTAAGATGCCGAGGGACTCGCGATATTTTACATCATGCCACAAAGCGTGGCAGAGGCTGTACAGCATCTTTCACAGAGATGCTGCTAAGGTTGACTATTGCTTTGAGCAAGAAGAGGAAAAGAACAAGCCTTGACTGGTTTCGGCCCTTCGCATTCAGCATGCATTTCATTTACAGTACAGTAGCCAGGCGTACGGTTTGAAGATCAAGCATTCCAAGGGAACAATGAGCGGACCGCATCGTACATAATACACCCGAGAACTAAATCAATAATACCCAGTTTCCTTGAGTCGATGATGATGTCGCAGACCACTTCCAAATCCCATGCAATCTTTTCGGATACAAGCCATCGCCGGTGGATCAAGTGCCGTGCCGAGATGCTCGAGTACGTTGATGGCCGGAACCAACATCAGCTACATGGATAGGCTACAGTAGGCTACCCGCTGTTGTTGAGCCTCGACAAGACTCTGAGAGCCGGTGAGCTGGCACCACGTTCCTACCTAGCTATAGTCCGACTCGCAATGCACTTCCAATCATAGCCACGAGCGAGCATCGGAAGTCCGGCATGTAAGACAGGCGGATGTACTCTGAATGTCAAGCTCCCCGCCCTATGACACTTAAAACTCCACTGGGAGACAGCGGTGTGAGCGAGAGTGAGATAACAAACAACGTATGCTAAACAAATGACAGGAAAATCAAAGGTCTATTTCAGCATTTGACCATGGCAACAGCTCTGCAATTGGTCTGTAGTCGGCGTTGCTAGGGACACGCATCCATTTGTAGTCGGAAACCTGTGCCTGTGTACCGGAGCAAAATCAATGGATCCGCAGTTTTCGGTGCCCGAATACGGCGCCGCCATTGGACTGAAAACTGCCCCTCGTCTCTCCCTCCCTCCCCTCATTATCCACTTCGCTCCCAGCAAAATACTTTTTCTCTTTTCTCCAAACCACCTTAAATCTCTTCTCACATCCTCTGAATTCACCCTCCTCCCTCAACTCTTGCATTTAGAAATCGTCACTCCTGTCCCTTGTCTCAATTCACAATGGCTGCCCCCGCACACAAGTTCAAGGTCGCTGACCTCAGTCTGGCGGCGTTTGGTCGCCGTGAGATCGACCTCGCAGAGAATGAGATGCCAGGTCTGATGGCTACTCGTGAGAAGTACGCCGCCGACCAGCCATTGAAGGGTGCCAGGATAGCTGGCTGTCTTCACATGAGTTCGTAAACACCATCTGCTGTCGTCATCGTGGTTTCTAACGCATCACAGCCATCCAAACCGCCGTGCTCATCGAGACCCTCAAGGCCCTCGGTGCCGAGCTCACCTGGACCAGCTGCAACATCTTCTCCACACAAGATCACGCTGCTGCTGCGATTGCAGCCTCCGGTGTCCCAGTGTACGTTATTCGTAGACCTCTCTTTCCTACGGCACACTGATTCTTGACACAGGTTCGCATGGAAGGGCGAGACCGAGGAAGAGTACGAGTGGTGCCTCGAGCAGCAATTGACTGCCTTCAAGGATGATAAGAAGCTCAACCTCATCCTTGACGACGGTGGTGACTTGACCGCTCTTGTGCACAAGAAGTACCCCGAGATGCTCAAGGACTGCTACGGTGTGTCCGAAGAGACGACGACTGGTGTGCACCACTTGTACCGCATGCTCAAGGGCAAGGGTCTCCTTGTTCCGGCTGTCAATGTCAACGACTCCGTGACGAAGTCCAAGTTCGACAACCTGTACGGCTGCCGTGAGTCCCTCATCGATGGTATCAAGCGTGCTACCGATGTTATGGTCGCCGGTAAGGTCGCTGTCGTTGCCGGTTTCGGCGATGTTGGCAAGGGTTGCGCTCAGGCTCTCCACGGCTTCGGTGCCCGTGTCATCGTCACGGAGATTGATCCCATTAACGCTCTGCAGGCCGCCGTCTCGGGTTACCAAGTCATGACCATGGAGGACGCTGCGCCAATTGGCCAGATTTTCGTTACCACCACCGGCTGCCGTGATATCCTGACTGGTGAGCACTTTAGCGTCATGAAGAACGATGCCATTGTTTGCAACATTGGCCACTTTGACATTGAGATTGATGTTGCGTGGCTCAAGGCCAACGCCAAGAGCGTGCAGAACATCAAGCCCCAGGTGGACCGCTACCTCATGCCAAATGGCAACCACATCATCCTGTTGGCTGAGGGCCGTCTCGTGAACCTGGGATGCGCTACTGGCCACTCTTCCTTTGTCATGTCATGCTCCTTCACCAACCAGGTCCTCGCCCAGATCCTTCTATTCAAGGCGTCGGATGAGGAGTTTGGCAACAAGTACATTGAGTTTGGCAAGACCGGCAAGCTTGACGTGGGCGTCTACGTCCTTCCCAAGATTCTCGACGAGCAGGTCGCTTTCTTGCACCTTGACCACGTCAACGCCAAGCTCTCGAAGCTGTCGGAGAAGCAGGCCGAGTACCTTGGTCTACCAGTCGAGGGGCCTTACAAGAGCGACATGTACGTGACTTTTTTCCCCCTCATCCAGATTAGCAGACGTCTTGCTAACATGATGGCAGCTACCGATACTAAAGTAAGCATTTACGAGCGTCTATTTCCTTTGTCATGTACGAACTGATTCAACACGCGGACAAGCGGATGATACCAAAAAGCGGCATTTGTCTTCAACGGCATTCGGGGCCTGGGACGACGGGAGACGGATCTGGTGGGATAAGTTCAAGACAAAATATGGTTAAGATATGGGAGGAGCATCGGCGTTGGTCATCTAACGGCATTTCAACCAGCCGGGATGATGATGATGAGGATGATGATATATACTGTTAGGAGAGAGAATGAGAGAGATAATAGCCCACTACAGGCTTACAGGCATGTTGCGGGGTATAGAATCTGTAGAAAGTAAAAAAGAGGCCAAGAGGCCATTTTCAACATTACATTTTGGTTAAACTCCGTACTTGCGTAAGGTAACGTATTGTCTATAGACTTTTTCCCATGACAAGCCGTCGAACATAACACCGTTTCATGCATCCCCCCAACCTCGCCTCACCTCAGCTCAGTACAAGAAAAAAAGACTATGTTTGTCCGCTACGCGACGAGCACACCACCATGTTTTTTGCCCAGCTCAGGCATTCCCGGCCTTGCCCACCTGGAAGATGCCCGAGGCCTTCTCGTCCGACCTCAGGGTAGCCCAACTCCTGCCATCCGCTTTAACTAAAGTGAATTCCAACTTGGCCACGCCGACCCGCCAACTACTCTTCTCCACATCAACGGGGCCAAACAGCGGAAAGTCGGCCTTGTACGCCTTATTCTCCCCGGTCTTCAGATCCAACGAAATCGTCTCGGGGCCCCTGAACTCAATCCGACTCCTCTCCTTGTCAATCTTCTTGAGATAGAGACTGGCAATAACGGTGGTGGCAGTCTGGTAGTAGTCTGTGCGCACGGTCTGCAGCGTCTCGGGCTTTGCCCGCCCGGAGCCAACGTAGAGGTGTCGCGGCTTCGTGACGCAGCCGGCGATGCGCATGAACTCGTCAAACTCGAGCACGCGTCGCTTGCAGCATGTCCAGCCTTTGCTGCCTTCGTGGAAGATGGGGGAGCCCGGGTGGTGTGTGCAGGCGGTGTCGGTGGCGCGTGTGCCGGTGTATTGGGTGCCGCAGGCTTTGCGTCGGCAGGTTGCGCTTGCGGGGATGGGGAGGGTGTCGGTGTCGTCTGAGGTTTCGGGGTCGGGGTCTGGGGGCGCTGGGGTCGCGGCGGGTTGTTGTGCGTGCTGTGGTTGTTGTGATTGTGATTGTGTTGGTGGTTGTGGTGTGCGAGCCGGGGCGACTGGTTTGCGGGTAGGAGGGGGAGGGTCTGTAGATACGGGCTTTGGGGCTGGGGCTGGTGTGTCGTCGACGGTGGAGTGGGTGCCGGTGGTGCAGGGCGGGATGTCGAGGAATTCGTCAAAGGTGAGGACGCGAGGCTTGCAGCACTTCCAGCCTGGATGGGGGAATCAGTTGTGAGGTTTGAGAGGTGGAGCGATTAGACGGGTGAAGAGGATGTGTATATGTATATGTGTTTACACGGACATACCTTTCTGGCCCTCGTGGAAGATGGGTGGGCCGGGATGGTAAACACACGGGTCGGTGTCTTGAGAGAAGACCTTGCCGCAGCCCTTGTGGACGCACTTCTTTGCGGACATGATTGTGCTAAGAGGAAGAGAGTACTGTGATGGAGAGGAGAGCAGAGAGGGAGATTGATTGATTAGTGAGAGGAAAAAAGGATACAATCATGCATCCATCGCCAGGAATTGAGGGGTTGTGACGCTCCAGAATTCCCGAGAATCGCGAAGAAGACATTCTGCCGCTGACGTGAAGGCGGTGTGGACGGGCGGATCCATGGGTCTGACACGTGAACGTACAGAACGACCACGACCATTTGAGACAGTCAGTCAGTCCGGGGTAGAAACGCCTTCAATAATAGTGCAGTCCAGCCAGAATGAAGCCAACGTTTAGACTGCTTCAGCATGCATGTCGTATTACTCTCTTCACGAGACCCAATTGCTCTCTCTGCGACGATGCAAAGTCAGTCCTGTCGCGTCTCTGGGACAAGAGACCATTCGAGTATCAAGAGATTGAGATCTTGAAGCCGGGAGCAGAGAAATGGAAGGCCGTGTACGAGTTTGACACGCCGGTGGTAAGGGGATGATCTATGGGATGGTGATGTTCATGATAGCTTATCCCTCTCCAGATGCACATCATGAAGGCAGAGGGGACTGTTGCGGAAACGCCTGTGAACGCTGCACAGAAGCTTATGCACCGCTTCAAGGAAGCTGAAGTCGAAAAGGTCATGGATGTTGTGGAAGCTCAGTAGACTGTTTGCATCTCCCTCCTCACTATTGTACTGCCAGTGGTCAAATTCTGCCATATCACTTCCGGACCGACAAGAATCACAGCACCCGTAAACATCCAAGGGCCCACTGTTCTGCTCGAGCTGCCAATCGCGTCACTACCAGGCCGGCAATGGCATCGGATCGGCCTTTGAGGACGATGAGGGGCAGCTGTAGCTGTTTGGCACCCCCACGTTCTTATAAACGCCCTGCTGCTCCAGACGACACGAAGTACTTAAGCCTGTCTCTCACATGATTCTATAGTTTCCTCAGTTGCTCGAGAGCCCAATACCATCCCACAATGCAGAGCTTCAGTCGGATCCAGAAAGCGTTAAAGGGTGGAAAACCCAGTTTCGGGGGATGGCAGGTCAGTATAGATGGAATGACCAACACCACCTGCAGGACCAGAAACTAATACAAGCCGTAGATGCTTCCGGGCACTAATCACTCGCGGGCAATGGCGCGCAGTGGGCTCGACTGGATCACCATTGACTGCGAGCATGGCCGTATCGCAGGTACAGACACGTGGACTTGATACTATCATGAATATGACCCCCCTGATCCATTCGTTCTGCAGATCACGAAATGCACGAAGCGGCCGCGGCAATCGCTGCATGTGGCGTCAGTCCCATTGTTCGCATACCCGCCAACGAGCCATGGATGGTCAAACGCAAGTCATCCATATCGGGTCTCTTGTCCCCCCAACTAAATGTCTTCAGGTGCTCTCGATGCCGGCGCACACGGCATCGTTGTGCCGCTGATATACACGCCCGCCGACGCCGAGCGGCTCGTTCAGTCAGCCAAGTTCCCACCCGTGGGCACGCGTGGGTTTGGATCACCCTGTCAGTCTCCCTACTATAAACTACCAACCCCCGAATCACACACCTTCTGAAACCTCAGACAGTCCCGATGCAGAACTTCGGCAACATCTCCATCACCGACTACCTCACGCAAGCCAACGACGCCCTCGTCACAATCGTGCAGATCGAGACCCGCGAGGCCCTCGAGAGCGTCGAGACCATTGCCGCCATCCCGGGCGTCGACGTCCTCCTGATTGGGCCGTTTGACCTGGGGAACAACATCGGGCGGCCGATCCTGACGGCAGGCGAGATGCATGTGGAGCTCACGGATGCCATTCAACGCATCCATGTGGCGGCAGGCAAGGCGGGTAAACGGACGGGGATCTACTGTACGAGTGGGCAGCAGGCGCGTGAGTTTGCGGACAGGGGCTTCCATATGATTAGCGTGGCGGCGGATATGATGGCGCTTCCGGCGTACTTTGAGCAGACGCTGAGGGTGGCGAGGGGTGGTGCGGATGCGGACGAGGGTGAAAAGCCAAAGGGGCCGTATGGGGGTTAGGGGGGGGAAGTCTGGGCTGCTGCAAGATGGTCAATGATACACGTGTGTGGTAGAAGTTGTAGACCTGCTGTCTGTCATAATATACATCCATACCATCCATGTCTCCAATGTCTATACCTATACTGTACATCTATGCAAATAACCTCCATACCCAATTCGTTCAACCTCTACCTCTACCTCTATATCTATATCTATCTCTATAGCATCCAAGACAAACATCATCCAAAAAACAAAACCCAAAGTCTATGATAACATGTTCGCCATTAAACCAACCAAAAAAAGGAAAACAAAGTCATTAAAGGCGTGAAGAGGTGTTAAGACAGAGCGATATTAGAAAAAAAAGAGAGTTGGGGGTTGTTGACAGGCTTGGAAGCGAGGGGGAGGGGGTATAATATGTTCTCTTTCTCTCTCTCTCTCTCTCTCTCTCTCTCTTTGCGGGATAGGGAATTCGTGGAGGCGTCAGGGGTAGTGGGTGAGTCCATGGTAGTGTAGTGTCGGTGTGTGGTCGTCCGGAGTAGGTATGTAGATAAGTGTGAGTGAGTAGTCCACGGTGTGCCAGTGAGGGTATCTCCTTAGACGAGGGAGTAGGTGAGGTCGACTCGACGTCAGATGGGTGGTGCCTCAACCGTCCAAGACCGGAAGGAACAAAGACAACAAGAAGAACAAGGCAAGAGCCATCCCTCTATCCTTCCTTCCCTCTCTTATTCCTCACAGCCTCCCCAGCTAGGCAGACAGTAACAAGTCCCTCACGACCTCCTCACCCCAACAACCCTCTTCCCCACAACCCTCCCAGCAGCCACTCCCACTGCTCCACCACCCCTCTGCATCTGCATCTGCATCTGCATCTGCATCTGCGCCGCATACCTCGCCGCCACCGCCCGCGTACTGTCCACCCCTCCCCCTGCTCCTCCTCCTCCGCCGGCCATGAAGCCAGCTGGCTCCGCGGGGGTGTCCTTGTCGTAGCACGCAGGACAGTTGTCGTCGACGCGGAACTGCAGCCAGACTTCCTTGCTCGAGGGCGTGGCGCAGGGGGTTTGCGTGTGGGCTGCGGCGGGGCAGTATTGGGCGAAGGTGCTGGTTGTGTGGGCGCAGGGGTGGCGGTAGAGGTAGAATTTGCACATTTTTTGTCTTGAAGGTGGGAGGGTGTTGAGGCGGAAAGGGGGTTGGAGTCGCGGTTGGAGGTGTAATATAGACGTGGTTGTAGTGTGGTTGTAGTCGTATTATAGACTTGATTGAAGGATAGTAACGCGGTGTATGGCCAGAACGACAGACAGTCTGCGAGGAGATATTATATGACCGACGGGGTCCAAGACGTGAGGTCGCCGACAAGACGTATGTTTGTCCGCCAGAATGAGGCTAAAAGCAGCAAGCAGGCAAGCAGCAAGCGGGCAAGCGAACGAATGGATATATATGTATCCGGATATAGTAACCAACGACAGACTTGGCCTCTAGAGGGATGGCACGGCCAGGGTAACAGACAGGGCCATGATTGTTATTTTTATTATTATTACCACCACCACAACGCACCCCATGGAAAGTTTGACAGGAACGGACGGACGGCCCGGGCGGAGGACAACAGACTGACAAGCGCCCAGTCAGGGAGAAACAAGCAGCGCAATTTGAGGAGTTTGTGTGAGAGCGGCGTTTGTATGTGTGTATGTTTCTGTGTGTCTCTGTGAGAGCGATCATCAAAACAGGAACACGCTACAGGGATCAAGGGCAATATAAAGAGATTTCGGCACGATGCAGGCCCCCCGTCTGTGTGTGAAGAGCCCAAAAAAAAACCAGTCGATGTGGAAAAATATTGAAGCACAAAACGGGAGTGTCCATACATCTTCATTCCAGACGTCAGCTCTGCCGCAGTCTATTGGCGGGCCGGGATCGTCAAAGCTTGAGGGTATGTATGCCCACTCTGCGTGAACCACGCATCCCGGCACATGTTTCATCAGACGGAGAAGGGGGAGTGGGAAGTGGGCAGTGGGCAAGGTCGGCGACAATGGGATTGGGGGACGAAGGACGAAAGGGAGATGAAGAAGATGGACAATAACAGGACAAAGTGCATGTTTGATAATTAGAGCGCTGCGAGTTGAGTGTAACAAAGAGGAAGTGGAGCTGGACGACGTTGACGGGTAGTTCTATGTAGGTAATTGCTGCAGACTCCAGACGACACGACAAGGCTTAAGGCTGAACAGGTAACGAAGACGACGATTCGATTGCGATTCCACGATGACCTGCAGGAAGCGCCCGGGGTCGTGGAAGAGTTCTGGAAGCAGGGTAGGCAGGGAGTGAATGACAGACAGAGAGAAAGAGAGAGGGAAAAGGACAGGACGGCCGTGCGTGCGTTGGCAGCAAACATGAGCTTGCGGGGAGGTCGGATTGCCCGAATCGGGCCAGCGTACCACGGATGCTGACAATACCTAGGTATCTTGTGGCTCGTCGTGCCGCCGCGTCTCAGATATGGACGCGGATGGACTGATGGACTGATGGAAATGGGGGGAGAAGGATTGGGGGACAACGATGGGGATGAGGATGGGGACGAGATGGAGATGGTGACAGCGACGGTCAAGGGCCAGCAAGACGCAATTCCCGCGCATTACCGGAACAGGCAGAATGGAAGAAATGGCATCCATCTTCCAGTCGAATGAACGTGGCAGAGAGTAAAAATAGAAAGTGAAATGAATGATTCTGGTCTGGTGGGCCAGCACCAGCGAGCGCATTGTTGTTGATTGATGTTGTTGTTACTATTCTTACTATTTTTATTACTACGTACTGCACTCCATCGCTCCTGCCCCCCAATGCCCATGAGAGAAAATGCTTGATTTGTTGATTAATGCGGATTAGTACGGATTAGTGCAAGATTAGTGCAAGTGTTGTTGCTGTCGGTGGAGGGATTAATGGACGCTACTGCCACTTCCGGTTAGAGGAGATGACATCTGTGACATGGACCAATCAGACACAGACTACACCGCCAGTTCTGACTCTGGGCACGTGACAGCGGAGTAAATAAAGCCTCGTCTCCGTCTTCATTGTCTTCAGAACAACCAGACAATAGTGGCATGTATAACAACTCATGTCTCATATCCCGTGTCTCATGTTCTCGAAAGGGACCGCTATGGGGACTGTACATGGCTGTCATTGTCGCGCAGCACTCACTTTCTTGGTTCTTGTCGTCGTCGGTCGAGCAGGCGTCGGGTGTAATGGCTGTTGTGTTCTGATAAATAATACATAACTTAAACTTCTCGGGGAATATCATCACCATCATCGTATCCGTCGTCCTTCCGATCGTTCGCAGCGGCCGGAACAGCGGGACTTTTCCCATATATGTCCTATTGCCTACTTTGCTTATACACTATTATCCCTATCATCTTACTCTTAGGTATTGCTGTTTATGCGTAATTACATGGTTATTATGGTCACCCACCCACCGACGCCACAATTTGTGCCAGCTGGCAGACACACACACACACACTCATGATTCATCCAGGCCAGATCTGGATTGATTGCTCACCATCAACGTGATGGATGTGTGGAGGCTTGACAGCGACGTAGCGGCCGCAGAAGAGGTCGTCTGCCATCCGTCCACTATCCATCCATCCACCCACCCATCCATCATCCATCCAGCCATCCGGCCATCCATATGCAGGACGTGTGTGGGCTGCATCAACACGTCTGCATCGTGCTTAGCGACCATGGTTTGACACGTTGCAGTTGACGCAGGTCGACGTCGCTGTTCGTCCCCCCTGCAATGCAAATAATATCACTGCCCTCTACCCCGTCCCCAGCCATCTTCTTTTTTCACTTTTTTGTTGTTTGACTCTTCGTTGTCGCCGTTGCATGTTACAGCCGTGGTGTCGTCGTCGTTGTCGCCCAGGCCTCACCACCACTGGAACCCCTCGGCTCAGTCTGTCGGTTAGTCCCATTCATCTCCAACTTTCACCCCAACAAAGCGCATATCTGTCTGTCTGCGCGCGAGTCGATACACGACCAGCCTCACGCTGCGCATCCTGCATCTTGTCTTTATTCGCAAGATACAAATCCGCTCTCCCTGTCCGTCCGCTTCTCGGCCACACTTGGCGCTCAACGCTAATCGATATCAGCATTCTGACCTTCGCAAGCCGTCCGCACGTGCAGGGGCCTCCTTCACACCGCCTGCAACATCCAAGCCCTTTTTAACATCTGCCATCTGCCCACTTCCTCGAGCCATTCTACTCCTCTCATAATTGAGTCTTCTGGCTCGCTCTGCCAGCAAAGTCGCTATGTGTTGGCGCAAGAGGCGCTCTGCAATTGCCGTCACTAATCCCAAACAGAGCTCTCCGCTCTGCCCAGACGCCACCACCTCGTTGTGACAACTCACGGCCTGACGACAACAAGAAAGTCTGAAGTGACGTATCAAGCCCCTCTTGGATTGGCCGGAAGAGAATACCTAGAGCTATATTCTAATACAAACACTTTTGCAAGTTTGGCTTGTACAAGTAATTTTGATTGCTTTGTCCTCGAGCATCCCGATTGGTTGGCCGCCGACTCTCTATACGGCGAATGAGAAGGCATCTTTTGGTCTTTTGGCAATAGGTAAACCCCCCCCCCGCTCAGTCTTCTTATCCACCTGTTGTGTTGATGTCTCGTACTGTGTCGTATGCTTGCGCAGATTCGGAGGCTAACATAATCGTCGATTTGCAGTTTCCACTTACTAATCGCACTATCAACACCCTATTCACTCGCTCACTACTCGGAGGCTGCTTGTATATCTCAATTGAGACGCACTCGGAGGCTTGTACTGTATCGCACCACCTGGATTCATCTATTCACTCATTCACTAAGGACTTCTGTTTTCTTTGGTCTCTTACGCCTTACGACATTGCTCATATCGAAATACGTATTCACGCGGCCACGATCTACGACATTGCTCATATCGAAATACGTATTCACGCAGCCACGATCTTCAAACGACCATTGACGTATTACGACTGAAGCGTGTGCACGGCCATTTTTTCATCTCACTCCACTTCCGAACCCATTGGTGCTCAGCATTCGACCATTACGGACGTCAGCGCTTCCAGCCTCATTACGACGGCTGTTGCACCACCACGACACGCTAACACTTCATTCGACGACTGCCCTGCCTCATCGAGCCCACTCGCCTGGTGAGAACTCACCTTGTTTGGTTCCGCTGCCCTTGCACGATGACACCCAATGTTTTGGTTCCAATTCCCCAGCCCCCAATATCATCATGCCGCATCTGGGGGGACCATCTTTATATCAACAAGATGGACTCCCCCGTGAGAGAGAATGCTAATTGATGGGTTAGATTGTGACCTGCCATGGCCTCTTCGGATGTGGACCAGAAATTCCTGGCTGCTGCTGCTGTGCGAACTGCCCCTGATAATGCCCTTGCATCTGCCGCCTTCTACAAGATCCTCGGCAACTCCGTCTTGCTCGCTCGCAAACTCTATCGCGCCAGGAAACTGCGCAAGCTCGACACTTCGCGCGACACAAAGTCGCTGTCACTATACCGGCACATCATCTGGATGAGTCGGGAAGGCTTGGAGCTGCTCGACACCTACATCCTCCCAGATGTCATGGACGGCCACTTTGATGCCGAGGTCAGAGTGCTGGCCGTGAAGCTGCGAGCCTCATACCACCACATCTTCTGCCTCTTCCACAACCAGCCTCCCGTGTCCCAGGCCGGAAATCCATACTACAAGCTTTCCACCGCCTCGCCCAAATCCTCCCCGCGCACCGGAGCAGCGAAACGGGGCAGCAAGCCCGCGACATCTCCAACAAAGACACGAGGTGGTGGCCTCCGTGAGCCCATTGACTCGATCACGTCAGAAACCAGCTTCGTCACCAATCCCTACCACGCGACCACGACGAGACTCGACCGCCAGACACCCCCTGGCCTCGCTCCTCCGCCGGGCCTCTCACCTGTCCGCATCCCACAGCCGTCTGCGTTTCTACTCCCGGTCATGAATTGGCTTCCCCTCACATCGTCCTACTTCATATCCGCCTCGGCCTACGCGCAAGCCAGCCTTCCCGGCTCGCACCCCCTGCGACTCTCCGTCGCCCTCGAACACGCCGCCTTTCTCTGGGACTGTCTGCATGACCACGACGGTGCCCGCACCATGGCCCGCGCCGCGATCAAAGACGTCTACCGCGCCCCGGAGAGCATGGACGACGACGACTTCCGCAGCGCCGCCGAGCTCGTCGCCACCCTCGGCCGCATGATGAAGCGCCGCAGCTGGGAGGGCACCCCGAGACCTGGCACCGCCACATCTCCGACCCCCGCCGTGCCTCCCAGTGTGTCTCCCACGGAGCCTCACGCAACACCAAAGACGAGCCCCAAAACACCACGCCAGGCCCACCCACGCCCGTCTCCGCCCGCGGCACCACCAAGCACCGAGCGACGGCGCAACTCAGGATCGGGCGCACACCCACGCGATCGCGACCGCAACGTCTCATTTGACACTCCTCTCTCTCCGACCCCCGACACATCTCAAGGCCGCGATGCCTGTCCTCCCACTCGCAGACCTAACAGCGCCGCCAACGCCAAAGACTCGTCTCCAGCGCACCCGGCCCGTCGACCCAGCACCGCAAAAGATGCCCAATCACCCCACACGCCACACAACCGGCGGCCACAGAAAAGTGGTGGTGGTGGCGGACATGCTAGTGCCGAAAACACACCTCGTGCAGGTGCTGTCAACGTAGGCAGGGTGACTACGCACTCTGTGCCTCGCTATGCAGTAGATACACGCGTTGATGCCAGTCCGCAGGCTGCAGAGCGACGGCATGTTGGTGGTGGTCCTGTTGCCCTTGGACGCGGCGGGGGGCGGGTTGTTGGGCGGTGAGACGAGCTGTATATGATGTATACTAGTATACTACCACGCGTGTTATGTGTGTACATTGGTTTCGAAGAATTGAGGGAGCGGTCGTGTTGTAATTAGTGATTTCGAGTCTAGATATATCCACAGCGAATGAGACGTGTAAATGGCGACTGTCTTTTCTTGTGTTACTGTTCCTGTGCCCTCCTACTAACGATATCATAGGGGACGGGCAAGTACGAGTAATCAGTATTACGATGTTGATTCCCGGCTTGAAAGTTTACTGTCATACGAGAAGCAAGGACCAGGCAGGGCGGGCTCTCGATATTGAATGCTCGACCCGTAGCACGACACTCTACCCATCTCCGTCGATATCTGCTACACACGCCCCGTCTAAAATCCCAATCCAAACCCCAGCCACTACCCCCAAATCACCAACTCACAAAATATCCGCCACAGCACCCACCAGAACCGGAAACCCATCCCCACCAAACCGCTGCACAACCCTCGTACTCCCACCCTTGACCATCGGCAACGGCAAATCCATCTCCGACAACACCCCCTTCCCCACCCGACTAACATGAAAGTCCTCGGGCAACTGAATCTCAATCTCCACGCCCCACGCCAGAATCAGCCGCGTAACCTTGCCATAAAATCGCTCCCGCCGCAGCGTCGCCGGCGTCCCCTCCTGCAGCGGAATCCCCCCTAGCGAATGATTATCCCCGACGTCCCAGAGCCCGCGCGCCACGCCCTGCGCATACGGCTTCTGGAGAAAGGTAATGGAGGCAGTAAGACTGTTGATGAAAGCCGCGGCGTCCGGATCGGCAGTTATGTCCTGGGGTGCGGGCGCGTCGTCGAGGGCCGGGTGGCCCAGGCTGGCCCAGGAGCGCTTCCAGATGTTTGCGAGGGGGATTTCGTAGGGCCCGTCGCGGGGGATGGGGTTGTTTTTGTTGGCGGGCCCGGCTTGTTTGATCCAGTATGTTGCTGTGGTTTCGTAGTTTTGGAGGACGTATTCGGGCCGGTAGAAGATTAGGGTTGGGTCGATGGGGGTGCCGGGGGGGTGGGCTTGGCGGGAGAGCCAGTTGTCGTCGATGGCGACGACTTTCATGTTGTTGCTGGGGGGTGGGTGGTGTTAGTTGGTGTTTTTGTTTGGGATTTAGGGGCTAGGAGGGGGGATGAAATACCCAAGCTGGGGCTCGACGCGCATGTCTGCTAGGCGGACGGAGTCGAGCTGTTTCGAGATGCTGGATAGGGAGGGGTCGAGGAGGCGTGTATAGGACGCCTGTGCCTGCTCTTCCTTCTTCCAGGCCTCGATGTAGCCGGTGTCGCTCTCGATGAAGTGGATTAGGGAGGAAGGGTCGGGCGTGGTCTTGGATGTGTCGGCGCGCGTCTTGATATATGCCCGTCGCGCCGTCTCCCAGGCTTGGTTCTTGATGTTCTTGCAGTCCAGCAGCGTGCGGCGGGCGTCGATGAGTTTCTCCGAGGGATTGCCCTGGTTGAGAAGATGGAGCATGAGAAACCGGACATGTAATCATCATGATGCTACTACCCCTTTCCGACACAGACAGACAGACCGACAGACAGACAGGAACACAGACAGACATACCTCGCCCGCAAACTTCAGATATCTAGACACCATCGAGAAGCAATCAATCACTACACATGTCCCCTTTTTCTCACATGCGCACAGAGCACACATCGCAGGACAGGACAGGATTGGGACTCACGAGCTCAGAAACTCAAAATACGACACCCCGTTCGCGGCATAGAACGGCCGGTTGACCTGCTGCATCGCGTCGCCCTGCACATACGTCTGGTAGTTTGTCACCTCGGGCGGGCACAGCTCGCCGCCGAGCACGCCGATCTGGCTCAGGTCGCCGAGGAAGAGCGCACGCCCTTCGTCGTACAGGCTGCCCGACGGGGTGAACTTGTTCTTGAGGAAGTAGCCCATGGCTTTCCAGAAGAAGGGCGGTTGTTGGCGTGTCGCTAGGATCGGGGCTGCGATGTTGGTCGGGAGGTTTGGGGAGAAGCTGGGCCTCAGGGTGCCGGCTTGCTGGGAGAGGTCTGGCTGTAGAGAGGAGAAGAGGCCATCGTCGATGGCGTGTGAGGTGTTGGGGTCTTGGGGGTTGGGAGTGGCCATTACAGCTGTGAAGGGGGGTTGCTTTTTGCTGGGGATGGGAGGTATGGATGTCTGTGGTCTTGCTGGTTGGCTTTAAGTACATGCTCGAGTCGTAGCATGGCTTGGTCTTCCATTTAGTGTTGTCGTTAGGGATGCTGGTGGAGTCTGTCTAAACGTATGAGCCTGAGTAACGTTATACTGCCAAGTGAATAGTCGTCTTCATTTCATATCTACTAGCGGCGCTCAGCACTCTGTGCTAGGGTCGGTACTTACGTTCCATGCGGCAATCATCGATTGTTATCCAATGGGTCGCATTCGGATACAGCAGTAGCATGAGCCTAGTATCTCTGGATGGCAGCAACGGGTCAGACCCAGACTGTGTACAAGATCCAAGCTGGCATGTTGACCCGAGCCTCTTCCAATCAGAAGCCGTATCATCACGGTGTTGTCGTCACACACATTGCATGCCTTACTGTTCCCACATGCATGAATGTCGCAACCAGAAACGTTTGGAGACTGAGATCGTCCTCGGAGGGGCCCAGACGCTGCTGGAATATTCAGCTGACGATGTCTACGCCCAACCCACAATTAAAGGAGCAGTACAGGTCCCGCATGTATAGTGGCCGGACCGCTCAAGCTACTACTGTCCCTGTATGCAGGTTAAGCCCTTTCCGGTGCCGGCGTGCATGTAATAGACCTCTGCCGAAGCTTTACTGTACTTGCATGCATAACGGCGCTAGCATACTTGATAGTCCCATATACTGTGATGGCTTTTTCACTTTCCCCATAGGCCCTTGCTGCGCTTCCAAGTCTGTCAAACTGTATATGCCCACGCTGAATCCGAATGGTTTCCTGCTCCTATATGCTTTAGGTTGGGTTCGATAGAACTAGAGTCCTCGCCTCTAGTCCTATGCCATCTTGTGGACCTGGGACGTTTCGGGAAGGGATCATGTGCTAGGAGAGGGTTTTTCGTATCGAGTTGAAGTCAGAAAGAGGTTGAGTCTAGCAGCTATTTCATAATGGAACGGGAGCCGGGGGGCCAGTCCCGTCATGACTGGCATACTTGGCGTCTTGTTCTGGGACGGGATCCGGGACGCGCGGTATGGGGATCCCGCTGGGGGCTACAACACTAGCAGGCTGGAAAAGACTTCTGATTGGTCTACGGGTGTGACTTTGACCCAAGTAAACATGACCTGCTCCTAACCTTATGCGATCTTACACATTCGGTTCGGGCAGCCGCCTGCGCAATAATAACATTAACACAGCGCTCCTTCCAACAGAATCCAATCGGAGAATATCAGTCTGGAGACTTACCCCTCAATCACGATGTACAGATTGCTTGGCCAGTCCATACTCACTTGAAAGACTGACTTACTGTACCGACATGCATACGCATTGCTTCCTTGAGCGCATTACCGGTCCCACATATCTTACTCTGCCTGCATGATCTACTTCTTCATAGCCATAGTGAGTAGCTGGGCTTCGACAGCGCAATGAGCGGAATGTTTCCCCATCTCGCGATGGCCGCTACCCATTACGACAGTGCGGTACCGGGTGTTCTCTTCTTCACCATCCATCAAGGTATCTAGTCCTACGGGATTTTTGCATACGCCTGAGCGCTTATTCGACCATGGTATGGAATTTGTAACCAATCCCTGAGCATTGAATCCGCTCCATGGACACAAGTAACATGGTCTTGCTCAACCTCGCCGGGGATTTTGCTTGATTCAACGTAGCGGCTGGCTGGCTGAGAGAAATGTGGCGAGCTGAGATATGCGACTCGATGGGAGATGTTGTGACTAGCTAAGAGAAATGTGGCTCAATGGAAGACATGCATGCCAGATGTGCCTAGAGACTAAAGAGTTATTGCGGTGGGGATGAGATCGGACCAAGTCTGGATGAGAGCAGCGCAGACTGCGGTATCTACTAGCCAGCAGAGGAGAAGAGTATTGACAAGCGAGGACAATGGTATGTATATAAAGGGCCCACGGAAGCTCGAAAGTGCAGGACATCAACACACACTCCTCACAACTCCAACATAGCAAAGAACTCTTTCACACAAAGTCCACCATCAATCCAAGCCATCTCCAGAATGTCTGCCGAGAAGGTCAACCAACTCTTCTGGCTCAACTACGGCCAAGCTATCAAAGACAAAGCCGGAGCGAACTTTGGTTCCACAGGGGTCTTCTTCCTTGCCTCCGAGACTCAGAAAGGACCTCTGGCTGGCAATGATGTCCTGGATGTATACACCAACAGGGGTATCTATGATGTGGGCAACAACTTGCTCGCAACCGACAACCTCTTCTACACCCCATCGAGCCTTCACGGTTATGTGGAAGCACTCTCCACGTGAGTAAAATCCCATCAAGCACTGCTAGCCAAGTACATTTTGCTAACGAGCATAGATTCCTCTGGTGGGTGGATCTCGTAAGTGGACAGCCCCTATCCAAGCACATGAATCATCCCAGCCAACTGACGACGACAGGGCGGCAAATCCAACGTGAACCTCGACTCAGCAGAGCGACAGGCCCTGCTCGACCTCGACGCGTCGCAGAAGTGGCAGCTAACGGAGATGCGCAAGGCCGCAGCCCAGTTCAAGGAGGAGAAAGAGCTGGGCCTCGTCCCGACTGGTGACTTCTACGACTGGGTGCAGAACGGCAATGCCACGGCCTACAGCGCCGCCGTGAAGGACGTCAAGGACAAAGGCCAGGCTCTCGCCATGATCCAGGGTCAAAAGGCCGGGCCCATGTCCCCAGCACGCGACGCTGATCTGTCTAAACTGACAAAGGCCCTCGACCAGTCCAAGGACTACCCCGGGTAAGCATCTATCTTATCCTCCCCTCGAGCAAACCCCGCCCCCGGCCGTCTGCTGACACTCACCTAGCTTCAACTTCGCATCCGCCATGGGCAACCCGCCCAACCCGGCCGAGCTCATCCGGAAGCAGAAGTCCGGCGAGAAAGTGCCGGACCCGCCAACGTCGCGCATCCCGGTGTACAACGCGCCACTATACAAGAAGGCGGTGCAGGACGCCATGCAGTATGCCATTGACTCGAAGCACGAGCCCAAGAACTCCGTTGGCATCGAGATCGACCTGGGCAAGAGCACGTCCGACTTCCACTTCGGCCACACGCAGGGCGGCGCATCCGTCGACGTCAGCTACGGCGGCTGGTTCAGCTTCAGTGCGAATGCGTCCCACGAGGAGGAGTCGCAGACGCTGGATACGCATGACGAGGGCTCCGAGGTGAGCGTCAAGCTGCTGTACGACACTATCGAGAAGGTGCCCATCAGCACAGGCGACTGGTAAGTTTCTTTTCTCTCACGAGATCCCCGGCCCCCTCTCCTTTCCCCTCCTTTGCCACGTGCTGACACAACTCTTTCAAACCAGGCAAATCGACGTGTCCAAGTACAAGCTGCGCGACGACGCGCCCAAGGACACCAGGACGCTGGCCAAGGTCAACGAGATGGTCATCGTGACCTATCTGGGCTACGAAATCACCGTCGGCACCAAGACGGCCAGCAGCCTCGACACCAAGTTCAAGCAGACCACGTCGGCCGGCGGCAGCGTCCGCGTGTTTGGCATCCCCATCGGCCTGGGTGGCAGTGGCAGCTCGACCGAGGAGCACAACACGCACGTGGCCAGCTGGGACAATGCGAAGAAGACGTTCAGGGTCCTCCCGGCGCCGGACAATGGGTTTGCAACCATTATCGGCGTGATCGGTGAGAAGTTTACGCTTGCTACCTGAGCGGTGGTCTGGGGTGGTGATTGAGGGCGCAGGAATGGAATGTGGGCTCGGTTGCTTTTGTGGACGCTCCTTGGATCTTGATTGTTGGGTTTTTGCTGCTTGCTAGTGGTCGTGTCTCTCGTTCAAAAAGGGGCTGTTGGTTTGGTTTCGTAGCTACAAGGTATCAAAATACGGATAGGACGCTGGTCTTCCTAGCATGACGCTTCCTTGATCGATGTGCCCCCTTGATCGGAAAGCCCCTTGAATCGACAAGCACTTTGACATAGCTGTAGAGTACGAAGTGATATTTACGAGGCAAGGAAGGTAGCGAGTGCTTGTTGAAAGATGGATAGATACGAGACCATGATATAGCACTCTCCTACCTAGGTCTCTACTTGCATGAGCTCATATCACGTTAAAGTGCATGTATCATTTGGACGATTATAGACTGCAATGCACACTGCGATTAAGATGGATACAAGGCAGTCAGTGTAGGCAGGTGAGACGCATGAACGATGATATGAAACTTTAATGCATTATCTTTGTTGTGCTTCAATGTTAGTAGTGTAGGCTTGGTATGACGTCTGCCTGGGATTAGTGTTACTGCAGCCCGTCCACGGTGGCATGCCCAGTGTGGACATCCCGATGAGGCAAGTGTGAAAAGCTAATGTTGAGGCCTGAGGCCTGGAGGGTTAAAGCCCTCAAGCTAAGCCTAAACAGGTAAGTCAATGACTGGCGGGCGTACCTAGGTAATCTCGGGCTGCTGCATATGTAGGTGTAGGTGTAGGTAGGTAGGCATAATTACATGCAGGCATATCGCCCACTCACTCACCTGATAAAGACAACGAAACAAAGAAGTAACAAAGATGATGGTCGATGGCGATATCAAAGGCCAGGCCCCCCGAAGTAAACTGCGGATGTAAATCTACTCAGACGTAACGGCGGGCTCTCTCTCTCTCTTTCTCTCAGGAAAGGACAGCGAGGGGCAGCCGAAAGGGGGATGAAGCGGGCACACACGATGCAAGACCCTGAGTGGCTGCAGATGGACCGGGGGGGAGATGCACCAGTAATGCAAGCGTGCAGGGTGCAGCAAAGTTGCGGTGAGTGAAGGGAGCGTGTTGTTTCGCTGCAGGTGGGCGGAAAAGGGAGGGAGGGGGGACAGTCTGCTGGCACTGGCGTTGGAGGCTTGTGTTTTGGGTTGATTTGATTTGATTTGATTTTGGACTTGGTATGTATGTATGTGAGGGAATGTGGAAGAATTTTCAGTACGAGTGACGGAGAGTGGGGAAAGGTGTCATTTTGATGTTGATCTAGTTAGGTATAATTACGATGGATATGTGTGTGTGTGTATGTATGTATATTTGTTTGTTTGTTATGGTACCTATTCATTCATCTAGCAGACGGGTAGACAGCTGTAGCTTGTTAGCTAAGGGGGTGAAGGTAAAGGGCGGCGTCGACGGGAGGAGGGCCGGCGGGACAAGGCAAGGCACGCAACAAGCAAATACGGTTCCATGTTTTACGTTTATGCATTCAATTTAACATCGACATCATCATCGTCATCTTCATCGGACAGTTGTGTTGTATATATGTACTGTATGTACTGTATGTATGTATATCCACACAGGGCGGCAGACGCGGTGGAGACGATGCAGGTAGAGTCCACTATGGTACATGGTGGAAAGTAACAACGCATCATTTTGGTGGTGAGAGAGAGGGATGAGGGATGATGGAGCTACGCTACGCTACGCTACGTAGGCATCATCAGTAATTAGTAGTACCCCGCCAGACGAGACCGAATTCTTCTGATGCTTTTTCCACTCTATGCGATGCATCATTGTTGATGATGATGATGTTGTTGTTGTATAGTCAGTACCCGTGACTGAGGTGGGATACCAAGATAAGTAAGTGTGTGTACCTGGGCCAAGAAACAAACAAACAAGTAATTAGAGAGGGGAAGGTGCGACCGGCGCCAATCGCAGCCCCGTTTCGGCTCTGACGACGATACACAAACTGATTTTTCGCCTTTTGCAGGGTTTTCCGTCAGGGTCACCGTCCATCCGTCAACCACCAACCATCATCCACCATCCACTCTACATACACTCACCTGTCAACAAACCAAACCACTACTCCACCCACCCATACACTCTACCATACACTCATCAACTGACCACTCACGCGCCAGCCAGCTGACTGCTGCTATTCTGGTCCAACCACACGTTACCCTAAACCTTCCGTCTTCTCATCCGCAGTCCTGAGTCCTCCTCTCTCGTCCCTCGTCCCTCGTCGTCCCTGGGAAGTCTGGTACTGGGTCACCACACACTCAACCAAACCGCCTCAAGCCCTACGCTGTGGCGCATCACGACATTCCAGTCTGCAACAGCAAACTTGTCGACGTTCTGGAGATTTGTTTGACTACACCCTTGCGAGCTCGAGCCACCGCTGCTTCCTTGTACCTTTACCGTAAGGCCTTCTGTCGCCAAATCGCTCTCTCTCTCTCTCTCTCTCTGTCTCGACTTTCTGCGCGTACGCCTACTGCTCCGTGTGACACGATAAGACATCTGACCAACCCGCTACCTCCTCCAATCCCATCCCTTCGTCCTTGCCTGCGCCAAATTCCACGAGCCACAAACAGGTGAACCTGGTCGCATTCACTCCTACTCTCTTCGCGTCCGCCATTGCCTCTCTCCAACGCTACTCTCTTCGCGAGATTCGTCGTCTCTACACTCCAGCCAACCTTTAGCTGTACCTGTCCGCCACACCGCCAGCTATCCCCATTGCCTTCATGTGCCCGTCCGCTTCCACCCCGTCCAAACGCGCCCGTCAATTCTCTCTGTCCTGCTACGGCCTTCGCCATGCTTGCCTGTCCCGCCGTATACGTCGACGCCTGCCCTTCTCGAAGCCACAATGCAGAACAAAGGACCCGGGGCCAATCGGCTGAGCATGCTGTCTGCGCAAAGACTACAGAAGCAATGACCGAGACGTTCAAGAGTCTGGCTAATTCAATGCGCTATTGTCTCCACGAAGATTCTGGACAAGCTGGCAGTCTATTGGACCTATTCGTTCCTGTCGCTACCCGTCTAGACCCTTCACCTCCATCTTATGCCGATTCCGCCTCTGATCTCCCCCCAGACTACACCTCAACAGATGCTGCTGCCGCTGCCAAGACTGTGGAAAGCAGATGGTGTCTGGAATCTTGCCCATCGCCTGCACCGCCGGCATACCAACCCACAGGTCCTCTGTACATCCCATCGCCTCTTCCAATTGCCTGCCCCAGACCGTGTCTAGACTCAAAATCTCTTGATGGTGTTCGTATGCACGGCAAGAAGAAGAAGAAACCCGCAGCTACTGGCGAGTGGCCCGGTGATAACAATAAGACGAACAACGGGGCCGATGGCGGCGAGAAGGACGAGAATGCTGATGGCGACAAGCCCGCAGACTCTGCCGGCGCTGGTGGAGGCAATGACGGCAATGGCGGGAATGACAACAATGGCGGCGGTGACGATGACGAATGGGGTAATGAGTGGTCCAGTGGTAACAAGAAGAAGAAGAAAGGCAAGAACAAGAAACCCGACGAGGAGGAGGAGAAGCGAAAGAAAGAGGAAGAAGAGCAGAAGAAACGCGATGAAGAGTCCCACAAGAAGGCTGAAGAAGAGGCCAAGCGCGTAGCCGATGAGGCTGCTGCTGCTCCTGCTGCTACTGCTGCTACAACAATAGACAATGATGGCTGGGCTGAGACGAATGGCGACGAGCCCTGGGGTTTTACGACTACGACATCAAAGAAGAAAAAGAAGAAAGGCAAGACCGAGCCAGCTGCAGTTCCTCCTCCCCCCAACGACGAGACGTCAGTGAACAAATTCGAGGAAGTATCTCTCGACGATCCACCCCAGGTCGACCTTAACCTTGGCGAACTCACGAGCGGCGACGCAAGTGGAGGCGGAGGCTGGGCCACGAATTGGGACACCCCCTGGACCTTTGACCCAAAGGATGAGCAAAAGCAAGCGGACGCTAGTCCTTGGAATTTCTCTCGTATTGATAGCACCAAGACTAAAGACAAGGATGAGCAGACGAACACTTCGTTTGGTTTCAGCTTAGATCTTGGCGACGTAGGTTCTTCTGCTGCGCCGGAGAAATCGAAAGAAGATAAGAATGCTGGTGAAGAGGGTTGGGACTTCAACTGGGATACTACCTCAGGCAACAACAAGAAAAAAGAAAAGAAGAAAGGAGCTGCATCCAAGGCTACCGACAATGCGCCCACTGAGCCTGAAAATGCCCAAGTCAGTACAGAGGAACCCGAAGATGACATTTGGTCCTCATGGGGTCCTGTAGGTACAAAAGCTGACAAGTCCAAGAAGAAAAAGGCCATTAACGCCATCGATGAAGCTAACCAAGAGCCTGAGCCAACTCCACACCCTTCCCTGCCAGAACCCGACGCCAAAGCCAATGACTCTCTCGGTTTCACGGTATCAACGAGCGGCAAGAAGAAGGGCAAGAAGAACAAAAAGGACGAGTCTGCACCACCTCCACAGGAACCAATTCCTCCACCTGAGCCTGAACCGGTGCCCGAGCCCGAGCCCGAACCAGACTCTGTTGCCAATGGGGAAACGACGCCAGCAGATGACATTTGGGCAAGCAACACTTGGGGCGTGACAGTCAAGGACAAGAAGAAGCTCAAAAAGGCAGGCAAGCTCGGCAAGGACCCGGAACCTATCAAAGAGGATAAGCCAGTCACTGAAGACCTAGTCGACGACAAACAGCCAGACGACTGGACAGACGTGTGGGGTGCTGCCAAGCTCAACAAGAAGAATGACGAGACTGATCTGACGCCAGCCCATGATTCCTGGACATCGACCACGATCGGGGGGAAAAAGGGCAAAAAAGGCAAGAAGGGTGCGGTTGAGCCTGTCCACGAACCGATCTCGAAACCACAACCGAAGCGAAACGAATTTGCGCCGTCTGAAGATTGGCCAGAATGGGGGTCCAGCAACGACAACAAGAGCCAGCAAGACGCACCTCCCGCAACTCTGGATGTTTCAGGAGAGGAAAAGGGTTCTTCATGGTCATTTGGGTCCATGATATTCGGAAAGAAGACCAAAGCTATCGAGTCTGGAGTTGGAGATGTGACAGTACAACAGGCCGATGGCGTGGAAGAACCAAGAGGTGATGCCGACGGGGACTGGTCTTGGGCTTCAAGTACAAAGTCCAAGAAGATGAAGCCAGAGAAGACAGTTGCCGAAGAAATCACGGACGGTGCCGAAGCTAGCACTCCCATTCAGCAACCTGACAAAATCGAGACAGATTCGAATGGTCCAGACGAGACTTGGGGCTGGGGAGGTTCTGCCACTCGAACCAAGAAGAAAGGCAAGAAAAGCGGATTAGATAGCTCTGTACCTGCCGCATCCAAGCCAGCCGATGACAAGGAGACCTTGTCGATCGAGCCTGCTCCTGAAGACCCTGCCCCTGTCGAAGACGATCCCTGGACAAACCTCACGGCGGCCAAGCCCAAGAAAGGCTCTAAGAAGACTGCCGGGAAGATGGAACCTACCGTAGTAGAGAAGTCAGATGACATTGTCGCCATTGTCGATGAGTCCAAGCCGGAACCTGCGGAAGAAAAGTCAGCAGCAGCAAAAGATGCGTTGGGGACGAAGGCCACCAAGAAGGAAACGCCCAGAGAGAAGAAGGCCAGGGAAGCAAAGGAGAAGAGAGAAGAAGAGAAGCGCAAAGAAGAAGAGAAGAAGGAGAAGTCGAAGAAGGCCAAGGAAGAGAAGGCACGGATAGCCAAAGAAGAAAAAGAGCGCCAAGAGCAAGAAGATCTTGAGCGTGAGAAGGAAGAGGAAGCGAACCGGATAGCCAAAGAAGAAGAAGAGAAAGCCAAAAAAGAGAAAGAAGCTGCTGCCAAAGCCAAGGAAGAGGCAGAAGCTGCAGCCGCGGCTGAAAAGGCCAAGGAGGAAGAGGAGGCAAAGACGAAAGTCGAAGAAGCCCCGAGCTGGGGATTCTCTACCAAGCCCAAGAAAGGTAAGAAAGCTAGAGAGGAGGCCGAGCGTAAGGCGAAGGAGGAGGCAGAGCGTAAAGCCGAGGAAGAAAAAGCCAAGGCGGAAGAAAAAGCCAAGGCGGCAGAAGAAGCCAAAGCAGAGGAAGAGGCCCAAGCAGCAGCAGCAGCAGCAAAGGCAAAGGAAGAGGAAGAAGCCAAGAAGAAAGCCGACGAAGATGCCTTGTTCGGCCATTCTAACAAATCTGCCACAAAGAAGGGCAAGAAGAACAAGGGACCTGCTAAAGCTGTCGAGCTCACGCCCGAACCGCCACTACCGTCGCCTCCCCCAGCAGAACCAGAGGCCCTGATTGACATCGCGGAAGACAAGCCTGCAGCGAAAGAGGGTGGCTGGGGCGTGGGGGCATTTTGGGGGGTTAGCCTGAAGAAGACACAGAAAGTTGGGGAACTCAAGGAGATCGACAAGGCTGTCCAAGAAGAGTCGTTTGTGGATGACCCTCCTCTAGAAGAGACGGCGACCGGCTCGAAGTCTGATGATGTCGATCCACCTCCACCAGCCGAAGAGGCGCCTGCAGAGAAAGTCCCTTCAAAGTCTAAAAAGCTTTCGGCGGCAGAAAAAGCCAAGGCCGAGAAGGAAGCGAAGAAGAAGGAGAAGGAGGAGGAGAAGGAGGCAAAGAAGAGAGAGAAAGAAGAGGCGAAGAAAGCGAAAGAAGCAAAAGAAGCAGAAGAAGCAGAGGCGGCTGCTGCTGCTGCTGCCGCCGCCGCCGCCGCCGATGCTGCCGCTGCCGCTGCGATCGAAGAGCCTCCGCCAGTGGAGCCTCCAGCCATTGAAGTTGTAGAAGCAACTCCCAAGAAGTCCTCCAAGAAGACGGAAAAATCGTCAAAGGCCACGTCAAAGTCCAAGAAGAAACACGTCGAGCCAGAGGTTGTCGTTCCTGAATCCGAACCCGATCCGGAGCCCGAGCCTGAGCCTGAACCTGAGCCTGAGATTCCCAAAATATCTACACCCATCCCGGGCGGCTTTCCCGAAGATGACGACTTTGTGGAGATTGTCGAGGAACCCCCCAAGGAAGAGAAGCCGAAAAAGACGTCCAAGGCTGAGAAATCTGACAGGAAACTAAAGAAATCTGCAAAGTCGTCCAAATTGTCGGCCGACATTGCGGCGTCGCCCCCTCCTCCTCCACCGCCGCCAGCCCCTGTCGAGCCTGTCGAGCCTGTCGTGGAGCCTGCCGAAGAGCTTGTCGAAGAGCCCGTCGACGATGTCGCGCCAGCCCAGCCGCCAACACCACCGCCTGAGCCCGAGGTCAAAGATGAATCGGCAAAGAAGGAGCGTGCGAAAGTGGTTCGGGACAAAGGCGCAGCTTCGTCTTGGGGATTCTGGGGGTCATCCGGCGCGGCGGCGGCGGCGGCAACACCGGCTGGCAAGAAGAAGGCCAAGGATGACAGCGCTGTCTCTAGCAAGGCGAAATCGTCTTCTGGCCTGCAGCGATCCAAGTCAGTCAGAGCGGCGTCGAGTAAACATACGGATGGGGAGAAGTCGTCAAAGGACTCGGCGTCTGACCAGGCAGCCAAGACACGATCCTCTAAGCCGCGCGCGTCACGTGGCTCGTCGAGCTTCTCCATGTTCAGCCCCGCTCCTGTCATTCCGTCGCGCACCCGTTCCACCAGACAGACTGCAACACCCAGAACACAATCACGACGCACATCTGTCGACCGAGACGCCGGAATGCTGTCTCCGCCTCCATCTGATGCCGATGCCGCAAAGATATCGTCCAAGGCCGCGAAACTGATGGGAATGAAGGCCGCCACGTCGAAGCGCAAGTCAGCTAGCGTTCCAAAGGGCAAGAGAGGTAAGCCAAAGTTCATCAACTGATCCATATATGCGAGGTATCCAGCGACTGACCCATACCTTGTAGCCGTTCCGGATCCTTATGCGATCTCTGATGATGACATGATCATGGTCGATGCTGACCCTGGAACGCCTACGCCGCGCAACAGAAGATCCAAACGCGACTCGAAGATGGAGTCTGCGCCGCCCCCACCGGGAGAAGCGAACTTGATGGACTTTGAAGCATCTGCGCCAAACGACGCTGCGGCCTTTGAAACTCCAGCCTCGAGGGCGCCACCAATGCGTCGCAGTCAGTCGACCGCCAAGAAGTCGACGGGCGGAGGTCTGCTAGGTATGTTTGGACTTTCTTCGAAGAAGCAAGTAGTAGAGCCAGCAATAGATGATCGCTTCGATCGTAGACGAGGCTACGAGACCGACGGAGTGGTCTCGTCATCTCGTCGGAAGCGTTCTACTGTACCCGAGGATACGGACGATCCGAAACGTGCATCGCGTCGTGAGAGCACTCGGCAGACTCATCGTCGCAGGCCGTCGGATACGGACGGCGCGGTAACTGATGCCATGCCCGGCGCAGCTACCGATGTTGACGAAGATGCACGCCGAGCTGAGCGCCGAGCGGCCAGAAGGGCCGAGAAAGAGGCCCGTGCAGCAAAACCTCTGGAGGCTGAAGACCGCGCAGCACGACGTCGTGACCGCGAGCGGGAAAAAATCCGAGCGGTAGAAGGGGATCGCAAACGTGCCAAAGATTCACGCGATCGTCGTATGCGGGAGGATGCCGAGGCCGATGCGCAGAGACAGGAAGACAAGCGTCAGCGCCGTCGGGAGCGTGAGGAGCGGCGCGCTGCCGAAGAGCAGCGTGACCGGGAGCTGAAAGAAAGCGAGGAACGTGCCAAAGAGGATGAGAAGCTGCGTGAGAAGGAAGAGCGGAGGGCTGCCCGTCGACGCGAGCGTGAGCGTGAGAGTGCGGCCGCAGCTCTTGCAGGCGTTGATGCATCTGCATATGAGCGAGACCGTCCGAGGCATTCCGAACGCCGTAGAAGCCACATGGATGATGATCCTGTCCGCCGCCTCCGCCATGAAGATCGGAAAATGCGACGAGTCTCCGAGATGGACACCGAACGTCGGTCCAAGCATCGAAGCTCCCGCGCGCCTCCTGCTGACGCGGTTATTGACGACTATTTTGACGCCCGCAATGGCGGCACTGCCTCGCGCAAAGCGCCAGCCGAGACTCCGTACCTTTCCACCGGAAACGACAAGACTTCTTCGTGGGTCCATAGCATCACCACCGAGCCACCACTGCCACCGCCCGAGACTGCCACAGTCATTGACGCACCGCCTGGAAAGGACCATCCTGATGGCGAGGACGGTGAGGCAACTGACCCGGAGGAGATTCGGCGTCGTGCGAGACGCGATCGTCGCCGTGCGGAGCGAAACGACCGCGAACGCGAGAGAAGCGGCAAGGAGAGAGAGCTGCCTCGCGAACGGGAGCGAGATCGCGGCGACCGGGACCGAAAGAGCGAGAGACGTCGCAGCACCTACGATACCGTCCAGCGCAGCAGTGACGGAAGCCATGGCGACGACCGCAAGCGACGCAGCCATGCGTATCCCGTCGAGCCTCCTGCGCCGATCGCAGGGGGCAAGAAGACGAGCTGGTTCAAGAAGTTTGGCATTTGAGAGCGACAGTTACAGGCCTTTATGCATCATCTATGTTTTGTTTTTCCAACATCTAGGAGTCTTTGCTTTGCGATGGAGCCGTCAAAGCCATTTGTTGTTTTTATTAGCATATCTGCGAGAGAGAGAGCTATTGGACCTGAGAGCCGTTGGACGTGATAACGATATACCCCCTACTTCTTGGCATGCAGCATTCGAGCGGGAGTTTTTAATTCGAATATCAAGATTCGTGTATCTATGTATGTATTAGTCGGTAGAGCCGGGATCATTACCGGTTTCCGTGAAACATATGTACGACCAACTAGCGATAATACCCCCGATACACACACTGTTAACCACCTGCTTCTTGATCAACATTCGGATCTGCGTTATGTGAGGCGATAGCTTTGAATACCGAGCTCGGGCTGTCTGTCTGCTTTGTGCTTTGCAATCTGTTAACTGTTCATTTTTGTTGTGTTTTGTTATTGTTGGTTGTCGTGGTAGATACCCCTTTTAATTTATTATTCTTTTTCTTCTCTTTTCTGTTCAATGTTAATTAGGGGTAAAGAGAAGTTCTTTTTTTCACGGGGGCGGGACCGGTTTCCCTTCTACTATTATCGGAACTCGATGGTTCTACTTGTCTTTGTCTATGTCTATGTCTACGTTTACTCGCTTTACTTATCAAATAATAATAATAATAATAATAATAATAATCATAATGATAATAATAAGATTAAGCCGCTTGGTGGCAGTTTGGCCGCTGAAAACGGCGGTTATAACGGTATTTTTCGGCGGTATCTCAGCCAGCGGTCTAACAAGCATTTCTACCGTGCTCGAGCCCAGCACACAACTATCCATACTCGCCGTATCTATCCTACCTACGACTACCGCGGCGAGCACCATCATGTCGTCGCAGGCCTCCGTCGTACCGCCCTTAATACTCCCTGGATACATGGAGCCCGCTTGCAATCGTACGCGCCTAGTGTCTACTCCTCGCTAGAACCGTGCCGTACCGTAACTAGACACCTTTATAAAAGTACTTAAAACCGTCCTGCCGTCCATCTCCCTCCGTTCAGGATGGAACCTTTGCCAAGTGGCTTGAATTCATAGAAAAGGCTGACCGAGTCGATGTTATCAAATATCAAGAGCCAATTATCATCTAATGAGTCTCAGTCAATTCGTTCTATCCTTGTCTTCGTAGATAACGGCCTAAGCGACCCCGCCAGCGAACAGCACCTCTGAGTAGGCAGCTATTCCCTTTCGCATACATTCCACTAGGCTGAGCTTTCGATCATAGCCTGAAGCGTTCTGCCATGACCGCCCTGAAAGAGCGACTTGATCGCATCGTGCCTAGCATAGAGCGGATTTGCGATGTCTCAGGCATCGCCGGCTTATCGTTGGGTATTATCAGTCGCGGTCAAATTGTCACTACAATACATCACGGCTACAAAAACATCGATAACAAAGCGAAGCCCGACGATGACACTGCGTATGGAATCGGATCGTTAACGAAAGGCTTCACCGCGGCGACGTTGGCAAGTCTCGTTGACGAAGGAGCTGTCACGTGGGACACGAGCATCAAGAGCATCATACCGGACTTTCGCACCACCAGTGCTGAAGTAACTGAGAGACTGACAGTCAAAGATGCGCTAGCCCATAGAATGGGTCTCACGCGTTCCAACCAGTTGTGGCATGGAAAGGACAACCACATTCTCATCGAGAAGAGTCACGTCATCAAGCACTTCACCACCATGCGAAACACCCAACCTTTCCGCTCGAAAATGCACTACAATAACTGGGGATATGCGCTTGCTGGGGCTGTAGTTGAGAAGTTGACCGAACAAGACTGGGGAACGGCGGTCACCGACAGAGTGCTTCGTCCATTTGGCCTAAGCAAGACATACACGCGTCCCCATGAAAGTGCAGACTTCGCTTCACCGTACGCGGCTTTGGACGATAGGACTTGCGTTCCTCTTGAACCTTTCAAAGTGAAAGCTGGCACACTCATGGATTCATCACAAGGCTTATGGAGCACGGTGACCGACATGCTTCAGTGGTGTTCGAAACTGTTGAGAGCCAATGAGCAGCAGAACAACAAACAAGACGTGGACAACGAATCTATGATCCAGCTTACCGAGATCTTTTCACCGCAGATCAAGATATCCGACGATGAGAAGGGACCGTTTTACGGCTTAGGTTGGGCCTTGACGGACCTGCCCTCGCCCATGGGCGCTCTCGGCTGCAACCCGGGACTTATCTCACACATGCCTACGGTCGGCAAGAGCTCAAAGGAAAGGATCATATACTCGCAAGGAAGCCTTGCTGGCTACACAGCGAATCTGATACTAGTCCCTGGTCAAGATGTTGGAATCGCTGTCCTGACCAATTCTATTGCTCTGAATGACGGGGCCGATTGGGTCGCTCAAGCTGTACTGGAGGCTGTCCTGGACGAGCAGCAGCCTAATGACTTCGTACAGGCTGCTACAACAAGTGCTCAGAGCATGGTGGACAAGTTTCCACAGATGGAGAAACGTCTTCGAGAGTCCCAACATTCGGACGCACCACCCAAACGGCTGACGGAATACACGGGGGTGTATCGCAATGACATCAAAGATTTCTGCATTGGCATCCGTGAAGACGGCAGCCACAACGCTTTAGCATTATACTTCCAAGACAAAGACTCGCAACGATGGCCACTAAAACACTACCAAGCGGACGAGTTTACATGGTTGATGTCGCATGACGAAGCAGTCAGGCATGCAAGGTTCCCGTATCCGCCCGAGAAGATTTTCAAGTTCGGCTTCGAATCGTCAAACGGTCAGATTTCGGGCTTGTGGTGGACTCACGACCTTGACTCGGAGCCTGAGTTCTTCCAAAAGACATCGGGACCGAGGGACGCCGGCGTGGGGTCATCGTCGGTGGGATACGAACCTGCAAGTTTGACACCCCGCTGACTATAGATAGCACAAATGAACACTCTCTAACAGCTACCCGTACACGTAGTCTTCTGTTGGCTCTGGTGGTGGCTGGCATCGCTCTCTACTACGCCTGTTTGCGCGGAAAGGGTCGAAGTTGGCGTGACATCAAACGACTTTGAGTACGAGGGCGTTCGACCAATCCTTTCCGTCGATCGTGCCCGCCTATCGTGCTGTGACGCGTGAGCGGTGTGTTGTTTGTGTGTCGCCAGTGGCTATGCGCACAGGAAAGGTGGCGCGATTAAGCATTTGACGAATTGGTTTTCATCGCCTGGCACGTAGCACGTCGACATGTACTGGCGTACGTGTCATAGATATAATCATAAGCCTGAAAATCGATGTGCGCCCGATTGCAACATTCGTTCTTGCAGCCGCATTCATGAAAAAGCTGGAGATCTGAAGGCCACGTGTCCCGAACTAAACATGATCGTTCCTAAGGTCTGAAACATCTGTATGTATGTAAGTTCATTAGGCCATGCACCACGTGGGTATGGGCCGTTACTATGTGCCAGCTATGTACATCCTACACCACGCGGTAGCTCCACTTCAGAAGCCAACTATGAGAGCCGATTATCCGACTAAAACTCCTATGCTCAACGCAGGAAAAGAGAGAGAGAGAGTTAGGTTTAGCCTGCATGGTTAGCATTATGTGACCTTTATCCATAGGAGAGCTCCAATGTCGCGCGCTTCTTAAATAGCTACATGCTTATAAAGGCTATCTAGTTATAGGCTATTTAAGGTTTATTAGTCGTTTCTGCCTTAAGCACTCGAGCATAGTATACAACTACTCGTCGCATCCTACCTACGACTATTAACACGACCAGCACCATTATGTCGATGCTCCTTTGCAATGTAGACTGATCGACAGTACGGCCATCGGACCCGTGGAGCCCGCTCGCGATGGCACGCGCCTGGTGCCTCTCTCCTCCTTGCTGGAACCGTGCCGCACCGCAACTAGATACTGTTACAAGAGTACTAAGTAAACATTCCTCGTCGTTCCATCACTCCATTGTGTCTGTAATTATCCTTTACCTCCTCCAGTTTGTTATACTCATAATCTCCGTATGAATTGCTACTAGAGCCTTGATAGAACACATCTGAGCCTCAAGCTTGAAGTCATACCTTTGCAAACACCTACGGGCCGGAGGCAATGAACCCCTAATTAGTTGGAGAAAGCAGAGAGACACAGGTGAGCACTGGAAAAGGATGCGTTGAATAGCATCCGATGGGTCTTCGAGCTAGGCATCAGTGCAGCCAACATCACGATGATATATAGCGGCTCTACACCATGCTGAGATTTGGCCCACGCGCATGTACTCGCTTCAAATTTTCCTCTCACATCTCCCAAATTTCGCGCTTCCAGAGTACGAAAATGAATGCCAGCGAGCTCTTCGAGGTGGAGCGCCTTCCGTGGTATAGCCATAATCAGTTTTATCCAGCACGACCTGGTGAGATTCTCGATTCTAGCTTCAGGGTTATGGATAGGAAAACTCGGTTACGGTGCATACTCCACGGTCTGGCTGTGTCCGGATATGGATCCGGTATGTTTGGCGTTCTTCACCTCCACCCACCCACCCTTCAAAGTCTGACCTTCCATGGATGCACAGAGAACGAGACGCCGGCTTCGTCGCTGTCAAGATTTGTACCCGAGATGCCGAAAAGACCCCACAGCTCAATCGAGAGCTAGACTTTTACGAGCATGTCAGTTCGATGGAATCACAGCATCGCGGCCAAGTATACATCCGCGGACTGTACGGCGAATTTGAGCTCGACAGTCCGACTGGCAAACATTTGTGCTTTGTTCATCCACCCATGCACATGACTATTCGACAGCTCCAGTATTACTACCCAGCACACAAGCTCGACGTTCCGCTTCTGAAGTGCACGCTAGCCAATGTGCTACAGGAGCTGTCGTTCTTACACGACGAGGCCAAGGTCGTACATGCAAGTACGGCAAGACGATGCAACATGATTTGAATCAAAACTGACAAGTTAGACATCGATCCTGGAAATATCATGCTGACTGTGCATGATGACACTATTCTGGGAAACTTCGAGAAAGCTGAAGCAGATGACCCGTCACCAGCCAAAGTGATGGACGACACACGCACCATTTACCGTTCCCGTAAGCTTCCCCCCTCCTACGGGCGATCTCTGGGGCCAACCAGTTCTCTGTGACTTTGGCGAAGCGCGGATAGGAGATTCCCACTCTGGCTTGATTCAGCCTGAGCTATACCGTGCACCAGAGATAATCTTCGAGATGGAGTGGGGCTCCAAGGTGGACGTCTGGAGTGTCGCCACGTTGGCAAGTATTCAAATACTATTATTATAAGGAAGTCGCAATGACTTACTCCTGATTAGGCATGGGACTTGTTTGAAGATAAGCATCTATTCGACGCCCGTGACAACGAGGGCAACCCATCAGAGACACACATCATGTTTCCGAAATGGTTGCATACCTTGGACTGCCTCCGCTCGAATACACGCAAAGCAACCATATGACATACAAGGTCTTCGACAAGCAAGGTCAGTCATTGAGATCGCCCCCGATATAGACTATGCTAAGTTTAACAGGACACTGGACGGGTGGCTCCAGGAGTGTAGCTATTCCGAAGATCTCACTCGAGGAACGAGTCTCGGTGCTTGAAGGGGAGGAAAGGAAGTGTTTCTCGATTTTATACGTTCGATGCTCAGATGGCGGCCGGAAGACAGGAAGTCGGCGACTGAACTGCTGAAGCATCCGTGGATGGCCGGCACTATGTAGTTGCGACGACGATCAAGCGACCATTGCACTGCAAAGTCATTCTCGCCGAGTTTTTGTATTAGTTACATGTTTAGGATCGATCTACAAGAACATATGTTTCATGTCATTATCGACGACCGTTTCATGTCATCTTCGTACATTGACTAAGTTAGCCTCTTAGGGGGTGCGAAGAAGTTTTTTATACCTTCTTTAATATAGTTTTAATAGAAGAGGATAGATAGATCGATATATGTTTAAGTATACTTCATCCGAGAGAATAAAGCCTCTTATATTATTTAATATCTCTTATAACTATTTCTGTAACACTTAATATACTTTTGATATAAGTACTATTCTAGTATATCTAGTATACTCATATATTGATATATGTTGTCATATAGCTGCTCTATAGAGCATTGGTATATGCCTACGATTATTCTTTTTTCCATTTCATTAGGAGCTGGAACAGTCTATCCGCTATCAAATCGAAGGTATAAATCAATAATAACAAGGATAGCGAGTATTTAGCGCTTAGTCGATGCTAGGGTAGTGGTGTGGTACCTTGGGAAGTTGCGTGCACTGTTTGTGGATGTCAGCTGTGAATCATGCGACCCCGAGTTCGCTGGAGGCGCCGCGTTCCTGCGTACACACACAGATATGACGCAAGGAACAGCGCGCCGTAACCCTCAGTATGTCATCCTATACTTCTTCACCGGTCCTCAGGGAGTATATGTACGTGCACTAACCCCCTGCTGCATCTTGCATCTTGCATCTGCTAGAAGCCTTCTTCGCCAAGCCACACCCCCTTTCCAACAATGCAGCCTCTGAACCACTCTCCCCCTTTATCTTCCGTTCTACTTCCTCTTCTCCTCCTCGATACCCTCCCGCTGCTTTGCACCGCCTACCCAGACCTCTACAGCATATTCCAATCGCGCCTCTCCGAAGATTCCGAAATCTACCTCCCAACCGACCTGACTCCGCGCTGGACGACACATGGCGCGCCCAACTTTGCCATTGGCGTGCGACCGGCCACGGAAGACGATGTAGTTGCTGCGCTACGTACTGCGGTCGAGAATGATATGCCGTTCCTCGCCACCGGCGGTGGCCATGGGTATACGAGCTCGTACGCAGACTTGCAAGGGGGTGTACAGATCGACATGAGTGGATTTGATAGCGTTGACGTGGATGAGCAGTCGGGAGAGGTTGTCGTGGGCGCGGGTGCGGTGTTTGCGGATTTATTTGGCCCGGTGGCGGATGCTGGGAGGGAAATCCGTTAGTTCTACCCTTCTCCATTCCGATTCTCCGTCCTGATACATCCGCGTTCCTCCCGGATAATCACCGACTGACCACACCCCAACCCAGAAACCGGCTCCTGCTCATGCGTAGGTGTCATCGGAGCCACCCTCGGCGGCGGCATCGGCCGCTACCAAGGCCTCCACGGCCTCATCGTCGACGCCCTCCTCTCCGCCCGCGTCCTCCTCGCAAACGGCACCATCGTCGAGGCCTCCCACACCTCCAACCCAGACCTCTTCTGGGCCCTCCGCGGCGCCGGCATGAACTTCGCCATCGTCCTCAGCGCAACCTACACCACCCACCCGCAAACCAACAACGGCACCGTCCTCAACGTCGACATCGCATACCCACCCGCCGCCGCCCCCGAACTCTTCGCCTTCCTCGCCAGCTTCTCCCAACGCAACAACGCTTCCGCCACCGGCCTGCCCCCCGCCCTCAGCATCGTCCTCGCAGTCTCCTGGAACGACGACCTAGCCGGCATGAACATCGTCCTCAACGCCATCTTCGCCGGACCCGCAGACACCGGCCTCGCACACCTCGCCCCACTCCTCTCCTCGCCCACCCTGCAACCCCTACGAACAAACATCACCACCGCACTCCCCTGGCGCGCCATCTCCACAACCGCCTCCTTCGGCAGCGACGCCGCAGAATGCGCCCGCCCGGTCCACCGTAACATGTACGGCCTCAGCATCCAACGCATCGACATCCCCGCCTTCACCGCCTACTTCGACACGCTCAGCACCCTCATGCACGACGAGCCCACCACCCGCCAAACACACTGGATCATCGAGGGCTTCCCTAATACCGCGGCCCGGGCCGTGCCGAGCAGCGAGACGGCGTATCCGCACCGCGACGCGTTCGCGCATCTGTTGATGGCGTATGTGTATCCGCGGCCGGGCACGCCGGGGGCTGTGGAGGGGTTGGAGGAGAGGATTGATGGGCTGGCGCGGGAGGCGCGGGCGCAGTTGCAGGCGGGGGGTGCGCATGAGGGCGTGTATGTGAGTTATGGGCATGGGGATGAGGGGGTTGCGGCGTGGTATGGGGAGGGGAATTTGGGGCGGTTGAGGGAGTTGAAGCGGGTTTGGGATCCGGAGGGGTGGTTTGGGTGGAATAATGGGGTTTTGCGTGCGCATGATGGGTGAGTGTGGTGGTGGTGGGAGGGATGGATGGATGGATGGATGGTAGGATGGGGTTTGGTGGACTGGAGACGTAGGTTCTGGGTGGTCTGGCTGGCTGGTAGGAGTTGTTTGTGTGTAAACTGGATTGTGTTGATGCAAATACTCCACAGAATTCTACTGACCATACATCCGCCTCATCGATTTCTACTTTCAAGCATTCTCACAAAAACCCGTTGCCTGTCGTTTCTCTAACACTGCTCCTCACGTCTCATAGTCGGTAATGACTCAAGCAGACGCTGCTCTTGTTTTCGGGAGCTTGCTCATGTCAAATTGCATGATTTTGAGCCCACCTTTTCTGGTGTAGAAAGCTAGCCACGACTCGTAGATTGCAATTGTGGATCGATTCAATTGAAGGTTTGGATGGATTCTCAGCACTCGTCTTCCCATATGCGTTATCCAATCCCCGGCTCTGTCATTCTGCTTCATTAACCCAAAGCGTGAGTGACAACTTACCTCTTTCTCACTCGCCGATACAGGTCTCAATTTAAGGCAATGATGTCCCGTCGCGCTCTCAATCTTATATACCCCGGTACCTGTCCTGACAAGGTCATTTGCCTGTAAGAAAGAAAAACGGGTTTGCGCTCTGAGGGAACCTCTATCGTCAACATCCCACTCTTGTTTAACCATTTGGTTCGACTGCAGCGACCATATGATCACCCGACTGTCATAGTGCAGTGCTAGAAACCGTCCATCGGGGGATATGGACATGTCCTCGATAGCAGAAGATCCACCTTCTATATCTATAACTCTGCGTGGCTCAAGAGTCGAGCTGAGTGCTGTATCAGCACTAGTGTGCCATAACATGATCTTGGGACTGGTCATGCCCTTTTCGACTAACAACATTGCTAGGAAATCCCCGCTTGGTGATAACACTAAATCCATCAGCCTGGAGGCCTGCTGTCGAGTCTCCCACGACTGGTCGTCCTTCAAGGAATCCTGAACGCGTACCACAATTTCGTCACTGTCTGTGAATCCAATGGCAAACAGTGTCGAGTACTTAGAGCTAGCAAACATGAATGAACCTGGAAGATCATCAAAGCGTCTGAGAATCATACTTGCACCCAGATCGTAGACCGCGATCATGTTACCTCCGTCGATAAGGAGAATTCGGCCTTCAGCAATGAAGCGCATTCTGTAGATATGTTCTGGGAACGACTCATCGCTCTCTTGACTCGTCGTCATATCCCAAATTTTCACAATGCCGTTATGTGTTCCATATGCGACCATGTTGCCTTCGCTGGTGAATGTTGCGGCCATGTACACTTCACCTGTCATCGAGAACCTCAACACCCCTGTTGAAGTATCATATATACATATTCTGGATGGACGGTCCTCAATGATCATTAAGGCGGTACTATCGGCAGAGAAGAATGCTCTGCAGCAGGAAGAGGATTGAATCGGCGAGCGTACTTCTCCAGATCTCAAGTAGCGTACCGCTAATGTACCGCAGACCATACTTGCTGTTTTCTCGTGTTCCTCGTAATCAAGAATCAGTTCCGCGTCTTCCGATAACCACCATCTTTGGCTTCGTGGGCTTGTGTGCTGTCTCGTCGGCTCATGTAATAATCCTGTATTGATGTACCATAGTCGTATGCCAAAATCTGCCCCCCCGAGCAACACAAGCTCGTTCTGCTCCCGAAAGCGAAGTCGAAGGTGGTCTCTACGATCTTTACTGCCTTTTTCACTACTCAGAACTGATATGAACGTTGCGTCCAGTATTGCTTGGACAGTTCCTGTATCTGTATTCCACACCTTGATCGTACCACCATAGCAGAAAGAGGCTAGCGATGACCCTGAAGGCGCACAAGCCTCTGTACATTCTGCCTCTATATTGTGTTGTTTCGGATCAAGTGTTCGCAAGTAGCGAATGTTGGGTCCAGATACGTTCCATACATGGTATAATGTAAACATCTCGTGTCGGCGTGGTGGATCGTGTTTCTTCCATACGGACGACGCTGTGACCAGTTTGTGATCTCCAAAAAACAAAATTCGTTGATAATAACACTCTCTGTCATGAGGGTGTATCTGAGCCGACATGTCCTTGCTGAAGGTAAACAACGGCTCGCCATTTGATGTATCCCATAGCACGATGGTACCATTATGTGTAGCTGAGATTAGTCTTCGACCATCGGATGAGAAAGCTATAGCTGTTATGCCAGCCTTATGTCTGATAAGTGTTTGTAGGTATGGGCTCCAATTGAAACCAAGGTGTGGTTTCGTAATAACCCATTCTGGTTCCTCTTGTTGGTAGAGCTTGCGTACTTTGCTTTCAGACGGACTTAATAAGAGTCCTGAGGAGTATATCTGTAGTGGAGCATTCTCTAAGCTCACTGCATGGTATCGAATAAATCTGAGAGCATCTTTTGCGAGGTTGACGAGCCCATCCTGTCCTTTGAACGTCTATACTAGGTCAGCACATAATCTTCGTAGTAAAGTGAAAGGACGAAAGACCTCAGCTGTGCGAACCACGATCGCCATGCATCGGATCCCTTGCATTAGATTCTTCAGTAAAACGAGTGCTTCGATCCAAAACAGATAGATTGTCCTTAGGAATACATCCAAAGCACTTCCATTCGTAAAATGTGTAACAGAGGCAGGTTCTTTTTCCAATAATGCGGCAAGGTGGTCTGCCCAGTGGAGACATGAATATGCAATCGGACTAAGAGGGTTCTGAGCCGGAACTTCAATTTCCTCTAAAAGAAGACCCTCTCCGTCGATTCCATATAGGTTACGCTTGAGGACTTTCTTCATAACTTCAAGTGATTTCGAGTATATCTTGGCGTGCTCGCCCATCTCAGTGCCAGCTGCTCGACCAAGAATGTAATCCTTCGCCGTCTGATGTACGAAATACAGCGTCTCATTCTGTATCGAAAGGAACGAACCACATCTTCCAATGATATCGAGAAGAGCCACTCGGTCATTTGCGGCTTCGTCCAGGCCTTCAGCAAGCGTGCCCATCTCCAGAAGTGTGACTGGCCGCCGAACAAACGTCGCAACGGATAAGACAGACTTGCAAGCTTCAACATAAATAGAATCGCCTTGTTCAATGCACTCCATCATATAATCGTAAGTTTCTGTCAAGGTGGCTGGAACTTCCTTGATCTTCCGAATGGCACCCCAGGGGCCCATATTGACAAGACTCTGGCAGACCAAAGCCACCCAAAGGAAAGTCCCATGTGCATTTGAAGTCAAATGCTCCCGAATCTGAGATACAAGGTCTTCTCTATACTTGTGCAATGTACGCAATTCTTCCACCTTGTAGTTTATGTAGAAATCGACGGCTGATGACATGTGCTCGGAGTTAGGTGCGAGCCGCAGATGTGCCAATTTCGGTATCTGTTGAACCAGAACTTCGATTTCGGACCAAGGTCGACTAGCAACAAGCCAGTTAAGATTACGACTTTCAGTCATTGTCTGCGAGATGAGGTTCAGGAGTCTATCTCGATCGGTCCGACATTCGTCGAGAGCATCGACCAGTATATATATTTTGCGAGACTTTACGTCTTGCAGTATGGACTTGAAGATACCGGTCAAAGCATACCAGGCATTGTTACCCTCAAAGAGAGATTTCCCCGTCTTTTCGTATTGCTGTCTCACATGTTTGAGAAGAGAAGGCTCCTCGTCAATCAAGAGATAGATAATCCCTCTTAGGACAGCAGTGGCGTTATTCGCGTTTGTATCCGATGCCTGGCAAAAGAAATACGCCAAAACGTAGTCGCGGTAGGGCAAGACCCGAAGACGGTCAATCATGCCGCAGAGGAGCATAGTCTTGCCTTGTCCAGGATTACCACTGAGCCATAACGATTGAATGCCATCATCATTCAGCCATCGTTGGTATTCGGAGTTATCAAAGATCCACTCGTAACATTCGCTCACTAAACCTCCTTTCATTGACTCTATACGCTCCTTATCCAATAAGGGCGATCCTGCGCACAAATCTCGTATGCAGGCCTGATCTTTGTCAGTCTGTCTGTCTTTCTGATACTCTCTTGTCTGATTTCGAACGGCTGACACGGCGTCATCAGCTCCTTTCATAAGTGCAGTCAATGTATCCTGCACTTGTATCGAATAATATATATTGACATCATTCTTAACAAGTGTTTCAGCTTGTTCAATGTCATGGATCTGACCAGCCCAATCATCAAATAGGAGGAAGTCGTTGACTATCGCCTTTACGCGTCGACGGTAGTAACTGATAACGCTCTTCATTTGATACAATAGAAATTTTGAATAGAGGTCCACAACATGCTGTCTGACTTGAATTTGAAGATTCGATCCGTTGAGGATAGAGTCCTCCGCGCCAAAGAGACTGATGGCAAGGCTTTCGTACCATTTGGCTCTCAGTATGACGTACTCTAGCCCTTGTCGATTTTTCAGTGCCTCGCCGATAGGGTTTTTGATGACCTGTCTTATCGTAAGCAATGTTATCCAGATAGTTGCAAAGTCAAACTGACTTCGATTGCAATGCAGACGCACGCCCAGGCAATGGCAGCTTCAGTCGATGCCTGAACAGATTTCTTAGCTGCACCTTGGATAGCCTCAATAGCATGGAGGCCAGAATTAAGCTTGTGTTTAATTCTAGTGTCCTTGTCCGTCCTTTTCAAACCTCGCTCGACTATGCTCTTCATTTGCTTGCGACGCTCGTCAGGATCGCGTACAATGAGGTTTTTGAAAGATTTGATAGCTTCCGTATCAATTGTGCCTATCATCTTGGCAGAAAGAATGGTCTCGTATCTGCTCGTCAGCTCAGGCTCAGCTTCAGACGCCTTCTCATAGGCCTCATCCCACAGATCCGCCGGCGCAATCCTAGCGGACTTGTCTGTAGGAAAGCGGCCATCATTGTGTGTGTTATTTGCATCTCGAGTAACCTTGACCAACTCATGGGCTCTATTCACCAGGAATCGCTGGTTAGTATGGTTGATCTTGCTCTGTTCGACCGATCTCGTTGAATTAGATTCTTCCTTGTCTGAAATCTTCTGCTGAACGTTGGCTGTCTTCTGTCGTGCTTTTGACTTCATCAGATCGGGGCTTTCGTTATCCTGGGCGTTGTGCTGTTCGTTTGCGGCTTTCTCTCGTCCAGAAGAATTGAGTGCAGGACTTTCGCCGATGGTTTCAACATTGACAGCGTCTTCATGCAATTTTTGGCCCGTGGGAGGCACAATTTGACTTGTTGTGGTATGTAGTGCAGGCTGAGCGTGGTTGGCCGGCGGCTGGTCCTTTATTGCCTTGGCTTGTGGCTTCTCATGCCTTCTCAAAAACTTCTGGAACGATTTCTTCATCCTAATTCACATGCCAGAGGCCGTTGAAGAGGTATAAAAGCCTCTGAAAGTCTCCAGAGTGAAGTCAAAACTGAATTCTCTCTATCGCACAAAGCTATTAGCAAGGCCCTCATTGACGCCATGAGCGCAATGTCACATATTGGGGCGATCTGGCACGGGCGGCTAGGTACGAAGCCTGATAAGTCGTCGGCGGCTCCATTTTCTGCAGCCAAGATGAGATAGCATGGGTCTTTCTCCTCTCGAAGATGGTTGATTGGCGGGCATGGCTGCGACTTAAACATGCTTGCGGCGCAGTACGCGAGGCTGTACTATTTCAGCCTTCAAGGACTGTCTGTCTGACCCCAAGAAGAAGCGCGTCGCAAAAGCAATGCACGATGAAATGTACGTGACTTCAGGAGTACATTCAGGCGTGCCCGTGATGGGAGAACGTCTGTTAAGTCAGAACTGAGAAAGTCAGATCATGGTCTGTGCTCCATACATGCGGGCCGATTCCTTGCTTGCAATGGCAAGACCATGTCAATTGGCTACACAGCCTTGAAGGTTTGTCTTCGTATACGTTAAAATCTGGAAATAAGAATTTATTTAGGCACACGATAGTTGCAGATTAACAGCGATTCGCGAAGAGTAATATATGAATGAATTATTTCTGCTCGAGTAATCCTTGTGGCTCTCCGCACGCATGATTCAGAATTGGCATCATGCAATTTCACTTGCTATGTCGGTATATACAAGGGACCATTCGTTGCAACTGTTTACTACGTGTCAGACCATAATACGCCATTAAGAGATCGCGGGCTCTGACACGTGAAGCGTGCCTCGAAATACGACTACGTCATTCATAAAATCATAGGTTAGACAGCTCGGCGATTATTTGTGGTGTGGCGGTCTCTGTAGATGTAGAAGTTGATTGATACATGTACGCTTAGTCACGAGTACTACTGCCTAGTGCGCCATTGTATGTTCTAGGGCCAGAGTCGATGAGTTTGCTCTACATCCTCTGCTGGATCCATGAACGTCGTTCTTGGATGGATGTTGTGATACGAACCCTATCTCGTGCTGACAATGCTGAGCGTTCATGATCACCTTGAACTCCATGAAGGTCGTCAGATCTTGGACTTCCGACAGTGGGGTGAAGTGCGACGCTAGTTGAAATTGTGCTCTGGTGGCAGATCTAAAATCTTCACGGACCACACTCCTTGTCAACACGGGAGAGTTGTTCGCTGCTACACACTGGTGTCTCTTGACAGCTTGGTAATGGATGGAAAATGTCCGTACGAACCATAGGGGATATGGATCAAAGAAGAGGCACATCCTCTACCCAATGTTGAACAGTCCTCAGCGGCACATGCTGTTCGTGCATGATCCCGTGACTGGCTAAATGGAATACATTAACCAAGTTTTGAAATTCTGTTCTCAGATTTTAGATTCAAAAATCTGAGACGATAGGTTCCTTTCAAGCATTCTGCTACAAGTCGTTTTGCAATGCGTCCAGTCTTGTTTCATTGCTTTGTTCACTAACCCCCAATTTTCGGTGTCTAGTATGTCTTCATTCAGGAACGTAGAGATGTTAATGAGTATGGTGTCCATATTTTCTCACAAATAGTTTTGACTCTGACTGATGAGTTTCAGATAGTTCCGGGCACGGTCTCCAGATCTCGGCTTGAGTGCGGACATCAGCGGTGGATGAAAGTTCTACATAGGATGGGTATCCGCTAACTGCTAGTTCTTACTCCTCTGCCACTTTGTGGTCTGTGCAGATTGCTATAATCAGCACACTCGACTATATTTGCCACAACTGATTCTTGCCACCCTCTCTTCCAAGTAAAGATTTCACTGACTGTATGGTTAAATATTATATCTTGTGTACCAACAAAGATATTCTAGTCCTTAGAGGACTTTTAGGATACCATTTCGTCCGCCCCAAATCTAAATCTGCTTAGGGTACTTGGAGAGAGACAAGCTTGCCGCTCAATCAAGGTCATTCAAATGTACTAATAAGATTCTAGTGTTCTACTACTGCAATCTTGATATCCATATCGCTAGATCGACGACTATTTGATAAAGCCTTGTCTATCACCCCTCTGAGGTCACTGGGACGCTCTTGTCTTCCTCTCAGGGGCTAGAAATTTCTACTACGCTGATTTGCTTTTATATCATTGGGTGGTACACTACAGATGTCATTGCTTTAACTTCAGACCCATGTTCGACCAGCTGGGCTACCTCACCAATGTTTGGTAAGGGGACGTGCAGTTCCAACCCCTACCGGCGCTCGCTACATATAACTCAAGAATTGCCATGTTTCATGGATAGGATATTCTTTATTTTCTCCTGTCACTACCATAAATGAATTCAGCGTTTTGAACCCTGCCACCAACCAGTCCCTTTTCTCGATTCCATCACGTAACGACCCTTCCTCGAAGGACCAGAGGGAGGCTGGTGCCACAGGTGATGCATTGACAGAATGGTAGAAAACAAAGGGATCACATTGGCCATAGTGGCAACTGTATTCTGCATTGCGGCTTTCATCGCAGTGATATTACGATGTTATACTCGGCTACGGATTGTAAAGGCATTTGGACTGGATGATTACTTCATGGTCGCCGCTGAGGTATGCGATGGAAGCACACCGCTGGAATGGCCTGTGCTTCTCTTATTCGTGTGCCAGGACTAACAGGCGACCACAGTTCTTCCACCTCTGGTTCACATCACTGGTCCTTTCGGGCGTCTACTATGGCACTGGCCGACACATGTGGGATCTTACACCAGAAAATGCCGTCACAGCTTGCAAGGTACGCGTTGGCCTACGTCCGAGTCAACTGCATTGGTACTAAGCAATCGTAGGTATGGTGGCTTTGCTATCTTGGCTATTGCATGTCTATGATCTTCGCTAAGATCGCTATTGGTCTTTTCCTCCTTCGAATCGCTGTCCAGAAATCTCATATTAGTATTATCTGGTTCACTATCATTCATTCCATCGTTGCTGGGACCGTTTTTTTCTTTGTTGTCATCTTTCAATGTTACCCTGTCTCTTATTACTGGACTTCCGTCATCCCAGGTGGTAAAGGTTCCTGTATTTCTTTACATGTCTTCACTTCACTTGGCTATCTTTATGGGACTGTATGCGCCTTAGGCGACATGATATATGGTATACTGCCAATATTTCTCATTTGGAATGTTGATATCGACCGCAAGACGAAATTTATCCTGGTGCCTATCCTCGGCATGGCTGCAATGTAAGCCCAGCAAACACAAACACCACATACGCTACTGACATAAAATCAGTGCGAGTTGTGCCGCTCTCGTCCGCATGGCCTACATGAACCAGCTCCTGGAGCCTGACTTTCTATGTGAGCATTGATTCTTGCATACCTTCTCTGCGCGATAAATTTAACACTACCTAGGGTCGACTGTAGACATCGCCATCTGGTCCACCATCGAACCCGGCCTTGCAATCCTTGCGTCCAGTTTAGCCACACTCCGGCCACTTGTCAAGCAGCTCAGCTCCCGCTTCTCGGCCCTCAAATCTGTCAATAGTAAAGACCTAGACTCACCCGCCTGCAACACCGATCCGACCACCAAATGTCGACGCGCTCTATCATTCTCACAGCAGACGCAGACTTGCGATCAAACAACTACTATTGGTATCTGGGCTGAGCATGAGCCGCGAGGCCGGACGAAGATGATGATGGGAGATGTGGAAAGTCAGTGGTCAGACAGCCAGACGGTGGCGGTAAGTAAAAAGGAGAGGGCCGGGATTGGGCGCATTACGGTACAAACAGATATCGAATTAATGGACTCCGCGACATTGGTGGGAAGTCCGACGACTATTTGCGCGCCGGGGACCCCGAAGGTAACACGTATATGAGCTGGGCGCATGATCGTCTTACCTCTTCTGTATGTTATAAATATATATATTGGTTAACTTGTATCATTCAATGAAATATGATTGTACATTGAGGGTTGTGAAAATTCAGACATGCAGAGATTACAAGTGTCTAATGGCTACCACATGTCCGTTGATCATTATGACTCGTAATTTGGTAGACTAGCTAGGAGCCACGTAAACTTCCGTCGTTCCTCACGCTTGCCTAGTCGGCATGAGTATGATCATAATTATAAGCACTATATACATCAACGTATAGCACATTCCGGACTCAAGGGGCACTGATGACCATACATGATTAGGATGTCCTGTGCCCGATATCAGTCTGCACCAAGGGAACAGGCTATGATTACTTTACCCAGAACAAAATTACACATCACAGCTTGTAGGTGGATGACGAAACTCACTCCCCTCAAATAGCTCTATTAGTCACAGACTCTTATCAAAAACTTCACATAATTCGATATAACTTGACGGGAGCAAGTACAACGATTCCTTGGGCTCATTACCCTCGTTCCACGATCTGCAGGTGTGCTTACCCTGCAATACCTCCTTACTACCCTATCTCCGAGGCAAAAAGGCTGAAGATATAGGTTACAAAGTCATGCAATACGCCCATAATCCCTCAAGCTTCTAGTTGTTAAATTCTTGTTTCGAATCCAATTGACAACTTGTGGTTTATTGCTACTGGCTTTAAATTCATGACAATACTACCTAAATCTCAGAAAAATAAGCGCTAATAAATGAAGCTACAGAGTTTAGTAGACGTCCGGATATGGATCGAAAATGCTTCATGGATAAATGTATAATGGAGGGAACTTGTAAGGACTGGCAACTTAACCACGATTATCTACGCTTCAAGCACATTGATAGTATGTCCCTTTGCAAGGTATAACGACCTCCTTAATCTACTTACATGAAATTCCGAGTCCACCCCTCAGAGCCTAACAACTACTTTTTGGAAAGTCATCTTCCACCTTCGTCGCCGCCACGTCTTCTATATTCCGTACCACCGTTACTTCAATGTAGAGCCGGAAAGATTATTGCCTACCCGCGGCCCGGCAAGAGTGCCATCGGCATCGAACCATGGACTATCTGCATCCAATAGGGTGCTCCCCAATGGCTATTGCTTCATCGCCGGCTCCGATAGCTTCAAAGCAACTTTCAAGTCTCCTAAGTCAGCGATAATAATGATTTTTAGTCTCATAGCTACTGTGGCATTCGAGGGAAGATTTTTCCAGATTAAAGGCAGGGCAGAAGCCGAGCAGTAGAAGCGATTCCACGGTGCTGTTTGAGGATGTAACTTCAAGAAGGATAAAACAGATAAAAGTACGTGTGACACATAGTGCGTAGTGAAAACAGACAGTGTTGCAGGCCCGGGGTGAGTGTTGGTGTAGTTCCGATCGCTGGTAGGGGAGCCTTAAGATAGCGCTATGAAGACATACAAGCATTGTCTCACAACGCATGTATCTTAGTATTATGTCTGGCTGCTCGAACACATAATAATATACTTATCTCTTCGATTCTATCAATCATTGATTAATTCCCTCAGGGTCCACTCAATAAATTCTTTTTGTGTCCTCAACCACTCTCTTGCCCCCTCAACCCGGTAAGAACCCTCCTTTTCACTTTCACCTCTTGCCCGGATAACCTCTTCGCAAGCTCTATCCCGCAAGATTTCGACTCTATAGCTCGCAAATTGCCCAAATAGCACCTTTCTATCACTGATATTCCTTACATTCGTCATCACGCTCTCATCTTTGACGTGGGGATCTCGCGGTCTGAAACTTGTCACCATACTAATTCTCTCCTGCCCACCCTTCGCCGCCGTAGCTTGATGCTCCACATATCTGCCCTGCATAACTACTGCGCTCCCCAACTCGGGGCCTCGCGCCTTCATAATGTCTCCATCCGCGGCACGGATGTACGTCTCGCCCCCAGACATGCCAGTGCATGGAGAGAGCATTAGTACACATACGAACGGGTAGCAATCCTTGTGCCATCCAAACGCACTCTCGCAGTACTTTCCCGGCGTTATTTGTTGACCTGGTGGGGTGCAGTCGTTCTCGGAGCCGTCGGCGCGCACGACAATGTTTGTATGGCCAATGTCGTAGTCAAGCGCTGGGACAAGATCGATCCCTGCGATAGTGGATATGAGGGAGATGACGGTGGGGTGGGTCCAAGCCGCATGGGTGAATGGTGCGTGGCTGTTGCTATCAGTTCGTTCATATACGTGTGAAGTGGCCAAAGGGTCTTACTTTGGACACTGCCCTCTGACCTGTCCAGTCTTACTCCCAGTCTGACAATGAAATTTATCAAGCACCTCCTCGTCGAACACTTCTGCTCTCATTTGCCGAATCGCCTCTTCGTTAAACAATGGAAAAGGCTCAGAGAAAGCATTAGGCGAGATTCCCACATTGCTTTTGCCGAGATCAGCGAGAAGGTGTATTTTCTTGGGAGCTTCATAGTTTAAGTGTTTGGCTGGGTCGAAGACAACTTTGCCTGAGATCTTGGCCGAGTCGATCAGGTCGCGTGGAAGATTTGTGAAGCGATCGAGTTGGTGCGAAATGGTAGAGAGCTTAGCCACAGCATGTGAGTCAGATGTGGAGAAGGAGTCCTGACGCACTGTTTGTGGGTAGATCCCTTGTGTTTGGAACATATTTCGTAGAGCCTGAATTACACTTGGACTCTGGATGACTTGGAGCACATAGATACTACTGGGCTGGAGAAGATACCGTGATATTGAGAGATATACAGGACGCGTAAAGGGGATCCGTATATAATACGAAAAACATCAGAATGGATCCTAGATTGTACATAGAACTTGCACGCGCCAGGGATCGTGGAATAAGAGATTGCCACGTCTTCTGACTTTTCAGGAAACAGAGTCCGAGATCGTAATCTTGAAGCTTATCGGCTGACACACCGGGCATCGATACGGCAGCTTGGGTTTCGCTGTGCTGTCTTGATTCCGAGGTAGTACTGCATCGCGATTGGTATATACACTTGAAAGTCATGGAACGAGAAAGTGGTCATCACGGACAGAGGAGAGATCGCAGCTTTGACTATCGGGCCGCTGTAGACGTGCATGAAGAATAGAGCGAGGACCATTCCTTCTGATACCGCTGACATCCTGGTGTGGAATGATCCTAGTTGGAGGGCGGTTACCATGAGACCGCCCTCCATCATGCGAAATTACCAAGCTAGTAGACCACAGTGCTGATGACTGCATCGAATTAGTTTATGAAAGAATCTGTCCGATTTGTTGTGGATTATGTTACTTGGGAAGTCTTAGTCTTCCTAACGTGGTACTTGTTTCGCACTTTGATACTCGATTCGGAAATAGCTTGGCGAGCCTAATCGACCATGTAGGGAAAAAGCTATAAATAGAACTTGTTACCAAGAAATAGTGTCGTTCGCTTTGTACAGTGTAGATCCATTTACAGGATTGTGCGAAGAGTGGTTGATCGTTCGATATCTCTGTCCCAATATGGTCCAGCTAGCCCAGAGTGTATTGGCTCAAGTCCATGGAGTCCAACAACCACTTTTGGTGATTTTCCGCCGTTTTTCGCGCAATCGAGATGGAGTTTTGGGTAACAATATGAATCGCTGTTAAGGAACCAAAGAAGAACCACGTGGCTGCTGACGAGGCTCCTACGGCTCTCTCCCAGCCAAATAGGATCTCTGATGAAGCCTTGCACGCACAAGTTACAGGTTCCAGCACCAATTTAATCTTCATTCAACGTCCTAGGAACCGCCATGTCTAGCCAATCTTCCTATCTTCGTGTGGTTATACAGCGCTGCTAAGCGGCATCAACAACGAGCCACCTGAGATGGTCGTATAGTTTCAGTAAGTCGTCTACAAGGCACTTAAAATTCATCTCACGGCCTTGATGTTTCGTATTGGGATGAGGCAGTATCATTACTTTGGGCCAAGAGTCGTGCCTACTGTGATATTTGTCACATGCAAATATGAGGTTGTGGTATCCTCAATTCATTGTCTTGCTAACTTATGGTATATTGCGTTCGCCCAAGCGTCTACAACCAGGGTTAGAGTTTGCATCGAAGGGTGTACATCAAGACTGCCTTTGAGGTTTTGCATTGGAGATTCACACTTTCCTTTGTTCTGCTAGTCACTTGTGTCAGTGGCACTGTTCTACATGACATCAAGACAATACATGATTTCCCGCTTTGGGCACATATAGATGGTGCAGCAGCCACATCCTCATTCTTCATAGCTTTGGTGAGCACGAATATACATACCAAGTATTGTCACGCTATTGTTGCGAAAAGAAACCTCTTGATCCGGGATACTGACGTATACTATAGCTCCAGAATACTACATAGTCTCGCTGCGAGGGAACCGTTTCCGAGACAAAACAAAGTAATGGTCGATCCCATACGTAGGCACAGTCTGGATTATCCACCGTTTGGCGTTTTTGGGCGCAAAATGGCACTCTTAGACATTTCAAAGTGCTCACGAGTCTTGTCAATGGTGGAGTACCTGTCAGCTACAACGCTATCGGAACCACTTGATCTTCTCTTACTGATCAAGCTATGCCCAAACCATGGACCGTACGAAATCGCAATGTTGTGGTTGGAGACTACCTTATGTTGGCTGAATCGGATTGATTGGAGTAATGCTCATTTTTCTCTGCTATGGATACACCTCTTTGGCCTCCCTATACAACTCCTGTTACTACTGTATCATATCAAAACTTTCCGCTATTCTGTACGCCAGAGGTGGATACAATCGATGTGTATTAGCTATAGAGTTACACGAGGTAGATATGGTCCTTGATATTCTCGAAGTGAAGTTGTGTGACGCTTAAGAACAATGCCTTGAAGATATGATTTAGGGCAGAGATTGCGGACCAGTGGCTTAGACTCTGTCAATTAAGATCGCTCTCAGTCAGACTTCCAGGACTTAGGATTCACAAGACGCAAGCATGGAAAGCAGTATGAGTGTTATTGCCATCATACTAACCAGCATCGATTCATAGTCATCGAAGAGCTCAATCTCGATTCCCAGCATATGTAACCGTCCCATAAAGAGTATGGTCCTCGCTCGTAGCCAAGTGGCACTACTCCATGTTGGGCGTATCCTTCGCAGCAGCGGCAATGGGTTTGACATCTGAACAATTATGAAGAATGATTCAGTTGCATGTGGACTCTCGTGCTGCATAACAACCGAGATTCTGTACATATGCGTATGTCTATAATCACATAGGAAAGCTTGGCAGCCGGTGAATGTAACTATGGATATACGGATCGCTTGGGCGCTGCACGTTTACGGCTTGCTTCGGCTGATATTTTATTACGTGGCCTCATTGGACCAGAAGAGTTCTAAGTTTAAAGCTCTAAAAGGATCGCGATTACGTTATCATATTGATTCCTATAGTAGAAAATGTAGTAGAAAATTGAGGCTTGCAGATATTAGCATATCACGAAAAACTAGATGGATTGTTTGAACATCGCTCCGACTAGAGTTACTCAGGAGGATTTTCATCGAAAACAATCGGTCAATCTCTAGTAAACAAACTTACTCGCTGACATGACCGGTATGTTCCCTCAACCGACCACATATTGCTTGATTCAGCGGATTGTCTGACATATATTGTTATTGCTTCGTAATGCAATATCTTACACGGCTTATCTGGTTAACCTACATGGCCAGACCCCCAGCTTTGCAGTCTTCCGGATAGCCTCGAGAAGAATTCAGCGCTTCTTACCAATATTCTTCTTCGCGGCCTCGGTGTTCTTGAATGGAAAACCACTTGTACGCTTGTCGGCGCCAGTCTTGCGGCTGATCCTGCCATCACTACTTGCAAACAAAAGACACCATAGACCAACGGCCGCCAGTATGGTGCTGACGCCTGTGGAGAGCCCAAACGCAAAAGATCCCTCTTCAGTCCACATTGCATAAGTATAGAAGCCCGCAACGGCGTGGTAAACTAAAGTTATGCTCAGAGTAGGTATCGCGAACGGCGCCTTCGGGTCTGATGGATCAGTTGTTACACCATTGCCTACAATATTAGCTATGAACAGCCAAAACATACACATCACCAACCGATTTGTAGCCTAGAGCTTAGCGGTATCGATCCAGTAAGAACTAAATTGAGGATACCTAGGGCTAGGAGAGTGAAGCCAAGAGATCGCGAAAAGTATGTTTCGAGTACGGTTGCCTCTCGGACCTCAGGCGAGAGGATGGTCAGAATGATGGTAGGCGACGCCATGAGCGGGATGGCCTGGATTATATTCCATGCTGTCGTGCCATAGGTATAGGCTGCCATGTCAGTAAAGGTCAAGTGAGGCTACAAGACGCTGCCAAACCGTAGTAGACCTTGCCAGGTTGTTAGAGGCATATCTCGAGAGGGGCGAGTTTATTTCCTTACATCCATTGCAGATTCTGGACTGCGGTTTTCTGGCGCGAGTTGAAGAGGTGATGATGTCAGTTATGTAGAATCGAGGTTCTATGGGAACAAAAGCAAACAATGAGGTTACAACTTCCTAAGTTACAGTGCATGTGCGTCATTTCATGCCTGAGGCAGTAGTGTTTTCATCAGTAAGCTAGCGGAGCAGACCTGAGCTCGAAAACTACACCGCAAAACGAACGCGTTTATCCAAGTCGTGCATTCCCGGTGCTCACCAAGTCGGCTTTTCAAGTATCACGTTTTAGCATTATTAGTGAGTAGATTTAATGATATTACATTGGATATTGAATGGTCTTGATGAACACGTAAAGATGCCAGTGGCAGAGCTGTATATAGCATAATCACAGGCGCAACAAATCTATTTGGCACTTATTTCTTAGCTGCTCCGGCCTTTATGAGCAAGATATCTCCGTCCTGAACAACGTAGTCCTTGCCCTTGGTCAAGATCTTGCCCTTCGCCTTGACTGTAGCTTCATCCCCTTCTTCTTTCAAAACACTATAGTTATATACTATAGCCTGAATGAATGTCTTTTCAAAGTCGCCATGAATCACGCCAGCAGCTTGGGGTGCCTTCGTACCGTTCCTAATGGTCCATTGTCGTACTTCATCTGCACCAGTGGTGAAGAAGCTTCCTAGGTGCAATGCCTTCCTCATAGTCGTGATGACCTTGGGTAACGCTGGCGTTGCGCCAATTCTCTCGAGCTCCGCGGTTACTTCAGCTTCGGTCTCAAACTTGCTAAGACGTTTTTCTAGTTCAACAGAGATGGGCAAGATCGGGTCGCCGGCGGCATGATCCACTGTCCATTTTTGAATTTCCTTGAGATACTTATTTTTTTTGCGAAGATAGTCCTTCTCGCTCATGTTCAGTAGGTAGACGACAGGTTTCGCGGATAGGAGGAAGAGAGGATTGATGACCTCAACCTAGAGTACCAATTAACAATCGTCCGGCAGCGCATGCTGACTTGAACAACGTTTGCAGTGCTTCGTTCAGACAGGGACATCTTTTCATAATAACCTCTTTGCGTTGTATATAATGAGGCATTCAAAGAGCTGGGATTATAGAGCAAATGCTCTTTGTCATCAGTTGAAAGGAGATTTGGGGCATGAAGAACCAAAGATCAAGTACCTCTTTCGGAGTCCAGTCGCCCTTCCGCACATCCTTGCCATCTTTCAACCAAGCAAGGATCTTTTCAACGGTAGCTTCCTCCTCTTTAAGTTTCTTCATCTCCAGACTTTGGCCGCCGCGCCGTGTCTGCTTCTTGAGATTCTCAAGTGCCTTCTCAGAGAACTCGATGTCTTTGATTCGTAGCTCATCAGCGATAATGTCCAGATCACGAACAGGTTCAACGTCGCCTTGTACGTGTATGATACTTTTATCGTCGAAGCAACGAACGACCTGAAAGATAGCATCTACAGCGCGTATGTGAGACAAGAATGCATTACCAAGACCTTCTCCGGTGGATGCACCCTTGACGAGACCAGCAATATCATAAATGGTAAGGTGGGCAGGAACCCTGGACTTGGGGTTATATTTGTCGCACAGCCAATCGTATCTGTCATCTGGTACTATGACACGGGACTCTTCTGGATCAATGGTGGCATAAGGGTAGTTCTTTGCGCAATTAGCTCAATGGTCAGGACGTTAGGAAGAGTCTGACGAACGTTGGGATTACCAAGAGAACATTTTGTGATGGCTTGAAAGAGCGTCGATTTACCAACATTGGCAAGACCCACCTGGGTAGGTGTCAGTTTCGTTACTACAACACAGACTGCAGTGCCTCCTACATACTAGACCAGTCTTTAGGTTGTTGCCAGGTCGTCCGAGAAGAACCTTATCCTCGGCTTGGCGTTTCTTTGGGGGCATTTTCCTTTTGGTATAGAATCGGATGATAAGCGGGGTGATGGAGAAGGTACAAATATGAGTCCTCAAATAAGGAAGCTGAGGAGTAGATGCAGACCTTGCTGCTATATGAAAAAAGCTGGGTATCTGAGAAAAGAAGATAGGATTAGAAACAATTGAAGCCGTCGTGGCGACTGGGGCTCGAGGAATAACTCGAGCGCAATGTCAGGTTGTGGTCTGCAGCTGTTGACACAGCTGCAGTTTTTCATCTGGTGTGCTGTGTGTAAGATGGATTTTCATTTAAGGAGCAGTGACCCTCCCTCGGCCTCTCATCGGGTTGCAGCGCGCCACAACAAGTGAGGCTGAAGGTCCCTTGTTGCCTTCTACAAGGAAGCACATTACGTCAAGGAAGATTGGCCTTCCATTGCTCGGGATGGTGTTTGTCGCGTGTCTACACTATTGTTCTTCTACACCATAAGGAGAAATATTCGATCAGCGACGCCATAGGTGCATACTTGCAATCTCAAGTCAATACATACTCGCTAGCATGTCCTCATCCAGCTCGCTACCTTCATCTGGCATAACGAAAACTCCCAAGAGGACCTCGACACATCGTCCAACACGATCAGCACAGCGAACAGAAGTCAAGATAAACGTATACGACCTGCTACCCGTCAGTGATCTTGCAGCGTGTTCTACAAGTAAATGCTAAAACGTTGTAGCCAGGTAGACTCTCCTCCTTCTTATGGACAATAGGTGGCTCCCTACTCCATTCTGGCGTTGTCATCAATGGCAGGGAGTACGCGTACGGAGGTCATGACAAACAAGGCTTGACAGGAGTTTATTGGACTCGGTACGACTGTTTGGGTTCTGTATAAACGCACACACTGATACGCACTGGAAAGACCGAAGTCAGAGCCCCCAGGCGGCACATTCCGCTGTGAGCTTCTTCAAGGATTCTCATTCCTCGCCGATAACGAGCTCGATATCATCATCCAGGAAGCGTCCCAAAAATTTCAGGGTACTTCTTACAACCTCCTCACAAACAATTGTAACCACTTCACGTCATATCTTTGCCAGGCTCTTACGTCTCGACCTGCGCCCTCATGGCTCAATAGAGCGGCAAGCATTGGTGTAGCATTACCATGCGTGGTGCCTAAAGAGTGGATCGCGCCGCCTGATCACGAGACTGCAGAAGGCGAGCTGCTAGACGAGGAAGACGACGAAAGCGCGGCTATGCTTCGGAGACACAGGGCAGATGTAGAACATCATGCTTACGATGATATCTCTCGACATCGTGGGAGCATAGATCGTATGGAAAGCAGAAATGAGGGACTCGACACGAGTGGACGACCCATGCCACCGGCCGAGCGGGCTCCTCGGAGATGAGGTTCGTAGATATTAAACATTGAGCGATGGGAAGATTCGAGGCGTATGGAGTTATTTTGAAGTCGGTCAATCCGCTTTGTAATCTATGTTGACTGGCCGCGGCTCCTTCAGTATTAGGGAGCTGCAAACACCTTCATTAAAACGCCCTCGAGTGGCTTCTATGTTATGTACATGAGCTTTCGAGCTCGTGATAATGTAAAGTACACGCGTCAGTAGCATACGTCGACAATGGCATGGCGCACCGAAAGATGCTCGTAAAGGACTCAGCCCAGCCTCCTTGGCTTTGAACCTCTTGGACCTCCATGGGCAATAGGTGTGACATCAGTCACTTTCCTGACCTTATTCCTTATAACCATACCTTCTGTTCCCACTATCGCCTTCGTGGCTCCCTCTCGACCTTGACCAAATCCTCTGAAGGATAGATGGACTTGTTTCATATTCTCACGGAGCGAATTATTCCCTGCAATCTTGTTCAATACGAACGCAGCCAGCTGGTATCCTGCGTCGAACGTTTTCCGACCAGACTTCCTAAATCCCAAGTTGCCGGTGCTCACATTGATGATCGCTTCGTGCTTCGGATCCGTCAAAGTAATGTGCGTGTTGTGTTTATGGCTATAGATGTGCAGACAGTGAGCAGGCTGCTCGCCAACCAGGCTCTGGGTAACGTCCATCCCTCTTAACATGCCCAGTAATTCATTTTGTCTTTTCTGGTGACCTTCAGGATCTGTGTTGCGAATAGTTTCATTTTCACGAAGCTGTTTAGCCAAGGTGTCTTGACGAGCTCCCTCCGACAGATAATTGTCCACTAGATCTACTCCTCCTTTCCGCGGAGGGTCTTTGCGAGACTGTTCACTAATAAGATCATCGAATTTATTATCTCTGCCTCTGCCCTCGATTGAACCGGTTGCCGTCGTAGAGAATGATTGGAGTGGTAGAAGTGGCCTCGTGCGACATGAAGAGATCGAGGAGAGGATAGTTCGCGTTATTGGAGTCCGGAGGGCGCTCATTGCGCTGTAGACGATGAATGAATACCGAAGCGTAGAGTATGCCGTAAGCACCAAGTGAGGTCAAGAATATTTCCAGGTAAAGACAATAAGACGTATTTGCGCGGACTATGTTATTCGTTCTAGTCTTTCGGGCGCACGGATCACCAAAGACCAATTTTTAGATCGACAAACGCAAACACCATCACTCGTACGTATACCCTCACATACACTGTGGCTGTTGCACCAAGTTTACATATCAGCTGTAGGTAGACCACTACTATCATCATTAATTTTCGAAAGGAGCATGCGAAACTTCTCCATGGGCCTTGCGCCGCCTCACCTCGCAAGTGGCGCGTCTCGAGCTCCGTCCTCCTTTCTTCGCAATGCCATTATTCACAGGAGATATTCCGTGACTGCTATACCAATTCGACCTACCGACCGACTTAGAGGGTTAACGACCAAAACCCCCTCATCTAGCCTTAGATTTCTCAAGCCACTCGCTCTTTCCTGTCCTCTCTCAATCCAGTCCACATTGTTACCAAATTTCAGATTATATTCCCGGTCTTCTCGGGACGCCCAGGGACAAACTGACTTACCGAAGAACTCGCCTAGTGAAGGAGATCGCACCGCCAAGGCAGACAACACGGCCAAGGATACTGCTATTCCCAAGTCACCAGGAGGGGACTTCAAGGCTGAAGGAGAGACAGGGAAAGAAGAAGCCAGAAAAGAGGAAGAAAAATCTGATGATAAGGAGAAGAAGAAAGAAGAGCCTCCACCACCTCCGCCTCATGGTGATAAGACGCCATGGCAAGTGTTCACTGAGACGCTGCGATCTGAATTCAAGGCGTCTAAAGAGTGGAACGAGTCCACCAAAGCTTTACAGTCCGGTATGGACGACTTTACTGCGAATCCTAATGTCCAGAAAGCGCGGACTGCATACACACAGAGTAAAGACGCAGCTTCTACAGCGACTTCAGCGGCGTTCAGCAAGACAGGCAAGGTGCTGGGACACGGTGCTGCTTGGACGTGGGATACAACAGTTATCAAAGGTGTTAGACAGGGAGTGAATGCTGCTGGACGGGGAATTGAAAAGGCCACGCGACCTGTTCGGGAAACAGAGGCTTTCAAAAGCGTCAAGAATACGTTAGACGATGGAAGCTCGTCGCGCTATGGTGGATGGACGGAGAAAGAAGAGCGTAGAAAAAGACGAGAGCTACGGGAACTCAACGAGCTCCAAAGGACTGGCGGACGCCGGTTGGAGAAGATGGAAGAAGACGCTGAGTAAGTGCACCATTCTCATGTGCTTGAATCTTTCTAACAGATGTTGCAGAGCAGGCACAAATGTGACGCTCCACAAAGATGCTAAATGGAATGCGAAATGGAGCGAGTTTAAAGACTCCAGTCGTGTTATGCAAGGCTTTTTCTCTATGAAGTCGGCCTACAATGAATCAGAAAACCCATTTGTTGCAACTGCGCGAGGAATTTCTGATCGCATCGCTGGATTTTTCGCCGAGAACGAAACTGCTCAGGTTATCAAGAAGTTTCGCGAGATGGATCCGAACTTCAAAATGGAGCCTTTCCTCACAGAAATGCGAGAGTACATATTGCCAGAGGTTCTGGATGCATATGTCAAAGGTGATATCGAGACTCTAAAGCTATGGCTCTCTGCAGCCCAGTATCAGGTGTATGCTGCACTCATGCAGCAGTATACCACTGCAGGACTCAAGTCTGACGGCCGAATTCTGGATATAAGGAACGTAGATGTACTGTCATCACGGATGGTCGACCCAGGCGACGTTCCTGTATTTATCGTCACCTGCCGGACTCAGGAAGTGCACGTTTACAAGAATGCGAAATCCGGAGACTTGGCGGCTGGACAAGACGACCGTGTCCAACAAGTCACATATGTTATCGGCATGACGCGGTTACCTGACGAGGTTAGTAACCCGGAGACGAGAGGATGGCGAATGATTGAGCTGCATAAAAGTGCACGGGACTATCTATGAACTCCTACGTCAACTTCAAATTGTACTACTACCACTGAGGAGCTACCACAGGCCTAAATGGTCTGGCCCGGCGCGGTTTGTCTTGTGTGTGGGCCGTTCGATGTGCATAAATACTTGGCGTCTTTCTCAAAAGCAAGGCATTTCACAGCGTTTTCTTGTACTCATATGCCGCCCGCTCGATAATTGTGTTGTACATGGGAGTAGTAAGGCTTCTTAGTATCTTCTTGTATCCTACCTTCTTGCTCAGAGGGTATCATTACGTTCCCCACTCATGTCTGTACATATACCACCAAAAGACCAACGCTGCAGGGGCTGGGGTGATGAAGAGCTTCTACGCAGGATTTAATATAAGCCAGTCATTGAATCATTGATCCATCACTTTGCTTATATCTAGAGTGAAGGCTCGATAACAAGCTCTATCATTCCGTGGTTGTATCTACACAGTATACATTTTTGTATACTTCGTGGCCAGTCCGTAGACAGCCAATATGGAGATAGCTCGATGTCGTTTCCTCCGAGATTATGCAAAATTTATAGATCATCGACGTCTATTCGGGATAAGCTACCAGTGGTTTACAGTCGGGAGGGCACAACGTCTCTCATAGCGTCAATTAATACACCCGGCAGAGCGAGCACTCTACGCTAATGAATGAATATCAATTCTTGGCAAGCCTAAGAAAGTACTGGGTCATTCTGGAGCACTATGCAGATTATCCCGGTACTGTCGAGCGAAACGGCAATCAAATCACAAAACACTTATAGCACCCGACTTTAGTTGTCTCCGAAACGCTTTGCTAGTGACCTATGCTAAATGAGGATTTATGTATATCACTATCACGAAAATGGTCATTGGAGAAAGCTGACGTTGCGTAGACCGTCGGTGTCGCCGAGTAGTGGGAGTGTAAGCGATTCTCATCATCATGGAACCTCTAGAGACGTCGTCACATTGACGGAGGTCGATAATAATCGGGCCCGCTCCGCAGGCTAAGTCCGCTCCGCTCTTGAGTAGGCAGGACAGGGCTAGCTGGAGAAATGGCCCGAGCTTTCCAAAATTTGGTCGAAACTAAGAGTCGTACTGTTTAAGCACTGTCGCGTCCGTCAACACCACTGAACCATTATGGCTGAGAGGGAGGCTGCCTCGCCCAAATACGAGGCGCCAGTGGCGAAGCCTGCTGCTTCTACAGCGGTAGAAGCACCTAAAGGCAATCCAGTCTTTCGTATGATGGGTCTGTCAAGCTAACTGCCCAGCGCGTCAGCCGTACTAATGAGGACAATAGGGTTGCCAAACATAAAAATGAAAATTCCCTCGCGGAATTGGTTGATATTTTGGACAATAGTGGGCTCTTGGACTGGGGCAGTCGTATACGACCGCCAACAAAAGAAGCGCATACAGCGGAAATGGTGCAATGTGGTTGCAGACCTCGCAAAACAACCTCTACCACCTACCGGCCTTCCCCGGAAGTTATCCATATTTCTCGCAGCGCCGCCCGCTGATGGACTTATACCGGCTCGAGATCATTTCAACGAGTTCATAAAGCCAATACTCAATGCCGCAGCTCTTGATTGGGATGCGGTGGAAGGTAGAAGAGAAGGAGATATCCGAGCCGGCCTCGCAGAGCGTATCAGGAAGCTAAGAAAGCAGAAAGGAGAATACACCAATGAACCTCTTATGGATGACGATCTTGCAGCGTTGCTAGACGCGATCAGGGAAAGAGGCGGCGTCACCCGCCATGAAGCAGTTGAGGGTGACATCGTGATCGGTCGACATGCGTGGAAAGAGTATATCAGGGGATTGCATGAGGGTTGGCTGGGACCCATAGACCCACCATCGTCACCGCCAGAGCCCACCATTGAGACCGTAGTCACATCGTCAACAGAAACTTCAGATGAGGCTCCTACAACAGCAGCCAACGCTGATGAAACACACACAGGAAGCCCGCTATCCAACTTACCAGCGGAAGAGGCGAAGTCTTCGCCAGATGAGGCTAAGGAGAAGGAGGAGGAAGCACAGAAGAAGGAAGAGGAGCTGAAATCCAAGAAGAAGAAGCAACCACCACCGACCAACCAAACCAGCGATTATCCCACGTCGCATTTGTCACCCGTATGTCCTAACGAATTTCAACCATCAGTCGCCATTCAATTGCCACATCTACTCGGCTTCCTCAATACGCCTATTCGAATGTGGCGCTTTCTGAACAAAAGAGCCGTAGCAGACGATGTTGGTCGACAAGCTGCCGCTGCAGTGTTTGCCGTCTACCGTCCGTATGAGTCGCCATCTCACACGCAGCATTTTTCAGGGGCCTCAGCAAGCTCAAACCCTCCACACCAAACGAACGAAGTAGAGTCTGGCAGCTGGGAACAGGCAGTCCTTCTAAAGCGAGAAGAAGCCGACTGGCACAAGTCGGTAAGACAAGAGGCTAAAGAGGATCCTGAGTTTAATAAAGAAGGTCGAGAAAGGATATGGACAAGACCGATGGTGCTTGACGAGCGTATTGCTGATCGCATGAGAAAGTTTGAGCTCAACGAAGAGCTCGAACGAAGAGCAAGAGAGGTTGAGAAAAACCTTAGACCATGGTACTTCTTTGGCTTCGCTGAGAAGAAGCCCGACGAGACGGAAGAGTAGGCCTCGACAGTGGCTACTTGTACTATACTTGTTGATACTGGTGGGCGTGCTTGTACGCAGTAGACGTCCATAGACCATTTTGAGATTCATGTAAACAATATTGGCACCCGATGCCCCCGGATCTAATCAGCCTATACACACCTCCTTGTAACAGTCCTGAGCACCAATTCCTGCACCACCCAAGCCAACTGTCTCCCATCTCCCCAAAGCCCATCATGCTCCCCTTCCATAGGCCAACTCACAACCTCTCTCCCCACCCACTCTCCCACATGCCTTCTCTTTCCCTCCGTATGCGCAATCTTCTTACTTCCACTCCCCTCCTTCCGCGCCCACTGCTCGCGCGCGAGCTTCTCAACAAATTCCTCACTCTGCGCATCCTCCACCAACCCATCCTCTCGACTCCACCCTACAAGTACCACCTTACCCTCTTCCCATCCATACATCCCCTGCATCGGACTCGCCTCCAGCCACTCCCTCTCATCCCGCCCAAACGCACCTTCCACAATATCCCGATACACAGGCGAATCAGCATGCCTGGCCACAAACGCGCCTAGGTCGAAAATCCCCGCCAACAATCCCAAGGCAATTGGGTGCACACGGTCTTGCTGGCGAGCCCGGTCAAGTCCAAGGCCAGAAACATATTGCGCCGCCAATGTCGCACCGCACGAATGTCCAAGCAGTACGAACTGCACATCTCGGCCTACGCCATACTCGCGCACCAGATGTGCAATCGCGTCGCTGACGTCGCGGATGTGTTCTGGATGCTTGACGTCCGGACTCAGGCGGTAATTCAGACTTGCGAAGCCGGCGATGTACGGGCGGATATCCACGCCGTCGTCTTCATATGTTCTCCGCTGCGCAGGATCAGGAAGTGAGGGCGCCGGTGGACACGGATTTGGGAGGTCGGGGATAGAGGATGGAGATTTGTAGAGGTAGTTTAGTAGAGGGAGGATTTCAGTCGATGTTTGGGTTGGGTCTCGCCAGGCGCCGCCGTGAATGAAGCTGTAGCTTGTTAGTCGTGTATATAGCGAAGTGTGCGGGGGAGAGGGGCAGATCGGTAGTAAGGACGTACAGGACCCATATTGCGGATTTGTCGTGATCAGGAGGGGAGGAATGGGGTAGGAAGATATCGAGGGTGTTTAGAGGGGACTTTTGGCTGCCGTAGGGAACATTTGGGAGGTATTGCGGGTACGTGGTGTTGGACGCTGCGGAGGTCTCGGAGGTGCTGGCCATCGCCGCAGGCTTCATGGAGTAGATTTGGCACCGTGGCTTCGAGCAAGCTTAGTGGTAAGAGTATGTAGGATCAGTTGGAATCTGCGAGCCAATGTTCTAGTTGTAAGGTTGGAACATGTATACACGGCTTCTGTTTCGGCCCGTGCAAACTTGTAGAGGTGTAGTGGAGCATGGATGTCCGCGGGCCGTGGTGACAGGCAGTGTTATGCTTGAAAGGAAATGTTTGGTTTCTGGTGAGATCGAGTATGCTACATAGGATTGCCACCAATCGCTCGTGCTTGAGAAGAGTTTTTATGATACACGGAGAAGAAGAGGTCTTTGATACTTGCAAACCAAACTTTGCTTTTACTTTCGTTGGGTGATTTGGTCGAAAGTACTCAGGACAGAGTCTGTAACGTCGTTCCTCCTCTTGCTAGCCTCATCAACCTCTCTTTCAATATCTTCGATGTTTTTTGGTTGACTGGTCGAGCTAGTCAATTTTCCAGCGATGGCTTTGGCCTGCCCTTCGCTAACTTTGCCATAGACAGCCATGGCAGATGCAATCATGCCACCAATGTCTCCGACATTTCCAGGGACAACGACTGATGTCCCCTCCTTAGCAAGCCGGCCAAAGGCATCCACATACTTTTCTGCCACACTCAGGCTGATAGCGCCTTGAGCTGCATCTTTACCATCGGCAATGGTCTGTGCGACAGCAGCAATCCCAGCAGCGGTCGCATGCGCCTTCATTCTTATAGCCTCAGCCTCACCAGTAGCCATATTGATTTGTTCTGACCTCAGAGCTTCGGACGCGAGAATGACACTTTGTTTCTTTCCTTCTGCGATGTTGATCGCGCTCTGCCTTTGACCTTCAGATTCTAGGATCTCGGCTCTCTTGCTCCTCTCGGCGGTGACTTGTCGATGCATAGCCTCCACAACAGGCTCTGGCGCATGTATGTCTCGAATCTCGTAACGCAGACAGACAACACCCCAGTCCTGCGCTGCCTCGTTAATCGCGACGGTGATTTTGGTGTTGAGCGTGGAGCGCTCTTTCAGGACATGATCAAGAGTAAGTTGCCCTATTTCCGATCGCATCGTAGTTTGCGCCAGCTGCGAGATGGCATATTCTGCATCCTCTACACCATAACTGTACTGAAATCAGCTCGAGTATCTCGTCTTATGTAATGAGCTAAGCCCACCTAGCTTTGTATGCGTCGAACACCCTTGTATACAGTACACCATCCAGCTGAAGCGTGACGTTGTCGGCTGTGATGGCACTCTGGCTCGGAATCTCCAATGCAGCCTCCTTCAAGCTCTTCACATAGGCTATCTTATCTATTACAGGGACTAGGATAGCTAGACCTGGTTCCAAAATTCTATTAAACTTTCCCATGCGCTCAACTATCCAGGCGGTCTGTTGCGGCACAAATCTGACGACAGTGTTTGCGGGCAGGGACGCTCGCTGGAAATAGGATGTCGGAGCTCCACGTGAGTTTCCGGGAATGTTGAAGATGCTGCCGGGAGCAGGGAGGGAGGTGTTGGGCGTGGAGCTGAAAGCGCGGAGGGCAAGACATGCTGGTTGTCGTATTAATGTAAATGTTATTGCGGCAAGGGAAGGACGGCTCGATGCTGAGAGGGATGTGGCGGAGTGTCGAAGTGCAACCATTGCAGGCGATCTGGCCATGATGAGGCGCGCTGGCGCCATGGTCGGAGAGACAGTTATGAGGTCGCTGTCGCCTATGAAGTGGAAGTGTTGCGTTCTAATTTGTGCCGTGGTGATGAAATACTTTTATACAGACGCGGAGCGACCGGTATGAAATATTCGCAATGGGATACAGACGCGTACGCCTATGGTACCTGTGAGCAAGCTCCGGCTGACATAATTAGAAACTTTACTACCAGGTGAGGTGCTCGTCAACTTGGGAAGTTCAATCCAAGCTCTGCTCAGTATACACGTTGTGCCATGATGTCGCGGCATCACTTCTTTCTCTCATTCCGGTCATTCATACTATTCGAGCCAGCACTTCGTAGGAGCTGCCAGCAAAGGACCTTCTCCGCCTCCCCCAGAATCCGTTCAGTCGAAGCCTCCAGGCCTGCACCGCAGACTCCCGCTCAGAAGCAGTTTCCCCATCGTCTTCCAGAAGGCCGTGGCGATGAGGAATTTGAACCGAAAATGCTGGGCCGGCCAATTGGCTTCAAGCATCCTCCTAAGGCTGGAGATAACTCGGGCAAAGATACCAGGTCTTTGAGCAAGAAGCGAGAAGATTTTGTAGATTACGACAAGCATATTGAAAAGAGGAAGGACTTGTGAGTGTAATAAACTGGCACTTTGGTGTGATCTGATGTAAGAGCCAGGCAAGGTCAATTGTTACGACCATACTTTATGGACCATCGCAATATGAAATATCAGCGCGGGAAAGCGTGGATTGGAAATGCAAGGCTGTTCAAGGCTAAATTCGCATTATACTTTCCGAACTTTCACGGATTTACACTCGAATCGTCTTCCCCTACGGACACGACGACGGTTCTCAATGGCAAGGTCTCCATAGTCAGCGTTTACTCCAGCCAATGGGGATCGAACCAGGTTGAAACTTTCGTTGGAAAGAAAGAGAATCCCGCTGTAGAAGCTGCTCTGGCTGCATATCCGGGCGTGGCGCAACGAGTGGATATCAACGTAGAAGAGAATTGGCTCAAACAGATGCTTCTTTGGTTGTTCAAGCCAAATTTGCGTAAAGTGACGCCAAAGGACCGACATGGCAAGTACTTCATTGTCACTAAGGGCGTATCAAACGAGATACGAGAGACGATTGGACTGATCGCGAACGCAAAAGTCGGCTACGTCTACTTGGTGGACGAGAAGTGCCGTATTCGATGGGCAGCGTGCGCCGATGCCTCAGAGAAGGAAAAACGCACGTTATCCGAAGGCGTGCATTGGTTGGTCGATGAGAGGAACAAACCATTAATCAGCTCAGCTACTCAAGCCGATAGCCTTCAATCATGATAGTTCCCTACCGATCGTATGTAAACTATGTATAAAAAGGACTATATATACAACTATACCCAGTTCCACACCGCAATTCAGAACACCGTTCATACTCCAAGCTCCTAAACTCCCAGAGATGCACTCACATAGACTGTAGCGATATATTACCAGAAATATAACAGCATCAGAAAGCAGAACGAAATAAATGATCCGAGAATGATGCCATCTCTTCGCTTCTTGGCCCCGATCCTCCCAATCAGACTATTAATCCCTGGTACTGTGCTTAATGATGCTGTGATCCTCCTGTTTACGTTCATCAATGTTTCTCGCTGCGAGGCAAAGCTCTCATTCGCTGCATATGCTTGGGCCAGGATCGAATCCGCCATATTGTTACTGTTGTCAATCCGCCTCCTCTCATCAAGCATGTACTCTGCTTCGGCAGCACCAGGATTCGATGACCGGTAGGCGTCGATGTCGGACCGCACATTCGACAGCAGATTCGCCCGGTCTCGAGCCGAGTTTATGGTAGACTTTAGCCGCGAGAGCTCTCGTCGGTGATCTTGCAGTATTTCGCGATGCCGCGACAGATTGTTCTGCTTTAGAGCGGACTGTGACGATTCTGAATCAAGGAGTCGGGTGAGTTGAGAGAGGAGGGCTTCGCGCTGCATGTATGTTTAGACATAGTCCGCCAGATGTGCATTTCTCGAGCGTACTTTGTCGAGGATTTCTATGAGCTGCGCTTCGGTGCGAGTTTCTTCCTCGGAAGGCTTTTGGGAAATGTTCGACATGGAGGCATATTGAGAATACGTATGGAAGAGCGATTCGGTCTATGCGGGTGGTCATTATACAAGCGCGTTGGCGGGTGGTACACAGCACATACCTGAGTCTCAAGTGATCTAGCTTGTTGGCGGAGTTGCGCCCATCCACCTCCAGTCGACGACATGATTTATTGAGGCAAGCGAAGTTGGGTTTGCGTTGTGGACTTATTGCCAGCTTTCTTGAAGCCTGATGATCGCATGTTTGGCTGTACCCTGAATCCTCGACTGGGGTAGTGCCAAGCCCGATGATTCCCCGTCGCTAAAGGCGCCCACACACGCTCGCAAAAGTTCGAGATGCGCTGATGCCACCCTCCCGACAACGACACCTCACGACTAACGACAGCCCATCCCATCACTGCCAAAATGGTGAGCAAAACTGCTTACTGGACACCTGATCAATGCCATTAACACGAATTTGCAGTCCACCGCGAAGGTCAAGGCCAGCCAGCTCTGGGGCAAGAACAAGGATGATCTCAAGAAGCAACTCGACGAGCTCAAGGCCGAGCTCGTGACTCTGCGCACACAGAAGATTGCCGGCGGTGCTTCGTCAAAGCTGAACAGAATGTACGCTGTCCCCTGCCATCGATTGCCAAGATTGAGAAGACACGATATTGAACCCAGGAACTGGAACTAACGACATATCTGCAAAAACAGCCACGACGTCCGCAAGTCCATCGCTCGTGTCCTCACCATCATCAACGCCAACCAGCGCTCGCAACTCCGCCTGTTCTACAAGAACAAGAAGTACCTCCCGCTCGACCTCCGCCCCAAGCAGACGCGTGCGATCCGCAGACGGTTAACACCACACGAGGCCGGCCTGATCACCGAGAGGCAGAAGAAGAAGCAGACACACTTCCCCCAGCGGAAGTTTGCCGTCAAGGCATGAGCGATGAGCGGTGTCATGTCGGTTCTGTTTTCTTATCAACCTCCACACGAGCATTGGGTTCGGGAATGTTACCATGCGACTTTCATGGGCTCAGCGATGTACTTAGACTAAAAAGATATCATGGGCAATGCCGTAATCGGTATGAAAAAGCTGTCTGGCTGATGTGGTCGGGCGTCAGTAGATCTTATCGAGGACAATGACAAACGTAACACAACATCAATGATTGCAAAGTCGATATATGGAGAAAGTCGTTCGCTTGGTGAGACTGGTGCACACACCATCATAACTGACATTAATTTAACCGTTCAGACATTAAGTTGCTCACGCCTAGGTCACTTTATAAAAGAAATGCAGACACTCACATTACTCTCATATGCAATTTTAGGGAGCCTCAAATCAAGACTTGATCGGACACGGCGGCTAGATATATATATATCCTGCTACCGCAACCTCGAAGAGAAGCAAGCACAAAAACGTTCCACCATTGTCACCTCAACCTAACCAACATAGTCTCCACATCCTCCAGATACCCCCTCACCATCTCCGCACACCGCGCCGCCATAGCCCCATCAATAACCCGATGATCCGCACTCCAGCTAAAAACACACTCCTCCCTCCTAACCAGCTCCCCATTCTCCCCAAACGCCGGGACAACCCTCGATCGCCCAATCCCCAGTATGCCCACCTGCGGCGGCACAATCACGGGCGCGACCGCCGTGCCTCCTATACTCCCAATATTACTAATTGTGAATGTCGCGCCCGTCAGGTCGGCGCTGCTAAGCTTGCCGGCGCGGGCAAGCGAGCTGAGTCGGTGTATTTCGGCGGCAAGCGAGGTGATGGTGTGGGCCTGCACGTTCCGCAGCACGGGGACGAGGAGGCCCGCCGGCGAGTCGATGGCGATGCCGATGTTGTGTGCTGCTTTTTGGATGAGGTGGGGCTTGCTAGTGTTGCTTGTTGTGTCGAGGTGGGCGTTGAGGAGCGGGTAGGCCTCGAGGGCGAGCGAGACGGCTTTGATGATGAAGGGGAGGGAGGAGAGGGTTGGGGTGTTTGTTGTTTGTCTGGTGGCGTTGAGTTTGCGTCGGAGGGGGGTGAGGGATGTGAATGAGACGGTGTCGGTGTAGAGGAAGTGCGGGATGGAGAGGGAGCGGGTCATTGTTTTGAACATTTGGGATTGGACCGCTGTGAGGGGGAGGGTTTTGTCTTCGGCGAGGGGGGTTGGAGGGGTGGAGAGTGAGTAGGAGGGTGGTGTGGTATTGGTGTGGGAACCTGCGGCATGCTTTTGGACGTCTTCTTTTAGGACGCGGCCGTCTTTGCCTGTGCCTTGTATTCGTGTGATGTCTAGATTGCGCTCCTTGATCATGTGGCGGACAGCGGGCGTGGCGAGAGTGGCATGTTTGCTCAGTGGTCGAGACTCGTCGAACGAGGTTATGTCTCTTTCAGTCTCTGTTGTAGACAGTAGTCTAGCCTCTATCGTTGTGCCCTTGTGTTCTGATGTTTCGTTTCGGATGGACGGTCGTTCCGGGTCTTTCACGAGCGCTTCGTCTTCTGGGGAGAGCTCTCCCTTGATGTCGATATCCACGAGTGGCTTGGGCGAAGTCAGCTTGGGTCCATCATATCTCCCTACCAATACCAATATCTACCTTTCCAACCTTCGCCATATCGTCGGCCTCATAGTAACGCTTTTTGATTACTCCATCGAACCGCGACGTGATCTACGTGAAATCAGCAGTGCTCCCCGTACTATTCTACTGTGCTTTCTGCTCTTACCTCCACTGTCGCTTTATCCGATTGAACTTCGCAGATCTTGTCAAACTGTTCGACTGTGGCGCCCGGTTCGACGAACCATTGTATGATTTGGCATTCCGTAATTCCTGGCCATCAGTCAGCCTGATGCGACCGCGTCTCCCTCTCTCTGCCTGAGTATTTCCTACCTTCGCCAATATCTGCCAGCAGGTATGGCTTCACCACTGCCAAGGGAGCCGAAACATGGAACTGACGGTATGGATTTTGCAAGCCTCGTAATGTGTGTGAGGAAGTCTTCTGGGCGCGCAGGCACTGACCAATTGACCTTAAAGAGACTCTATGCATGTCTGAGGGAATTAGAAAGTACAAAAGAGACCAGCAGTATCCCGACGTGTCATATTTGAAGCGGATTTCCGAATAACAGTATGCTTTTGAAATGAGGGACGGTGTACGTTGAGCCGGTAATAGCCGCCCTGGGCGCAATAATTCCGTACGTACCCCAGGTTTTTTTGATGGAACCGGGCTTCGGACAAGCGCCACGTGATAAACGCCTGTAGGGCTGCAGAGAAGGAAATCAGGGATCGTGCAGTTGGCACGTGAAGATACATCAACATCATCCCGTCGCTTACGATCTAGATGTTGAGTTGTTCGAATGCTTTGATTCGACTAGTTTCTCTACTATACACCGAAACGTGCTGCGCTGCAGCCCAATAGCCTATCTGTACATGAAATACCGAGACTCCTTGAATTAATCATATGGGTATTGAAACCAGAGGCCGGAAGCCAGAAGCCAGAAGCCAACCGAAAGACGCCACTGCATATTCCAAAAGAACCAAAAGTCGGGATATTTGCAGGCCATGATACGCTATAAGTAAACTCCGTCGGTTGAGATCACCAGGATCCCAACTTGAAATGCAAGTCCAACAGTCTATGTAAGACAATGAGTCATCAAGAGTGTCTAGCATCAGCTAGAGGCCACAAGAGTGTCATTTGCAAGAACTTGCTTCACAACGGCGGTCGCACGCTCGCCTACATCATCAATATTGCCGCTGGCGTCAACGCAGAATACATCCAAGCCTTTCTCGTCTTCTTTAGGTTCCTCGAGGCTGGCGAATTGACTGCGGACCATGTCGTCTTTCATATAATGGCCTTTACGTGCTCTCACTCGTTGGAGAATAGTCTCCTCGTCTGTTTGGAGGTAGATGAAGTGCACAAGGACTTTCTGGTCATTGTACGAGGCCACACGGATAACATCGCGGTATTTGCGCTTCAGTGCGCTGCAGGTGAGCACGACGCCAGGAGTACCCGTGCGAAGCTTGATCTGGGAGGCTTCGCGTATGGAGATCAACCAGTCCCAACGATCAGCGTCGGTTAGCGGAGTGCCGGCGGCCATCTTCGCGATATTTTGAGGAGGGTGGTACTGCGTAAAAGAATCAGATACAGTTCAAGCAAGCGCTCCGTGCAATATGCTCACGTCATCGCCTTCGATGTAGTCGAATGCATAGAAGTCAGCGAGATGCTTGGCTACAGTGGTCTTTCCACTTCCTGCAGGACCGGTGACGATCCATATGTGTTTGTGAACAGGGAGAGATACGGAAGCGTTCATGATGAGAGAGGTAGGTTTCGAGGTTGAGTCGCCATATGGCATGGGAGATTGGGTTTGATCTATAGTGAGCATGTTGAAGAGATATCCTTGATCTGGAAGGAATGTTTGAAAGGGCAAATTAGAGAATACAGGGAAGTGAGTCAATAGCTGACAGGTTAAGAGCAACAATCGACAAAGAAAACTGTGAGGAGCGAGCAGTGGCCAGGTGAGCGGGTCGGAAGGGCAAGACAAAGCGGCTGGTCAGCAGGTTAAATGGAGCGAGCGGCCACGCGCGAGAGGATATAGAGAGGCTGTGGCACCGGAAAAGGGTACAGACTCCCGCCGAAGACTTCCACAATTGCTCCATGGGTATGGATCAAGGACTCCCACTCGCACAGACGTGCAAGATGGACAAAGAAAATAAGGCAAAGGTTCCTGGGAGTAGGAGGGCACCGAAAGTGTGTTGTGGCAGGGAGGGGGGGGGGTGTGTTTAGTGTTTAGTGTTTAGTGTGAGTTCTGCATGACGGCAAACCCGCACACTCGCACACTCAACACAGAACACACAGGCGATTTCTCAGAAATCCCAAACCCAAACCTTCCTGTCGGGGCTGATTGCTGATGTCACGAACGCCCACTCGCTGAAGGGGGAATCGTCACCAAGCACAGACCCCTAAGGCCCACGGGGAACCAAGCACTAAGACGCCGATTGCGTGGCGGGGCAGGCCGATTAACCAATAGGAACGCACAGGATGCCAGGTCCGCGTGCACCGTCTGCATCCCAGAATCAACGAGAAACGCTCATCGGGCCAGAACGTACCACAAGTAGCGTGTTGTCGGCGTATGAAACTTTTGCTGTGGGGTTTCTTTTAGCCGCCGCTTGTATTCTCCCCCCCCCTTCCCCCCCCTTTCTCTCCTCCTCTCCTCGCATCACCCCTACCTACCTACCTTTAACTTGTCCTTCGCCCTCCCCCCTCCCCCCTCCCTCCCTTGCTCACCCCACGCCTCCCCTTGGTCGCACTGAAGGTTGGGGGTAGCTTATTACGCTTTTCTTTTTGTTCGTCCGTCATCGTCAGTCGCCGTCGCCGTTCGCCGTAGCCGGTTGAACGATGTCTGCAGTCTGCACTCTGCACTCTGCAGTCCCGGAGGCCAGCACGGTGGGAAATGGCAGTGAGAGTGGAAGTCGGAAGTGGCTGTCAAAAGGTGGGCCATCGATAAGGCTTCCCTGGTGCATTCTCGGCCTGGTGGTGGGCTGTATGCTTGTGCTTGTGCTTGTGCGTGTGCTTGTGCTTGTCATTGCTGATCGCAGCAGCTTTCATTGGTGATGGATGTGGGAGATGCTGTTTGACAGAGATTGATTAGGCTTGTTTCTCGCATGGCATGGCATGGCTGGCCGGAGAAAGGCTGTATGGAGGTGGATTTGAGGATTGCGCCTCAAAGCATCCCTACCTACGCCGTTGCGTTGCCGTGCAGCGGGCCATGCCTATGACGGGCAATCTAGCAAGGTGCCAGGCGGTGACGAGTGCATCGCATATCGCATATCGGAATGCGAGTAGGCGCTCTCCGGATAGGTCACGAGGCACGGTCTTCTATACTCTTTCATTCCTGGGGTCGCGCGTCAGGACAAGCTTGCGGTGAACGCGAAATATGCTACTGTATCATCCTGAGAGTTTCCTTGCCTTTGACTTTGCCGCTGACCTCTCGCTCTCACCGCTTCATTTTGGTGGTGAGCACTCAGCAAGCGATGGATCTGGCGTGCGTGGGGGTTGATGGTTAGTTACTGTACATGCTAATAGTCTTGCTAGGCTACCTTTTCAACCCTCTCTCTCTTTGCTGGCCGTGTCCCCCTGACGGCCTGATTCCACTACTGACTGAATCAAGCCCAAGCAAGTATCGGCTATCGAATTTGACTGAAATAGATGGTAGTAGATCCAACTAATTATGGAGTCTGTAGCAGAGCATATAATTCCCTGTATTAGCACTAGCCTATTTCCGCTCCGTGCAGCCATTCGTATTCACGCGTCGTTGTCGGTAATAGCAGACACACGCATCTTCTCCTGGCGAGCAGTGTCAGCGAGGAAAAAATGCCTCGCTGCTGCATATGAATCCACCTGGATGTGTGCGTGATGCATAGACGCCGCATCAAGTCCATCTCTGTCGCGTGTCTCGCAAACCACTCGGGACGCAATCGCGGGTCGCCGACGGTGAGAATGTCACAGACGACTGGAATGCGGGGAAGCCTGCTCTCTCACAACCTCGTCGCAGGGAAATAGCCCTTGATTCTCCTGCGCATCGACGTAACACAACGCACATCCTGCATCGTGGTACAAGGTAAGTGGTAGATGGATAGCTCTGGATGACCGAAGACTAATCTATCCATAGCATCGCCCCAACAAAAAGACGCGTTTCATACTCTTCTACAGCCCTCCACTTTCTGCCCTCTTCCCGCACATCACGTCTGGACTGACGACCTGGCAGCTACAACACCACCTCACCCGCACCAGAGCAACTGGTGCATACGCCGTTCCTCATTCACCCGGTGCGCATCCTATCGTGGCCTGTTGCGTGACACCTGCGGAATATCAATCTTCAAGCGACCGTCAGCAGCCCGACCTCGATTACACCAGCTACCTTGGCGGCGCAGTCCTCGGCCTCCTCACCTGAAAGTGCCTCCGCAGGTCCGGAGCGATACACTCCTTCCTATAGACTCATCACTTCCATCAGCTGATTAGCCTGATCGTATATTCTGACTAGGACACAGGTGATGGTCTAAGAGCGTTGCAACAAGTCCGTACTTCTACAATTGCAGTTCAGTCAAATATTATGGCGCAACACATGTAGAATGGAGGGGTGAATCGTCAGCGAAATACCACAAAACGTCTCAATAATGGCCTGTTGTTTGCTTCGTAGGGATCCGCCATTACCTGCATAACGTATCACAGACTGCCTCCAATTATGCGCAGGCTGTGATTTCCTCGCTTAATATTCTGATACAAATGATCTCGACGAAATCTTCTGAGTACTGTTACGTCTCTGCAATAGACACAATTGGCGAGTGCTAAAAAAAAAACTAGACAAGCCTATTCGCTTGATCGAGCCCGGCGGTGTGGCTCCTGGGCTCCCACAGTATACCGCTGGAGCAGATCCTCAACTGGGTCAAATCGACCCTGCATCGTCCTCGGTTCTTGACCTCGATGCAAGTATGCATCCAACAAGTACTATTTCATTGGATCATTTTCACGAGATAACGTTCAAGTCTTACGTCCATGTCTTACCGCACGGCTCGCAATTTTTTTTTCGAGTCTATACTCTCGATTTGCATCTGCCTCTTCCACAAGAAGCTTTACATATACCGCGGCACTTGCCTTGTGACATCCGACCTACACAGTCCAATGGTGTCTCATTGTCCGATTAGAGTCATGCAAAGTTGCTGCATGTCAGACATGTTCGTATTCACTAGCTGGAACTCTGTTGCAACCTGCACGATACCAGTTGGGTGTCGGCAAAGCCTCCGGCAAGATTCGTCCTATCTGTATGGAACGAACGCATCGTGGCGTCAAGAATCATCAGCCTAACAAAGTCGGTACGGTGCGTACCGCTTCGTCACCGCACCTAGAACTTGGCTAGATGCCACATTTGGCCATGGTGCTATGCGAAGTGTCATTAGGAACTCGGTTTCTCCATAAGCTTCCGCCTTACCTGCCCAGCGTAGACAGAGGCTAGACTGAGCGACTGAGCAGGACAGTCCTACTACGATCACCTGGGATGCTGCCGCTACTTCATTGTGCCAATAGACTGTCGTTTTGTGACCGAAATTCTGCAACGGCATGTATGGTGCGTTCACATCACCTATACCCCCCACTAGCCCCCGGCCAATAATAACTGAGGTCATACTGCGCGCTACGGGCGCTGAGGATAATAAAGTCACGAAACGTAACTCAGGTGAGGTTATCTGACTTTCCGTCTTCCAGTGTTCATATTTGCGCGATTGGTCCTGGAAATTTGTAATGCTGAGGATGACTGCCATTTGCCGAATATTTCTCGAATTGATTTGCCGACATGCCGGAATCACTCGTGGTGCCAGCAAACCAAAAGAGGATCTAAATAAGATTAGCATATGTATCACTGAGAATACTTGACTTTGATGCAGCAGGCGCATAGCAGTATCTAGTGGTTCAAGGTTTCAATTCGGATTTGAAAATGCTTGTAACATTTCCTGGACTCTTATATTGGAAACTCAAGAATGAATGATCCATCAGAAAATGTATTATGTCTGCCTTCATTTTACAGCTTATAGAAAATGTGAGTACGAGGTTAATTATAAGTCTGATCAATGGGCTCTCCATGATTCAAGCTACAGATGACTAAGCTTAGCCTCGTACCCCGGCCTCAGGCTACCTAGGTCCAATTCGGCGAACATCAACCAACACGTTGACCTGGCTCGCGCATCATTGTCACCAAGTTGCAATTGGATGACCCGTTCGCCTTGACGACTTCTAGCTCCCACAGCTTTTCCGAGGCCCCAAACTGCCCAACATGTCGATGTTCTTCTCAACCCCGCTCGATATCGATATCGTTCTAGAAGATACCGATGAGCGAGCTATGGTCGACGTGAAACTGGAGAAGAACAGGCGAGAGAAAGTACCGCTGTATATGGATGGAGAGTCAGTCAAGGGTGCCGTCACAATAAGACCAAAAGATGGCAAAAGGCTGGAGCATACAGGCATCAAAGTCCAGTTCATCGGCACGATAGGTACAGGCAGCAGCATCACCTCTTGCTCAAGGAGCTTCAGACTGACTCGTGCAATATAGAAATGTTCTTCGACCGAGGCAACCACTACGAATTCCTTTCGCTTGGGCAAGAGCTTGCTGCGCCGGGCGACCTCCAACATCCCCAGACGTTCGAGTTCAACTTCAAGAACATTGAGAAGCAATACGAATCATACAACGGCATAAATGTGAAGCTGCGGTACTTTGTGAGGGTCACGGTCTCGCGGCGTATGGCAGATATCGTAAGAGAGAAGGACCTTTGGGTATACTCGTATCGGATACCGCCAGAGACGAACGCGTCAATCAAGATGGATGTTGGAATTGAGGACTGCCTCCATATTGAATTTGAGTACTCAAAGTCAAAGTACCACTTGAAGGATGTAATTGTCGGACGCATATACTTCTTACTAGTTCGACTAAAGATAAAACACATGGAACTTTCCATTATTCGAAGGGAAACGACTGGCGCCGCACCGAACCAGTATAACGAGAGCGAAACTTTGGTGCGATTCGAGGTATGTCAGTACGGCGCGGAGATCTTGCAGCTACTAACTCACCATAGATCATGGATGGATCACCATCGCGAGGAGAGACAATACCGATTAGGCTGTTTTTAGGAGGGTTTGATCTGACACCAACATTCCGCGAAGTGAACAAGAAGTACTCAACTAGATACTATTTAAGTCTCGTGTTGATCGACGAAGGTAAGGAACAAGCCCATCTATCGCTACTGGAGGTCATTTTGTGCTCACTGCTCAACTAGATGCACGTCGCTACTTTAAGCAATCAGAGATTGTCCTTTTCCGGCAAGCGCCAGAAGGGTTGACATTCAACCACGAGCAAAACAAGCTGGTCCCAGTTACTTGAGGGTTTACAGATCAGTCTTTGTGCTCGTAGTATATATCATAGGTGCCAATTGAGGCGTGATACGTCAAGAAGGTGCGCAGTATGCGAGAGGTCTGGCACTACTGAAACCCCAAATGAACGGGTCATGCACCGACTTCGGAGTCGTGTTGTTACCATGACAATGAGGCTGTAATAATCTTTAAAAGGCCCATAACATAATAGAGTAACATAGAGACGACAGTCACGCCTCATTGCGTTGTGACATGTCTCAATTTTCTGTGTCTTGGTGCACCTGCTATCTATAATAGTCCCCGGCAACGACACTGACACTTCCACTACGAACAAAATACCTTGCCCCTCCCGGCCCTCTCTCTACTCAATCTTCTTAAACATGCCCGCCAGATAATCCAACGCCCCAATCGGCACCCCTTGCTCCCGCAACAAGCAATACGCCGTACTCAAATGAAAATGGAAATTCGGTATCGCATACTCGGCCACATACCCAAGGCCCGTAAACCCGTAGTTGCCCATCCCCGTCTCCATGACAATCTGATCCGCTTCCTTGCCGTTCATGTCCTCGGGCCGGATGCTGCGCAGGATCTCAATCGTGCGTGCGATGCGCGCGTGCAGCTGCGCGAACGTCTCCTCGTTGTCGTCTAGTACGAGCGGTGCGACGCCGCCGACCCGCGTGCTGAGGAATTTGGCCGTGTTGCTGCAGGCTTGGACTTGGTAGGTGAGGCTGGTGGGCTGGTTAGTTGGGGGAGAGGGGGCCGTGTTTGGTGTGTGGGCTTTGCTTCAGTTCTGTATAGTTGGGAGGTGGGAGTGGGAGTGGGAATTAGGCAAGGAAGGGGAGGTGGGAGGTGGGGATTCAGGTAGAGACAGACAGACGTACGGACGCATGTCTTCGATGAGACGGTACTGCAGCATAGTCTCGTGCGCGATGCCCTTCTCATCCGCGTACGCCTCGCCCTTTTTGAGGATGTTCGTGAGGTTATTGAGGTACTTGATGAGGATGGGGACGGATTGGTCGTAGAGCGACGTCATGTTATAGAACTCTAGAAAGGAGGGGGACTTGTTCAATTTGATGAGCGCCGTTTTTTTTCTTCTTGTTCAATTGCTGCCTTCTCAGTATATGAGGCCTTCTGGGTTTGGTAGAGACGAGATCGTGATGATTGATAGACACACTACTCTGACTGTCTAGATGACACGGCTTTATATATATACTCAACACACACGTATACATGCTGCGTCGGTCCAAACCGGCCCCGCGCGAAGCGGACGGTCGTCTGGGAACGCTAGATCCTACATACTACGTAGGACTCTGCCTAGAGGCCGGAATTGGCTTTAGAGCAGCAGACTGATCGACTAGCGGGCCGTGGTATACGGACGAAAAATGTGTTGCTGGTTTTTGTAAGCAGAACGCCCGGACGAAGACGAAGAAGAAGAGGCAGAAGCTTTGAGGATGGAGGATGGAAGTGAGTGCATTGTCTAGTGTGTCGGGATTTCAAGATGGGAAGCCTGAAACGCGTCGACTGTGGTGCCCGTAGGTACCGTGTGTGTGACTATCTTTGATGTCCCTGGTTTGTGTTGATGATCGTCGTGGCTTGGCTGAAATAGGGAAGGGTAGGGTGGACGTGAGGCTGAGGCCCCACTTTATGTGTCTTCTCATCGCATTTTGATTTCTTATCCCAGCAAATATAAATTTCTATAAGCGAATATTGCCATCAGTTGCATTGGTGGGTTAGTGGTATACTGAGTCGTTGCCAGTCACATTGGAATCGACTCGACCCGGGTTCGATTCCCGGTCGATGCATCTCATTTTGCTTTTTGCACTTAGAATCTCAATCTCACGATGACATGACATGCATGATCCGTACATTTTGCGCTCAACGCTGATGATCCATACAGAACCCTGCACCTAGACACGGGCTGTTCACACTTGTGGTAAATAAACAAGGACGTTCTTCAGGATCAAATGCAATGATGGTCGATCGTACAGAAGTGGATAAGCCAAATGCAACTGATAATGCTACAGGGTTACGCACATGAACGACAGGCATCAGCTACACAGTACTTATATTGGTCCGATTGCGGAATCCTTTTTGAGTGGCAAATGATGAAAGGTCGAATACATGCTAAACCACCGACTCCTTGCGAATGCAGATATCAACGACCGCTGGACAGTTAAGATTCATTACTGGGATATTCCACCTTCGCATCCTCAACAAATTGCTCTTTGAGGGCCCTGACACTAACGAATCTGCTCAGGAGATTTGCGCTGCCGGCCTTGTCGTTGGTGCCCGAAGCTCGCGCTCCTCCGAACGGCTGCTGCCCAACCACAGCTCCGGTACATTTACAGTTGACGTAAAAGTTACCGGCGGTATTGCGCAGAGCATTCTCGGCATATCTCACGACCTCGCGGTCCGTTGCAAAGACGGCTCCCGTCAAGGCGTACTCGGATGTGCCGTCAATGGTCTTGCAGATGTCCTCGAACGCCTTCCCGGGATTCGCAGAGTCGTCGTAGACGTAGACTACCAGGACCGGGCCGAAGAGTTCTTTCGATAGTAAAGGGTGGTGGGGGTTCTTGGTCTGGTAGATGGTAGGGTGGATGAAGTACCCTTTGCTGCTGTCATACTTTCCGCCGGCCAGAAGCTCGAGCTCGCGGTCATTCTTCGCCTCGTCGATAACGCCGGAAAGTTTCTTGAATGAGCTTTCGTGGATGACGGGACCGATGAAGTTGGTATGGTCTGCGGGGTCTCCTATCTTGAGAGCTTCGGTCTCGGCAACAAGTTTCTGCCTGTACTCTGGCCACACGGATGCAGGGACATAGGCCCGCGAGCAGGCGCTACATTTCTGCCCTTGATACTCGAATGCGCCGCGGACAGTGTTGATTGCGGCGTGCGAGATATCTGCTGATCGATGGATCAGATGGAAGTTCTTCCCTCCTGTCTCGCCAACGATTCTTGGGTAGCCTTGGTACTTCCCCTCTGCTACGCCGCCGGCAATCTTGCCGTATAGAGAGCGGAAGACAGCAGTGCTACCCGTGTAGTGGAGCGCTGCGAACTGGCGATGTTCGAGGACTACTGATGTGACTGTCTCTGCGTCTCCAGGCACGAATTGGATGACATTCGGAGGAAGCCCAGCTTCTAGCAGAATTCTATAGACAAGCCAGTTTGAAGCAATAGCAAAGTCTGAAGGCTTCCAGACTACCACGTTGCCCATCAAAGCTGGGGCTGCTGGGAGATTGCCACCAATGGCAGTGAAATTGAACGGACTGACTGCGTAGACAAAGCCTTCGAGTGGTCTATACTCGACACGACTAAAGTGTTATTAGGTATCGTCAAAAACATTTCTCAAGTCCACTTACTTCCAGATTCCAGGAGCGTTGTGAACTGGTTGCGAAGAGTAGAGCTCCTCGGCATACTTCACGTTGAACCTACAGCCATTAACATGTAGAGCATAGAGACATATTCGGTATCACTATACCGTAAGAAGTCACAAAGCTCTGCGGCAGAGTCTATCTCTGCCTGCCACGCGTTCTTTCCCTGACCGACCATAGTCGCGGCCATTATGTCGTATCTGTACTTTGTCGCTACCAGATCAGCCGCCTTGAGAAATATGGCAGCGCGATCTGCAAATGGAAGCGCTTCCCAGGCAGCTTTCGCAGACAGAGCAGCATCAATCGCAGACTGTGTTTCTTCTGCTCCAGCACGAGCATATTGGGCGATGACATCGGCGTGAGAGGATGGATTGTGTTGGGTGTTTGTCGAGGAACCTTTGATCTATGAATGATTAGCTCTGCGCTTGCTATATAGCTTCAGTCTTCCTCACTTGCTTCCCAGCTATCACCAGAGGTACGTCTAAAGGTGCGTCCTTCTTGAAGCTCTCTATCGCGGCGGACAGCTTTTTCTGGTCCGTGGAGCCTTTCTCGTAGTGTTTCTATGTGGTCCTGTTTTAGTCTCAAATCCTAGATTTACCAAGTAGCTTCAAGATCTCACATTGGGCTCATTGCTTATAGTTGTGACCTTCCAATTCGCGATCGTCGCCATCATTCTCGTGTCTCGTGAGATTGGCATCGATCTGCCCACAGTCGGGCGACTCAGACGCGCACGGGAAAGTATATTTCTTGGAGCTGCCATATTGAAGAGCTTTGCAGCGCCAGCAAGATTTCGATAATGCACTGAGTTCAAAAAGCACAGTTTGTCATTGCACATGGGAGCTGTATTCATTCATATTCCAGGGAGATTCCACAGAGCTCGGTTGGAAGCGGCTTAAGAAAGGTGGAGGTTTCTCAGGAGGGGCTGCGATGTCGGAATTTTTGCAATTCCACGTGATTGTTTCTATTCTTCGCACGGTGGTCAACTTAATGGAAGAAAGGCAGAATGAGATACTTGGTCGTTGCCCGTAACTTTTTTTGCATGGTCGTATGCGAAAAGCTCATGTCTCACCATTCCATCTGCTAGCGCCCTTCGGAGCCGTACTTCGTTGCTTGCGGATATGCCTACCGGTATCGATAGAGGCTGAGGATCACAGTGACGTTTGTCGATCAGATACAATAGTATAGACTCCAGAAATTCAGTCCAGTGAAAGCTGAGTCACACTTGAGAGTTTTTCCCAATAAGCAAGGACGACGGATCTCATAACGGATGGTGATTTTCAATTCTTGGATAGCACCCATGTGATAGGAAACCATTGGTATTGTATTTTGAGGTAGCCTTCAACGTGCATACTACAGTGTGCCTCTCTGGTAATGTAGACTCCTGACTCCAGAATAATTAAACTAATCAAGCCGGTTGTGTATCCATCTCCGCAACTTCAGTAGAAGCATTGTCACCCCATAGTCCGTCAATCTTGAACTCGGCTGCCCATTCTGACACGATCGCCTTTCGGTCACCTTGGTCAGCACCGTTGGACGACTCGGTTGCATCAGTCTGGACTTTCAATACCGGAGCCTCCGCCCAGCCTTGGATTCGGCCATCTCTCCAATCTGAAACAACTGTTTGTGCTGCGGCATGTACGTTAGGGACACCGCCCTTTCCAAGTCTACCACGCTTCCTTGCAACCTGGACGAGGAAGTCGGTGGTGACATCTCCACCATCAGTCATGAGTGGAGGAAGCTGGTACACGGAAAGAAGATTGTCGAGTAGCTGCTGTGAGGCTGAGAGACGTTTCAGCAGCAGTGTGACTGCTGGTACGGGATCATCGATAGCTTTGGGAGGAATTGCGTTCAAAAGGATAAGTCGAGCTTGTTCTTCAATCTTTTGAGTCGATGAAGAAGCTGAGCTTGGAAAAACGATACCAGGAGAGTCGAGTAGCTTCAGTTTGTTGTCAAGTTTCACCTCCCTAAGACTGGTGGTCACACCAGCCTCAGCACCTGTAGGGCACGCAGCTTTCCGGTGGCCCAGTCTTGATGTGAGGGCATTGATGACTGAAGACTTCCCAACATTGGGGTACCCAATCACACCGACAGAGATAGATCGTTTCAGCTGCTTAGACTCCGCGAAAGACTTCAGGGCCTTAAATAAGGCTTCCGAGGTGCCTTTGACAGTGAGCTGCTTGTGGTCAAAGGTGCGAGCATTGGGTGCCGGTCCTGAAGCTCGAAGTGGAAGTGTAGGGAAGTATCTCCGGAGATGCGTTAGCCAGCCCTTCAAAACGTGAGCAGGCACAAGGTCGATTTTGTTCAGAATGAGAATGAGCCGCTTGTTGCCCCCGTCTGCCGCCATGATAGAGCGTTCAACTTCTTTCGACCGGGTTCCTTCGGGATCTCTTGCGTCAAGAACATAGAGCACTACATCTGCAGCGTCCACAACCTCTTTGAATATTTTGTCAAAGGCTTTCCTAGACCCATCTTTCAAAGCCTTTGACAGTGTGATTCCGTTTGCCTTCTCGTCTACCTCTGTGATTCCGTCCCACTCATTACTACTATCATCCTCATCTTCCTCCATCTCATCATCGCTATCGTTCCCAGTTTTACTGTATTCGGCGGCACGAGCTTTGGCCGATGCCAGTAGTGCTGCCATAGGATTTTCGACTACCTGTACATGCGATTAGTATCCAAGTGATATGCGTGTTACCAAATACTTGTTGCAATCTACTGACATCTTCCATCGCATCATCGTCCCCAACGTCCAACAACTCAGCATCTGAGTCTCTTTCCTCAACTTGGTCTGTACACTGTTCGGAAACACTAGATGTCTTTGCTTTCTTTCTTTGTTTCGCTTCAGCTCTGATCTTTTCATTCTCCTCTTCTTTCAGGCGCTTCTTCTCCTCAATCTCTTGTAGAATCTTGTCTTTGTATGGAAAAAGGTTTGGAATACCAGGATCTTTCTTTAGTTTTGACCGCCATTCCGGATTCTACAGTTGAAAGAGTCAGTACGAGAGTGCGATTCAGCAAATCTAGGATGCTCCACCTGTTTAGCCTCTTTCTTTTGTTTGCGCTGTTTTGCAGCCGAAGCTTTCTCTATCTTGTGGCGTAATCGCACAGGTACGCGCTTTGATTTGGGTTCTGAAAGTGTCTGTTAGTCAGGACTCATCCCCGTATGTATTCTATACCTACTGCCGACCTTCATGATGCAACGGTGTGTAACGTGTCTTGAATGTAAGTATATCGTCTCTAGGCGCAAATAAACTCAATCCAGAAATCTCGTATTTTCGGTGGTTGCCAAGATTTTACGATCTTATCGATAATAATCCCGAGATTTCCCCGTCATAATCTTATCTAGGTATCCCGTCTAGGTATTCCAAAACCTACGTGCGGATAGCTTGCTGTTTTGGGTCACTTAGCCGCTAGAACCAGGCCGCCACTGAGGTTGCTTCTTCAGCGTTTTAGGCACATTGTCCTGAGACAGAATACATCAAATTATACTTCAACTACTTTGTTCTACAGACACTTCCAATAAACCGCGTTTCATCATGCGAAACCAAGAAAATCAATCAATCTCTGCTTCAGCAGAAGTTCACTGTTTCAATGGCTTGGTACGCTTGAACTTTACCGTCAAATCATCTACAATGTGGATCACTCACAGATTCTTGATAGCTATTTGATATGGACGGTACTATCATTGACTCCACAGACGCAATCATACAGGCATGGCACAAGTAAGACATGTTCTTCAAATGTTCTTAGTCGCAGTTTTATTTTTCTTGAAAAATCTTGGGCTTTGGCTTACTTCGATAGGATAGGAAAGGAACTGGGAGTTGATCCGGACGTCATCCTTGCAACTTCGCACGGCAGGAGGTCTATAGACACGATACGGGAATACGACCCAGAGAAGGCGAACTGGGACTGTGAGTGATATGACCTTGACTACCGACAAACATCCCCACGTGAGCCTAATAATTCAATCCTTGCAGTTGTCAGTAAGATGGAGGGTCAAATTCCGCGAGAGTTTGGGTCTGCTGCGGTAGAGGTCCCCGGTAGTCGAGCACTCCTGGATGACCTCGAGAAAGTAGGTGTTCCTTGGGCGATTGTCACATCTGGAACCAGACCGTTGGTAACAGGCTGGCTCGATGTCATGAAGTTGGCACATCCAAAGTTCCTTGTTGTTGCAGAGGACGTCCAACATGGGAAACCAGATCCAACCTGCTATCAGATGGGGGCATCAATGCTCAAGCTGGAGAGAAATGCCCATATCCTGGTACTCGAAGATGCGCCTGCAGGCGTGCGAGCTGGAAAAGCGGCTGGATTCAAGGTTGTTGCTCTTAACACCACTCACACAATCGAGCAGCTAAAAGAGGCGGGAGCTGACTGGATCGTACATGACATGCGAAGTGTGACGATGAAGGAGTGGGACAAGGACTCAGGCACGGTGAAGATACAGATAGCCAATTCGGTGATCGTTTGATTATTTGAACCATTTTTCGTCCAAGGAGTACTTGTGAGATACGGTGTGGTAAAAGCTTAAGCAGTCATTGGATACGGACACCACAGGCGCCTCGCGCATCGAGGGGAAGGTTACATTGCATCAAGCGGAATTGAACGGGGGCGGAATTGAACGTGGACGGATAGACCAAAATAGGGTCATTCTAGAATAAACTCCGAAGACCGAGTCCCGACGTCATCTTAATTCGGGTCTTCAGACGACCACTCTCCTGTCTGGAGCAAATAGGAGGTGAGCTACGAAACATTATACCCAACATAATTCTTCGCCGCCGAATCGTGGATCATGAAGGTGTCGACAACTTACGCTGGCCTAGTTGAGTGAGACAAGACTAGACCAGACGTCCACCTTATCATACTACTGTGCGAGCCCTGGCCCATCAGCAACAAAGAAGTAATGCGTTGTTCATATCATGGCCAGGAACAAGATCCAGGGATCTCGGGTTGTGTCGCACGTCTTTGTCATCCCGGGACCCGCTACACAGACGAATAATGAAGGCTCTACAGTTCTCGCTAAGAGAGGTACCGAGGCCGAGCTTTGTCTTTTATGGGTCAGTGCCACTATGCGAACAAAACTGTAACGCAGTCAATCTACAGTACAGAGAAATCATCGTAGTAAAAGATGGGACGCGATGCAAATGAAGATCATATTGTCATGGCGCATTTCTACCGGGCACAGATTGCGAGACGGAAACACTGGCGAATGCTGTCAGTAATCTTTCTTTCCCTGCACGGCACATTGCCTTCTGATCAGATGCCGACACGTTCAATATGGGTACCACGGCGCACAAAGTGGAAGGATTCTGCTCACGAAGGTGAGGGTGCTGGCGGTTGCTCTCGCACCACGATTCACCGCAGATGTATAATAGAGCAGACGAGCATGTCGAAAACCATCGACGAGTGGCCAACTTTTGCAAGTCCGTACAGCATGAGCGTGGCCGCCACCAAGCCGACCGAACGGTCCATAAGACCAATGCAAGTCTGTAGAGCCCTGGAAATCGTGAGTCGTGGAGGCTCACTTTGTGCAGCTCGCTCTTGGCTCCAACAGGCGACTGGCGGCGACCGCGTTCATAGTGGGTCGGCGAACAGAACTGTTGCTAGGTGAGAAAGGTTCGAAGGCTACATGCTCTACAATGTATATGTCGTCGACTCGGTGACGGCAGCTATTTCGGAGCATTCCTCCCCTTTCCACACCCAATCTTTTGGAAATGAGATCTTATTAACGATCTACTATCAACATATCATAACAGATCGCCTTTTCTCGTGAGTCGCACTGTGAAGGCTACGAGGCGATCAGCCGCCTGGACCACGTCGCACGCCGGATGTGACATCCCAAAGATCCCATCTGCCAGTGCCCCCTGGACCCTCGCTGTGCTTGAGAGCAAGTGCCCTTGCGCGGCCCGCTGTCGCTCTGGCGAGTCTGGGGACTTTCGTCAGAGATGGTTCGGCTTTCTTATCGCACCTAAGCCCGGCCGAGGAATGGTGAGTGTGACCGTACCACAATACCCTGGATGCTGCATGTGGCGGCAGGGTTCACCGCGGCGGGAAAGCGACATCATTTGGGAGGTTCTGAGCGCATTTACACGGAGGCGAGCGATCGGCACTTATCTGTACATGTTGTGAGGAAGCACCCATCACTCACGATGATGTGCCTTGCGAGCAGCATGCACTCTTTCAACAAGTGTGGTGTGCAACGACACAAGTGCGACAGGCACATGGAAGTCAATCATGACTAGAGCCATGCGAATCAAGTTTAAATTTGGCACAAGCGAACGACGCTCCTCCAGTGTGTGTCCATCGCCTGGCGGTGGCCCAAAACACAGCCAATCGTCACTCTCGCAGCCTTCTTCTCGACCGTTCCCGCGAACACCTTCCTGGTGACCTGCTGCACAACCTCTGCAGACTGCTGCATGGTTAGGCCAAAACTCGCGCTGCACGAGGTCGCTTTAAGCTGCCCGTTCCCCACTAGTGATAGTAGAAGACTGCCAACTGAACGCTCTGGACTCCTGCGTACATGATACCAGGTGAGGGAATAGAAGGCGTCGCTGAGAAAGCTTACAGTGTTCGACAGCCTCCGATGGAAGACAGCGCGCGCCGGGAGCTATAAGATTGGACTCTTACTGTTACGCCGTCAGCAGGAAAAGCCAACGTTACATGTTCAACAGCCAGGATCCATCATCATTCTTGCGGATCACGGCCTTTGTAGAACGTAGACCGCGAGGACCGTCGTGGCCGAACCTGTGTGTGTTGACGAACTGGAATCTGGACAGTTGAGGAGAGGATTTCCATGGACGAACAGCGAGTGACAGAGTGTGATAGTGTGATGGTGCGATAGGAAGGCCTGATACCAGACGTCTCGGCTGTATCTTTGCCTGTATACGAATAGGTTTCTTGGTCGTTTCAGGCACTTGCGTGGTGTAGAAGATGTACAGTAATACTGTAGGTGAGAATGAATTGCCCACGGGGGGGAGATGGTCGCATTGCCTCCACCCTCTCTACCCTCCACCCTCCACCAAAATCCCCCCCGAATGGCCAGTCCAAGCAGCCCAAACAGCGCAGCAGGAGGGCATCTTAGCTGATGTGTGTCCCGATGAATATCCTCCCGCGCAGTAAGAATCAAAAAAATCCGCTGCGCCTCCTCCTCGCCTTCTTCTTTTCCCCATCTCCACCGCGCTCTCCTGATCTGATCCTCACACCTCGACATCGTCGTCGCTTCGTGCTCTCTCCTCGTCCTTTCGCTATCCACGCCTACACCACTGGGCACACATTCGCTTTCTACATTCTCACTTTTTGTCGTCCACGCTCTAGTTCCACCTTAATATAATAATCTCGTCGCTCGCTCGTCCGCCGTGTTTGTAACAGACCCTCCAAACTACCACCACCTTCGCTAGAATAGCACCTACACTTCATCCGCACCGCCCCCAGCTCGCCAAATCCGTCTCTCTTGCGACGATATCGCTGCAATATTCCCATCTTTGTACGCGCGCTTGCCCTTGATAGTACACACTCGGTCCAAGCCATTTCTGGGAGACACGCTCGTGCACTGAGCAACTGTACGACCGACGTGCATGGACAATCACCACTCCGGTATCAAGCCGAGCCCTGTCCGACACTCGCCTGCCGATTCTCTCAACTCCCTCCGAGCATTTACAGGTCCTCCGTTGAGACCTGCACAGCAATCGTCTGCGATGATGCAGAGTATGCACAATCGTACCGGGTCTCACCCCGTTGCGGATGTCAAACCGCGTCTTACCAAAGAGCAGCATGACATACTGGAATCTCATTTCCGCACTCAACACAAGCCAACCACAAACGTAAAAAAGAATTTTGCGGAAAACTTGGGAGTACCATTGGACAAGATCAACGTACGGATGTGAAAACCTGCCCAAGACGAAAGCTAATGTTTGCAGAACTGGTTTCAAAACCGCCGTGCTAAAGTGAAACAAGATGCGAAAAAGTTGCAGAATCAGCAGATGATGTACCAAGCAAATCTCCAGAGCTATGGCATACAGCAACATCAGCAACAACCTCCGCAGCTTCAACACCAGCAGCCGCAGCACCAGCATCACATGTCGGCACCTAACGCCTCTTCATACTATTCTACCAATTCTAGCGTAAGCCCTGCGACGCATCCATCCGACAACGGGCAACCAAGCCTAGATGGACTTAATGCACAGTTCAATCTTCAGTCAGACTACGGCGCAGCGGGTCTGACGTCCATATCTGAATCATCACAAAATCGATCCTCGTCTTACAACGCAGTCATCCAGTCCCTGATCAATGCAGGTTATCCTATGGACATGACGCAGCAACAGAATCAATTTGACTTTGATAACGGCACGAATAGTAGTTTTGGCTCAAATGTTTCTGGCAACGGTCAATTCCTTTCTTCATTGGCCATACCGTCTAGTGGCTTTGGGAACTCCCTTGATTTCTCTGCCTTCACGCCGGGGTCTACAGCAATGCAAGCTGGGGATAGTCTCGGATCCGCATCTACGCAGTTCACCCCAGCCACTCAGTCTTCTCTAGGTGTTCACCCTTCTGGGTCGGTTACCTCCCTCCAGTTTTTCGACGATAACTCAGATGGTGGTGAAGCATTCGATCCAAACTTTAACGCCTTTCCGCATGGGATGCCTCATCGTCATGCTGCTTCTACATCCCAAATATCTCTGCCTTTTAATGGATCTCACTTCAATAACCCTGGATTATATCAGCAGAACAACAATTCTAGCCAAGTGATCATATCAACTCCGGACCAGTACGATCCAATGGGGGCATTTGGTGACCTGGAGCCCCCAAACCCCCCATTTGCATTCGAAGGATTCTCTCGTCGCAGTTCCTCGACGTCAAATCTTGCGGAGTCTATGCAAACTGTGGGTATTGATTCGCGCTCGCCTAGCGAAAGTGGTAGCTTCAAACAAGCAATGCCACCGGCTAGCATCGCAGCACGTAGACAACGTCGCCCTGCACCTCTGGGCGCATCTGCAACTAGGAGCGCATCTTACACTCCAGGAATGCCAGGTTCGCCTAGCAACGCGTCCCAAACAAGTCTCAATGCAGAACAAAATCTCCGTCGCATCCGATCATCACAAGGCATGAATGCCGGGCGTGTCCAGAAAAACTCCACAGGATCGGCGCAACACTCACCAATCACATTTGCCTTCAATGCAGCAATAAATTCGCCCAAATTTGCGCGCGAGCTTGCCAGTGCCGTGAGCACGCCTGGAGGCAACGGAAATTTTGCTCCACCGACACCACAGACACCCAACGAGGGTGCGAGGTTCCCGTCATGGCAAACAAGCGGAGAGATCAAACCTCAACCCTCGTTTGCCGACACGAGTAGTCCTCCTGATAGTTTGGGTATCAATTTCTCTGCCGAGTCATCATCCGAACCATATCCACGCCAGTCGGATGTGAAAGGCGCATCGCCGAGTGTACCTACAGAAGAAGCACAGCAAAACCAACGCAGCCTTCCAAACGTTTCCTCAAACCGCGATACACCACCGCAATCAGCTCCTCCCACTCAGCAAAGCTTTTCACAAGGCGTTTTCGTCTCGCAGACACAGACTACGAATGACTTCCTGGCTCCGGATGATTTCTCTTTGCACAACATGCGTCGACCATCTCTTCCCGAAAGTGTGTCGCATAACCCTCATTTGGGCAACCCGATGCAGCACTTCGGATTGACCAATTTCAATTCTGGCGGTCCTCAATCGATGGGCTATCCTGTGCAATACGGCAATGTTAGTACATTCAATATGCCTATGTACTCGATGGATTCTGCGCCATCGATGACATCCGCCCCAGCTCCAACACAAACCTCCCCAGACTCTTCCGATTTCCTGGTTGTCCACGAATACGCACCACCGAACTCCTCCGGGAAGTCAAACGAATCTCGACGAATGCAGGAGCAGCCAAAGCAATTCGTTTTTGCAAACGCAGGACCTAATGACTTCCAAGGCCCCTCGTGATCATCTGGTATGTCGGAAGAGCTCTAGGTGCGATACGGCAAGGACAAGGACAAGGCCATGTACCTTTTTCCGATTATTCACGCATTGCCTTAGATGTTGCAAATTGGCCACTCCGGAGCCAGAAAAACAGGCGCCAGGTGGCAGACCCGTCATTCTACGGTCCGTTCATTTTATGTCATGATGGCTTAAGCGTCGGCGTTCTGCATACACAAATCAGCAATCATGGTTGACAGACCTATGAACTCAATTCCGCGGATATATTCTTTGTACTTGGGGTCCTTCGAATGGCCGACACGTATCATAATGTTAATCTACTCCGCGACAACTCTTTCTTTAGGAACAGAGGATGCCCGGAAATTCGCATGCGCGAATCCTTTTCTTTTGGGGGGACCGTTATAGTGCAATTTGGCACTACATGGATTGTCTATCATATGTTCTTGGACCTGAGCAGTTATTCTTTTCATGGCTTGAACGACTCTTCTTGATGTGTGCGATGGGATGGTCTGAGATTTGCATGAATTGGGTAGCGTAATGTTCAGCGTAGCGATCTGGGTTGATTTGACGAATACTGATGGCCTGGTGTGAAGGGAATGTTGGAGGAACAATATAGGATTTCAAAGTCCATGGATTGGCGTTGTCTGATATCGAGTGTTTTGTCTGAGTAATGAGTTACCGGAGATTGAGGTTCCAAAATAGCGCTGTCCAGGAAGGGAAGCTGTCAAGAGGAAGATCTGAATACGCATATTATGAAAATCCATTTTGAAGCAAAACCTAGCCAGATGTTGAGGGGGCGCACTGCAACACTCTTATAATACCAACTCCGCAGACGTTACGCGTCTAGTCCTAAAATCCCGCTATCAATAAATTCTCCTAGCCAGATGCAATAAAGCCTAGCCAATAACGCAATGCAACCTACTACAGTGCTGGTCGCAAAACCAAAATCAATACTTCTTAATGCGTCTGTCAGGAGCTCAGGACCGCCACTCAAACATCCGCTTGATTCGAGACACTTTCACTAGATCAGAGCACGAGTAAGGATTGCCTTGGTCTCTCTAGCCGTAAGGTTGGTTGGGGAGTGTAATAATGAGTGGGGGAAAGGGTTAATTAGAATTTAGCGGCATTCCTCCCTCGTTCCTCTGGCGAGTTTGGCTTTGGGCTGGGCTGGGCTTGCTGGCCCACGCGAAGAATGGCGGGCAGGCTTGCGATGCAGCTGCCCCCAGCGGCCTTTGGGGGGATCGATCATCCCTAACGGGTAACACAGGATCGGCAAAACGGACGGAACAGACGGTTTGGTGTTGGCGGGGAGTGGGGCTAGGTACGGATGAGGATGTATCGATTTGGCCATCCAATATATTGACCGTGAGTGGGCGGGCGGGCTTGAGTGACGTGTCCAGGAGGGGTAATAGTAATAAGTAGTAAGTACAAGTAGAGACCTGAGCGAGGAGATATGAGGATCCACAGTTCGAACACATACTGTTGTTGTTTAGAGTTGCAAAGTTTTGACTTTATGAGGCATCTAATAGCTTGTTGTCCTGTTAGAGTATTATGATGTGGACATCTTAATTATGATGATGGACATGGCTGCCCAGATCGGATTGGATATTTTACTGCATTCAACACTTTGATCGAATACGAGAGTCAATTGCACGATCGCTCTGCTTTTTACTACGGTGGGATTGCGATATCATAAGCCTTTGAACTTCTCGGCAAGGAGAAGCCACGCAGGAGGTCTCGACTTGCGAGATACGAGGTCCACGAAGCGCCTTGTTTGATCCTTATTAACAATGCTCGGAATGCAAAAATACAGAGCGCAGTGCCCGTTAGCATAACACTCCTATTAATTACTGTCAGCGTCCTCCCGAAACAATATTCTCAATAGGCCTCAAGATACTACCAGAGTCGGATGCGTACATGGATCCATATACAACTCATCGACCCACTACAGAAATCTCCTCTTATCCGCTGGCTTTCGCCTCTGCAGACAGACTTTGCATGCCAAGAAGCGATCGCGTGTCGTCTCCACTCAGCTTCCTCCTCATGCAGCAAGTCTAACTTAAAAAACTGTTGAGAGGCGCAAATAAATAATCAGGCCAAAAAACAAAACGATGCATCGACCGGGAATCGAACCCGGGTCGAGTCGATTCCAATGTGACTGGCAACGACTCAGTATACCACTAACCCACCAATGCAATCGATGCAGAAATGGTTGAGGTTTGATATTATAAAGAGATGATGTTACGAAGTTATCGTTCTTCACAAAATTACAATGAAATCAAGGCAAGAACATAGTGATCCTAATACAAGGCTAACCGCGTACGCACCTGTAAAGAACCTTCAGGCAGGAGATAAATGGCGTAACGCTTTCAAGGCCTCGTTCATAGCCCTGCCGGCCTCCATTAGGATTGCTTACCACATCCACAGAAGCTCTTTTAGAAATTAAGTGCAAATCCTTGAGACCATCGTCGATGCGACTGCTCGAGGCGTAGATCATTGGATAATTTCACAAAGCCAGCTAAGCCATACGCCTGAGTATAGAACTATGTAAGCCATGGAGTGCCTGCATATAGCTAAGAATCCTGCCTGGGTCCATTTACTCAAGATCTGTCATCATTCAGACAGGGAAGTATAGATGCACGAGTTGCAGAATTCTGCGTTCGCTTTGATGTTATTGGACTATGAACCTTTACAACATGCGCATGACAGCCATCAGGATCTGTTAATAGGGCACGGAAACTAAGGTGTCCGGTCCGGTCCGGGCACCATCAGCAAGCCACTTTCCTCTGGTAAATAAACCTTTCCTGATTAGGTCCATGTAAAGCTGAATTCCATTCACAAAAGCGCATCTCGAAGTCCGTCAAGTCATCAGCCTCAATCGCGTGGCATATCCCATTGGAGCGTCCTAGCACATACTCGCCTAGTCGGATGATCTGCTGACGATGGGAGGTGGGACAATTAATGCAGCACGGCGTCATCCTGCTCCGATATTCAGATTGGCGACTGTGGCTAAGCGGACATCGCACACTATTATCGTATCGATGTCAGATTCGTGATAAGGCCAAGTCAGATGGAAGAATCAGGAAGAGATATAATGGGGTACAAGAACAAGGGTATCGCTCGGAGATTGCGATAGACAGGATGACCTTTGTTTTGTAAATCCATTCGCACCTATCAATGATCAAAAGTTCACATTAGAACGTGATCCATCCAAATCCCAGAGCGTGTCTTCACGAAGTATCTCCAGCCATCAAGCGCCCTATAACAGCCTCTGACATGTCTCGTTTACGCCAATCCCAGCCGATAGCTGGAGAAAACATCGAGAGGATCACCATTCGCATGCCGGAGCTCTTCGTGTCATTCCTGAAAGATGCGCCCCTGTTGAACGCTGAATACACAGAAGTCAAGTATGAGGCGGAGGAAGCAATTACAAGGTATGCAAGACAAAGGCCTGGTGAGAGCCGTGCTAAGCCATAACAGGGAGTGCAGCTTAAGCACACGAGTTAGTAAAGCCATAATGAAATGTGACTGGGCCTACCTCGCAGCAATTGTAGCCCACAATGCGGACCGCGACCGATACCGGACCCTGTGTGACTGGGGAAACTGGGTCTTCCCTTTCGACGACCTTTTCGACGACGGCGAGTTACGCGCTGATTATGAGAGTGCAAAGACCACTATGGACCAGCTTCTTGGTCCATTTGTCGAGAACGTGTCGATGTGCGGTAGACAGGTGGCGCAGAGGCCTTCACTTCTTCGCTTCCACGATGGGCTCGTGCATCGTATACAAGGCGCGGCATCTAAAGGGGCATATGCCCGGTACCTGAAAGGCATGGTTGATTACTGCAACGGTACCCTGGAGCAAGTGCAGAAAGTACAAGACGACAATGTACCGGCAATAGAGGAGTTTCTTGCCATGAGGCGGCGGTCGGTCTGTGTTTCTGCGCTTTTCGCATTGATCGAGTATGTGCACAACCTGGATATTCCTGATTATGTGTTTGAGAACGCAGCTATCCGCGAAATCGAAGAGGCTGGGATCGATATAATTTTGATGCACAACGACTTGCTATCTTACTACAAAGAGGAGTCGGAGCGTGTGCCTCACAATTTGGTTGCCGTGGCTAGGATGAGTGGAATGACGGGCCAAGAGGCGGTCAGCTTTATTGGATCATCGATCGACAAGCGATATAGCGATCTCAGGAAAGCGGCGTCTCTTGTGCCACTTTGGGGCACGCCGGTGACGGCCGAGGTTGAGAAATACATACAGGGGATTCGAAATGTCATCAAGGCAAATCTGTACTGGAGTTTCGGATCGCACCGATACTTGAGCGAAGAACAAAAGAAGAGATGGCGGTCCAGGGGAGAGATAGAAGTGCTTGCAAATCCGCAGTATTTAGTATCACTGAGCATATAAACAAGTCTGAAAGTGAACTATTCACCAAATTAGACTACAGATATCATAATATAAAGAAGTTAACAATACTTTCCGTTCGCCAACCAGACCGATGGAGATTTTCTCTACGGCATTAAGTAGCATGTATCAGCTCCCTCGTCGAACTGCGAGAGCTCAACTCCAGATCTTCACCATTTCTACTTGATGGAGCTGAAAGTGTGTCATGACCGATGTCACACTCGCCCTGACTTTGAAACTCTACCCTTGTTACCACGGTTTTTGTGATTCCCTGATCGCAGAACGGTATATCGTCCGTTCCACGACCAATCTCGGTGGTCAGTGTGTTCACCGAGTGAGACTGGATCAGGCCTGGTTGTACATGTAATTGAGGCCCAGCACTTGGTCGGCCTCTCGTAGTCGTGCCGAGATTGGTGCTTATGAAATGAGAATTGTCATGGTCGCCGTATCGATGAGGTCCCCTTGCAAGTTTGGTAATCAGCGCTGCCATGTCCATCTCAATGTGTAGTTTGATGATATATGCTAGGGCCTGGAACTGGATAGATCTGTACAGCGTTTGTCAGTAAGCTCCAAGTCCCTTCTACTGTAGGAGTGCACACTTACATGTAATCATTTCGGAGGTTCATTACGCTAAGGATTAAGATCTGTTATGTCTCAGTGAACGGGCAATTCATCTGTGGATATTCACATACGTCCACAAAGATCGAGACTCCAATCATGAATAAGTTGAATCCAAAGAGTGGGGTATACTTGGTGAGCCCTCTCGATATCAGGTTCTGCTTCACGGAAATGATGAAGTATATGTTTAGGCCAGCATCCAGGATAAGAAAGAGGCATTTTTCCATGCGGTCCCAGATTTTGTTTGCGTAGATCCATTGAGGAGAGATTTGTAGGCGAGATGGTATCCATACGCAGAACACGGAGATATTAATGACCAGAATAATACCTGCAGTGAACCACTTCAGTCTTTGCGCTATCTTTTGATCTGCAATGACAATAGCAAGTCGATTTATGATGATCTGCAGGATGATGTGGATCTTCAGATTGTCAGATGTAACATAGTGTGATACTGAGAGCATGACACACCTGAATGCTCCATATAGTGACTGGATCATATGTCAGGGTCGCAGCCAATGGAAAAGGGATAGGACTACAAACCAATGAAGAGATAGTATTCCAAGCTGTTTATCATCAGTGTGGGATTCAGAGATACGATCGGGATATAATTGCCTAGGCTGTAGAGTTCCGTCTACAAACAGCCAACATAGAATGCCCATTGTCATCGAAGCGATCCACTCAGTCCAGATCATCACCACGTAACCTGTTATTCGACGAGATCTTCGCCATTTCTTGAGAGTCTGACGTGCCGCTTTGACTCCAGCGAGCCAGCCAAGCCCAAGCTGGATACCCCATGTCAGCGTGACTACCTTGTGCTCGAAAGCTGATATGTCGTCCTTGATATACCATGGAGGTATCAGGGTGCCTGGCATACTTGAGTCGTTATCTGAGACGACTGGTAGACTTTCAGGAAGAAGGATGCATATATCAGTAAGATGGGAAGTCGTTCGAAGGTGCTTAACTCCAGAAATTCGGGGAAGATCCGAGTACTATGGGTACTTGCGCGGCCCACAACGATAATCGCTCATCGCCATCAATTTGCCATATAGTGTTAAGAACCATCTCTAATTCGCGTTGCGCGTGCCATGGCCGAACGAAATTTTCAAGGGGGCCCATCACCAGCAGGGATTCTGTTCTGGAGAGGCATACATACATGATTTCTGTGCCCTGAGTTGGGCTTCGTAGAGCACTGTTATGTTGTTTCGTGATGATGTTTATACCCTATAAACGTAGGACAAGCCTCGAGGCCGAAACTTGCTGAGCTCCAGTTTGGGCATATGCAGGGGGATCCTTGACAAAAGAGATTTCCAGTCCTTTTCATGATACGTACGGCTGAATTCGGATCGTCGGTAGTGGCAAGTACCCGGGACTAGCTGGGATGTTTGCTCTGGGATGTTTCTATCATGCCATGTCGAGCCATCCACGAGAACATGAAACACGACGATCTAACTCTGTTCGGGTACTGGCAGGGCCAAGACCCGGATACCATATCTTAAAAAGGAGTCGTTGCAAGTGTTTGGACTAAGACGGTATATGCCGAAGTATGAATGTCTACAAGCCGGTATCTCGAGTCTGAAAGGCAGTCGCACTGAATTCTCGTGTGACCAAGAATTCAAAATAAAGTCTCGCAGACACGCGACCGCCATAAAGGCTGTCATCAAGCCTCAGTCTTCCTAGCTCTTAGACTTATGCATAGACAATACCCCTCAAGAAGCCACGAGCTCAATGTTCCGTTGCTCGCTTGCTGGTGTGGCGAAAGAGGAGAAGTCATCGATCTCAAAGGTCATCTACGTTTCGAGTTTGTCGAGTCAGCAGTTGGACGAGGTACCTTAGACAACCGAGCTCGGGACACTTCTAATATAGTCACCTTGAGCTAGTATCAGACATACTGATAGACACATCACCCATCAAATATTGCCTCACCAACGTTGGTGGACGTGTTGAGGCTAGGCTTAACGCATAGTAGTGCGCAAAGTCGGGTTGCAGTTTAGAAAAATGTAGAACAGGGGCACGAACAAACAGTTGTCTTGCTCTATCACAGTCATCGAACATGTGACTGTACACGAATAAAGGTTTACATATTTGTGCCTTATGAGTCACGTTTCCTTGTTCTACAAAGCCGGTGTAGGTAGTGTTGTGGCACGCACACCAGGCAGCACCGCCTCAGGAATGTGCGGAAGCAGTTCAGCGATGCTGTAGCCTTAGCGCTGTTACTGCAATGTCCATACATATAAATACTACGAACATCTCCCAGGAACTACGATACTGATCCTCAATCTCTCGGTCACTCTTCTTCTTTCCTGAACATTAACGTTTGCACATCAGTTGCTGCGCGTGCAATTTCGAACCACAAGTTGGGATATTCGGAATCTCCACAGCAACCATGGCCGGTGTAGACGTCGATCAAACCATCTTGGTCAAGGATCTAAGTACGAAGTCGGTGGTTTTGTACCCATCGCACGCTCATGTGACTCGCGATATCAACGATGTGATGCTCAAGCAAGGTGTCAACACAATCGAGATATTCGGTCTCGCCCCGACTGTGGATGAGCATAGCATTCAAGTTGATGGCAGGGGTGCTGCAACTATCGTGGATCTTTCAGTTGAACTCGTGCCCAATCCTGATGACTTCGAAGAGTTTTATATGGTTGCCGATGACCCCTCCAACGAGAACAGTGATCCTGAGGAGTCTCCTGATAATGATAACGAGCCTGATGATGTGAAGAAATTGAAAAGTACACTGAAGGCTCTGCGAATGGAGTTGTTACATGCAAAGGAAGACGAGAACTCAGTTAATCAGAGACTTCTTGTACTCGACACATATTATCGATCGATCGATGCGAGGTATTACAAGCCAGAACAAATACCGTCTGTCATGCAAAAGTACGCAGAAGATAGAGCCGCGATTCAAAAGGACCTTCACGCTGTATCGAAAACAATTGGAGAGCTGAAACAGAAGATCAGCAAGAGCGAGAAATCGAAACCAAGCAAAAAGATCCGTAGGATCGAAGACAAGCAGAAAAAGATCAAAGAACGTCGGAAAACGAAAGGGGACGAGAAAGCTCGGTACATCGAGGCTGAGCGACTTCGCTTCTGGCCCAAGAAAGTCTACCGAATCATGCTTCAACTCGAAACCACTATTGAGACTCCGACCACCTCCCGTAAGGAGTCAGTCAGTTCGGTGACACTGTCTAGAGCTGCCATATCGCCACTCAAAGATATAGACACCACGAAGGGTTCCTCGCCCTCGACAGCGATCTCGTTGTCCCTTTCATACATCACTCAACAGGCTCAATGGGGCCCACGCTACGACATCACGATCGATTCCACCCAGAAGACCGCCACAATTGTCTACCGGACCGAGTTTATCAACCACACATCTGAAACATGGAAGGATGCTAAAGTTTCCTTCTCGAACTCGCAGACCTCATACCAAGGCGTCGACGACATACCTCCGAAGATGAACCCGTGGCATATAAAGCTTGGGCCGGAAAGTGATGACGTTGACGAGGGACTCCTCAGTCTGGAAGAGGTATTCCGGCCTCGTCGTAAAGCAAAGGCTGTGCCGCATTTCAATCGCAGGGCATTATTCGGTGAAGATGGTGATTACGTTGAGCCACAGTACGACAGCTCAGCACAGCGTCAAGCATGGCATGCCAGCTCATTCAAAACTCAAGCCTCTGAAGGACTTAGGTCAGATACTTCGATGCAGCAGCAAGCAAGAACAAGCAATAGACTTTCCGGCAACGCGGCTCTCCTGAAAGTCAATGCTATGCCCCAAGCCTCAGCCTTCGGAGCAAGCACAACATATCAGTCACCATTCGAATCCTACCATCCGTCACGCTTCCAAAACGCTTCAGACCCTCCACCTCCCGCCCACCCTTCCTCCCTCAACACCGAGATCCCTCCGTCCACAGTCGCCTTCGAAGAATCAAGTTGGGAGGACAACGGCCTGACAACAACCTACGAAATTCCCGGCACTCGCACACTCGCCCCGTCCTCGCAGACCCGACGCCTCAAGGTCGCGTCGCTCCACGTCAACTCGGTGCAGCTCTCATACATCGCTGTGCCCAAGCTTCGCGCTGCCGTCTTCCTGCGTGCCAAACTACGTAACCCGTCTACCAGTGTCACCCTGGTCAAGGGCTCCGCCGGCGTCTCACTCGACGGCTCGTTCTTAGGCCATGTAGACTTGCCGCGCATCGTGCCAGGCGCCCCGTTCAGCGTGCCTCTAGGCGTCGATCCAGGCATCAGCGTGAGCTACCCGAAGCCCGCCGTGCATCGCAGTGCGCAGGGCCTGTTTGCGCGGGAGAACGCCAAGTCATATACACGCAGCGTATGGCTCATGAATACCAAAACGCGCCCGGTCGAGCTGCTCGTGCTTGACCAGATCCCTGTCTCGGAAGACGAGAAGTTGCGCATTGAGGTCCTGCAGCCGAGCGGATTGAAGGAGGGCGAGACGGTCACGGCGGGGATGAGTGCGCGCGAGGCTGGGGCTGTGGAAGGTGCACCGACGTGGATGAAGGGCGAAAAGACTTGGGGTAATGCAACGGCGAGTTTGAAGAAGAATGGCGAAGTCAGCTGGAATGTGAAGTTGGAAAAGGGAGGGGCGTGTTTGTTGAGATTGGAGTATGCGGCACGGACGCCGGGCACAGACAAGATTGTGAATGTGGCTGGAGAGCATCATTGAAGACAGCTGTGTCGATTGAAATTCTTATTATTCCACCATTTGTGGTATATGGACTCGCCAGTGGGCGTCGGCGACATTTGGGCGAAATGCTTGTGTCTATCAGATTTGGTGCAATGGGTTCTTGAGATCTAGGAAATTGTTCGTTGGATTTGGTCAGCGAGACCATTGTTAATCAGGCAGAGGCCGAAATTCATTCCAGTGTCTCAGAATGCCCACCTCTAATTCACGTAGTCTTTTGAGAATGAATGAATCAAATGTTTACTCTATAATCTCGGACTTGAACAAGATAACCTGTCTGATCTATGACATAACTTGGCAAGCAAAAATCCGTCGATAGTGCGAATGGCGGTATGTTGTACAACGTGCTTGATTAAGACCCTCTTGTTAGCAGTAGTACTGTATTGCGTGATGTAGCATAAGCTCTACTAAGCTTTGCCAAGTGGACAAGGTAATCCACATGGATCCCGTGGGGGCCTAATCACTTCTACGGATTGGAGGCGACGCGTCTTTCCCCACAGCAATATACTATACAAGACTCTGTCTAGTCCTTTATTTACTATGTCTCACAGTGGAGGAACCCAGTATAGTAAGATGACGAGTAGCCGTGGCCGAAGACTCAGGGAACATGACGTTCTTTTCTATCAGCCCTGTCCGCCCTGCTCCTGCATGTACGACACGACCTGTCTCATAGACCATAGTGCACAGATCCTCTGGAGACCTATTTACCGGGGATGGAGGGACTGTCAAGCGATGAACTAGCAATGCAAGACATGTATGTCACGTTGCAGACTCCAGGCTTTGGCCTCGGCCATCCTGGTAGCACCCTGATGAAAGCTTCGTCCATTGCAAGTAGAATAGAGTCAATGCACGCAAGAGGCGGCCCGCCCCTGCTCTAACAAGAATCCTTCGAGGTGCAATAAGGCATGAAGATCGTTTACGCCAGACAAGCAAATGACAAGCAAATGACAAGCCAATAGTGCGGCTTGTTTCCGATAATCTATCTATCCCAACCGTCTTCCTGGACGCCAGAGTTGGTGGTTTGTCGATGCGCGATGCGGAGGTTATGTTGGTTTAACAGTACGAAAAGTGAGAATCGAGTGTGGATAGTGAATATACTTGCACTGCAGTTTGGTATGTACTTGTTTTTGTTGGAATGTGCGGTCCCGTATTGCGGAGACTCGACTGGAGGCCCCAAAGTGTAAGACCTTTGGTCAACAATGAACAAGATTCTAGATAAGATTCAGATGAAGCATCAGGTATATCACATTTTCAGCATTTATTGACCTTGATAATAATCAGACATGGAGTTCTATAACGTGTGGAATAGCATGCTGTACTCCTATCTTTGACGGTGACTATAGCAGCTTGTTAGACGTGTCTAATTTTCGTGTTGGACGGGCGTATGTCATCGAGATCGAAGCCAAAGTTCATTAGGATCCGACTGAAACATGCGGTTCACAAGGTGTTGTAGATGTAAGCGGCTTGCGGGAGGCGCACCATAGCGACATTCCTGTTTCGAGCATTGATAACGGACGAATGAGAGAGTGTGAAGGGACCAGGTAGTGATGATGACACGTGAAAGAAACAGCGGGCAACAGTGACAGATAGATGGGTTTCAGCATCCGTCAGACCAAGATGGTGAGTGGTGGATATGGAGAGTGGAGGGTGGTGATTGTGGTGATGGTGTTTGCTGCGAACGTGGCTGGAGAGGGAATTGGAAAAGAGTTGTGGGGAAGATGGAGAAGGGCACGGACTCATCACGTGGCTATTCGCCGTTCTGTGACGGAAACTGCGTCACAGGCTGACAACTACTTTCTGCTTTCTGCCGGTTGTTGTTGCTAGACTTTCCAAATCTCGACCGGTGGGCACCCAGCTCACTCATCCTCCACACTACTCAGCACCAACATCCGCATACGCATCCGCAGTCTGTACGTCCCTATGCGAACTGTCTGAAGCTTCCGAATCGTCTTGCTTTGGCCCCATGTCCTGCCATCCCCACGTGCGCCACGTGTAGCGCGCCGGCCACAAGCATCGACCGATGACGTTACGAAGCTTCGATCCCCAGTTCGGCACCTAGAGCACAAGCATGAAAGGCCCACGGGTGATGTGCATTCCAAAAAAAGATCCCACGAGCCTCAGCTGAGGCTCAAACAGATCACTGTCCACCACGGCTAGGACGCCGCTCATCCGTAAATCAGAAAGGCACATGGACAAAGACAGGAACTTGCAGACCAATGGAGCACGTAGCTGGATGCCGTAGGGACGAGAGATTTCTCTGATAGGTCTCTGCTCACGACAAACATGGCTTGAATTCGGCCATCGACGATGGTACCTCTCTCTTATCACCTTACATGCGAAATTAGGAACGTAAAGGTAAGTGGGTTTCGCGTTGGAGGATTCTAGATGGTACACAATACTGTGAGTGGCTTTGCTTTGAGTCGATATGGACGAAGGGTGGGGCCTCCAAAAGATATGTGACAACGCGGCGATCTTCGTGTTTCTGAATCCTGCAGGATGGGAGACGAAAAAATACTCGAGATAAACCAATCACAATCCCGGAGGTCAGCTGTCAGAAATACTACTGCTGAGGGGGGTCACTACAGCAGTCCTGAGTCCTGGGGCTGCAATTCACCACAAAGCCATAACGCCCCCAACGCCTGGTCTCTGCATTCCATGCTAGCGCTCATTATCGACAGCCAACCCAACACCTGTGTACGGACAACCAGGCCTTTGTCGATCCCGCACCGTTACGGAGCAGTTTCCATATATCCTTGTTTTTCTTATTGCAGTCAAGACTTATATCAATATCTTGTTTCCGCCAGCCCTGTCCAGCTTCGATATGAACAATCTGAATCTATCTCTTCAACCTAGACAGACCAGAACATACCCAACCGCAATACCAATTCATCTCACCACGCTTCAACATGTTCGATCCACCAGTCTTTGAGCACACTACTGCTCCCTCTCCCCCTCCACCTGCGAATGGCACAACACAACGGAGAGAAATCTCATTCATTTTCCCTTCGCCAGTCAAGGATGGCCAGCCTCGGTCTCGCAAGCTGCGGGCATCGTGCGATTCTTGCTCTCTCGCAAAGGTAGCTTCTGCCTGGACATGTTTATATTTTTCCCAGCTCACACTTGCCATAGGTTCGGTGCAGCAAGGAGCACCCAATATGCCAGAGATGCAAGAACATTGGCCACAAATGCAACTACTCTCCTTCTATGAGATTGGGCAAGCCAAGATCCATCCACAAAAAGCCAAAACCGGAGAAGCATCCCCAAAAGCCTCTACTGACTCCGATGGAATCGAAGCTTGAACCAGTCACCAGCACATCTAAGCCGATGACTGACATTAGTGATGCCAATCTCTACAACCTAAATGCACAGAATACCGCCTTCGACACCCTCCTTGGACTCGACGGTCCTCTACTACCAGAATCCGACCCTAATCATCTCAGTAACATCATGGATGACACTATCTACTTTCCTACCAACGAGCTATTCACGCGCCAACCGAGCCTGTCAACCTTCTCAGATAGCAGTATTGACGACTATCTGAGTGGGAATTCAATGGACTTTGCGCCAGACTTTGCATTTGACAGCCCTGAGCCAATCAATGCCGTGCCAGGCCTTACAAGTGACTCGGAAGATGATATTACCAACTGTTTCATCGACCCAAAGAGTACACAGAATGTTGGATTTTCAACAAATCCTCTGCAAACCCCTGAGCCTTCAACGCCTGGGTCTCCAGCCCAAAAAGCGCATGACTGCACAGAGATCGCGTTCAAAGCATTGAACAGCCTATATTCCTGCGAGAGTGCGCATAGCAAGCCAGGATCATTTCCTGACAACTTCACTGCCATGGAGAACATCATCTCGGAAAATGATCGAGCTATGGAAATCGTCGAGCGTTTAATGGCATGCCCTTGCTCCATCAGCCCGAACTACTCAACAACTCTCTGCTTCATACTGCTAAAGGTGCTTTCACTATGCAACATTGCACAGGGCCTCGGCGGAGAAATTCAATACCCAGGCATTTTCACACCTCGCCAGTCGCTGCCCGGTGAGGATGGTGAGCGCAGAGTCAAGCAAGCCCAATCCATCATTACAGGCCTGCGCAGGGTTGAGAAAGTTGTCGATGAGTTCTCATCACGTTTCAGCCGCAACACAGATAATGGAAAGATCATTGACGAGATGGTCTACGTCCATCAAGAAAGGATGCTCCGGAAAATGCTCCGGAAGGCGGCCGGATCCGCCATGATCGGCATGGGCTCCCCAGAATTTTAGATATACCATCCCTGCACCTTGGTCCGATGGTTTCCACCGCTGTTGAATAAAGGCCCTTTTACAAAAATCTTCTAAGTGTACAAATCTCCTTCATACTATAGAGCATTGCGGCTTTGTTTTCGTCTCTTTCTTCGCGGCTTCTCCGTGATTGATGTCTCGCGGCTTCAACCCCAATGTCCATAATACCATGAAATATACCCATTCCGTTCAACAATCGCGAATGGTCTTGTCAATATCACCTGCGAAGTGTACTAATGTACCTTGATCTAACATAATCATTCCACACTATCTGTTCGCTTGGACACACAGTATACATCACGCTCATCGGACGCAAAGACATTAACCACTTGTTATGGTACAGAGACACTATTGCCCATGCCCGAGGTCAACTTGCTATCACTCCCTATCGTTGCGCTCTTCGACTAAACTCCTTAAGCCTCCCAAGCTTTCCACGCTTTCTACGCTTTCTACTGAAAGTCCCGCCTCACTAAATTTTCCAATCCTCAATCGGAACCACGATTCGGTTTTCTACATCCATCACCATGAATAGTTCTATTCATGCATACATCGGACTTCCGGGTATCTCCACCGAACATGTCGTTGTCGTAGAGGAGTGCGACCATCCGTTTCGAATGTGTAGATTTTTTTGAGGACCGGGGTGGGATTGATGGCCGTGCTCGGACACCTAATGCACAGCGATTCATCCATAACACGCTATAGGGTACCTAATGGCAGCATCCCGCGAATCCTACATACTACATCCTGCCGCACATTAGGTCTGGTCTGGGTATATTGGGTATGAGCGTGGGTATGAGCATTCGAAGCACGTGTTGTGTCGTCTCGTGTTGTGTGCAATGTACATGTACATTTTAATGTGCATGTCAATGTCGGTAGGTGTGTTGGTGTGCTAGGCGCATGGCATGCACGCGATCGGGAACGCTCCGCGTGCCGTCGGAGGGTTCTGGGCGATGCTATTGGATGGTGGCTTGAGGCGCGAGAGCGTGTGTTGGGTGAGGGGATAAGACTAGGGAGTGAGGGTGCAGATGTTGGAGGGATTGTAACTTGTGGGTTGAAATGGGTAGGAGGGGAATTGGGAGATTGGTGGAGCGGAGGAGATGGAGGGCAGGAAATGTGGATAGCTGAGGGATGATGGTATAGCAGGGGATGAGGGTCACGGATTCGATTGATATGTGCGATTATGCAGTTGTATACTTGAGACTGCGTGAGATAGCGAGTACGCATGAAGGTAATTACCTGGCTTTCACTTCGTCCTCATCATATCGCATCCATCATCCTATCACAACCACGCAAGCGTTTACCTATATAAGACAAATGACTCCTACTACGCATACACACGTAAGCAGACCGACCCGCTCTCCAGTTCACGAACCCGCACAGCGTATTAATACCGCCATCTGTGCTCAATCTTCTACCGTGTTTGCTACCACGCGTATACATCGGAACCAATCTATTCCCACCCACACCGGCAAATGCAGTATACAGCGTGCCTCTTCATGTCCATGACGTCGCTGCATCCTCGAATTGCACCTGGCGTCGCACATGGCGCCAGCCCCATGCATTCCAAAACCTCGTTCTGTGCTATAGCCATGATCATCAATCCACGACTCGACGTCTAGTGTAACAGCAGTCTTGCACACACGCACACACCAGGTATCGAAGGACTTTACGTTTCAAGTGCGTCGATCCCAATGGAGATCCCAGGACGAGGCCGAAACTACCATGTGGATGTGATGTGGATATTTAGAGATGGTGGGCAAGGGTAAGGTGCCAAGAATAGCTTGTGCTTGTTGCTTGCTTCCAATGCTTGCTTGTGTCAAACAAAACGATCGGGGCGCTATGTCGGCATTGCCCGTGCGAGCCGTGTTGTGCATGCGCATGGCTCAATTGGGTAATTGTCCTTGTTTTTGGAGACAAGGCGATCGCGATGCAGAATTGGGTACTTTAAGCATTGCACGTGGGGCGGGTGGGGGCGAAGAGAAGGTCAGATCTACCGGGGTGACGTCATTTCAAGGTCGGATGAGTCTGTGTGGGTGTTTGTATCGTGAACCTTAGCGGACGGGTATCTGGTGGTTGTACAACTGTGCTTTATATAAGGCTGGAGCGTACAGAGTCGTACAGGGTGCTGTCGCAACTGTTTTTTTTTTACTTAAGCGATGTCATACTTTGCGTTGGCGGCGTCCCGATGGTGAAAGATATAACAATGTGACAACTTTCTTCACAGCGATGTTGTTTAATGTCGTCAGTCACGTGTTACAGGCGTCAGATTTGATCTTTCTGTTCCGTACATCCGCTGATGGTCTCTTCTGAATATGTCCTATTTCCTATTGTCAACATGAATAGGAGCTATATTCAACTTGCATTGAAGAGCGGGTCTAAACTAAGCTGGACGATTGCTATTGTGATAGCGATATATGCGGCAAGCCTGCTTCTCGTATCAATAGCAGGAACCTGAGATTGTTAACACTGTTCACTTCCATGTTCACCTATGTGATAGCTTTCTCGAGAGCTATTCTTCCGCCTCACTCCACTGAATATGACAGCACAATAGCAACTAATCCCTTCAGCGATTCACCCCCCGGCCACACATATTTAAGTCTTGCTCTCCAGATCATTCTCTTCGCGGCTTCAAATTTTCAATCACATTCGTCTTTTGTACGCACGCCGTACTCTCAACTCTTTCGCATACGTTCAACTTTCGAGTTTCGCTTCAGCATTTCGTCGAATAGTGACAGGTCACATCAACATCAGTGCTGCATCAAAGCGAGCATCAGATTTCAACTCACTTTACAGAAGCCATCTCGCAGCCACGACTAAATGGCAAAGCGCAAGGCAAACACTTCGAAAGGTGCGGATCGAGCACCCAAAAGAGCAAGGATCGCGGATACTCCGGAGATATTCGAGGATTCTATCATCGAAAAAAGCGCTGAAGAAAAGTGGAAGTCTGCGAAGTCAGAGGTACGATGAGCTTTCGGCCTGTTAGTAGGTGTATGTTGCTGACTCTCGAGTGTAGTGGAAAGTAGAGCGCAGACGCCTCGCAGCTAAAGCAAGGAAACCAAAAACCGGATCTGTAGACCCTCCACCACAGACTGCCAATCCCGATACTTCTTCATGTGACCCTACGACAGAGTCGGGCTCGCAAACGCAAGCCGCTGTCGACTCACCGATGCAAAACAAGACATATGATGGTCATTCGGCTGACGATTCGACCGTGCCGCTCCATTCCGAAAAACTTGACGAATTGGATGAACGTCTTTGGAGCCTGCACGAAACTGCACACAAAGCCACCCACGAAGGGTTGATCCAGCTCATCAGTAGCGTGAAGCAGATGGGCGAAATCATACGAGCCCGAGATGCGGAACTAGCATTACAAAGCGAGAAGATCGAGGAGCTGGAGGCAGAGCTTGCGGACTTTCGCGCGAAGAAAGCCCGTCGCGTCCACTTTGAGCCACCGGTGAGCGATGCGAGTGAAGGAGATGAAGACGCCGACGGGGAAGAGGGCGAAGAGGACGATGGATCGAGTGACGGAGCAAGCGAAGCTTCATGAGCGGAGATTGACGAAGCGAGTAAGTCTATCGAAGGACATGGTGAATCGAGCAGAGTATGACTGGGAAGAATGAGCACTCAGACGGATGTTCAGAGTTTTCAAAGCCGTCAGTCAGATTTTGACGCGTGAGCCCTCGACTCTTCCAGTACGGGCCGGATGTTACGCATATCGGGAGTATATGCTAGAGGGATTGGGATGACTGTGTATACCAGCGATGCTATCAGCTGTTATACGAGCGGACTTGGTTTGATGTAACATTGCGGTCTTCTCAGATACGAGCTTTGGCAGAGGAGATCATGGCAGTACGCGTCGGACGCTGGCCGTCGTCGCATAGCAATCAATCTGTATGATAGTTGCTTTCATCATGAGTTTAAGAAAATACTCGTTGGTTGCTCAACCTTTTCTCCGGCTTAGAATAGTGATGTCTTTCACGTTGTGCGTGAGTGTGCACGAGCCTGTACAGATACTGAATTCTTGACACCTCAGGCATCCATGGAACTCACTAGCCCCTTTAGTATTAACTTCGTTCAAAGTCTTCTGCTTCTCATGGATGAACAATAGCACAGAGCCCATGATATGATATTTGACTGTTTATATACAGTAAGTAGCTGCCAGTTCTCCTGGCCACCATACGCCAATCATGCAGCACAATAACACCACGGCAAAATGTGAGGCTGAGCTGAAGTTGCGATGAGTGCACTCTACCACCGCTCCAAAATTTCATCCTGTAACAGATCTTCTTTGCGTATGTGGATTGCAAATAGGTCTTGTCAGCGTGCCCGTCAGTATCAATGATATCGTGACACTCGGTTACAAGACTGTCATTTTGCTCCACGATGTCTTGTCAGAGATCAGCTCTACTGCTACCAAGATTCGACCGTATGCTGGAAAAGTCGGATCGTTCCGTGAATCATCGGACCGTATCGAGGAAGAGATATCGAAGCCGGTCAAGTGTTCTGCACGCATATAAAGTCTCATCGGCGATATGTTCGATATGTTCGATACGAGACTTGAGCCTCTTCGACAGCCTTAGCGCCCGATCGGACCCTCTGTCAAAGCATGGCAAGGTCGCAGAGCCGGCATGGGAAAGGTAAGGCTATTGGCATGGGACTTCACTGGGTCTTTAACAGCAAAGAGCCGTTTATGTTCTACATGAATGCCTTGAAAGATCATCATCAAGTCCTTGATATTTCCATCGCCATGAAGATCCTAGGAGGCAGCCAGACTTACGACCGTGAAGGACTTGGGTGGGTAGCCTTTGAGTATGGTATCGGGGTAGCCTTCTAAAGTGTTTTGCAGACATGTCAGACTAGATCTTCAGACATCACTTCAGTATGTTAGGGGCATACTGTAGCACTCCACAGTCAATTCCGATTTTCAAGTAGACTGGAACCCTTCGTCAAGGCGGGCAAAAACTTATTTGGTAATCTAAATGATCTTCTTTGGGTAACTCACACAAGCAAAGCAAGCAAATCGTCCATGAGCAGAATAATCGCAATTCTGTCTCCACAGCTCTAACACTGTTGTCGGCTGCTCCAGAGTCCGACCAAGACTGCAACGTAGCAGACACTGAGATGACCGACCAGAATCCTGTGCGCTATCTGGATTTTGACTTGAACAAGAATCAAATGTGTCTTCAGGAGTATCTTCGAGGCTTGTATCGCAAGTCACTTAGGATTGGTTCTGTCGCCTTGAGTGACAGCGCAAAATTCCCTCGGACTGTTTCAACTTGAAAGCAAATCAACTACTAGCTTGATGACCCTTCAAGCCTGAGCCGACCTCAGTCATGAATGGCTGCTCAGTCTGGAGCTGGCCCCAGAAACGATGCAATGCCGAGGGCTGTTTACAAAAAAGACAATGACAGCTCAATTAGTAATTCGGAATATCCAAAAGCAAGTAGCAGGCGAAATTCTCCAAGGGCACAAACCTCAAGTCCGCACACCGCACGCGGCGTCTGTTGTATTCAACGAGCCGTCCGTAGGTAGACTCAGAGGCCTTGTAAGGGCTCATGTCGACCAACGGAAGGCAATGTGAGCCGATTATTGTAGCCAATTTACCACTCGCGATACCTAACAATTGATAGAGGGACGAGGTGCCGAAGAAGCAGCTGGTACCAGCCCGCCTGTCAGACTAGAGGATCGTGTTGGCAGGAAACATGCCTCTCTATGACATGTCTACAAAGAACGTCAGGCCTCCCTGTATTGTGCCCGTTTTCAGAGCGTTGGTATTACGATATCGTGGATGACAACCACGGAATCATTATCATATCACGGTGGGAGTAGTCCATCAACCTAGGCTCTTTGCTTGCCCTGTGTATGTACTGTACGAGCTAGGTGTCGAACGGGACGACGTTGTGAGCTTTGTGGAAGGTCGTAGAGGTACTGGAGGAGGCGGACGCTGCTGAGAGAGGACAACGGGTGGGTTCGAGAGGGCGAGAGAGCAGACGAAGACTGAAACCCTAGAGCTAGAGCTAAGGCCTCTCATGCCAATTCCTGACTCTGGAACTGATCAGCAGGTGTAACTTTGTGGACTCATACGCCTTCATTCTTCAGGTCCCGTCATATATAGAGCTAGGCAATAGCATCATATTGAGGCATTGACCGATTCTAGTAGACGCCGAACCGGCTTTACAGAGAAAAGCACGAATGTACATGCAAGTATGCAGGACCAAAGTCGCATGCTCAGCATAGATGGCACCAGAGTATCTTGCGCAAGCAAATTTCAAAGCAGAGCAGCTTGAAGTACCTGGTCAGAGACTCGAGTGAATGCTATATGCAGCACCGCAGTCCTCTTACCTTGACCAGTTAAGACTCAAGTTTCTGTTGTTTGTGTTACTTTGTCGAGCCGTGTCACTTTAAGTTTACTGGAGGTTCGAAAATGACCTGGCCTGTTTAAGAGGAACAGAAGTGAACAACAGTTACACAGTTTGTTGTGGTAGTTTAAGGCATCCCTGTAGCGACTAATAGCATTTCACTCATACAACAAGGTGCACAGACATAATTAGAACAATAGCGCAGGCGAAAACGTTGATGTGCGCCAGTACAAGAGTGACTGTCACGTTCACGACCGTCCACTCTTTACAAACTTCCACCAACACACCAACAGCAGCCATTTGAAACTGCAAGTTCTGCCGTGGACCAACGCCAGTATGATCATCGACGGTGTGGAAGTCAGTATAGTGTCGGCCACTACTGGTCTGCCACTTCGCGAGTACCTTGCTCCAGATGATGCTAAAGGCGAGACCCAAAACGTACGCTACATTGAATCGATCGCTGGAGAGCAGTTTTCTATCATATACAAGTTGCATCCCGAGTTTAAACGCCTAGGTTGTTCCTTAGTAAGCCTTTATAGGGATGCCTGGAAAACATATCGCCCAATCCCAAAGGTAATTAATTCACCAATCGAGTTGTGTAAATGGACTACAGGCTTGAATTACCTTGACGGCAAATGGTACGAGGGTCAACTCGCTTTTAGCGACTACGAGCTACGTAAGTGTGTAACAAGAATGCAATTTCAATCAAACTGACGGATTATTAGAGGACGAATCGACTGAAGATGACCAGTCTATAGAGCCCGGCGTGATGAAGCTCAAAGTAGTAACGCGTGTGCAAGTGTCAAGAACTAGGATGGGAGCCTCATAACCGCAAAAATGCTAGGCTTGTAGTGAACGAAAAGACAACCATAAAGCAAGTAAAGAAGGATGGCGTTAGCCACCTTGTCAAGTGAGTTGTGACGTTAACATCAAATAGAAATTTAGGCTAATGCGCTGTCAGGCCTGTGCTCACAGCTCATTCTCTACAAAACCCGAAAGATGATGGCACTATGCATTATAGAGATATCAAGAAAGGCAATCCTATCGAGTTCACATATATCTATCGTCCCAAGAGTACGTCTACTAGACTTCACCCACAAAAGCCTTATTCATATACTAACAAAAACAGATGTTCTTTGCAAGCTTGGAATCTGTCCCCCTGAGCCAGTCATCACTGTTACGGAAGCAGTCGACCTTACTCATCTCAGCAATGATGAAGACACCGCCAATCTTGTTGATCTATCTCGCATTGGTCATGATAGTGATACCGGCAGAATGCAGCGATCTTCGATGCACGTGAACGGAAGATCCCTCAAGCGCGAACGTACAGAAGATTCTGCAGAAGATCTGCATGCCGAACTGGCAAGACTTGAAGCGCGCCGGACAGAGCTCAAGGCTCAGCTCAATAGCAGAGGAAGAACTTCCATGAGTGTGTCTGTCAAGCGAGAGGCAGAGTTTTGAGATGTCGACCTGACCTGATACGCCTCAAGGCCTCAACTCTACTTGGCTGCGTCTTCCGGCAATCTATGGCGACTCAGAATGCACTGACGTCTGTATCACATCAAAAGTCCCTCATGATTCTATCTCATGATTCACTTCACATAAGGATCTTAGATTGTCCCTTGTCGCTATACTGCCCCCATCGAACGCTAAGTTCTGCTCATGTCGTTCTCCATCTGTCTGCTAACGGATGTTTACACATGTTCTGGAGGAAAGTCACTCTAAGCGCTTGGTTATCATATGAGGGTTGGCATCATTCGAATATTGGTCACACATGTAGTGAACCATTGATCTGGAGCTTGTATCACTATTAAATTTGGTATAGACACATTATCAAGCTCCCTTCAATTCACACTAATTCTATTTTCTTATGAGCACTCTCGAAGCTGAATTGCTAGATTCACTCTCACACATAGATGCGCACATCAAAGTAAATACAGGTTTTGTATAACGCCAGACAATACCATGGTGGCAAAACACGGAAGTAAGCTACTAGCTGCTTTATTACTTTTAGAACTTTGACGACTGGTGGTGATATGTGACGGAGCCAACCATCATCTCCACCCGTAAATTCTGCTAGCCATATGAGAAGATAGCTATGAGTATCGAAGGTATGATGTCTCCTACCTCCCACTGTGCCTGGAATGCTTTAGGTGTGATACTTGCAATTCATGAGTGATGGATATTGTACGACAAAAATTGAGATCATGTGGCAGCGATTGTGAGAGACTTTGATTCATGGCTACTTTCTCGACAACTTGGATGATACATATGACGAGTGATATGGCTTGAAGATTGAATGTGGCCATGTTGGCACTAAGGATTCACCTAGACGAAGCGGATGCGGTTTTCGACATAAGAGCAAGACTCGAGTAGGTGCTATGAGCCTGAATCCCACGTCCCACGATATTCAAGGAGTAATCTTGTGGATAGGTACAAGTGTACGGAGCAGCGCGAGGACACTAATGTCGTCATTCGTTTACCGTAGATCACAGACTCATGTCTGATGTCCAATACGACGCCGTTTGAGGCACCTCTTATGTACATCTTCTCCCATCGAGCTCTGCTCATCAAGGCGCAGCTTGGATTATGACCTCTCGAGATGGACAAATCATCTTAGTGTGTCCTGTGACAATGTCATGGGGTTCATTAAACGACATGGAAAGACTTCAACGACATGAGGCGACTGGTATCGGCTCCACATATTGTAGAGATGCTCACTCGCTACCATGCGCACGGTATGGTTTACGTTACTGACATGCTTGGGATCTTCTACTAAGTGCTCACATGCAGGTCCGAGAACAAGCCGGTTGCGACATTTATGTAATTACAGGGATGCATTTGGTTCAGGTCGGTGAGCAGTGGATCATCAAGTTGCCAATGATCCTGGCCTTTGAAGCGATACACGGGTCAACATGAATGTTTTATAATTTGACCGAAGTCAAGTGATGGACCCTCTATACGGCGGAACTTCGCGGAAGGAGTCAATATACACCGTTTTCTCGAAAAGGTTCTTCCTCACACTTTCACGACGCACTTCATGGTAGGCAGGAGAGTCAGGATGCATGATGGCTTTACAGTACAATGCTCCTACGCGCCATTTGTACTCATTTTGAAGATGATTGGGCGTAGACCGGGAAATGGGCTTTGAGATGAGGTGAGCATAACGTCAGCTCAACTCGGGACTTACGAGGACAAGAGCCCATTCTACTGGGCACCATGATCGTTTGGTGTATCCAAATGACTATGTTGGTATCAGAGCCGGTAGTCATCGTTTAGATCCCTGTTTTAAGACTGTAGGATTCGGGCCAATTCGTTGTCAGTTCCGGGTGGTCGGTTTTTGAGCCGCATACCGACTGTCTCAAATTCAAGGACCTGTTGAGCCAAGCTGTCGATTATACATTGCTATGAGCTCCTCTAGTATATACTGTTATCAAAAGTTGGGAATCTTCGGAGCAATACGCAGCAACTCTCTAAGAGAGCAATTTCGCCCTAGGACAGTGTGCATCATGCTGCGAAGCCGCTTCGTATCGAAATACTCTCAAATCCCTCATTTGACCAACAATTGGCGATTTTAGACACGGAATATGCATTACGCTCTCGCCGTCTGGTACCAAACCAATGATCGTAGACGTCCAGCGAAAGGAACAAGGAATGTGACCAACCTAGATACAGTCATCTCAACGATTCAGCCTCTTCTATGGTTCCAAGAGACGGAATAGCCAAGACGCGCATTCCGCTCTCAGGCCCGCCTGAGCTGAAGTCTAGAAGGAATGATGGCTTGCGCAGATGCCATCTTGGCATCAAAACAGCATCTCAACAATTACACCTCATGTATAAAAGGCTCTGCGAATACTGTACTCGAGAACACACAGCCCAGCATTCATCTGTCATAACTCACTTTCTTACCACTACATCACTATCGGTCAACTCACCCTTTCGGACATAAACGCCATGAAATACACACTCCTCGCCTCGGCACTCTTCGCTCTTGCGACCGCTGTCCCCTCCAACTTTGCTAGAGACAGCACCTGCGACTGCGGCCCAGCACCTATCTGTATTCAGAGCTGGCCCGAGTCATGCTACTGCCAAAACGACTATCTGCGCAAGTGCTATGAGATGTGCGGCGGCGCCCAGCCAACGTAAGCAAGCGCTGCTCCCACATATTGAACAGCTTCGCCCGTACGTTCCTGGGGCAAAGGCTAACATTGGACAGATATGGCGACTGTAGCGCCGTAGCTAAGAAAAGGCAAGAGACACTACCGTTTAGCTGTGCCAATGTGCGGTGTCGCGAGGGCTTTGTGTGTGTGGGCGCAGGAATCTGTGTGCTGGACACGCCGTGCGGCGGCTTTGCCGGGACACCGTGTGCTGACAAGCAAACGTGTGTAGATGACCCGCGCGACGATTGTGATCCGCAGATGGGCGGCAGTGATTGTATTGGACTCTGCTTGCCGTATCAGGGCTGATCAATACTATTTCTCATGAAGTTGGAGAGCTTTGGCCTTTTGATACTGATAGGGGATGGAAGTGGAGGTTCAGAATGTAGTCGAGATGAGAGTGGGTAGAATTTGACATTCATCAAGTAGTTCTTGCAGGGTACCTTTAAAGATGTTATCGCCATGATACCTCGATATCTCTTTTCTGTCCGTATTTGGCCGTATGTGTAACTTCAGCCCCATCTTCGAGGACTTGATCCATATTTACTGACCACAAAGCAGCACAACATGCTAATCAGGTGGGTCTGCTTCACCTTCTTGACACCATGTCGTATGAAAATAATATTATATGACGTATGCCTAGTACTCAGGAGTCAGAACCTCGCTATCCTTTACCCTGTATGTAAACAAACTACTTGTCGTCCGGACCAGAGGTACTCTTATATCTCGCTACACGCGGCGACGACCTTCCTTTATGCTAGTTCCGTTGCAAGCATTCTGTCTCTCCAAGCTTATATGTCTTAAAACTCTCCTTCACTCGCTCACCTCGATCTCAAAGCCGCTAAACTTCACCTCCAAACTCTCCAGCTTCCCTTCCTCCGCCCCAGGCTTCGGCTTACAGGTATAACAACCCACACAAACATCCTTGCCCTCCTCATCCTCAAAAACCCACGTCAATTCCCTGACCGCAACCCTCTCTCCTCCTGGACCCACTCTATAAACCCACAAATTGCTCCCCTTGCGCTCCATCTCAACCGTAATCTCGCGCTCACCACAGGGCGCTAGACTCCAGTCTGAAAAGGGGTTTGCGGCAACGACGGAGTGGAAGGTGGAAGACTCGTAGAATTCTATACCGGACTTTATCCATGAGGGGTAGGGTGCAGATGCTGATGCGGGTGTGAATGGGGCATGTCGGTTCGCGGTGGTCGGGAGAAGGAAGATCAATCCTCCTTGGTCGTACAGAGTGCGCCAGGTTGCGGAGACGGTAACGCGGGCACGTTTGAATTTGGAGAGCGGGACTGTGGTTGCGAGGATGGGACCGTTGAAAATGTCGCGTGAGGGAGGCGTGCGGTAGAGATCGGTTGGGTTGGTTGTGGTAAGGGTGAATGACGATGTGAGTGGGTTGAATTGAGGAGACTGTGTGGCGAGAGGATGATTAATGTATCTGAACTGAAGAAGCATTGTGGCCTGGTTGTATGGCGGCTGAAGGTAGTTGGGTAGTGTAATTTGGATATTTACAGATGAAATCAGTGTGAAGAAGTGCTGGCCACAGGGAAGCGTGCGAGTACGAAGTTGAAATGTTTGGCTTGAGGATCTTAGATGTAAAGAAAAGATTTTATATTCTTATAATCTTGTACCAGGCCCCACCCTATGAGTAATATCACAAAGCTTGATGCAGTGGACCCTTGTGGAGCTGGGGTTATTACCGCATTTGGTAATTCTTGCCACTCGTATAACAGAAGACAGGGTTTCTCGAATAAAAGTCGCCTTAACTTTGGAGTCATGTAGAACCGAAGCTAGAAGAAGATATTGCAATATACTCTCCGTACTGCGTAGTATGCTATCTTACTACGTCTTAGACCAACGTGAGTCTACATTTTTCGAGCCAAAAGGGATCATGACAGTGCTTGCGCTATCCTTAGATCATCTCGGAGCTTTAGATCTGCTTATGGTAGACTCAAAAACAAAGCAAGCATCTTAGGATAGTTAGGCGTTCCCAGCCCAGTGACCGGATCCCAGCCTTGCACAGCAGAGAATCCGTCTGTACCGCATCCTGGGTTAGTCCCATTTGTGATGTCGTTGAGGACCCACGGATTCTTGTAGAGGACTGCATTGAGAAAACCAACAGGTGTCTTCCCGATGGCAAGCCTCTCTTCATTTATTCTATTGACAACGGAGGCAAAAATCGGGCAGCTTGCGCTTGTCCCTCCAGACAGACCAAATTCTCCACCAACATACGTAGCGATATTATCTCCAACTGCAGCAACGTCAGGAATGCCACGACCAATGCGGTTATAAATACCACCATATGATCCAAGGGTACCGACTAGATCAGTGTTGTTAACAATGGCGCTGTAAGACTTGTAAGGTGGGTTGTGCTTTGCGAAAAAAGTGTCAACGGCAGACTTCTGATAGTCTGGAACGGTATAGACGTTGCTGAAACCACCTCCAGACGAGAAGTTGACGTGGTAAGGATGGCCAGCTGGATCAAAGACCGCGCTTTCCGGCTCAAAGACTGTCTTTCCCGGATACACTTTAGTGGCTCCGACGTTGGTCACCCATGGACAATTGTTTGGCCACGTAGGATTGAATATCGTTCCTTGTGGTCCTAAGCACCCAGTAGGACCGTCAAAACTGTAAGGTTCGGGGTAATTGCCAACCCCAGCATCTCCAGACGCAAAAATGAAAGACACTCCGCGCAAGCCAAGTTTCAAATATTCATCACATTGCCGCTTTTGGTATGCCCAAGGTACGTGTGCTTCCTGACCACCGTACGAGAAAGATATTACATTGGTTGATTTGTAAACCCCACACTGGGTCTTCCCTTTATAGCCACCAGGAGCTGGGTCAGGATAGATCGGGTCAAGGTTGGGATCGTCTCCTGTTTCTCCATAGGAGGATTTGGTACAATAGCTGCCATCAATTGCATCCAACAGATGGTTGAAGCCATAAGTGTACGTTTGATTGGGATCCAACTCGTAGATTGCATCATCTTCCTGGTAGATACTTATCCCCTGAGGGTATACAATGGGATAGGCAAGCTGAAGGTCGAGTTCTACCTCACCTCCAGCCTCAGAAGTGTTGTTGGTCGGTCCCGGACCACCGTCAATTGAGATCACTGTTGGATGGGTTCCATTCTTGATGTACGGAGTAAAGTTGGAGAAGAACAGGTCCAGGTCTGGCTGATAGTAGTACTGAGCTTCAGACTCGTAGATTCCCAATACATTGGAAGGATTCGGTTTACGGGAGCTAGCAGCAGGTGGGATGCTGTAAAGCGCAGCAACGCAAGCTGGCGTGATCGTGCTATCACACTTGCTTAGATCACTACTGCTTGGAAACTGTATGGGTCCTTTCGGTCGGTAGAACTTGTGTGGTGTTATCTTCCGTTCTGTGCGACGCATCAAGTCGTGCTTCGAATTTGGAGCATTTGGAGGTGCCAATAGCTTGATACCAGGAGTGACATAATCGATATGCTTCTGAACATGTATTGGTACATAGTATTCCTCGCAAGCAGGAAGTATGCCACCAGTGACTGAGTCTTCGTACTCGTAGTACTCTGTATGCAATATTCTTTCTGCCTCGTCAGCTGTAGCATCAAACGCGAACCAAGCCTTATTGTCTGTATGTACGATACGATCAATGGTGATACCAGAGTCAACGAGCCAATTTCGAACCGTCTCAATCGTCTCGTTTGAGGGGTGGAAGAACTGGATGATCTCTTCGGATGTCCAGTGCTTGCCATAGTTTTTCGAGTCAGGGTCAGACACGTCCAGGAGGTGCAGATGGGCATATTCGAGATTGCTCTGAGCTAATCCTATACGCATTGGTAATATTGACCTAGAATGAACGCGTTGGGCTTTAGTCCATCTTGGATGTATCGTCGCTCGCTTCTCGTGGACTGCATGGTTTGACGGTACCGCTAGAGCGAGGCCTGCTTTCAGCAGAAGCACCAGAGTAACAAAGTTGAGGCCTAACATAGCTGTAACAGTATACAAGCTCATTTGAAGAGTTGACCACATTCTGGAGCCATCGAGACTTCAGACAAGAGCATGTCTTATAGTACCAAATGACGTACAAAACCTGCATTAGTCCGGTATCTCCAATAGGCAGGTAGATAGATATGACCCCTCTCTCTGTTAAGCATGCTCGGGTATCACAGTTATCTGATTGGAAAGGAGAACGCCTTCAAGGCTAAACACAAACGCCGTGCTCTATCTAAATCTGTCCAAGCCTTTTAAGCCACGCTTGGCAGGAGCTTGTCATCCTCAGACAGAAGCTTGTCTTTCAGGCATGGGGAATCCATTCATTGGCAGGGCAACTTACCTTGGGGAGTCGCATAGAAGTTACTAGTGATTGGCATTGCACCCCAAAGGCGGCACCAAGCATCTATGATCACTTCGATCTTCAGGCGTAGCTTGTGACCAATTGCAGATTCAGCCCGCAGTTGTGTAAAAAACCATCTCTAGGAAGCTTATATTCCCCTGTCAGGTTTGCTACAAGGAAATGTTCTATAATCGGGAAGACCTCGGGCAGGGAGGATTCTGGCTTTCGTGAAGCAGACAAAGCGAGGTTTCTATCCTGAAGCCAGGCCCGGGGGATGATGGCCTCAGGCACCAATTACGCATCCATGGGTCGGTTCCATGGACGGATAACTCTTTCCGGGAGACTCTTTCTCCACACTCCAGCTTCAATGTCTTCCGCAGCACTACATCACGGCCCGCAATCCAGTGACGTCTGTCTACCATGAGTGGAGGTCCTGTACGCATTGCCGTCGAGGGTTGCGTAGGTATCCGCATCATCCTGCCCTTGGACTAGGCTAATATGGCTGCTCTATAGGGCCACGGCACGCTTCACTCCATATACGCGTCCGTCGCACGTTCCGCTAAGCTACGAGGCTGGGAGGGTGTGGATCTGGTCATAATATGCGGAGACTTCCAGGTATGACGCTCGTCTACCCTAGCTCCAACATCGCTAACACGGACAGGCAGTGCGTAATTCCTTCGACCTGAACTGTATGTCAGTGCCTCCGAAGTATCGCGAGATAGGCGACTTTCACGAATATTACTCTGGCCGGCGTCTTGCTCCATACCCCACAATCTTCATCGGAGGCAATCATGAAGCCTGTAATCACAACTGGGAGCTATATTACGGTGGATGGGCAGCCCCTAATATCTATTATATGGGTGCCGCCAATGTGGTACGCTTCGGTCCATTAAGGATTGCTGGTCTCTCCGGTATCTGGAAGGGGTACAACTATCGCAAGCCACACCATGAACGTATACCATATTCGCCTGATGACGTGAAGAGTGCCTACCATATAAGGGAATGGGATGTCCGGAAGCTACTCCAACTTCGGACTCAAGTAGACATCGGTCTCAGTCACGACTGGCCCCGTAAGATAGAATGGCTTGGCGATTGGAAAACGTTGTTCGCGAAGAAAGTACATTTCGAAAAAGACGCACGAGATGGTAGCTTAGGCAGCCCGGCTGCCAGATATGTCCTAGATAGGCTCCGACCGCCGTTCTGGTTCAGTGCTCATTTGCATGTCAAGTTTGCAGCAACTGTCACACATAAGGCTCAGTCAGCGTCAGACGAGATCAAAGCGAACAGCGCGGCGCAATCAGCTACTCCTATCATTCCCAAAAATGACGATGAAATTGATCTCGATATGGACGATGGCGATGAACAACCAGCCTCTGTGGCTATTGAGGGACTGTCCAAACCGACCGAAGATCTGAGAGCACAGCTTCCAACATCATTTCTGAAACGAAAGGTGCCTGAACGTAACATCACGCTTCCGACAGAGATCTACAATCAGACCACTCAATTTCTTGCTCTAGACAAGTGTCTAGCACATCGTGAGTTTCTACAGCTTCTTGAAGTTGTGCCCACAGAGGCGACTCCTGTGGAGCGACCCTTCTCACTTCAGTACGATAAGGAATGGCTTGCAATCACACGCGTCTTTGCCAAAGAGCTCATCGATGGTAGTCCAAATGAGAGTTTATCCGAAGACAAGGGTGAGCGATACTATCGCCCGCTAATTGAACAGGAAGAAACCTGGGTAGAATCAAACCTTATAAAGTCAGGGCGCATGGGCATACCAGAGGACTTTGCAATTACTGCACCAGCATACGATGCTGCGGAAGGGCTTATGCCGAGAGGACAGCCAGTAATTTACAAGAATCCGCACACACAATCATTCTGCGACCTGATACAGATACCCAACGCTTTCCAGCCGTCTGCTGACGAGCTTGCTGTGTGGGAAGGGCGAACATCAGTGACGACGCAATTCGACGACCATGTCTACGTTAGCGGTAGAGGAGCTTCCCACAGAGGTCGCGGCCGTGGATCGTCAAGGGGTGGTAGAGGGAGCGGTAGGGGCCAACGTAGGTGAAGCGACGCTTCTCGCCGTGGTGCGGTCGTGCATCGATTATTGATTGCCATAATATTGCCACAACGAGGAAAATTCCGGGGTTCGATGAGGACCCTCGTAAGGGTTTGGGCAAGGGTCGTCCAGATCTTGCCTGATATTGGCCTGATTATTTGCCGCACGCCAGTGCATTTCGGTCAATTTCCTGGTCAGATCTGAGACAGTAGACAGTATCCACGTTGGGATGTACCCTTCAAGATTACTACTTGATGTTCATAGCAACATCCCAGGGCATTGCAGCAGACGCGTATATGACGAGTCACTGGAAGATTCGGAAGTATGTAGCTTATCAAATAAATTCCCTGCTCATGGTGAGGTAGCCACCACCTACGCCATCGCGCAGCGATACCCAAGCACGACGCCGCAGCGTTCGCAATCATCACCACATAAGCAGATGCAAGGCAGCGGATGATGGGCACGAAAATATCACTATAGTGACGTCAAACTTTGTGGTGCCCACATTCCAGAGCAAAGGGTCTACATATCCCTGCGTGCCAGCATTGTCGCGATACTCGGAGGAAGCATCGAAGTACGGAAGAAGACTGGACCAACCACGTCAACGACAACGAGACTTCCGTGGTAGGCCATCGTGCGATAAATCAGATGCAAGCTGCAGTACAAACAGTAAAATCGAGCCTGCTGACGAGCAAGCGGAAATATACGCCATGATGGGTGGCTAGTTAAAAGGACGCGCAAGAGGTGTGGTCTATCGCAAAGGCTGCCAGCCCCCCTGTGTGGTCTCCGGCCCCGGTACATCTTCCAACACGTCCCTTGTCCCGATTCACGAGCATTTGTGAATATCAGGGTCTGGGACCTGCGGATCGGCATCTTTTAGAAACCTGGTGGGCACGGCTCACCTGCTGCAGCAAGAAAAAAATAGAAACGCATTCCTTCGAGAAATTTGCCATGAGCGCCAGATTGGACCTAGAACTGTACCAGCACCAGCTCGCAACTGGCCATGCTTCCAGGCACGAAATTAATTTGACAGATTTGATCGAAGCAATAGATTGGGTGCGCTTGTACTGTCCAGGCCACAGTCGAAAGGCACTACCACGGTAGGATGCCTTTCATTTGTGGTTAAGCTGCAGTTGGTGCTGGAACCGATCTGCATCTTCTTAACGCTGGCTCGAACGGCGTCTTCCTCCACACCAAACCTAAAGTATGTCGAGGCGTGTTCACAGACCCAGGGTCCTACGGGAGCCAAAGAAGGATCGCCCGCCTGTTGTGTGTAGCTTTGGATTTCCCCCTCTCGCGACCCGTTGCGGAGCATGCGCGCGTGTCGCATACAAAAGCAGCCTTCTCCCTCCATCCCTGACGGAAGTCCTATAGCAGACAATCCTCCGTATCAGGCCTCCGCTCGCGCATATATTTCCGACTCATCACTGTTGTTGGTGCCGTATCTTTTTTGACCAGCCTCCATCCACTTGCCAGCATTTCATACTACAACGCTAGCCCCTGCACCACCATTTTTGCCTTCGGTTTCAACAATCAACACAAGCCATATTTTCTTCTCAGTACGCTCATCAGAACACCCTTCAATCGACATGGCTGCTTCCAAGTTCACGGAGTTACTGGACTCTAATGTCGAAGTCTATCATGCAAACAATCTTAGCTTAGAGGACATCATCGCCGAGACTCAACGCCGGTCCTCATCCGGATCGAACGACAGCCAGTACAGCAGACAGAGTTCAAGTCCCACAAACTCGTCTCCCACCGAACCATCGAAACTCAAGTTGAGACGCCTAACGTGGGGAATCAAGAAAGGATGATAATGCACACGGCATCTGCACCCACTAGAGTTGATCACACACTGATCACATCACAACATCTGAACGACATAGGTCTACCTCAGTCCGGCTGCATATCGACTCTGCAACACCTCCTGCTCCGCCATCATAACGTATGAGCTTGCGTCGCCTCGCGTTCAAAATTCGACTTTGAGGCCTACGAAACCACGACGAAACCCGTGTCGAGTCTGTGGTGGCGATGCGAGACGCGAATACTCCGTGGTCCGCACCTGTCACCCAGTCGTCCCACACCACGCCAATCACGAGACCACACCTAGACCACCAGTAGCCAGTAGCCAGTAGCCACACAGGGCATCCTAACTTAACTTTGGCATGGCATTTCGCAAATTCCACCTATTGTCTTTGATGTCTCACTGCATCATCACACCATCTTCGATATCACGAGCTTGAGGTTTGGGAATATCCGATGAGGTCTTTCAGGAAGCATCGAAGGCGCAATCCATACTCCCTTGTGGGATTACAGAAAATAGCGTTATTGCACACTCCATGTATATGTATACATACTACAAGCGATGCCATGGTAACCAAGCATGCGCAACACATCAAAATTGCATATATACCTACACCACACTCCACTCTGCATTCTACACGTTACAGTTATAATAAACTATTACAAATTATCAAAACACTATTGTCTCGCTCAACGGTTTTCTAATACGCACACCGCTCCGGCATAGTGATACACATGTGACACTCACACGTTCTCTAGAAGTGTTTTTAGGGCGACCGCTTTTACTGATTATAGCATAAGCCTCGGAAATTAGTGTCAGCAAAAATATCATGATTGCTACTGGGAACGGCAGAAGGCAGCAGCAGAGCAGAGACGGAAACAATGAATGGGATCTGCAGCAGGCGACCTTAGTGAGTAATGGTCAACCAGGCGGCGGCCGCGACCACTCAACAAACAAACAGCTAAGAACTATTAACCTTTCCGTTGTAGGCTCAGTGTCGAACTCCCCCTTCCTCTCATAAGTGAAGGTGGCACGAATCGCGCAACCATCTATAGTATCGTATCATATCGTGTAAAGCCTATCCCGCCTCGCAGCGCCACTTCCATAGTATATGCGGTGCGAATGTGAATTATTTTTCCTCAAGCAGACGCGAACCGTTTGATACATTGTCTAGACCGCAGAAAAAGGCATCTGCGCAATAATAAATTCAACAACTCAAGTTCAAAATCAAACCTAGATGTTCATGGATGGACCTGCAAATGCACACGCATGCACGCATGTCACTGTGACCATGCCACTATTCTGGAAACGAACATATCATCCAGTCTTTCCTGTTCCTTGGGCGATTGCATCCATAGCATTAGCAGGTAGGCCCTATTACCACAAGCTAATTAGCCGTGCGGAGAAACTTGTCGTGCATACAGTGCAGTGCAGTACAGCTAGCCATGTGGCTACTGTTAGTATAGTTCAGTCAGACTTTCAGTTCGCAGAGAGAAAATGATCGCGTGCGCATGCTCGTGCACTGGGCTAGTTCGATAGCGCATGTCTAGAGAGATATGGATGTAGATAGGAAGAGGGATAGGGCATTGATAGCATGCAACCGGATGCGAACCGTGGGCCGGTGGATGGCTATGGAATTTTGTGGGAACTGTGAATATTTGGGTGAGCGATGTGGATCGCGTACCTGTGATCAGGGGGAGGGGAAGGGAGGCGAGAGGAGGGGCACGAGCCTGGGGAAGTCAGGGGCAAGTAATCCGGATGCCAGTAACAAAGGACAATGGAATTGGCCCATGTCCATGGATGGATTTCTTCGGTCTTGCCTTTTCTTACGGGCGGAACAGGGCAGGACAATTTGTCTATTGTCCATTCATCCCATTGTCTATCGGCGTTCCGTCTGTTCATCCATTCCATTATCTATTGTCTCTCTGTCGCGTAACCATTCATCGGCTGCGGCACAGGCGTTCGGTTTGTTCTAGAACATCCATGCATGTATTGACTCATCGCTGTGTGAGTAGACACGGCATATAGGCACGCAGGTAGGATGTCGGATGTAGAGTGGTTTTTATGGAGTGTAACTCTGCTCTTGGCGCTTTTATTCTTTTCATCCATTCATGGTCTGACTAACAGGGGACCGATGGATAATACCTGTTGCTTTGGTGCTCCTCACCGCTTCAACTAACGGCTTTAGCGACCCACTAAGCCTTGCGGGGGCACGCTTGCAACCATTGCACTACGTTTGGGGGTACAGTTTGGGATAGCCTAACAATCACTTCATTAATACACTTCTAAAAAGCTCTGTTATTCTCTTAGTTTTCTATACCGTTCAGGTATTACAAGTATTAACAGCTATACTCGTTGGAACTCTAGGGAATAATTAGTAGACATAGAACATTGTCCAGGTAGTGTATATTTCAGGTGATTGAATTTCTGAGTCGCATCTTTTCTGTAGTTACTAATGAGATTTCGTACAGCTCACATGAATCTTTTCCTCTATGATAAGCGTCCAAGGAGTCGCTGTCTCTAAAGTAACACGATTTTGAGAGGCGAGTGATGCATAGCGACTGAATTTCAATATTAAAGTGAAGTAGCTCTGTATGCGGGAGAATGCATGACGGGCGAGTAGGGACACGACACGACACCGCCTTGGAGCAGTTGCCTCATACTATGGGCCCTCAGGCCGCTCGTAGGCTGTAGCTTGCATATTATGTTGGAACTTGCATGATATAAGGCCTAAGAAGCAATATGGGAACCGAGATCTGGTTTGTTTTCGAAGTGCTGTCATTTTATAAGATAGGGAGGCAGGAGTGGACAGTAGTCTGCTGACTCAGCTAACTTATACTTGAAGTTTTTAATTCTATCATAGCTTCTCAGTCACTAATGTACAGAGCTCTGCTTTACACTATCTATGTGAACATCTGACAAGCCCTTCATCGGCCCATGCAAGGCGAGATGAGCACAACGAGGCTGGCGGTTGACCTAAGAGGAAGACCACCACAGTTCCACGAAAAACGCCCACGACAAACACTGCAGGACAAACAAGCTCGATGAGTGGCTGTTCTGTATGACCCTGGTTCGTCGGGACTTCAGTGTCCGATACGGTGGGCGCTTGTGTGCAGTACAAATCGTTTCTGTATAGTACTGCACCCTCTCATTTATCTCTGTAACTCCCACTCTACCCATTGATGTACGTCAAATCCACTTTTCATTTTCGCGGACGGTGAAGTCAGTCACAACTTTCGAGGCACAAATGGCTTCTAGCTTCGAGTAGTAAGTGGTGTATCATCAGTGTCAACTTCGTTGACTAATATTGAGTAGCTTCATTCAATCACAGCAGTTTACCTTCTATATTGGCCGAGAGGAGAAACCTATTGTGGTGCATGCTGCTGTAATTGCGGCGACTAGTCAGCAGCTGAATGTGCTTATCAATGGCGGAATGGAGGAATCTGAGAAGCAATCTGCTAGGTTCAAAGATGTCCGTGTTGATGATTTCATTCGGTTCTGCGAGTATGCCTACCGTGGAGACTATACAGTACCTCCGTGCGAAAAAATCCGACAGGAACAGAACTCTTTAGATGGCAAGACGCAGCCTCCAGATGAACAACCCCAGCAGGAACCGAGCTCCGTAGCTATCCAGACACAGGAGGCCAGAGAGGAGTGGCCTTGGACGGCCGATCCATTGGCATCCAAGAAAAAGCCCAAAGGGAAAAATAGGAAACACGCCAACGACTGGGGTCAATCGATAGACTTTGATTACCCATCAGAAATACCCAAAGGAGAAGAGCCCCCTGTTGAGCTTCCTCAACATGAAGTAAAGCCTGCCCCAAGAACTAGGTTGCGGACACAATTTAACAGTCGAGAATTCCTCACCGACAACGACCCGAAAGCTCTGATCCTAAAGAATTTCGAACCGAAATCCAACAAGGCCGCGCACGAGAATTTCACACCAGTCTTCCTCGCTCATGCACGTCTTTACTGGTTTGCGCATCTCCGACTGATAGAGCCGCTGAAAGCGTTAACCCTGCGCAAGCTGCACAAGACGCTGTTGGACTTCAAACTGTACGACAGTCGCGTCGGAGATATTGTTGAACTCTCGAGGTATATATACTCGAACCAAGACCTGCCCGGCCGGAGCGAGGATGGCACTCTCGATGAGCTGAGAAAACTAGTAGTTGAGTATATCGTTTGCGAAATCGATACGATTGGAAAGAATGATGAGTTTGTCAAGTATATCGAAGAGGGCGGTGAGTTTGTCGGGGATTTCTGGAGGATGACAAGGGATTATATAGCCTGATCTAGGGCAATATACGTAGCTAGTCTGCACAGATAAGAGCGCTCGTGCAACCAAAAGTCCTTTATTCTGCTCGTTACTTATTCTCCTATACCTTTTGCAGGTCAGGATTGACTCGCCTCCGCTTGGGAGTCAAGATTTGTCTAATTGAGTATCATCACCATCAGATCTGCGGATAAACCTCAGCCTGGCTGAGGGACATCGCAATGCGTCGATTGTTCGAGAACGGCTCCAGCTTCTCGAGCTCATCATCAAAGCACCAACATCGACAGCAACATCGACAGCAACATCGACAGCAACATCGACAGCAACATCGACAGCAACATCGACAGCAACATCGACAGCAACATCGACAGCAACA